CCTCGTCATCGCGGTCACGTGATCGTGAGAACAATACTAGTGACGCGCTCTACCAACTGAGCTATGAAGGAGTTACTGGGGGGAAGCATTAAAATACATATCACATGCTCGAGGATCTTGGGATGATGCCCCTATGGTGGCGGGAGTGATGGGTGTGCTCTGTGCCACCATGAGTGCGGATTCTGGGATGCCGCACCAGCAGCAGAAGGACATCATCCAGTCCTTCTTCCAGTTCGACGCTGCGCGGGATGCCGCAGAGCGCTTCTACAGTCGCTCCTCCGGTCCTCAGACGCCTGGGAATTTCTCATCTCAGCCGTCTCTGCCTCCGATGCCCACTGGCATGCATTTCGGCTCAGATGCCCTTCAGCATATGATGCCTTCCATGGACACGTCAGCACAGCAACAAGGTGTCCAACAGTCGTCCCAGCCCACGCCACAAGCCTTGCTCGAGCAACAGTTTCGGCTCAACCAGCTGCAGCAACTCCAGCAGCTCCAAAACCAGATTTTCCAGCAGCAGGTAAGCCGCACATCCTCAGCTGTTCGCCGTCGCCCCGACCTTGTGCCCCACCTCTAATCTCGGCACTATGTCGCACATACATCTAATCTCGGTCGTCATCAGCTGGAGCTTCTGAGCAGTCAAAATGCGTTTGGGGGAGGACAGACACTTGCGGGACAGGCAATGGGAGATCGGCAGCGGGAGCAACAGCAGTATGGTCTTCCAACACCAGGTGCGTCTCCCGATCTTTCCGTTGGCTCCAGTACCGACCGACCACCCGTCAGGACCGTCCGGTGAACTGCGCGCACAACAGAGTCCCGACTTCGTCTCTCCTCTACTCTTGCAGTCCGGCGCTGGCCTGTCCACCATGGCCCAGCAGCCACATTCCCTCTCGCCCGATGTCTGTAACATTCCCGGCTTCCTCTCCCAATCGCACCAGATGATACCGTCTGGGCCGCATTCCGCGCCCGCCCACATCGCCTTCGAGATCAGCCCACCGCTCTCCATGCCTTCGGGCTCGTCAGGCGCGGACCACGACTTCAACGACATCTCGCCACTGACCAGCCCCTGGCTTGGACCCTTCAACAATGCACAGGCGATGCAGGGCTCGAGCGGGAGTGGGAGTGCTGCGGGTCTCAAACGGCGAGGAGCATCTTCTAGTGGAGACGAGGAGACGTCCGTACCCAGGCCTTCCCGGAAGCGGCAGTCTTCTATTAGGGCCGCTGCTCGACCCGGCCCCAACGCCCAGCAGAAACGCACGTCCATGCGGGGGTCGCGGTCAGCGAACTCGACGCCGTTGTTCAACGGAATGGCACGGCCAGGCATGGGCCTGGACATGTCTGATATGAATGAACTGCCAGGCGACTCACCGTCGCCGATCGAGCTGCCCCCTATGCCGCCTCCGGCGCACCCGCCTCAGCCGCCCTCGTCGCTCGAGCGCGAGATGACGTCCGCCGCCACGAGTGCCTCCGCCATGGGCGTGCCATCCCACAATGCGGCGTCCGCCCCCGCGATGACGCCGGTTACTCCGGCCAGTATCATGAATCTGGGCAGACTGGGAATCAACTCCGGTCTCGCTCCTCCGAGCGGCGCGCAAGATCAGGGTGCCACCAAGAAGAAAGACGGCAGCGGTAGGGCAAGGGCGTCGAGCAAGTCCGCTAACTTCGCCGAGCCGGGGCGGACGACCAGGTCGACCGACAAGTCTACGAGCGTCCCGCTCGTCAGTCCGAACCTCAAGCCAATTCGTCCAGGTCAGTGCTTCCATTTTGTGGCTATATACACAGCCGCTCAATTACCACACTTCAGCCGGAAATCAGGCAGTCGTTTCTACGAGCCCTTCTCCGTCGACGACGCAGCCCATCGTCCAGTTCCGCAAGTCGTCGCACAAGGCCGCCGAGCAAAAGCGGCGCGACTCGCTCAAGACCACCTTCGACGACCTGCGCCTTTTACTCCCGCCCATCCCGCTGCCCGCCGAGGACGAGCCGATCCTCCCGGGCGCGATGCCACCGCGCGGCCCGCCGAAGGGCAACTCAGAGGGCCCGAACCGCGCCGTGAGCAAGCTGCAGCTGCTCCGGTGCGGCAACGAGTACATCAAGATCCTCAAGGGCCGCGTCGACCGGCGCGACGAGGAGATCGAGCGCCTCCGCAGCGAGGTGGCGCGCCTCAGGCTGGTCGTGGGCCCGGAGGCGGAGAACGGCGAGGAGGAGGTTGATTTGGAGAGGGATGTGGACGCGGTGGAGGCGGCGGGAGGCGGGGTGGGCCTCCTGCTCGGCCGCGCGTACCATGGCCGCGAGGGCTCCCTGGCGGAGGTCGAGGAGGCAGATGAGGAGGGCGGAGACTCATAGCTCCCAATGAACTTATGATATCAGTTATTTCGGGTTTTTGAATGGTCGAGTGTCGGCAGATATACCAGATACATACGTAGAAAGACATGTTGTAGAATACGAGACAATGAATGGGCATTGAGGTTGACGAAAAATTAGATGGTCAGCGCCAAGTCAGCGCTGCAACCTGGTTGACGCCATCACCTCCGCGGCGCAATAAGTAAATAGGGTGCGCACTGCCTATTTTCACCAAGAGATTGCTGACTGTCTTACAGGACGTCTGCGCACCGTGCCGACTTAGCGCGCAGGTACAATTTACGGTGCGCGTCACGGCTATGATGGGGACAGCTTGCCGCAGGGTCGTGGATGCCTCGACCTCCATCCTCCGTTCATTCTGCCGATTAGGAGTGACGCTCAGCGATTGACATATTACGAAGCTGGCAACACCAAAACGCAGTCGCTGCCTCCTAGATCCATTTTCTGTCGCTGATCAGCTCGCAGTACCATGTTAAACTAGTCTCAGTCCCGCTACAAGACAGCACAAGACATCCGCTGGGTAATTCAATCATGAGGATCAAGGATGGAGGTGCTATCATCATTCCCTGGAGGTACCTCAGGCCTCAGGCTTCTGCCAGTGAGCAAGACTCGGAGCAAGGTCCGACTCGTCCTGAATACGCGAATGCTACCCAACTGAGTACTTCACATCAGGGATCCGCATAATGAGCTGCCAATGAAGCGCAGGTTTTTGCCTCTGTTGCATTTGATTTTATGCTGCGAGTTTCTTTCGTCGCATTTTCAATGCTACAATGAGTCGCAGCAGGCCATGTCAATAAAATTCCGGAAGCTACGGTCGATATATCACCACGCAGCTTGCGCCGAACGCACGGCGGTGACCGTATACACGCTGTCCGCCTGCGGGCGTGGTGTATTGGTACGGCAAATATTGCCTTTCCCCTGACTACGAACACCGGAGAAAGACATACAGCGAGGCGGGAGGATCGCGCACAGATCTCGATTGCGGAAAGTGATCGCCATCTCGGATCTGACAAATGGGCGTGCCTGGCAGGAACGTGATCCAGACGCCCATAACCGCCGGCGCCACAACGCCCGACGTGGGCGGACAAGATAAGGCGGAGCGTCCTGCCACACGCGAGTCGGGATCAGACCTCCTTTTTGTCCCAGACTCTCTCTTCCTTCCTCCACGACTCCAGTATCTGCGAGTATGTCTCAACCGCCGCAAGGGATTCGCGTGAACCACCCGCTGTAAGTGTCACTGCGAACAGTCAGGTTCAGGAGATATTGAACTGGGGGAACAGGTCGGTGGTGTTCCTCCTGCATATTGCGCTGGAGGCACCCATTGCTGTCATGGGCCTATGGAGTCCTATCAGTCTACCGTTTGTCCAGCTGACGAACACCACGCTGGTGATCTTGAAGGTACGCGTATTCGCTCCTCCAGACATTTGCTAGGAATCTAACTGCGGCGTCGCAGATGTACTCGGCAATGGTGGCAGGCTTCTGCCTTGCTGCTCTGCTCGTGTTCTCTCTTCCAGGTGCGTCATCTCTGGCTTCCCCAGGACATATCGGAGCTCAGACAAATTAAACCTACAGAGTTCCTCCCTGGAAAGCGCGCCTTTGGCATGGGACTGTGTTTCTACCACGTCACTTGCTCGACTATCCTCTTCAACGCACCACGCTTCATACCCCATACCTTTGGTGTCTTTGCAGAGTCGTACGTTGTTCGCCCATCTGCAATCTTGCATTCATCTCACTGCCTCCCACCGCCGTGCTGTGCAGCCGTCGTGCAACACCGGAAGTTGTCTGGGGAACCCTGCACGGTATCGTCGGTCTCACGCTCGCGTTTTGGTGGCAGGCTACTGTCGGTATGGCGGCGGCAGCCCGCCCGAAGACGCAATGATCTCGTCTACGAACTACCTTGGTACACACTGGAAACAAGACGCGTTGTTCGTCGCGCGAACATGTTACGGACATTCTACGAGGCATGTTTTATAAGCGTGCATGAGCCAAACACTACGCATGATCATTATCTGTAAGCTACATGTTCTGTGTCTGTACCTGCCGAGTGTACACCGTCGTGATATGAAGCGAACATCGCAAGCACATGATAACTGTTCTTGCAATGTTCCGAGCACAACCACCGGGGGCATGTTTGGAGGTCAGACATGGCCTGATCATCACATGCACATTGGGCATGTGACATGCAAACAGAAGTTTTGTCCGTGCGATGTGTTGTTCTCCGAACATCTCAGAAACATGGCATGGTCGTGCGATGTCCTGAGGGATAACATCGAGGGAACCTTCACAATTCTTACGATGTCCATATAATGACCGAACTCCTGTCAACGCGCCCTGCCTCCCCCCCGGTGATACGCCCGTCAACGACACTGTGTTCTCCAGAGCGGCAAGCAAAAAGCGATGTTGTTTGCATAGTGGACGAGTAGTGTACAAAGATGACGACTAACAGCAACGACGAGCCGGAGGAAAGCACAAGGGATGAAGACGTGGCGTGAGTTTGCGTGACATCATAACCGAGTCGAGAGAGCCAGAGTGTGGTATAGCAGGGGGAGGCGTACGACGGATACTCGAGTGTGTAGTCAGCGGGGGTCATACGGTATCCGTGCTCGCCCGGTAGTCCTCCATCTCCTGGTCGAGTTGCTCCGCCGTGACTACCTTCCGCTGTTGCTGCTTTTGAATCCGCTTCGGCCCCTTTTTCGTCCGCAGCTTCGCCTTCGCGTTCCCCGCGAATATTGGCCGTTGGGCTGCTGCAGTTTTCGGGGCAGCTTTCTGGGTGGCCTTCGTGGCCTTCGGTTGTCTGCAGCGTACCGGTGTAGGTTGGTGGAACTCAGACGTCAGTATAAGAGGGGGCACTTACGCTGGCGCCTTGGCTGCTGTTCGTTGAGCCCCGGGAGCAGCATGTACGGATTTGGATGTTTGACCTATGCGTTCGAGCAGTGACAACGACTTCTTCTCGGGCGCGGCGGAGGGTATCTCATTGTCGTCCTTGATGATTTCAATCTTGATCGGTCGACCTGCGCGAATAACCCAATGAGTGAGCTTGGCCGAAGATGTCAGATACATAAGACATCATCCGAAATGATATTGGAGAGAATATGATAATTGAGGACGGGATATTGACACTCACGGCCATCAACGATCTTTCCATTATACTTCTCCCTCGCAAGGGCCGCGGATTCCGGTTTCGCAAATGCGACGACTGCCATGCCCTTACTCTTCCCTTGCGAGTTGTACACAATGAACGTGTCCTTCACGGGGCCGACCGTCTTCGCGAAGAGTATCTGCACCGGATCGCAGTCCATCAGTGCTCATCCTTTGCCTCCACCGTTCTCGGACTCGCCATCCTCCCGGTGGCACGCGGGACAGAGGGGAACACGGGCGTACCTCGACTTCGTTCTCGGCCACATCCATCGGGAGCTGGCTGAGCATGATCTTGCTCCCCTTCGCTGCTGCCGCTGCTGCGGGCCCTGCTCTCTTGCCGTTGGCCGTCGCGCCTGGCGCGGTGCGCCATGCGGGTGGGACTTGCGCTTGGTTGCCGAGTAGCTGTCTCTTTGAGTTGTGGTAACTGTGCAGGCGTGCGGGTGCTGGGTATGCTTGCATTGCCGGGTGCGTGGAAGGGAAGAAAATCGGCGTAGGGGTATGTGGTGTAGGCGATGGAGGTGAGAATGAGAGAGTCGAGGATGATTTTGAGGCCGCAACTTTGTCTGTGGCGGGCAGATATAGAGTGGCAGCCTCGCGGCGGTGGCACAGGCTCGAGAAGCACAGGCACGTGCGACGCGTGCCCAGCGTCAGACTCTCCGCGCCCTCACTTGACCGTGTCATTCAGTCTTATACCAGCCTTACCTCCGTTTCACTTTGCCTCGATATCTTCACCGCTGCGTACTCAATCCGTGCTACAGCACTTGGGCGTGGAAATTCCGTCGCCAATACACTCCTTCCACCTATTTACTGCGCGAACGCGCAACGGGCCGACGCTTAACTCACAGCGAGATGTCTACGGACCCATACCATGCCGTCCAGCAGGAAATACAGAGCTCCTTGCAGACCGCATCTACATTGCGCGCGTCATATCTACGGATACGGAGCACCGCGACAGACGACAGCGAGGAGCTCGTATGGGCGAGGAACGAGGTATGTAGCCAGTCCGAGTCGAGCACTGTACATACTGACTTGACGCGCGCCATGCGTTCTATAGTTGAAGGCCACTCTTGCGGCCCTTGAGGCCGATCTTGAGGACTTGGAGGAGAGCGTGAGGTCGGTGCTCATGCATTGCATCAAGCTGTCTACTGAGGCCATCCCAGAATTGTCGAACAGACGGGCGCACGGATGTTCGGCCTGGAGGAGTCAGAGCTCATGGAGAGGCAGAAATACGTTGGTCATGTGCGACGCGAGATTGAGGTATGTCACCGTCATGAATGTCTTCACCTTTGAGCTTCATTGACTCGCTGCTGACACGCAGCACCATGACAGACGATGAGAGCGGAAGTCGACTCGGATACCCAAGGAAGACGCTCAAGACCACATTCTCAGATCGGCTTGCCTGCACCCTCATCTCGCCTCAGCAGCCGCGCGACATCACCTGCCCCTGGCGACGACCAGGCAGAATGGGCGAAGCAAGAGCAGCAGGTCCGTGTGTTGTCCTGTATTGTCGTCTTCGCATTCGAAATTGACATGCATCACGGCCGATGCCAGATGATTATGCGTCAACAAGACCAGACATTGGACTCCATTGGCGGTACCTTGTCCACCCTGGCCGAGCAAGCAGGCCTCATGGGCCGTGAGATCATGGAACACAATGAGTACGTACATTCGCCTTATGCTGACGCCACTGAATGATTAAGTGCACCTTACGCGAAGGATGCTTGACGACCTGGAACAGGGCGTCGACAGCTCAGGTACCAAGCTGGATTCTGCCATGACACGAATGAAGCGATTCATACGGCAAACAGAAGGTGCGCTGCGGAGTGATAGTCTAGGAACGTCGTTCACGTCGTAAATGATTGACAGAGACGAAATCTGGCTGGTGCATCATCATCCTGATTGTCGTCCTTATGATACTTCTGCTGTTGGTGATTATCCTATAGCTGTTGTGGGGGTTTACGGTGCGGCATGGACTGGAGTATATTACATTGCTTATGGTGGAGGGACTGTTGTATTACGCTTATAATTGACAGATGTGTGCGGAGCATATGATGTAGTACCACCATCATTAGGCTCTCAGGACTGCTTCCCTACATAGGAACCGGGGGCTGAGTAGCAATACGTTGCCTATACGTACGCATAAGTAAGTAGCTCAGAGTCTCAGACTCGGATGCAACTGGGATGCAGCATTGTTTGAGTGCACGTGCTTGGTTGTTTGCGCGTTGTTTGGCGGTCCGCCGCGGGCGCCTACGTCTCGTTGAGGTTCGCGTTGACTGACGAGCCAGCCTCCTCACTCTCTTTCCTCTAGGTCTGTTTGCCGTCTGGGTACCGCGACGACGACGACGGCCGCAGCTGCACACATTCTATTCTACTACTCCTATAATCTACCTCACAAACCACATCTAGTTACTTGATGGCAACCATGACTACAATGGCTCCGGACAGCCCCCCTCGCGCGCCTCCGGTCAAATACCACACCCCTCTTGGAACTCGATGGCAGAAAGAGAAAGCAGCGGCGGGTAGCGGTGCATTTGACTTTCCGGACGACGCGAAGTACGTCGGACCTTGGGTCATTGGCGAGTGCGTCGGCAAGGGCGCGAGCGGGCATGTCAAGATCGCCAAGCACCGTCGGACTGGACAGCTCGCCGCCGTGAAGATCCTTCCACTGCAACCGTTCGTCAAGAACCGTGCGGACGCCGCTGCTCAGGCGAAGCTAGACAAGCAGCGTCTCGGCATTGACAGGGAGATCACTATGATGAAGCTCATGAACCACCCGAACATCATGCGCATCTACGACGTCTACGAAGGCGACAAGGAGCTCTATCTCATCTTGGAGTATGTCGAAGGCGGTGAGCTGTTTGACTTCCTTGTCAACCGCGGCAAGCTTCCCCCTCTGGAGGCTTTGGCGTACTTCAAGCAAGTCGTCTATGGTCTGAACTATGCGCACACGTTCTCTATCATCCACCGCGACCTCAAGCCCGAGAACATCCTCATCCACTCAATCAACCCTCCCCTGATCAAGATCGCTGACTGGGGAATGGCGGCGTTCGCTCCTCCTTCTCTGCAACTCGAGACTAGCTGTGGCAGCCCGCATTACGCGAGTCCGGAGATCGTCAACGGGCACAAGTACACTGGGACGGCGACTGATATATGGAGTTGCGGTGTGATTCTCTATGCACTTTTGACTGGAAGGCTGCCCTTCGACGACAAGAATGTCAGGACCCTCCTCAGCAAGGTCAAGGTGGGCAAGTACGATATGCCGACCTATATCGACCCGATGGCCAAGGACCTTCTGTCGCGCATGCTTGTGGTCGATGTCCAGAAGCGCATCACTGTATGTCTCTATTCGTCCGTGTTGCTCTCCTTTGACGAGGCACCTTGCAGATGGCTGAGATACTTACGCATCCCTGGCTCGAAGGCTCGACCCCTGGCATTACCTATGTCCCTGCGCCGCCTGTATCTGAGCTTGCTAAACCGCTGCCCTCTGCTCTGCACATCGACCGTGATCTATTTGAGTCTCTCTGCGTCATCTGGGGTCGCCACGCAGACGTAGACGGAATTCGGGCTGATCTGCTGAGCCCACCTGGGCAGGGTACTCTGGCTAAAGCATTCTACTTCCTGCTACAGAAGCATCGCGAGCGGACGATGGAAGAACACGGCATTTTCATGGATCTTGACGAGGTCCTGATTGTGACTGGCAAAGTGGTCACAAAGCAATATTCGACGCCGGGCTCGCGACGGTCGACTCACTTGGAGCCTCAGGATCTCAACCGCCAAGCAATACCCCAGCACCAGTTCTTGCGGTCCACTCGTGCTGCCCCCGCGCCTCCGTCTAGGACTCCATCGCCCAAGCCTGGTGCTCTTGTTGTTACGACTGATGTGCCCATGGAACGGTCGCCTTCCAGAGCGCATCCACCTTCTCCTGTTGGCCCCCGCCCGCAGAGAACTCGGCCTGCTTCTGCGTTCTCGCCCTCTGTTGCGAGACCTCAGACGAGCTTCGCCGCTCCCGCTCGCCAGCTCTTCCAGACAGGCATGAAGGGGCCGCTCTCGCCTCAGCCTTCGACGCAAGCTCATGCCCAAAGTCTCTTCCTTCCATACCAGCCCCGCGGGCCCGCGGCCCCGATGCGACGTGGCTCTGCACCTATTCCTATCCCGAGGGCTTCCGCCATGTCTCCTAACATCAATGACCCTGCTCGTGGTTACCGGGCGTCCATGGGCGCGCCAACTCACGGTATCATTCACTCGCCCGTTCCTGTTCGTGCCGCTGCTACATCCATCCTGCCAATGATCGCCGCTCCGAGGGTCCCGGATGCGGGTCTGCAGAGGAACCTTGATCAATATGCCGATATGATCAACACGCAAGCCGTCTCCTGGAACGCAGCACGCCCGTCGGCGCCGCCACCGACCAACGTCAACATGCCGGAGCCCATGGATGTGACTGACGCGCCGATTGAGACTGAACAGCCTCTTGGTGACAAACAGTCGCGCAGCGAGAGCAACGAGGCGCAGTGCGCTATGGTCATCGATGACAAGGAGAACTGGGACGCTGGTGCGCCTCATGCACGGTCGCATTCCCATGCGAACACTGGTGGTCTTGGCTTCGGGCAGTCGGTGCCTATGGCAAAGGAAATGGGGAATGTGGTGTTCTTCGGCGAGCCTCAGGCTGCGAAGGCGCCGAAGAAGGACAGAAGGAGCCGACGTAAGTGACGACGATCTCTGTAATTTGTGGCTTGCTTCATTCACTGTGTAATGTTCAGCTCCTGCTCTGGATCTTCACGGCACACCGGTTCTGCATAAGAGGTCGACATTCTCCATGGTTGGGTCTCCTGGTCTCATGTCGCCGCAGTCCTCCATGATCGGCTCTCCGGCGGGCGAGTTCAAGGGCTGGTTCTCCAATCTGTTCCACTGGAAGGTGCAGTCCTTCACGCTCTACTCCGCCGCGGACCTCTTCACCACTCGCGCCGAGATCGCGCGTCTGCTCGACCAGAGTGGCGTACTCTCAATGATCGAGGACCACCACAGCTGGTACACGCTGAAGTGCAGCACGGCTGACATCCAGGAAGGGCCTAGCGGCGCCTACAAGCAGGTCCGCTTCCGCGTCGACTTCGCCTCTGCCTCTGCCGGCCAACAATACGCTTCGCCCTCCACTGCCACCCCGCGTCTTTCTCAGACTGCTCTCCCTGCGCCGTCGAGCTCGTTCGGGGGCTCGAGGCTGCGGATGGACAAGTTCTTCGGGTACGAGACGGGCGTGGCTTTGGTGCTGGAGAAGGGCTCTGTCTCCACGTTCAAGGCGATCTGCCAGCGTGTCCGGGCGGAATGGAGGCTTGACGCGATGCAGTCTCCTAGGGGCGTGGGCCCGACGATAGGCTACACCCCCAGCATCGAGCAGCGGTTTTCTGCGTGAGACGGACGCGCGGTGCTTGCAAAGTACTAGAGTAACAGTTCGTGGATATGGAGTTACGTAGAACATTAGCCTACATCCTACCAACGCCGCTCGCTTCATACGGTACTCTCACAGCCTATCATCTTACCGCGCACGTAGCACACGACTGTGATATGTGCGTGGTATACACACTACGCGATGTAATATATATATTTCTCGAGGACAGTAAACACTACAATGTCATAATTGGAAATTGGATGCACGCATTGGCTGGACCGTGGACGAGCGCAAGGCAGGTAAGTACATGTCCGATGGGACGTTTGGACGCGGCATTCGACTGCCAGTCTGAGTCTCAACCTTTCAGCGATCCGTGGGGTCTTGTCCCGGGCCCCGCATTTGGCTTGCATGTGGGCACTCGCAGCATTCCTCACCGCGAGCGGAGCGATGAAGGCTACATAAGACGGGAGCTCCACGACAATCACGCGAGGTCGGATGGGGTGGAGAAGAAACCAGACGCGGAAGAAGTCGAAGAAGCGAACAACGAGGAGGAGGAAGGTGACCCAGACCCACCGCAGAACCGTGACGGATCGTGTGGTTGCTGCACGGCAGCGCCGTCCTATATAAATACCCTCTACTCAATTACCCATATCACACGCGACAAATTCGTGCACCCAGGGTGAAATGCCGACTTGCGACCTCGAGAGAAGGACACCGACTCTAGGACCGTACCATCCGTACCGTACCAGTACTACCACCGTCTTCCCCCTCTCTCTTCTCCCTTTTCTCCCCCGCATGCTATAACTTATCGCACATGTTTCATGCCTATCATGGACAGGCAGAATCGGCTGATTAAAACGCGCGACTCGGACGCGCACACCACTGGGTACGTATAAATCCCTCAACACATTGAATGCGCCCCTAAACCCGCCATCTACCGCTATATTAGTGCATAAGAATTATACCCATAGACTACGAATACACACGCCTGAATATAGATGCAGTATCCATCATCATCAAGTATGACTTGCATGTGGCGGCGGAATGGCGGCGAACTTCAAAACCTTCCCAATTTGGACAGCAGACTTTAGCCGGATGTGTGGGCGCTCTCAGGCTGCCTTCCTCGGAGTCCTCATAATCCCAGGATTTCCGCCTCTGCTGTGCTGGCAGGCATGTGGGTGAGTAACACGATTTGAGGATATGCCCGCCTGTGCTCAGCAGCATATGTAGTAGTGATCAACGTGCCTCAGACGGCGACGGCGACGCACGTCCGCCTCGTTTGAATACCGCAAGTACTGGGCCCTGGCACGATACACTCGGAGGTGTCAGCGGGACTAAGTAGTCTCTTTCGCCCGTAGTGCCTGCTTCTTCCCTGCCAGTGCTCACCGGACCCTACTGGACCTTAACTGGACCTCTGACGTGATGCATCACGCACAGCGATTATTGATGATCGTGGTAACGAGGGGCCTTGACACCGAAACCCATTCTCTCGGCCTCCACTGCAAGTTGCCCTGGTCACGACGCCCGCGTCAAGACTGAAGATTACACAGACAGTGGTATGGACCCACATGGAGTACTTGCTGTATCTTCATTCAATACCGCCGTGTTTGTTGAACGATTTCGCCTTTCTGGCACTATAGTAAGCTGACCAAATGTACAACACTAGTCTCCCCTAAGCAGACCCTAAAGAAGACCTCTTTGAGTGAGGGAGAGGACTAGTACAACACGCCGGCGCACCGTCGCCACCGCGCCCATTGGGCGTCGTCCGCTTGTCACTTACATAGCCGTTTAAATGGCTGCTGTGGGTCTGCTAAACTGATGTTCCACGCTTATTAGGCTTCCAAACAGCTGCCAGCTGCCATCACATTCTAGTCGCTCAATCCCGAGGGGACGTGTACTCGGATGCAGTCCTTGACAATGGACACCAACCTACAAGTCGAACAGTCCCAGAGTCACAGGGCGGGGGCAAAGGTTCGTCAATAAAGATGTATGCTCACTCAGTGTTCTCGTTCAAATCATAGATGTCCGTCGCTCTTTACTGCATGCGTCTGCGTCGAGGGACTCAAGGCGCTGCCTTTGTGCGCCTGAGCCTGGGATTCGGTTCTCGCGCCTGTCCCGAAAATATCGGTTCCTATATGCGTACTAGCACTGTTATGGCGGACACGTCGAGCAGCTCCGGACAGCCTGAGTATGGCCACGCTGGTGCGGACGTCCGACGAGCGGTAGAAGGCCGAATCGCCGTGAATGCGATGTCAAACCTTGTATGAACAATACGTTATCGGTTCGCGAAGTCTTCGGAGGAGTGGCTCTCTCGGCACATGCGTCTTGCAGTAGCTGACCGCGTTCGAGTATTTCCACTAGGATTGCATTTACCTGCAACATCGCAGTGGGTCTGTATAGTATCGATACCAAACTTGAAGGCTCCAGCCGCCGGCATCTTCCACTCCACACAGCGGGTGCCCGTCTGGGAACATGGGCGGCATGGAGAACTTCTAGATTCGCCGAACTACCGCCATTCAGTCCAAAGCCAGTCAAATTGAATATGGGCGGCTAGTAACCCTTGGGGACGACTTCGGTTAATGCGTCCTACAAATCTGATCTCGGGAAAACAGCCACGCATGCTGCTAGCCACCGTGTTACGATGCTGTCAACTAGCATGTCGGCGGCGGCATTCGCGCCCGCAGGCAAGAGTATCTTCTCGTGTCAACTACGACGGCGACCCCAGTACCCAGGCTTCGATGGTCCCCGTTGTTGACTTTGCTTCAACACACCATCCGTAGCACCTACGAGGCCCTGGCTTTGCGTATGCGCCTATGAGTACCACGGGAGACACCCTGGCAATACTTGCTAATCTCGCGCACGACCGGGGACTTCACGCGGGTAAGGCCGTTTACACGCCGTTAATCTTAATAATGCTCAATTGACTCCTTCATCTCAGCTGCAGCATTGACATGGCTGGCCTACGACTATGTGTTATCGCTTGAGGACGAGGTTCGTGCATCGGTAATCATGCTGGAACCTACTCTGAAGCTCGCGTTCATAGGTGGATCTGATATGGAGGTAGGGTGAGAGCCTTGCATATTGGTTCGCCTCGTCTAACCTCGCCCTCGGAGTTCTGCGGATACGGTCCCGAAGCTTCTTTACTTCATTTCACGATATTTCGGCCTTATCGTACAATGGTCAGTCGAAGACATTCGTTTTGATTCAGATGCTCGTGCTGACAAAATGTACTTGTAGCATGAATTGCGCTGACATACCAAGACTATAGTACGGCTCCAGATTTTCTCTACTGATCATAGCGCTCAATGTCGACATAGCTGTCGAGCTGCGCTGATATGGACTGCCATGTAAGTCATGGAAAGGTAACACAAGCATAGGCGACGCTCACGCCCGAACCCAGTGCTCTCTATACCCTGGTATTTTGCGTCGAGTTCAGCCTGATGCTTAGGATTTACGCGCTGTACGGGCAAAGTCGATTGAGTAAGGTTTCGCGCATCTTTCAGAACGCAGTCAGATGCTGATCGACTGGCTAGTCTTCTTGATTCTCAGCAGTGCATTTGCTGGTCGGTGCAGTCCATAGCTTCTGCCCGTGTATTGCACTTACATAGTTCCGGTGATCATAGTGGAAACATTGGTCAGAAAGCAGATCAATCATTGCGTAAATGGCTTACCACTCAATATCTGGCCTACAGTGCGTTCTTGTCATGAGCAGCGTGGGCTACAAGGAGATGTTCTGGGCGATCATGCCGTATCCTTCAAGTTGGCCGATCGAGGGGTGTTTCTACCCACCGACCCCTTCATGGTTTCACGGATCCTGGTGAGTCGCATACTCCTTCTCAACATGGCTTTGATAAACGGATGCGTTCCAGGCTACCTTTAGCAGGATTTGAGAGTAAGTCTGTTATATGACGTCGGCATATTGTCCTCATCGAGGCCTTCTGACGCTCGAAATGGATAGCCCTCCTTTTTGTCCTGATGGCTATCAAAGTCTACTCGTATCGACCACTAGGGGAGCTTCCCATCCTGCTGCGCGTACTTCGGGACGGCACCATATATTACCTTGTGTGAGGCGTCGAACTTCTGTGTTCATGCTTACAGAAGATGCTAACTTCGAATGTGCTCCAGCATACTCGGCAAGTCAACCCATGACTTGTCCTTCGAGTTGCTTCTGACCGTGAATACCCACCAGTCGCCTTAATTCTGTGTATTATCTCGCCCTACACGTCCAACACATTCCTCGGAGTCATGGTGACTGTGTGCGTATCTGCTCTCCTCATTGTGAAATCGGCTGACCGTCGATTAGCTGGCTATCCGCAATATTGTCATTCTCGGTAACGACGTTCTCTACGCACTTCTGTGTCATTCGCACCGTTGACTTGAAGATAATTTCCCCAGGGCGCTCACCTCCTTCTCAGCCTCCGCGCTCTCGCCGCAGAGCGCGAACGACTGGACATTGCCACACCGGACATATCCGAAGACGTGCCAGAGATCAGCCAAGGCCTGAGCATCCCCGACACCGACGCTCAGCGGTCGCCACTGGAGATTCACGAGCTCATGCCCCGCCTGCCGCAGCCCGCCCGTTCCCTTCGACGGCCTGTGACAGACCGTCGGACGCAAGAATCCCGACGTCAACAATTGAGCAGGAATCCAACTTGGTTACAGGACTGGGAGTGCATATAGTGATCTACATTTACTGACAGTGATACCGAACTTTTCTTGAACACCAGCGGAACTGCTGTTTACACGTATAATCGTCGTAATGCTACTATCCTGATACGAATGCTTTCGCCATCATGTTGCTCGATCGCTCAACCTACTTATGTATCATACCATACTTTTTTGAGGCTGCCCCACTAGTAGTCAATAACACGAGACAGTTGCTAGACGGACTACGTACCACCATGATCTTCCTCAGCCTCGAGTCAGCTGCGCGTGGTGTCACCACACACTTAAACCCAAGATTGCCAAGCATTCGGAGAAACAATAAGATTAGGCACTACTTACGAGGGCGTATGTACACACTTATATACAGTAGACAGGCAGCCGAGAGGAATAAGAGCATATTTACGACATGACAGACACAAGCAAAGCGAACAAGCCCATCAACTCAGCTGCGCGACGTTCCCACCAGGGATAGGACCGGAGGTGGCGTCCAGAGGCGTACCAGCAGGCACCTCGTTAACTCTCGCGCCTTGACCGTTCGTAGCCAAGGCCGTCTGTGCCTGCTGGGCAGCACCGACGAGGTTGGCAGGCGAGCCGCCGTTCGCGTTCTTTGTGAGCTCAGAGCGCACGTTCTCGAGCATCTTCCGCAGGCCGACCCGCTCGCTGACGAGCGCCATCCGTGCGCTTTCGAGACTCCGCCGCTCGTCCTCGAGCAGCTCCTCGAGTTCCTCGAACTGCGCCATCTTCAGCTCGAGCTTGGTCAGCGTGAGCTTGATCAGCGTCGCGATCGTGGACTTGATCTGATTGTCCTCGGCGTCTGCGAGCGCGTTTGCTGCTTTCGCGGACGACTTGAGTGCCAGAGCCGCTGCGCGTTGCACCTTCGAGTGAGGAAGGGTGGCAGTGGGTTTTGGCGGTGCGGACTCAGAGTCGACAACCATCGAGTCTCCAGACGTCTCTTGTGCCGTTGAATTCTCGCCGCCGGTGGATTCACCAGGCTGAGCGGAAGATGTATCTTTTGGCGCGTCCTCGTCCATACGATCCTCGCTGAACTTCTCGGCACTCGAATTCCCTACCTCCGTCTCTCCGCCCTCCGCAGGCTTCTCTTCCGTCTTGCCCTCCTCCGTCTCCTCCTTATCGCCATCGGTGAGCGCGTGGAGAGCTGTCTTAGCTGCTTCCGCAGCAACGCCAGGGTTAATCACGCCAGCCAGGAAGGCGACTACGCTCATGACGGGGTTGTCCGCCTGCTCGAAGGGCAGCCGCGCATATCGCAATGGGCCCATGTTACCCTCCGTCTGGACATACGGGTCCTCGATCGGGAGCTGCAAGAACTTGCGGATGCACTGCTGGGCAGATCTCGAGCCGACGTGCTCCTCGACTGCCGACCAGTCGTCGTCGTACATCTCCACACCCTCGAGCAGGAGCAAGATTTCCTGGTCCGTCCAGTCGTCGTCCGCACCAGTGCCACTCCCGTGTTGTAGGCCGCCTGCGTTCGACGCGGCTGTGAGCTTCACAAAGTCACCGCTGAACATCGTCGAGGGGAAGCGCCCGTCGAGATAGCATGGCGGGCAGAGCTCAAAGTTCTTCTGCTTGAGCGAGTGGTACCGCTCCGCCGTACAGTCGACCCCACACGTGTCGCATTGGTACTTGACCGCTATCTGCCGCTCGACGCCGTTAAGTCCGTTCGCGGTGCTGGCGAGGGCGCTCGCTTCGCCTGCGCTCACTTCGCGTGACGATTTTGAGGTGGTCTGGTAGATAGACGAGCGGAGCTCGAGGGAGGCGAGAGTAGGGGTCGATGCTGGCTTCGCTGCGCCGTTGACGGTGGGCGCACCGCCGGCTGGATTTGGTGGATTTGGTGGCTTCGTCCCTGGGTGCAGGGATTGGAGGCCCCGTGGCGTGTCAAGAATGACACGGAAGTGGCCGGTGAAGGGGGGTGCCAGAGCAGCTGGCCGTTGGTCCGGGTCGATCTAGAATAAAATTCGTCCCAGATACACGTTCAGAAGGCAGTGAGCACGTACCTGGTAGTTGATGAGGCCCCATTGCTCGAGGAACGCGTGCACCCGCATGATCGCGCATACGTCTCCTGCGAGGTTTCTGCGACACGCAGTCACAGTGAGATACTCGGTGGGTCGCAGCCGGTATGTGTTGACCATGAAGTCGCGGTAGTCTTTGTAGATCGAAGGCGTTTTCGATCGGTGCCGAGAGTTGAAGTATTCGGGAAGGGCACGCCGCTCAATTGGGTGTATCTTGGACATGTCGAACCAAGCGGAATACGAGGGTATAATGACTTCGTGCGTCTGGGCAGCGAGATACTTTCGTGCTTGGTCCTCGAGTCGTAGCCTTGTCGCCTCAAGCTGAGCGGGGTCTTCCTCGTCGTTCTCATCTGCTGACTCTGCCTCCTCGTCACCCGCGTCGCCGCCCTCCGCCATGGACACGTCTCCGCCATCCTCTTCTCCTTCCCCCTTTAGCAAGCGCGCAGGGACCGCTGAGGCAGGCTCGCTTGAACTTGCAGGCGCATCTGGCGGGGGAAGATTCCCGACGTCTCCTCCTTGGACGGGTTCTAGTTCGCTTCGTTTTCCAGCAGCATTGTCAGGGTCGACTGGTGTCGCCCCTTGGTTTACAGTCAGTCGGATCCGCTTCGCGTCGGGATTGCTTGGTTGTGGCGAGGCGGTACGCTTCGGCGAGGACATTGCAGTCAAGAGAGCAGACGGTAGTTAAAACAACACCGTTGCTTAGGCCAAAAAATGAAAAAGATGAGCCAGTCAGACCGGGGAGGAAGGGGAGCTTGGCTGGAGGTTTGAACGATTGAACGAACGGCGAGCGCTGCAGATGGGCGCGACGACTGGCGTGACTGGCGCGTCGTGACTGTGTTACACGTGACACTCTTCCCTAAGTCACAGTGGGCGTCGATCTGCTACGGCCTCCCACTTGCCCACGTACTCGTCGTCCTCCGCTGGCACGCTTCGTCCTCCCGAATGCCTCAGCTATCCAGGCAGTTTCAGCGAGCGCAATACTCACGTAGGATTGATTGAAATTCCGGTGCTTCCGGAGATCTCAGCGAGAGAGGCAAATTAGCTAGCGGGTTGCGTGGTACGCATAAATCGCATGCTAAATCTGAAGAAATGTATCGTCTCATTCGTTACGGCGACAGTGTATGGCTACGTATGCACTCAGAGGCGCATCATGGCGTTCACTCCTCGCACGCACGTCTCTGGAGACTTTGGCAGCGTCTCTGCGTCCTCGCGCGTGGTCACTCGCCGCATCGTCAAAGCAATACTTCAGCCTTTCCGGGGAACCACCTACGATGCAGGCCATGAAACAGATGAATTACCCGAAGCTCCCCGCCGACTCGTCGATTTTTGAAGGGGCTGAGGAGGACTATCAAGCTTGGCTAGGTGCTGTTCAGACGCATACACCTCGTGCGACGGCCGACATGCCAGCGCAGCTCATTGCCCAAGGAAATTTCGAGGAAGCGGAACGCTTACGGAACGAAATGCAAGAAATGCGGCTCCGACCTAGCGGCTCACCAGTGTTTTTGGACGCAGCGCTGCACGTCCTTCGCACGAAGTACTCCAGCCTGCATGAGCGACGCACTGCCTTCCAGAAGTGGTATGCATACATTCCTCACGTCTCGGCCAAACGTCCGTTGTCTTATCGGACGAATCCCGTCTTGGACGCGCTACTTCAGAACCCCATCATCGATCTTCCCCTGCTGAAGGTGTTCGTCCTCACGAACGTAGGCAAAGGGTATTTCCTGCTCGGACACGTTGATATTGTGCGCGACTTCGTCCGCCTTGCGGAACCTGCGGACAGCGTACGCTTCCTTGATGCGTTGTATGACAAATCCGTTCAGGGACTCGGAACCATATCTTTTTATGAACAATCGCGCCCATCTAGCAACACCAATACGCGGATCCCTCTGTCCACGGAACGCGCAAGAGCCAGGATGAACAGGATGCTGAAGGAAGCCTATGGAACTGCAATTAATCAATTTTGCAAGTCGGACCGGACTGACGTAGCGATCACTATGCTCCAGAAGGCGCGGCAGAGAAACATTCCGGTGCATGCGCTCATCTACTCGCGCATCATCGACAAGCTGGAGAGTACCTTGGATACTCAGAACTTGTCGCTTGTGAAGCAGCTCTACGAAGACAGGCCAGCAGGTAGCCCAGCCCCTCCGAGTCTGCGACCAGCCCGATCTCTAGAGTTTCGCAACACCCCTATCCAACTGTCCGACCACAACAACTTCTTCACGCGACCCCTCCTAGCGGGCGCACTCCGCATCCTACGCCGACACATATCTACCCTCTCTTGCCCGAACCCCAGTGTCCTCATGCACGTGGTGTCCGCCTGCACCCGCTTCCGCCACCCTCGCATCCTATCAATCCTGCGTAAGAGAGCATACAGAAACACGCACACCGCCATGATTTGGGCCCTGGCCGAGATGCACTTCTACTATTCGTGCCGCTGCTCGCAGGCCGTCAGCCTCGTCTTCTGCAACAACTTCCGTATGGTCGGCATCCCTCGCCAGGCATCCCACTATGCGTGGTTCATACGCGATGGCCGCATCCCCGATTGGTTCCCGCCGCCTGTGTCGATATGGCATGCACAGGCTATGACATCGCTATTCCCCGTCAAGCGCAAGATGTGGCCATCGTCCCACCACACGGCTCTTGTCTGGCGCGCTTGCGTCAAGGAGGTTAAGCACACGATGTCGTTGCATCGGCTGTATGCGGAGTTACTGGATCAAGTGAGGGCCACTCGAGAGGTCAAGAGTCTGTCTCCGCCCGAGTCCGCGCAGAAAGGAAGCTCCTCGGCTTCCGCCAGCCACTCCGTGCTCCCTGCTGGCATTCAGCCTGCGGTTACAGAGTCACCCTACCCGGTGCCGGTTCCACCGTCGTACATCTACGACGATGCCCACTTCAACGTGTTCGTACGCGCCTTCGGGAAGACGAACTCTGCCGCCGCTGCGCGGGTCGTTGCCGACATGTATCGACTGGGCATCACTCCGGGCGTGGAGACCATGGTTTCCCTCCTCCGCTCTTTCGCGGAACGTAGAGACACGGACAAGTTGATGCAGCTCTTTGGGCGGATGGAGGCGACAGCCGACGCGGAAGCCGCACGCGGCGACAGCGTTACCGCGGCCTCGAATACGAGGGCAGCCCTTCCGCCCCCGAACCTCGCCGCGTACCTCGTCGTCGTCAAGCACTTGACCATCCATCATCGACTGAAGGATGCATCAGACGTCGCTCGGCGCATGCTTACACGGCTGGAGTACCAGCTCGGCACGAGTACCACCGCGGACCGGTTGCTCGTCAAGCTCGTGAACCTGCTCTCTATAGCTGAGGGCAAGTTTAGGGAGGACGGTGGGGCGGTTGAGCTGATCGCTGCTATCCGTACCGCGCAGAAGGCCCCGAGTTCGTTGATGGATGTCTTGGAACCCTCGTCGCTGCAATAGCGGTCTTTTATCCTGTGGCGTGGGTCATCGCTTGTCACGGGCATGTCAAGGCATTCCGGTGCTCAGGATAATACTCGGGCCACGGCGATCGTGAATAGCGGGCGCTCATCGTCTCGCGTACCAGACAAGGATGGATGGCCATGTCATATCCGGTCGCGACGTGGGTCGCTGTGGCGTGATCGTCGCGCACGTCCGTGCCCTGCGGCTAGGTGGCGGCCCAATGACGGCGAAGAGATGGAGAGGCGGATCCAACGTACTTAGACGACGGCCTGCGCATCAAGGTGACCCGTCTGATGGAGAGCTGGATCCTGGGATCACTTGTGATGGGTACGTGTAGGTGCCCGTTGGTGCGGAGCCTACCGTGGTACATGTCGCTACACTGACAGCAAACGCAAAGGCTGGCGTTCGGATGCCTCTCCTCGGTTGATGTACCATAATAGTGCGTATCAGCGAAGATCCCTCTGAAGAAGGCCTCGGTGAGCCGTTCGTGCCGATGTCTTGACTGCCTATCTTGCCAGTCCGAGCGTGCTATCGCATGTACATATGATCTGGTACGCTTGTACTCGACTTGAAGTAGCGTTTCGTGTGCACTCCCAGTATCAGAAGCCAGGTTCACGTCCTTGGTTTTCCATGCGGAATGTTCAGTATCCCTAATTCATCCGTCTAGCTTCCGATTACAGCTCTACTCATGCACTGTACACACGGTGATAGGAGGCGCATGGGCCGCGATCACAAGCCTCAGATACGTTTGAGGACAGTCTTCGGGTCAGGTGAGTTAACTGTCGCATCCTTTTGCTCGAGGAGTGGGGGCGTTTACTCGGAGAAATGGTAGTCACGAGAGTGCGGATGCTGCTGTTACTTTCTCAAGTAAACCCGGCCATGCCAGGCATCATGATCCTCCCCTGCTGCAGCACATGAGAACACATGGGAGTAGACTTGTCGATGACTGATCACGAACTCACACAATCCCTGTATTCCTGGTCAGCGGGAAGAGACGAGCGACAGCACGGGGAACTCGTTCGTCGGCATATATAACTCGGCGGTCTACAGAGGGACTAAGTTCTAGCTACTGCTCGTACTTTTGGCAAGACTTGCCTCCGTGGACGCGCGAGCCGGACGAGATGGACTTTATCGCATTGACGCTCGGATGTCTGGCTGCCATCCCTGTGGCAGCTTCATATACCATCCCAAGTTCCGGCGGAAGCGATATAACGCTGCTGTACTACAACGATGTCGATGGTGAGCCATCTTGGCAATTACTGTCTACCTATTGCTAACGGTTTGTTCGCAGTTCATACCGCGTCTGAGCACCAAAGTGTACTCCTCCTGTCTCCACTCTTGAATTCAGAAGCAGATTCTGCATGCGCTAGTTTGGGAGAAACGCTCCTTCCGGTCAACGAGTCGTTCTACCACACGGAGCTAATTCCATCGCTCCAATATCAGGTTTACCAGGGCCACTACAGCGAAGCCCAGTTGTATTGGATCCAATCGACTGGTAGCTCCTGCGAAGCAGTCAACTCACTTGGCTTCGTCGTGCCAGCTCCCTGCGCGCTCCAACTGCCAGCACTCTGCAGTCAGAGTGCACAGTTCGGTGCTTCTCCTGAACCAGCGAACTCTCTCACCGTTCAGGCTAACGACCTGACAATCACTGGGTACGCGCGAGCATCCGGAGATTCCTCGTCGTTTTTTATCTTACGTTCTGCTATTCTAGCTATCGTGATCAACTGTCATTCCGCTTCGAAGGCATCCCATATGCTGATCCTCCCGAGCGATTCACGTATCCGACAACATGGACAGGGAGCAAAACCTTGAACGCGACAGCATTTGGGTCCGAATGCGTCCAGTCTGGCGTCCCCAATGGCAGCGAGGATTGCCTTTTTCTCAACGTCTGGACGCCATACATCCCAGAGGACCCGTCCACCGCTCCCTCTTCGAAGCTAAAGCCAGTCTTCTTCTGGATTCATGGCGGTGCCTTCACGGGCGGCACCGGATCCGACCCGACGTTCGCGGGCGGCAACATGGCGTCGCGCGGGGACGTCGTCGTCGTCACGATCAACTATCGTCTATCCACCCTCGGCTTCCTCGCTCTCGAGGATGGGAAGACGAACGGGAACTTCGGGCTTGCTGACCAGGTCGCGGCGCTGGACTGGGTCAGAGAATACATCACGGCGTTCGGCGGGGACCCCGATCGCATCACGATATTCGGGCAGTCTGCTGGCGCGGGCTCCGTACGCGCCCTCTTAGGCTCGCCGCAGGCAATTGGCAAATTCGCCGCGGCGATCCCAATGAGCAACTTGGCGGGTTCGGACTATGCGACGACGTACTCGCTGTACTACACCATCCCTGAGGAAGTGACCGCAGTAGTGGAACCGATCTTGGAGGAAATTGGGTGCAATGCAACGGATGCGGCTGGTGCCCTTGCATGTCTGAAGGCCTACGACGCATACGAACTCGTCACTTTGACCAACGTAGCGAGGTTTGTGGGCCGCATTGCACTATTCGCCCTACTTACTTTGTTCGAACAGATTCGTCGTGGTCGATGGAACGTACGTGACCAGGACGGGTTTGATCGTCAATGGCACAGCGAGTCCAGTAGCAAATGTACATACCATGATGGGCTACATGCGGGACGATGGTGCAGCGTTCATCGGATATCCGGTAAGCCTCCCTTACCCTCGTCCACTTAGCGGAATGATCTTACCTTACGCATCAGAACACTACCAACCTGACTGCAGCGCTCATTGCGCAGTCGCTTCCTACCGCTGTGGTCGACAACTCGCTGTTTCCCGTACAGACTGGACCGAACGCAACCTACGACGTCTTCAACGTCACTGCCGGGGTGGCGACGGATGTAGAGTTCCGGTGCCTTGACCAAGCAACGGCGTACTACGCCGTTCAACACAACCTTTTCCAGAGCGTGTGGTTCTACGAGTTCAACCGGAGCTATCAATCAGCTGGATGGAGCCCGAACTATCCTGTTTGCAACGCACCTGTCAGCGATGAATTCCCGTATGGCGATCCTTCCCAAGAGTATTTCAAGTGGGTTTTGTTTGTCACACGTATGTTGTGAAGATACACTGAAGTATTGTCACCATCCAGATGTCATTCAGGAGAGCTGTACTACGTGTTCGGCAGTCTACCGAGCACGTCCCCTTACCGCGACGAACTTGACCTTCCTTTCATGCAGCGTACGATCGATGTGTGGACTTCCTTCGCGCGCACTTATAATCCGAACCCGGACCCAGCGTATCTGGCAGTCCGGTGGTACAACAACACGCTTGCTGCCATCTACGCAGAGGAGCCTTGGGAACCAGTCACCTCTGCGAACCTGAACACGGCGCCGTTGCGGACGTTGCAGTGGACTAGCTTCATGGGTCCATTCGCGGAGCAGGCGCAATGCGATTACTTGGATTACTCTTTGGATTATTACGTCTGAGGTGTGTGGTTCCTGAACAGGCTTTCAAGAATCCAGGAAGTTGCATAGTACGGGCGGCTTAGCAGTCAATGGGCTGTGCAAGATTGTCTCGAAGGGTTCAGTCGAGTCCGAGTAATTATGGTCCACGTATGGCATGACATCGTCCACATAATGACAGAGGCGTGCGCGTGATTGACAGAAAGCTACGGATATCTCTATACCTGCAGGAGAACGTTTGAAGGTGAGTTTCTTGCTGGGCCTTTTTATGTTTAAGTCTCCGACTCCTGGCTCCTCGCTAACCTGATTAAATGCAAGGCCCCCTCCTCCCGTGCATAGGTACTTGGGTCCTCTACTCGGAGTGCATTGGCCCTGATACAGCGAAACCAACCAATAGCTGTGTGTATAACCGCCGTATGCCAGGGTACAGGCCTAATGCGTGGCAGCAAGGCGAGGGTAATGTACATACCAGTAGCATCACTGAGAACACGGTTATATTGCGTGCCAATTACAACAAGACTCGCCAAACCAAGGGGCATCGTTCTATCGTGATACACGTCGAGTCATTTCCTTCGTGAAGGGTTAAGGGATCATATACATGCACGACAAAGCACATCAATCGGAGCAAGCGCACTCGCATTAGCGATAAATAACTGAGCAGCGATCATGAATGGCATAAGAGTCCGAAGTCACATCACATCTCGTTCTTGATCATTATACTGAAACAGTGTTCGCAGAACGGCAGGCCGTCTCTCTGGAAGAAGGACGGGTTCTCAAATGGCTGGTCACAACCCTGAAGAGACACATGCACGACGATCAGCAACGCAACATCAGCGCGCGCATCAAGAGGAGACGCACCGCGCATGTGAAGCACTCCCAGCAGTACTTCCCGCCCAGCGCCTCCACCGCCCTCATCCCATCCCTGATGGGCTTCTTGCACTTCTTGCACTTGGGCAGGCGCAAGCGCACGTGACACTGTTCGCAGTACGGGTGTCCGCGGTAGACGGTGAACCCCACATCGCCTTCCCCACTGCTGAAGTCGCCGTCTCCCGAGAACGTCTGCCCGCCTAAGCACAGAATGAGCACGGAAGTCCGAAAACACATATCTGATCAGACACGCACCTCCGGCTGGCCGGAATGAACTCCCTTTAGGATCCATGAACGGGTCCCCGCACTCTGCGCAGAAGAAGTGCTGCTGGTGGTATGTGCGCTTGCCTAGCTCGTGGTCGTCCAGCGTGATGAAGCGCTCGTCGATGATCGACGTCTTGCAATGGTAACACTTGGGCGCGAACGCCTGCACCAGCCACGTTAGAAACTCACGCTACACACTATTCCAGGGATGGGCGAAGCTCCGGAATGAAACGCACCTCGTGGTAGTCCAAGTTGCAGTATGCCCTCCCCTCGTGCTCGTAGCTGCTCAGGTTCTCCAGCAGCTCGTCGCACACGCAGCACCGGAAGCACCCCGGGTGCCACTTCGCCTGCATCGCATACACCGTCCTTCCAACGATCGCGCCCCCGCACCCTCCGCACGTCAGCCCAGGGCCCTTCCTGATAACCCGCTCGAGCGGGCTCCTCGAACCGACTTTCTTCGCCTTCCTCGACGCGCCACCGATGCTAATCTGCGGCACCGACGAGTCGTCATCCGCGTCCCCAACCGAGATGCTCGGAATTGGCGGGGCGTCGTCATCGGCACCCGATATGTTGATGATAGGCCCACCAACATCGTCGTCACTCGAGCCCGACACGCTGATGGAGATCGCTGGCACACCGGAAGCCACACCATCGCTGTCCGAACCCGAGTCCGAGTCCGCATTCGCAGGGAAAGACACCTTAGGAATTGGCTGGCGGGCTCCTGCCCTGATAGTGTTCGGTTCGAAGGTGCCATTGGCGGCCGGTACGGGTGTCCTGTTATTCTGGGTGCGGCTAAGCGAGTCCTTGCGCGGGGGCCGGGCCACGACCGGCGGAGGCGGCTGCGGGAAGGACGACAGAGTGAAGACCGAGCCGACGGAGTCCCTGGAGCGTAGCGGGGGGCGTGTGGGGGGAGACGAGGCGACGACGGGGGAGGGCGAAACGATGGGTGGATGTGGCGGGGCGAATGGAGGCGGCGGCGGGAAGGACGAGAGAGTAAAGACGGAGCTGTCCGACACACCAGACTGCGGGGGCGTTGCGGAAGCGGGCGACTCGTACGGCGTGTGCGCCGAACGGGCTGGCCGGGGCCGTGTCAGTTCGTCTGTACGTATCGACGGTCGCCTCGCGCCGCGAAGGGGGCTGGTTGGTGCCGGTCGCACAGGGGACGGGGAGCGTCGGAGAGAGGGGGGCGGCGCATCGTCGAGGCTCTCCAGTGCAGCCGGTGCGCGAGGTAGCTGCGGCAAGCCTGCAGGCCAGCGTCTCGTTATGGGCGGCGCGTATTGCTGCGCCGGGACAGTCGGCACGGACTGGGAATGACCGTGGCGTGACGGTGGGCGTGGGTCCAAGTCCACATTGCCTCCAGGGTCGTGCAGGGACATTTCTGCAAACCGCGAGGTCGCGCTTCGTTGCGTGGTATTCGAGTCTCTGCTTGCGCTCGAACGGATCTGCGATGGGAGATCTCGAATGCCGTATTGCGGGCTCGAGCGACCTGCCCAGTCCTGTGGACGCGAAAGCAACGCACTCCCAGCGATGTCATCATCATCAGAGCTCTCTGCAGAACCTTCCCGTGCACCGGGCGATGGACTCGGCGAACGGACGAGGGGTCGTCCGTTAGGCTGTGGCAGTTTCCGAGGAGGCGAGCTTGTCTGGCCTGCAGACGGTTGCTGTGACTGGTGCCCGGACTGGCTCCGGGACTGACTACCTGGTGACTGTGGCAGCGGACGTACTGACGGTGGTGGAGTTGGTGCGGGGCCCGACACAGTACTCCGTCGCTCGACTTGCGGTTGGCCTGGCGTAGGTAGGGCACGCTTCCAGTGCGGTACGAACCTCTGACCAGACGGGGTACCGAGCGGGAGTACGGCCTCGGCAACGCTTCGCGCCTGCGCAATGGGATGCGGGGAGGCCATCTGCGCCTCGGCGAACGTACGCTTGGTCGGGCTGGGACTTCGCGCAAGGTTCGGTTGCCCAAGGGACCGCGGTAACGCTGGTTGAGGAAGGGGACGAGGAGGACTTACCGCGACGGTCGGCTTCGGTTGTGGTGCCCGAGGCGACGTAGGAGTGGTGGGTCGCGCAGGTGTCGGAATGGAAGAGACCGAGAGGGATGTCCTGTGAGTAGGCGCAGGCGGACCAGGAGATGGCGTTGGTTGAAGCGGCGGGTGGGTAGAGATGGAGTTACTCCGTGCTGCGCGTCCCGGGTCGGGCAGCGGTCGTCTCGTAGGTCCAGGCGACGGTGTCGTATGTCGCGGAAGGGCACCGTGTTGTTCGAATGAGGGTGCGTAGCTTGCCTGTGGTGAAAATGTAGGCAGGGCAGCATACTGAGGATGTGGAGGATGTCCGTAGGCAATGGCCTGTGGTTGGGCAGGCAGAGGCGACTGTGCAGCATGCGCAGCAATTCCAGCGTGCGCATGCCCGGGATATGTTGTAGCGGCATGAGAGTAGGCAGCGTTCACGTTCACATGGTTATAGATCTGCTGCTGAGGGAGCTGCGGCTGTTGCTTGAGGTAAGCCTGGTACGGATAGGACTGAGTTCTAGGGTCATACTGCGTCGCCATCCCAGGCTGGGGGTAAGTGTACGCGTTGTGCGCCATGATTATAGCACCCTACTCCTTTCAAACATCAATCGACAGCTACGAGGCCAGCAGAGACGAGAACGACCAGGAGAAGGTAGACTGGTAAGATCTGTAGCATAAGAGACCGGTCTCATTGCTTAGACGCCTCGCCTGCATCAATTCCCACCCGCCAGTTGCCCGCCGTTCTCAGATCAAGGCGGCACTGGCAGTGGGCGGCCGGCGGGCCAGCGCGAGGATCTGCCATCCTCTCAACGTACATTGAGCAAAGTGACCACAGAGAGAGAGCATCGGAAACAGTTGACTTCTTGGCAGATCAACCTCGATTCAAAGAACCCCCATGTATCTCAGTTGTATCCGGTAGTACAATGACTCGGATGCATCGTAAGTACACGAAATCACCGGGCCCGTAATAGTTCAATGAATAACCAAAGTATTCGCGCTGCGATTGCTCGGCAAATCCGGTGTTGACATCCGTCCACTGGAGCGTTCTGAGCGCAGATGTATAGAAGTTGGACGTCGTGACCTGTTCTCAACTTGAAGGAGCCTCTGTGTTGACCGCCGCAAGTGTCTCGCTGTAACCTCGGACAGTCAGATATTCCGCATCAGGGTTCGGATTGTACGTGCGCGCGAACGCCGTCCAGAGGTCCACTACGCGCTGCATGGAGGGTAGGTCCTGGTCATCGCGGTAGGGTTGAAGATCGCCGAGACCACCCCATACGTACATCACCTCGCCAGAGTGACATATATAATATAGTGAAACACAGTCAGTCAATCCGGTTACTCGTGTGCATGAATAGCGAAGCTATTCGTACTTGAAGTATTCCTGGGACGGGTCACCGTACGGATATTCAGCAGTAGTCAGGGCTGCGCAAACAGGGTAGTTGGGGCTGTATGCAGGTGTCTGGTAGCTTCGGTTGAACTGATAGTACCACACGCTTTCAAATCTGTTGTGCATGACACCAGACCACGCCGTGGCTTGGTCAAGGCATCGGAATTCAACGTCCGTCGCGGCCCTCGCCGTCACATTGAAGACAACGAATCTGACGTTTGGCCCCGTGGAATATGGCTCGAAGAGAGGATTGTTGGCCACACCTGTCGGGAGATATTGTGCTGCCAGAGCGGCGGCCACATTCGTGGTCGTCTAAGGGCTGAATGAGCAACAGATGGACATGCCATGCATTGGGACAGCATACCGGGTGTCCGATGAACACTGCACCATCATCTCGCATGTTACCCACCATGATATGCACATTGGCGACGTGCCCAGTACCGTTGAGGATAAGTTCATCCGTATTGATGATCGTGCCGTCTACGACATTATACCTCAAAACCTTCGATGAGTACGCTCGTTCGGATGAAGCGACTGGCCAAACGAACCTAGCTACATCGTCCAGAGTGACGAGGCTATAAGCGCCATAATCCCTCAGGCAGCGTATCAAAGGCGCCGCAACCGAGCTCCTCAAGAATGGGGTCCACCGCGACGGACACCTCTAAAGCGAGTACGTCGTCGCGTAGTCCGAGCCCGCCAAGTTGCTCATCGGGATAGCCGCTGCGAACTTGCCAATTGTCTGCGGGGAGCCCAACATCGCGCGCACGGACCCCGCCCCCGCCGACTGCCCGAAGATCGTGATACGACTCGGGTCGCCGCCGAACGCAGTGATGTACTGCCTGACCCAGTCGAGCGCCAGGATCTGGTCAGCAATGCCAAAGTTGCCGTTCGTTTGCCCATCTTCGAGCGCGAGGAAGCCGAGCGTAGAGAGTCGGTAGTTAATCGTCACGATGACGACGTCGCCACAAGAGGGTATGTTCCCTCCATCGGACTGAGACCCCGCTCCGCTCGTGAAGGCTCCGCCGTGAATCCAGAACATGACCGGATTCAGGCTGTCCCATTCTGCGGGATGTACGGGCTATAGATGTTGAGGAAGAAGCAGTCCTCACTGCCGTAAGGCGGTGGGACACCTGACTGGATCCACTCTGGCCCGTATGCTGTCGCGTTGAGTGCAGGATTCCCTGAGTACATCGTGGAGTAAGTGAAGCGCCCCGGGGCATTGGCGTACGGAATGCCCTCGAATCGGAACGAGGCTTGATCATGGTAGCTGGTATCAACACACGTCAGAATTCTAGCTATCAGGCTCACGGCCAGAACTCCGGACACGGATGTACCCAGTGATAGTCAGGTTGCTGGCGTAGACAGTGATCTCGTTCGTCGGCTCTGCGGCAGCGCCGATCGCTGAGCTCTGGCTGCAGAACGCAGGCAAGACCGTATCGCAGGAGACGGAGGAGACGTATCCCTGGACATTGACCGCCTGGCACGCGGTTCCTGATGAAGCGACCCAGTACAGCTGAGAATCTGGATAGGCTCTCATACGTTAGGTATCCAAGGGAATGCACGAGTTCCGTGGTGAAGAACGTCTCGTTGACCGGGAGAAGTGCTTCCGCTAGCGCCTCGCATGCAGTCGCTGCATCTGCTTCCGTCTTGGGGGACAGGAGCAAAGTGCTTTGATGCGTAGACGACGTGTACGCTGCATGGAAGGGCATCAGTTTCAAAGGAACAAAACGACGCGAGTGACTTACAATCGAGGTCATTGTACTAGTACAACAATGTGATGTCGCTGCCAACCGAACTCGGTGATGGGATGATGAAAGAGCTCGCCAGAGGGGCGATCGAGGCCAGGGTCAGGGCAAGGAATGCCACATTGCAACTTTGGTTCCAACGATGTCGACGTTCCGCCTGTGGAGCAGCAGAGGCTGGAGGTGAAAGTGAGCTATATAATGACTGCCTCCCTTCATATTTTCTCCGCTTCTCGGGCAAAGTGGTCGGCGGATAATGAAATGAGTGGCACGGCGTCTTACCATGGGTTCCAAGACAGCACGGAGTTACCCAGGCTACGCGAGTGCAACCGGGAAGAGTGTTCCCTCCACGTTGAGAGCACACTCGTGAATGGAACATTTCTCCGAGTAAAACCCCTTACCATAGAGACGGCCAAATTGCAGTCCGGTACAAAGGATACTGTGTATCAATACTTCAGTGCTGCCTTCTCACGAGGAGTCATCGGGCGGTCGAACATAGAACCGGGAGAGGAAATGCTTGCGGGAGCTGGCTAACAATGGATCGAGCTTCGATATTAGCAAGTACAGTGTGAAGTCTGAGATCATGAGTACGTACCCATACTATCTGAGTGCTTGAATTGAGAACTGCGAAGTTCGATTTCAATTCCAGGGCCCGTATCAACGAGTAGTGGTGCATCTGTTCTGGAGAATCGCTATAGCTGGAAGGATGCTCGTTATAGAACATTGGTACATTCCCGTAGATCTGCACGAGGCCATGACGCTTCGGCGAATAGCTTGGGCGTACATGAGATTTTGAGGTCTATATAGCACGGACGAGCATGGACTATCACCAGCCAGGAGGGCATAGTCAGTGTGCATTGTCGAGTCTGCAACATAATTAATATTAATTTAGCATGCCGACAGCCAACCGGGCTGTGTATAAAATACTGGCGAAAGGAAGACATGAATATCGTGCTGAGATGGCTCCGCTTCTCTGCTGCATCGGTAGATACCTAGTTCCTTGGGATCTGACTTTCAAGTTCGTCGTCCGTGGTCGCTCGTTTCCTCCGCCTTGGCGCACAGCAGCGCACGGTACGGCGTGTCTTTCCAAAGGCGGAAAACGCGCCAAAGACAGATCTGGAAGCGCTTCGCATGGTTTGACGAGGATTGCTGAAACAGTCGAACAGCTGCGGGACCTTGTCCTGGAGGCTCTGCGCCGACCACAAGTCGAAAACGACAGTGAGCAAGATGCAGAGTGAGACGATGGCGAAGATGAACCCGCTGAGCAGGCGAGTCCATAAGCCTGTCCCTGCTAAGCAGACCCATGTGATCGCGATGTAGAAGGCCCCCATCCTATGTACAATGTGAGCTCAGGCGATATTGATGAACAGGTATCGTCGAGACATACCCCCAGAGAAACAGTACGCTTGGCAAACTGAAAGAGATGGCCACAATCTCTAGACCATACCGCATATTCGCTCTGCCGTCAAGATAATTTGACTAGGCGGTAGAGTTTACAATGTCGTTCAACTAGCATACACGTTCAGAAGCTGGCACACGTACCGCCGATTCTGCAGTCATGTGCGCATCCAAGCGGTGTTCCCGAGAGAGAATAGTACACAAGATGATGTTGCCGAGGCTGAGGAATGTGGATATATAGCTCGCAATTTGCGCCATACTCCGGTCCGAATGGTTCGTGTCGATACTTTGGATAGCCAGTAACCCGACGTTGGCGGTCAACAATACAGTTGCCTACGGGATCCAGATGAACAAAACCACATCTCAAGTATGCGATGGCACTCACGGGGGTGATGGAGGTCTCCCAATCTTTTTGAAGATTAGTGATGAAGGCTTTCCATGGCTGATAGTTCACCGTTCGGTCTACCCAGATTTTTTGTAGCTCACCGAGATACTGGAGCGGTAGATTGAAGAACAGAGGGGATACCCATCGCAGCAGTCGCGAGGGTTTACGAGTAGATTGCTCGTACGTACTCCTATGCCGCTCTAGGCGGGCTTCACGTTCACCATGCATGTTTACAAAGCGATCCCAGGCTGCGACCATGTGAGATCTCTTGGTAAACTGCATAATTTGATGCATCAAACTCACTGAGAACAAACATAGTGCGCGCTGAGGGATAGAAATGATATCAGCGTTCACCGCCAACTGCAGAACAACAAGTCTTCTCACCTAACACCCACATCGAAGGAGCCCCAGAGTCAACTGGGAAACCGTGTCGCCGTTCCTCAGACTTATGACAGAGGAATATGCGACGTTGTTTACCTTCAATGTTCCGCGTGGCCGTTGATATCTTCTGCAGGTCGTCATAATCCCAAGAAGATGTTGATGTGGTAGACGTCGTAACATCTGTGCACACATCAATCAGAGTATGACTCAGTCATAGACGTTTTGGAGCGATCTCACCGAAGGCAAGGGTGTTCAGAGTCTCATTGACTTCGTCGAGCAACTCCTTCGACACAGAGCGCCCATGAGGAAAAAGGTACACGTGTTGCCTGTTTCTATTCAATCAACGGAGACGACGGACATTCCTGGTCAGATCTGAGTGAGCTTCTAGTATGCTGGTGGGACGAGACACCTACCCCGGAGATACTGACCAATAGAGTGATTGGACTGCATTCCCTATCCACACCTGTGTGAATCGGACATGGGAAGTAAAGGAAGGTACGTGGTCAATTGCTCACTGAGATAGAATAGGTCGCTTATAGGCCGAGCGTCGCCGCTAATCAGAGCTGAGTCCACTTCGTCCAACCAAAAGACGGAGCGTGTTGTCTCGCTGACGAGGTAATACAAGCATTCCGTCTCGTCTCGTTCATTTTGGCACAGGTATAGGACTACCTCGGTATCTGTCGGTAGACCTTGTGATATTGATAGCTCAGACCGCAACATGTCAGCAAATGCATCGAGATCTCGTGAAGCAGCCGAATCGTCCATCCAATGGTCAGTGTGGTAGCGTATATTCTGGGTTGATAACAAGTCATTATCAGTAATGATCTCTCGCTCGAAGGCTTGACACATACGTACATTTATTATCTTCGTGAAGTATACGTGACCCTCAGGATGCTCTTGACGCTTCCACAGTGATTCTGAGTCAGGCCTATGCAGAATGGAACTCAGAAGAGACTCGAGGTATGACGGGTACGTGCTCACTGTCTGAATGATGAGGTCATCGGGGGTACTTTGTCAATTGATATTGTCCAACAGGAAGGATCGCTGAAGAATATTCTAACGTTAGCAGAGCTGTTGAAGGAACGTGGCCTGAAGCTGTCACTCACAAACGGTGTCTGCATTCGTATCTCGCCTTCGATACCAACTCGGGGGTGGTCGGCTGCGGTCTACTAGGACCTGAGCGTTGGTGTTGCGTATTGCCAGAGGCATCATTTGTGGGCACCGCCATCCCACTGATTGGTACAGCGGCATTATCACGCGCGTCGAACTGCTGGTGCTCTGTTGCACCCGGATTCGCCCATGTCGGCAAGGTGATCGAGTCAGGATCCTCCCCCGACAAGCGATCATGATGTACGCGGCGGCAGGAGGAAGGAGAGGTAGAACGAGCCCGTAGAATGCTGTTCTCTTCAGGTACCGCATGACTATTGGCAAGAGAGGTGTTACTGGGACTCCTTGACAGGCTAGTCGTCCCTGCGTGTGGCGTTGGTGACTTGAAGAGAACGAAGAAACCCATGTCGTAAGCTGTGATAGTTTCGAGTAGTGCACTGTGAGCTACGTCGTAGGGCTTGAGACACGGGTACCGGGACAGAGCAGACTATGTGTACTCCCCTTTTCATCGCCATTCATTGAATAGGACAGCCGTTACACACGAGGCAGTCACGGCCTCGAATCATCGTATTACCGCCGTGTGCAGCGATTGGTCAGAATGACATCAGCAGCTCAACGGTGTCCTCCATACTCATAAGTAAGTGGATTGCCGCAGGACTGTAGCTGGATAGCAGCATAGGTTTCCCAGGCTATTTCCCACAGGATAACACCTGGTTCCAGCGTACCGAGTACAACTGTAGTACGTACCACAGTACTGCACAGTAGACAGCCCTACTACCTGAGCGTTGGAACCACAATCCGGATACTCACTGCCCTGAGACTGTCATCACAGCCCCGTGCGATTTACCTGTCTGGCTTGCGAATTAGATATATCTAGGACGCGTCGGCCACCCGCGAAGCCTGTGTTCCTTATGACGGATTCCTCGATAGGACCTGGAATAGTGTGGAACAGTACAGCGTGGCTGTTATGATCCCAGTAATGCTAGTCAAGTATGTGCGGAAGCATCACTCATCGAAAGTGGTCTTGAATGCTGGACAGTTGATGGACCACAGAACATAATATTAGAGGACGGACCTTCCTGTACATTGAGACACGGTCGAGCGCACCCGCCCTTACTAAGATATACTCTTTATTCAGCTGTACTGGTCCAAGTGTGGTGCGAAGTCAAGATACGCGTACGAATGCAGGTGGGTGCCACTATGACCGAGGAGGAGGTAGTCCGGAAGACGCGGCGCCAATTTCCGTGAGCCCGGTGAGAGGGTCGAGTTTGCCGCTGAACGCAGGAAGGTATGCGGCGTTGGTATACGGACACCGCACAGACGACGAGCCCTTGTAGATGGGCGTGTAGCTTGCGGCGCAGATCTCGAATTCAGTGAATTCGTCGTAGGATATCTCCACGGCGTCACGCGGGTTACGGTCACCAGCCGCAATCCGTTGGCGAGCCTTGCAGACGACCACGTCAACACAGACCAAAAGAAGAAGAAAGTTCAGCATACCTGCGCTACAATTTTGGGATCAGGGTTGAGCTCCAACAGTCGTCGGGCGAACCTTGCTGCGGTGACGTGGTTGTTCGCTTTCGCGAAGACGCCAATGGCACTGCGCAGCGCGATCTGCAGATGTGGTGGCGCGAGCTTACAGTGCGTGAAGTACGCCGCGAGCTCCAGGCTTCGCCGAACGTTGTCTGGCTCGTCCTTGGTGACTCGTCTGCGCTCCACTTCCAAGCTCACACCCAGGAGGTACTCCTTGGACATGGTGACCATGTCCCGCCACTAAGAAAATCATCAGCATTCGTGTATATGCAGCTGCAATCATAGTACGCACGAGTTTAGCGTCTTCGTCGGAGGCGATCGGTACGAGCAGAAGCTCGCGTAGTACAGAGCGGAAAGCGTCCTGCGCTTCCGGCAGTTTTGCACCAGAAAGTAGTCGGCACCCCTCGGTAATTTCTGCGCGTAACGCGGCGAGCGTTTTGACAGCGACAGGCAGCACTCTGCTCGAAGACGATTCTTGCGGGTTGCGCCTCAAATGCAGCTGCAAGGGAGGCAATGATGCGAGAGGCGAAAGATAGACGTGCGCTGAGCGATAGGTGGAGAGGAAGAGCGGCTTGAGGTGCACGAAGTTGACCACACCGAACTGTCTACTCAGTAACTGTCAGAAATATCGTCAGCGCTGTGAACACACGGATCCACTAGTGGCACCCACCTGCATAGCCGTGTCAAACGAACCGGCCGCAATGTGATCACCAGCGAACGGCGAGTTGCGCGTCCAAAGTTCCGTCTCGCTGATACCAGGTGCGGCGCCTGCTCCAAGCTCAACCTCCTCCTCTGGAAGTTCCTCCTCCTCCTCTTCTTCTGGCTCAAGCTCGTCAGCATCGGGGGCGAGGTCCCACGCATCTTCCTCCACTTCGGCCTCCTCCTCTTCCTCCTCTTCCTTGGCCCATTCATCAAGAGCCGAAGACGCGGTAGCACCTGTCGTGTCGTGACCGTTCATGTATGGTGCCGGCGCACCGTCTTCCAGATGACCATTAGCGAGTGCACGGTCCCAGAAGCTGTCACCGGTCAAGACCGAGGGCCAGGTCAGGTGTTCAATTGGAGTGACCACTGGCGGGGGTCGCAATGTAGAGGGACCGAACGCCGGGATGTCATCAACGTCCGCTTCAGTGAGGCCAGCAGCCTCGAGGATCTGCAGAGCGATGTCGTCGAACCCGTTTGTCTTCGCCGTGAGATAAGCAAGAGGATCTGTCGAGACATTAGCCGTGTGGTTCAAAGACTGACAGGAGGACGCACGAAGGCCGACGTCTCGCAGCACAGCGATGCGTCCCAAAATGTCGCCCGAATACAGCGCGTTGTGGAATCGAGACATAGGATCACCCCTCGAATCAGCGATCTTCTGCATCTTGAGCAGTTTGTCGGCGCTTCCCGTAGCGAGGTATAAGAAGGACAGGCGGTCGAAATTCTTCGTTTGCTGGAAGGCCTTCTCGACGATCTACAAGGCGTATGTCAGAATCCATGCATCATACAATAGAACGGAAATCAGATACCTTATGATTACCCTGTTTCAGAGCTTGCTGCGCCAATCGCTCCCAACATTCTGGTCGATCAAGTGCGCGGGCCATCTCCGAAGCGACTTCAATGTTCCCGCACTCAATCGCAAGGTCGAATCGCGTGTTCTTGTCTTGGACGAAATGTAATGCAATCTACGATTCGTGGTCAGATCGCTAATGCACTACAGTAACGATGCGGGCATACCTCAGGGAAACCCTTTGTTGCAGGTACGCGATGATACTCTGACCCAATAGATTCGACGTGCGGATAACATGCAACATCTCCTCATGATTGTTTCGCAACAGTGCCAGTTTGAAGCGGTATTCAGTCGGGTCGATGGTGATGGTCCTGGGGCGTGCAGATCGGTCTAGGCAGTGGACGGTCTTTCCCTTGACGCGCGTCAAGTAAACAGGGTTATCAAGCGTGCAGATGACGCCGTGGTCCCTGCAGTACGGTCAAATGAGGGCGACCGTCGTGACATAAAGCAGGCTTACGCACCCCTGTGCAAGACAGTACTTGATGTGGTTCAACGTCGAGTATATGAACACGCCGGAGTCATCCCAAGCACCAGACTTGATCCGAATCGTTTCGTGAATGAGGGTATGCTGCGAGAAATTCTTGTTCGCGATGGTGATCGCTATGAAATGCTCGTCAACGAATTATCAGAGTGAAATGTAATAGATGCGTACTGTGCTTGCTGAGAAGGGCGACCAATGTACCGTCCGGGCTCCACACAACATACTTGACCGGCGGAGTAGTGATCTCCGCGAGCTTCTTCTGCTGTTGGATATCATAAAGTAGCACCGACGTCGCCGAGCTGAGAATGAGGCTCGCAGTTCCGCCATAGAAGATCTCGTTCGTCTGGACCGGCGGCTTGATAGACTTGACAATAGAATTTTGCAGGTCGCGCACTTCAATCAACTATAGAATGTATCGATGAATTACCATGTTTTGAAGCTGAGTCAAGGCGAGACAAACCTGGGTGGTCTTGTTCAAGACCGCGAATCTATTCCTGGCGACGAAGATGGCGGCATGGCCACTTCCACGCTTGCCGTCTGTAGACGAGTCCTTCACCTCCCCGACGGCATCCTTCGGCAGGGCCGTGAGCTCGAACAGGCCATTGTCCGACGAAATCGTCAACACGACGGCACGCTCCGCAGGGTTATAGCTCAGCGTTCGCGGGGGGACGTACGGGCTCCCGAACTTGCGGACGCTGAGCAGACCGAGATCCGAACCGGTGTTGATGTCGTACGAGCGCACATACTTGTCCCGCACGTAGAAGACAGAGTCGCCATGCACAGCGAAGGCCGGTCGCTCACGCTCAAGCTTGAAGACGATCAAGCCATTGTCGTGGCCTACGACTACGTCAGTACAGGACGGACGCAAAACCAAAAGAAACGCACCCGCTGCGAATAGGTTCAACTCGGGATGGGCAGCAAGGGTCCAGAAGCGGTCATTCTCCCGTCGGAATGTCTGCACGGCAGATCGTTTCGTTAGGTCCCACACCCGTACGGTCTTGTCTTCGCCGCATGACACAATGAGCTCATGCTTGGGATGGAACAGCGCTGTCGACACATTGTTGAAGTGTCCCCTGCATGCGTCGACCTCCCAGGCCTTCGTGTCGCTCATACGCCAGATCTTGATTTGCCGGTCGTCCGCAGCAGAAACGATGAGAGGGAGGGTAGGGTGGAACGTCGCGTAGTTAACACCGCGGTCATGGCCTTCAAGTACGTACTTGACGGTCGAGAAGGTGTCGAAAGTATCGAAAGTGCCGCCTGGTGCCGAGTTCGGGGTGCTCTTCCTTAGACCTGAGATGTCCCAGACACGCACAGTCTGGTCTTGCGACGCGGAGACGACCAAATCCTCCTTCGGATGGAACTGCGCGGACATAACATAGTGTGAATGTCCAGTAAGGATGGCAATACAGTTGCGCGACGTGCTATTCCAGATACGGATAGTTTGATCGTCCGAAGCTGAAATCTAGGAGAGATTTCAGCGAAACGCCAACAACAAAAAACAGCTACCCACGATCCAAGGCATCTCATGGTGGAACTGCACAGTGCGAACATAATCCAGGTGACCGTGAAGCGTGAAGAGGCAGCGACGGTTCTGAGGCCGAATGTCTGCAGCCTGTCAGGAAGCGCATACACGGAGACGCGACTAGAACGTACCCCAAACTTTGATTTTGTAATCGTCTCCTCCAGTCACCAGCAACGCACGGCTCGGATGGATGTGTACACCGCGAACCGGGCCTTCATAGCTCGTGAACACACAGCCAGGGCAAGTAGTACAAGAGACGCGCACCTTCGTGTTCCTCAAACCTGTCCACCAACACACCCATCCGGTAGTTCCACAGTTGCACGCTCCCATTATGCAAAGACGCTGCGAGGAGAGGCTGAGTCGGATGGAACGCCAGGCCTCGTACTGACTTAGTTTCAGCGTGCTCGCCAGCTGCGAGGAGATGGTCGCAAACCTTTCACTCTATTGCTCTTTGACTCGAATTTTGTGAGCATAACAGACATGGTGGGCAAGAGAGCGATTGTAAAAGATCTAGAGTAAAGAGTATGCCAGAGAAGGCCGCTGGCGACGGCGGCGACGTGGTGTTTGCTGTGCGCGCAAGTTACAGCGTATACGGTGCAGTAGCGCCACGTGGCCTGCCCAGTCTTTCCAAATGTGGCAATCATCATCCACTTTCAGGGCGACCGACCGTCTCCGACCGTTCTGTTCAGTGTTCAGCTCAGCATCTAGACTGGACAAAGGAATAATGGTGAATACCATCGCATAAGCTTGGGGGAGTTCAGCGAGCCCAGAGTACAAAAGTAGTCTCATCGCGGGTGCGCGCTGACTTTGAACGGTCGACGCACCAGCACGTTATGTAACGTTCTATATGAACCAAGCTGAATGAGACATGGTACAACTCGCTGTGACTCCTGCAAACCTCCACAGAACAGACACGGCCGTCGATTCAAAAAATGGGTGATACGATGTCTATCGGTACAGGAATTGAGGGTTCGTGATAGTGCTGCTCGTCCGTAAGTACCTGGTAAGTACTGTCCATTGGTGTGTGCTATGAATTAAGTCTAATTGTAAGCATTGCAGGCGTAACGTAGTGTGCACCAAAATGAGTCATGCTGCCTGAGGATTATCGCTGAAGAAATTGCCAGACAGTGCAGAGGTATGATCGAATTCTTGCATCGCCTCGCGGTGGAGTCCATAGTTGCCCAACACTCGCATCACTTCCTCCTCGTCATACTCCTTGGGCTGCAGCAGCTCCGCGTCTGGTGTCGGCGGTAATGTCTGGAACACTGTCCGCGCGAGGCTGACTTGAGCGAGATATGTGGTGGGGTCTACCCTCGGTGTGTATCGCGGCTCGCATTCCAGCATGCGCTCGATGGAGCCGTGCGCGCGGATGAAACGAAGAGCGCGGGCGGGACCAACGTTCTTGATCCGCTGGGAAAAGTCGGTCCCAAGAAGCAGCGCGAAATCGATGAAGCCAGCACGGTCCAGCTGCAGTGTTGAACGTACATCTGTGCCCGATATCACGTATAAAGGCCCGTTCCGATTGGCAATGTTTCGTATGAGAGGAGCCTCGTAGACGAGGACGTCCTATGAACGAAGATAGTCAGTCTTCATTCAATAGAGCAAGGGTGAAGGTGCTGTACGGTGTCTTCGCTTGCAACATAGTCTGCATGTCCATGCAAGACCAGCGAGGAAGCAAGCGCCTCTGCTTCGAATGGCCCCGTTGATTCAATGCATGGTACTCCCATGGCACGGAGGATCTCTTTGCTCTCCTCATACGTCTCTGTCGTAGGCGGATGTGTCCGTCGCTCATACGACTGAGAGATGACATTGCTCTTCTCCGCTAGTGCAGCAAGTCGACATTCAGCGCCGCCCGTAATCCGCTCGGTCGGTCGAGTCTCTGATAGATGATCCCATAACTCGCCCTCTTCCGTTGTGAGTTCGTTTTGTCGCTTCGACATCGCGTGAACTGTCAAAGCTTCGTCGTGAAGGGCAGCCTTCTCTTGCTCCGAGATTACCTCGCCCGCCGTCGCAGCCGGGGCAGTCGCGGGCAATGCAGCTAATTTCGGAAGGCTTTGGCGAAACTGGAAGTACAGTGAAGCCAACGCCAACGGGATGTCCTTCGGATCAGGAAGAGGTATATTGTAGTTGGCTTCAAGGCGGAAAGCCTCCGTAGCGGCTTCACGGTGTACCTCGTCTGCTCCATGAGTGGACGATAGTTCCTTGAAGTCGCCGTGCAAACTCGAGCTTTTGGGGGTCTCGGTGTCGATATATAGCCCTTGAATGAATCGTCCTTCCGAGAGGATACCTTCAGGTTTGTCAATGACACCGTCCAGGTCCACATCGTGCTCTGCGTCGAAACCGTCGCCGTCCAGGTCGTGCTCCCCACATGCCTCTTCTTCCTCTGCCTCTTCCTCCTCCACAAAGTCTTCTTCGTCCACCTCTTCCTGATCAATCGCAGCTGCCTGTAGGACGTCGTCTGCTGAGCGGACTTCGAGCGCATCTTCGTTGGCCGATGACAAGATACCTCTATCGGCGCCCGAAGCGCACTGGCTGACGAACGTGGCAGCAGTATCTCGCTTGAGCACCTCGGAGACGTCAGAACTGTCGAGCTGTCCAAATGCTTCGTAGGGCGTTATGAAGTTTCGGATAATATGCTTCGGCAATTCTGGTTCCTTGACTGTCCTCCAAGGTTCGACGGCAGGGAGCCACGACGGTATCGAGGGTGGATGGGAGGGTACGGCGTCAGGATGTCTCGTTAATTCCCGTAGAGTGCCTGCGATCTGCTCTTGCGCTGAACTGCCCAGCGTTCGCAGCATCTGCAGCAGGCCAGCGAGCTTCCGCAACCGCTCCAGACGTTCGAGCTCAAGAGCGCCACGAGCTGAAGTGAGCCTGCGGACGTGCCGTCTTCGTTCCATCTTATCAATAAGTCAGGGACATATCGACACGCATGTATTATAGACACACCTCCAACTCCTTCGCTAGACTGCGCTCCTTCCCATCAAAGACGCAGATAGCACGCACGTCGCACTCCATGAGCTCCTTCATGATGCGATACCAGCCCAGCACATGCCGATGGCGATGAGGCATGGGCGAGAAATGCAGACGTTGGGTAATGAGCGTGCCATCGCTGCACCCGGGTGAGTTCTGGCACGAGGGTACGATCGAAGGGCACTCACATAACCACAGTCTTCCCACACAAATCTCGCAACCGATGAGGAAGGGTCTTGATAACTTCAGGGCTGCGGCCAGTGAGTGCGACGTCATGTACCTATGCAAGTTTTACGGCTCACCAGGTCTTCTGAATGAACGGTGTCAAGCCCAAAACTCCCATACGAATATGAGCTCACTAACCAAGGTACTATCCGGATATGCAGTCCATGCAATGATGACCAAACAACCCTTAGAACCGAGAGAGGTGATCACTACTGTGGAGGGAGCGAATAAAGCCTGGTCGCCACTGTGGCTCGGGATGGGTCCGAGTCGGCGCCACCGCAATGTACCACATTCGGTAAGCCGTCTAGAACGTACGTACACCAGTTCAGGACCGAGTTGTTTCAACTGTCTCACATAGTAAGTCGAAGGTCTCAATCCAGATGCAAAGAGGAACAACTGGACTATATGTCTTCGAGATAATGGTGTTTATTTCACAGATATGCGGAAGTATCGAGGACATTGCGGCCCCGGGCCGGCTGCTGCTCAGGCAGTGGCAAGGCGGCGACTCGGAGCAAAGGACGAGAAGCAAATATGTACTCAACCGGCCGAGAGGCCCTGATATCATTGACTCATGCTGGAGTTCATCCATTGAAGCTGAGGTTTGTAAAACTCCCAAAGCGGCTTGACTGACAAAATTGCGCAGAGAACAACCATGAATGATTACTATACGCCGAAGCAATATCCAAGCACTGAACAGTCTTCACTCGAGCCTACGTGATCGGCCCCTCGTTTCCCTTGATCTACGAAACATAGAACGACGCGGTTTGAGAGTATATGTCGTTATCGTTGCTGTCATAGCAATTAATAATGCACCCCAACAGGGTGAAGATGAAGGCACTAACGTCACATTCACTGCGTTCAAGACGTAAAGTCTTCCATGCCAGTATCGTCAAGTAATGCTTTGACTAGCGCAATGAATTGAAGACTTACCCATCGCTGACATCGGGTACAGTGAACGACACCGATCCCTCGGCGGTTGAGACATCGGCAACGAGCGCAAAGGTTTCCGGCGGGGCTTGTCGCGCTGTGGATTGGAGCAGCAAGGAGAAACTGGCAGGATCTCCGGACTGGCTTTGCCAGTTCTCAGTGAGCGTCTCTCCTTGATAATACCGATAAGTCAGATTATGGAGTTGGAGAGCATTGGCGGTGGAAAAGAGCAGAACCAACGAGCTACATAGTTGCTGAGTATGAGTATTCAAATGCCTGCTGATCACCACAGTGACGCTGCCACGTACCTCAGAGCCAGCTTCAACATTGTTTACGATGGAAGAGGTGGCCACTGAAGTGTGCGTGTAGTTCTTGCCGGGCGTTCAATGTTCACACCCCATGTTCACACCCCAAGTGCACGGTTTATATACACTTCGAATGAACTCCGCGTATTCGGGGTAGTTCGCCGAAAGCAGCTAGGAGTGGGACCATCCGAATGAGCGCGCATAGACGGGGAACTTTGCCCTATGGGGCCGTACCGACAGCCTGTGCCACGACACTGCAGTTCTAGTAGCCGTCTGTAAATAGCCGTAGGGGCCGCATGAGACCGAGCTTAAGATCACGTACGTTAGATGAATGCAGGACACGACGGACTTCCTCTCCGTGACAGATTCGCACCTCTATTGGCCTGAGTGAGTCGCATCGCCACAAAACGACGCTGGAATATTAGCGTGTTTTTGACAGACAGTCGACGATGCGATGTCCACTCATGAATGCTATGATGCAATGAGTCGGCACCCTCTGGGAATTTCCCAGAGGGTGCCGACCAGTGGGAATTGGTACCATGAGTCGTCGCCTCTGTTCACTTGTCTTGGTCAACACGTAGGCGTAGAGCTATTGGTTCATCGAGTGGAACGGATCGCAGCCTAATAGACGAACCACAGCACCTTGTAACCCACGAACGTGCGAAGGTCCGACTATGCACGGTTTCACGCAGTTGTACTAGGGCCTCGGCGCCCGCGATTGGAAAGAGGGTATAGCTCGCCGTTCTCGACAAGTATCTTTCAAATAGCATTCCCTGCTTGCGTCCAGGCCTCAATAGATAGTTATATGACTCATTGAACCACGCACGGTGTGATGAGGTTCCAATCCCTTTGGTCATACCTGTTAACTTGAAGTAGACGGTTAATTCGGGACAGTAAAATTTGAGTGAGTCTCGTCGCTGCATGTTTCGAAGCAGACGCTGTCTTCAACATCCAGACTATTCGAGACTGCAGACGACTACCAATGTCTGCCCTCAACGAAACCAAGGAGTGCATGAATTCAGCGATCAACGACACCATAGCGATTGAGCTCTACAATGTGCAGATGCGGCCTTGTAACCACCCAACCACGCAACACGCCTGCTCGACGATCACATGGGAGAGTACACTAGTCAATGACGAAGCGGCCGCTTGTAGCGTAAACCTGTTTGATGCTTGTGAACCAACGGCGCATCAGCAACTGCATTACGGTACGCAACCATGGCTTACTGACTCTTCGCTCACTGCGTAAATGGACCATTCCCTGTTAAATAATTAACGTGGTAATTGTCAGCACATTCAGTACAACTACGAAGTGCGAAAGCATACCCCTTCGGTACATCAGGGACAGCGAAGGTGATCTGTCCGAGGTGCGTTGGTACGTCCGCAGCAACCAGCACGGTCTCAGTGGATCCGTAGAGCCGCAGGTAGAACGAGGCTGGGTCTCCGGGCGCGCTGACCCAGGTCTCGGTCACGCTCTCTCCAACGCTCCACGGAGCAGTGGGTGTTGAGATATTCAGCGCGTTCGCCGCGGCGAAGAGCAGGGCCATGGAACTATATCGATGAAGTGTTAGTATTGGTATTGCTCGAGTATCAGACATTACCTTATTGCGAGCTTCATCTAGACTGATTCTGGAGTCGACGGTTGTACTGACCCAGGTCTATGTTATCAACGGCTTTTATATCAGTTCATCCTGAAACGGACAACGCGTATGCGAGGTCGCAGGCAGAGGTTTTCGAAGGACCTGTCACCGAGAGGGAGCGGAGGTAGTCAGAAATTCACTAAGCGGGACCCTTCCGAGCCTTCCACACTAGTTTCATCGTATGTCCGACAGATTAGCGGCGTTCATAGACCGCGGAAGGCGGGTTCCTCCATCGTGTTCTGTCCACGAGACAGCAATTCAATGGCTGCCACATACGAGCGACGCAAAGTCCTACGCGACAGTGAAGGACTCGTCATGGGACGGCCATGCGAGGCGACCTACAAAAGACGGATATGAACTCGATCTGTTTCAGGCGAGTCCTCAGGCCTCAGGCGGCTCCCCGTGTGAGCTCCGTGCCCGGGTGAGAAAGGGGGAAGCAGCGAATTTCTCGCGTCGGCTGTACATTGCCTTGCAAACGTCAACGCTTCCGTGAGGTTACCTCAGGCTTTTGACGCACAACGGATTACGAAACGCGGGCCAACACTGCGTTGATCAAAGTTGCTTCACGCCACGATCTGCTACCTAAAGTGATGTCATCCATGAAGGTGTGTATAGTGTAAAGGACTCACTGTATGTTGTTGTATTGTTCGAAACCGATTGAAACGCGCTCTTGAAGCCAATAGTTACCATGTTGTTGCCGACGACTCAGATGTACGTCGGAATGTCAGACGGCAGATTTATTACGTTGTACGACGAAGAAGAATACAATCGGTGACACATTTGTCTTTTCGTGTAGTCATGAACAGTGCTGACTCGACTGTCATCGAAGTTTGTGCGGCAAGTCAGCGACGTGACAGCTGAGTAGGGACAACAGGACCCCGTACAAACCAAGCCTTGCACCTTCACTCCGAAAGCGAACCAAGATAATGACTTCCATGCATGATGAGGTGTCCCTGCAGCATATCATGGGTGCTGTCGAGCGGGTCAGCTGCCTACGGAAACAAAGGGAAGGGCGTAGTGGAAGGCAAAGGAGGCGACGATCTTGCTCGCGTTTAGAAGCGATCGCGGCTGAACTCGGCGTGCGGATACTGGGCTTTGAGCTGCTCGATGGCCCACCACGCAGGGGTTGCGTAGGTGACGTGGTGACTTTCGCCTTTCCGAGTCGCCAGCCCAGAATGGAGTATCCCAACCATCTTGCCCTTGCCGTCGAAGATGAGCGAGCCGGAGTCGCCCAGGAATCTCATACATACCCGGGTGCAGCGGTGTCTCTACTGGATGGAGGCGACCAGTGTTCATCATCGGGGGCGCAAACTTGTCTGCACCTGGGCGGAGAAGTCCCCGGACTGCTTGCCGTAATTGTAAACAGCGAGTTCCACGGACTCGACACCGAGCTCGTCACAAGTGTAGGCCTCGAGGCCGGCGAAGCGTCCCACCGTAAGATCGCTGGTGTTACCATCTTTCATGACGACGATGCAGGCCTCATTGTTGCTGTCGGAAGTGTCAGGATTAGCCAGCTCGCGCGTGAGCCAGCCGTCGATCCTGAGCTGGCGATCGAAGGGGAACTCGAACGCGGTCCTACCGTTAATCTGAGGGTAGAACTTGGCGTTGAGTTGCTACCTACTATACTTGGCTCCGAAGAATTCTCTCATCAGATGAGGTGATTGCAAGAAAAATAAGGGAAGACGCACCTAGGTCGACTACATTGCCCCTGAACTGGGCCCTGAACCTCTCCGGATCGACCTCGAATGTGCCAATGTCCTTCAAGTTGGTGTAGCCGCTACCGCCAACGTCGACGGAGATCTCGGGAGCCCAATCAACGTGGCCGATGTTTCGACGCGTGATATCGCCCCACTGAGCGTTTACGTCCTCTTTGAAATCCTCAAGAGCGGCGGTGTCCTTCTCTGCCAACCGCACCCGCTGGGCCGCGTCCGTATCGTCCACAATGTTTTGAGCCAGCATGTTGGCATTGTCTCTGTGTTCGTCGATGGCGGTGTCGATCTTCTTGAGGCCACGCTGGAAGCAACGGGAGCCGGCAAGTCGAACGTGCTGGGGAGGTGCGCCAGCGCCCTCGAACTGGTACGGGACGGTAGTGTTCTTGCGAAGGACATGGCAGTTGCTCACGGCGAGGACCCTGGCGCTATCCCTGCCGTGCCTGTCCTTGTTCTCGTGGAAGAAGAATGCGACGCTCCCCTGCGCATCGTCAACCTCCCTCTCCGCGGTAGCAATGGGCATACCGAGCCCGGCCGTCAGGAACCGACGGACGTAGTGTGTGGGGTCGACGCCCGAGGTGACGCGCAGAAGGGCCGGACCGGACAGTCTCTCCACGGCTCCCTCGAACCACTCCACCACGGCGCCGTGCACTCCGTTGGCCTCGAGAAGAGAGAGAATGTCTGGGGAAGCGAGGTGCGCGTCCTCGGCGGTGGTGCTGTTGGGATGAGTCGCGATCCAGATGACCACTGGACTGAGACTCTCCTGCCCGTCCTCGCCGTGGGTTACGAAACGAGCTGCGTGAATGGCAGAGTAACGGATCTGTCGCACTTTCAAGATGTCCCGGATCCTGGGGGCAACAGCGTGCCAGACGGGGTTGAGCGGCGTGTTGAAGACTCCGTGGACGGTCTTGATAGGGCGGTGCTGAAACCGGCCCGTGGGACGGGGGAAGGGATTGTCGAGGTAATTTGAGCGGTAGAGGAGCTCAGGAGGGTCGACAGAGACACCGTGGTAGTAAGCGGCCGCCTCCCACTCCGAGGGATGGTATTGGGAGGCCATGGGGATAGCCGAGGTGTTGTTGAGCGCGGAGGTGGCGGAAGACGCGTTGCTGAAGATATGGCGAGGCGGGCGAGGAAAGGGGGAGTTCGTGCACTCGAGTGTGAAGAGAGTGAACTGTGAAGAAACAGGAGGTCAGTACTGCTTACAGCCGAAGCGCCCGATCGAGATAGCATCTGACGCAAACGCTGTTCGGATGATGCCGGGCAGTCACAATGGCTATGTCTCCTATTAGTATTCAGTACAAAAGTATGCGACTCAGCTATGTGAATCCTCGATGGGCCACGGCAGCGCAGACTGGCACATATTGACATTACCCAGTTGTGATCGACTCTAGGCTGTGACACACCTGCTCTGACGCGTTGCGCCAGGTCACTTGCTCGTATGGAGGGCGCGAGGTGTCATTGTGTCCCTTAATGTGTTAGGTTACTATGTCTAACCGCTCCACATGCATTTCATAATCTGTCATGAAGCGTCAGACCACTGCACAGCGTAGTACAATTTGGACTCGGACGAACATGATATCGAGTCTAGGAGGACTCGGAGCAGGGCGGATCACAGACCAACGCATCACCACGGACTCCCGATAGAAGGATACAAACGCATGGATTATTCAAGACAGTAGCACGAGATAAGGCATAATTCAGAGACGTGAATCGCAGGGTCATCGGGAGTAGTCTTCAAATGTCGAGCGGCGAGGCCATCGCTTCCCGCTAGCGAACCAAACAGAATCAGCACCGATGGCCGGTCGTAGGCGATCAGCGAGCGTACCATCGATTGCATGCTCTCCATCTGCCAGTACGAAGGATGAAGGATGAGGAGTGCGTTACGACACAGCATAGATAAACCGCACCTCCGGCGTTGGGGTCTCGAACTGTTCATCGCTCGAGAGATGCGAATTGATCTTCGCAGTGATCTTCGCGATCTCGCGTCTGGTACAGTCAATCACAAACAGTCAGTCGATGAGTACATACGATACATCCTCCCTGGAGGTGGACGCACGTCACGTTGCGCAGTAATTCTGCGTGGTTCGCTGGATTGTGCCCTGCGAGTCATCAGCACTAATGAAGTTTAGCAACAGCTATTTAGCACTCACGCAAAGCCTCGGCTAGAGCCTACGATACAAGCGTCAACACACAGCAGGAGCGGGCCTGTCCAGGTAAGAGCTCACATTGATGAACAACCCTCCTTTCGACCCTCCGAGAGTTTGCTGCGAATCTAGGCAGGCGGACAATGAAGTCTCAAACACATCGTAAGCGAGAGACTTATATCTTCGCAAGTTCGCATACTCACTATGTCGGCAACGGCTGGCGCATTCTCATCCAAGTCATGAGTGAAAGCGGCAGCGGGAAAGAAAGTCTCTTGCGCCGTCTTGCGCTGGAGGCCCTCCTCGGTATCTGACGTGGGGCCCGATGATGACGTTCCCATTCCTATGGATGGATGGATGGATGGCACGTACGAACGTCCTGCGATCCCCGCACACGAACTGTAGACCGAGTGAGTGCGGTCTCGGGAGTCTCTAGCCAGAGCGACGTACTGTTCTTCGCATATGAAGGTATTGACATCGTACTCGACGTCGAGGACGAAGGTGTCAGGGGCGGACAGTCTGCGCTGTCATTCGGCAGATCTGACGATATTCATCAGCCTGAAGTGGGGTGCAAAGACATGACTTTTGTCGCACCGGCCATCGTGCCAGAATGACAGCAGTCGAAGATCATCTGTGTATGCCGACAGTAAGTTCAACGGGGGCGGGGCCCTCTCCAGGTCAAGTCGCACTGACCATGAAGTGTGCGCCTAAAGGGACATGGTTCACTAGGACATCGTGAATTTCCTATCATTTGGGAACGGTACCATCAGTGGGTTGTCGCAAGGACTCAACGCTGTAGACTCACGTCATCCTTGATGTAGTTGGCGAAATTGCCGTCGGAATCGTATTCCACGTCGGCGGGCCAAATGACTGTGACTATGAGCGCCTCTAATGATGCAGAAGGTCTGCATAAGCTTACCGTCGTCAAATCCGCTTTTCTCGGTACCATCCTCGTTCAGTACTTGCGCGCCGTGTCCCGAGACTTGGATGAAAGCGCTCAACTTCCGGGATAGTCCCTACAGCTGTGCGACTTACAGTGAAAGACGAAGTGATCTCCGGGCTGTGCATCCGCGACTAGCGCGTGCATTGCGCGCTCCTAGACATTGCATCCAAGTTAGGGTCAACTTGGATCATCGCATGAACATAAGATTCGACCCACAATGTTTTCCTTAGTCGGCCGTCGATGATCACTGGATTCGTCGTCCAATAGGATGATGATGTGGTCTTGTTCATAGCCATAGACATCTGTTGACAGAATGTCTCAGACGATCCATTCGATAGTCGGAAAGCTTGTGCAGCTCACTATGCAAGAGGTCCGATAGGATCTTCGGATCGTTGCATGCTCCAGGGAGTTCTAGGCTATACTCTTTCAGAGTAGAGTACTGCACTGCGATGCTGAGAGCCTTCTTGAGCGGTGGTCTTGTCGCAACAGGCATAGCGCAAGAACTTGGGGGGCTGTGGTAACGGGAGAGTTCCCGACGTACCAGTGCTGGACCTACTAGTATTTAAACCACTTCCCAAGGATCTCAGCCGGGTGAGACGCGCCACATCCTGGCCACTGCGGACTTCTGCGTGATCGCTAAAGATACGCCCGTGCCACGCACAGCCATGGAGCATGGAAGTGCCCGCGCGATATTTAGGTCCGGCGCTCCTCGCACAGTGAGCGGTGTCTTGAAGAAGCTTGAAGACTCTTCGGGGTAGGCTGCATGTTGGCGTTCACTGGCAACCGGTGACCAGCATTAGCTGGCACGCCTCCGGTATTTGATTAGCATGAGGACCCTTGGATGCCGGATGAGTGACACCCCCAGAACTTTGCCACTGTTCTCTGAGTCGTAGCGCAACCCTGAGTGTGCTTCGCGAGATACCAATTGTCGCTGGACCTGGACGTCAAGAGTGTTTGAAATGTGACAACTTGAAGAGACGCAGGTCGGCGTCCTCGGCGAAGGGCAGTGCCAATACCGCAAACCTATTGCGGTTTGAGTGGGAATCTAAGGGAATTGGGGTGCTTCTAGACGCTACAAATTTGGATAAACAAGTAAATATAGATCGATAAGATGTCTGCGACTCTTCGTTGCGGAGCCGCGCCCGATCAAGATAGTGCCTTGAGCAAACGCCTCGGATTATGCCGGGAAGCCACCATGTCACCATTGCGCCTTTGAAATCGACCAATAACAGTATCCAAACCCAACCAAGTACCAATACCAGAGAGTCGCCACATTGGTAGTGTTAGATAGCCCATATGCCAAACGTTCCACTCTCAGCATACGGCGCCTGCGTGAAATCACTGGGTTGTCACACATATCAGCATGATCTTTAGTTTCGGTAAAGTGGAAGTCACCTTTGGTTGGCAGCGCGCAGCGTCCATGCGCCTCTGTTGAATGTCAGCATCCCAACTGACCACCCACGGCACGAAGAACATCGCACCCTTGAGACACGACTGGAACAGTGAACATGAGGGTTTCCAATGAGGTGGCAGTGTCGTTGGAGATTGTATATAGCTGATTGTAGTATATCTCGTAGATCTGTAGTGCGAACGACGGAGGATCTCCCGCAGAGGTCGACCAGTTGACAGTGGTGCTATCTCCAACTTCCCATGACGAGCTTGGTGCCTCGAATGTCAGAGCGTCCACGATCGACGGCAGAAGCCAGATCAAAGTGCTGAACAAAATATGGTCAACTCTTGAGTCAGTACAGCGTGACCTATGCAACGCACCTCAGTCCTAGCTTCATGACTCGGATGTTGAACGAGGTTTAACGTGTCCAATCTCCGTACCGTTCTGTATGTATACTTATATGTGTACAATCATGACTCGAACAGTCGGGAGGCTGAGCGCATAGATGTCAATCATCGATCCTTGATGAGTTTGTAGGTTAGCAACAACGCATGTGCCATGCGGCACATGCAGCGTCGGGGATTGATCCGTAATACATTATTACATAGGCTAGAATGAACAAATTTATCCTGACTCGGATTTCTGAATGCCCTAATACATTCGCTCCTCCCACGTTATGACAAGCGATCGCTCGGGAGTGGGACAACGAAATAAGGCACGCTCTGAATCCTGGTGTGATGCGATGATTTTCCTGACTCCCAGTCGGCCGACGTGGCTATAACAGTGCGGATACAGTCTTAGATATTCCGAAGGCACAACATGCTAGGCGCTTCAAGGAGATCAAGCCCATTTTGGTGAGAACACGTACGTGAACGGAACAGAGACTTCAGAAGATCACCGGCGCGGGCATCACTTCTTCCTAGTGACAGGCGCAAGTTAGAACAATGATCGATGAAACATACTCGAAGATCGTACCAACGGCGCCCACACTCCATCTGCAGCAACGTCAATTCAGGACACAATCAACCATTTAGGGGAACAGAAGCGCACCTCCGGCTTTGGAACCCAACATCTGTGTGATGGTGCTCGTTAAACTTGTAACAATCTTCTTGATCTCGCGCCTTATGTAGTGGTTAACGGCCGATTAGTGCGTATACGCATCACTCTAATTCACTGGAGCGTACGTCACGTTGCCCAGCAGCTCTGCGTGGCTCGCTTTCGGGTTACTCCCTTGTAAGACGTTAGCGTCGTAGAAGAGGAGGGGTTATGCGAAACTTACGTAGAGCCTTAGCCAAAGCCTGAGGTGCATCTAACAGTTCCCTTCAGAACCAGACGTGCGCAGAAAAGCTCACATTTATGAATAGTCCTCCCTTGGGCCCATCCAGTGTCTGTTGCGAGTCTTCACACGCGGCCCATGCAGTCTGAAAGACTCAGCGAACGTGTTCAGTCGCCAGTATATGACGTACTCACTATATCCGCGACGACCGACGGCGCGTTTTCATCCAGATTATGAGTAAAAGGCACTGCGGGCTTAAATTCTTCTTCACGAGTCTCGCGCTGAATGCCTCGTCAGTATCTAAGGCAGGCAAAGATGTCACGTAACTGTTTCAGCATACAGGCGACAGGTGTCACTTACGAACGTCGTGCGATCCTCGCACACGGACTAGTAAAGGGGACGATTGAGCCGGCGTCCACCGCAATACAGTCGAATCAACATACTGGCATTGACATTCGGTGGTATTGACATCGTGCCCGACGTGGCAGACGAAGGAGTTAAGGGCGGAGTGTCACGTTCATTGTCGTTTGGCAATTCTGCGTGGTTCAGCCGATCGGTTCTTGAACCATCATGAAATGCGTCTTACCGGCTAACGTGCCAGAATGGCAGCAGTCGAAGACCATCTATGCCAGTGCTGCAGTTTAGTTGAGGCAATCTCGGACTCCCATGTCGCACTGACCATGAAATGTGCGCCTACAGGGATGTGCTTCACTAGAATATCATGGATCTCCTGTCGAAAGTGGAATGTCGTCAAGGAACTACTCGCGAGGACAGATTGATGTGGACTCACGTCATCCATAATGTAATTTGCGAAGTTCCCGTCGGAATCGACTTCTACGTCGGCGGGCCAGATGACTGCGGCAGTGTCAGGACATATTCATGGTCATACAGTGCTTGGTGGGCTTAACCATCATCGGTTTTTTCAGTATCACCCTTCGACACTTGGGCGCCATGCCCGGAGACTAAATAGACAGCGCTTAATCTCGGGGAAGCTGGCAAGGTTGCATTGCTTGACCTGTGTACTTACAATGAAAGACAAAATGATCTTCGGGTTGCGCGTCGGCGACTAGCTCATGCATTGCACGCTTCTGAATGATTCATTCAAGCCACAGTTAGCCAGCTTATACGAGCAAAGCTCCGAAACTTGGCCCACAATGTTTTCCTTGGTGGGGAGTCGTTGAGGATCACCGTTAGGATCGTCGTCCATCAATATGGTGATGTTATTGCTATCGTATCCATACAAGTCTACGGGTAGAGGGTAAGTGATAGGCCAGTATATAACGCGTCCTGATCCAGCTTACCAACTAAGAGGGCAGACAAGATCTTTGGGTCGTTATGCGTTCCAGCGAGGTCCAGCGGCGGCTCATAAGTGCTCAGAGAAGAGTACTGCACTGCAATGCTGAGTGCCTTCTTGAGTGGTGTCTCTTCTCTTTGGGACGGGCTCTGGCATGGCGTCACTGGAAAGCGGGAGATCTGCGCTGTCGTACCAGTCTTGAGTTCTCCTCGCTTTTGAAGTATCTCAGCTAGGTGAGACGCGCTACATCCTGTGCGCTGTGGTCCTATGCGTGATGTCTGGAGATACGCCCGTGTCACGCACAGGCATGGTGCATGGAAGTGTGGTAGGAGGATGCATGAGACTCGACGCCCGCGCCGACACATGCCACATCCGTCTTGGGCGCTCCGAGTGGACGATCGCATCGAGCGGTGTCAAGACTCTTCAGGTAAGCTTCATGTACTGGCCGGTTGACCGGTAAGTAGTAGCTGGCACGCCTTCTGAAGGATTCGTTTGGCATGAGGAATCTTGGAAGCCCAACGTCACCCAAACTGAGTACTAGCAACTCCCCCAGAGGACTGTAACGCCGTTCAAGTTCTCGTCCTGTCAGATGAATCGCAATACCAATTGTCCCTGGTGGGTCCCAGGGCCTGAACCTGTGATAGGGTGGTCGAGATCACATTAGATGCAGCTCCTATCGGCTGTCCACGGCGAAGGGCGGTGCCATTGCCACGATCCTACTCACGAGTTCATTGGGAGTCTTTGAGGTTGGTCGAAGTGCATCTAGGCCCAGGGAACGAACTGCACTTATATAGTCGATAATAATAAGTAACACCAGCAAATCCTAACTGAATGTCCGCGTGGTAGTAGTACGCCTTGAGTCCACGGATTGTCCGGTACGCAGCGGGCAGCGCATAACACGCAAACTGCGGCACTGGTGTGGTCACTGTGGTGCCTGCAACCGAGAATGCCATCCTTCCGACTGAGCGAGCATGGCACTCTGCGTAGCGTAACTCAGTCTGGATAATCCTCGTCGAGGACATGTGCCTCGTACGTATCGACCTACAAATTGTTGAATGTGAGATGGAGGCTTGCTGCTTCATGTTTATAATGGACTCACCAAAGACGTAGTTGACGCCAGCTAGTCCGTCCAGATCAGTCCTGTTTGAGAATGATACGTACAAACATTCGCTTACCTCAGGGGTCGGTAGACCAATTGATAGGTCGTCTGTCGAACAACCTCCCCGACAGTCCGATGCAATACAATTTCTGCCATGTATTCTCGACAGGCTCTGATTGTGCTTGTCGACTTTGGTTTTGACTATTTCACTGCGTGACATGAGTATGATGTTGCTAGCTAACACCTGAAATGTCGACGTACGCGATATCATTCAGTAATTCTCCACGCGTAGCGTCTTTATGTCTTCCTACAAGCAATTAGGTCAGAACTCACTGTCCATCTGCGATACATATATAAGAACTCACTTAGAGCTCTGTAGAAAGCCTGGTCGTTGCGGAAGACGTCAATGACTGGAGACCCAAGGCTGCGTGCGGCACATACTTTGAGAAACATGCCACCACTATTACCCTCGGGAGTTGTCTCGTCGTCCGCGCATGCAGACCATGATGTCTATGACAACTGAGGGTCAGGGATGTGTTGAATGGACGATCATTTCATCTGACACAACTCACCACATCGGGCCCGTCGATTTTGTGCCTTACGGGTGTCCTGTGATGTTTCTCTGGAGCGACGCTTTGTAATGGTACAACGGAATCATCGTGATCCGTCGCTCGCACGCGAACTGGTAGATTCAAGCATGTCAGAACCAGTACTCAGTCCTGCTCCCGGTCATGCCGACTTACCGCTCTTGGGCGGAGGCTCTTTGCTACTGGAATTCGGCAGATCTAGAGTCTCATGTTGAGTCTCAGCATCGACCGTCCGCACTGATATGTTGTGGGCGCACCTGCCGCGGTGCCCGATGGCAGCAATCGAATATCATCTGATCATGTATGAGGCTCCGAATTTCAGCGACCGGTACCAAGGAGAGACTTACCATGAAGTGCGCGCCTGGTGGCGTGTGGTCCACGAGTATGTCGTGTATTTCCTGTGCTCAAGTCTGTCAGCAGTAGAGATGTATCATTGGGTGCCTAGACTGACGTCGTCCTTGATGAAGTTCCCAGCCACGGTGCCATCCGGGGCCAACTCCACGTCGACAGGCCATATAACTTGAAGCAAAGTTCAGTACACAAAACGAGTGCCCACCGAAGCCCATCGCTTACTCTCATCCAGGCCGTCGTCTTCGGTACCGTCCAGGTTAGGGACCTGGTCTCCGTGACCAGAAACTGCAGTCACAAATACTTCATTTTGTCCTTAAAGAGGAAGATGAAGGCATGCTCACAATGGAACACGAAGTGATCGCCGGCTTGAGCGCCTTCCAACAAGTTACGCATCGCGTCGCGCTGTAGCCCGATCAATCACACGCCGAACGATGTACGACTCTCAACTACTCACGATGTTACTGCACGTCGGCTTCAGATGCTCTCCATGATGCTCATCGTCCACGAGCGTGACGATGTCTTCCTCCTTGAAGTGCATGAACTCTACTCTTCCGTGAGCACCGGGCCCCGCTGATCCACCACAAAGTACCACCCACCAGTGAGGATCTTCTTGAGCATCTGTGGATCATGGTGGGTTCCCGGGAGGACATGGGGCTCCCCGAGATGTGGTACTTGATCGCCACGCTGAGAGCTCGTCGGATCGGTGGGCGGAGAAGACCAGGCATTGTGCTATGGGGGACTCCTGGCAGGCCGTCGTCCCTCCATTATATACGCACGTCCCCGACGTCCGCAGCACGAAGGCAACCGCCACCAACGCCGAAACGATCCACCCGCGCGCGGATTGCCATTCTGTTTCGAACAGGGATCGCTGGGCGACGAGGTGACGTGAGATGCGACAGACGTCCAGGATGGCAGCCCCGCGGCGCTCCCATAGCGATCCCGCCACGCGCACGGTGCTTCTGAGATAATGCTGCGTGCAGCGCGAGGCCACACGGGCTTCGCCGCGCAGAATCCGTCCGAATAGAGACAGAAGCCTATCTTGAAATACTGTGTGAAAGTCGGAAATGAATGGCGAGCTTGATAGGATGAAATGAGAACAAGGACGGACCGCCTGTGTGGCCTGATATTCCATGCTAACATTAGCTTCTGTCACTGTGGTCCTGACTAGCTTCGACTTGTTCGGATCTTCTGCTGGTGGCTGACGCTGCAATGTTTTCGTGAGCACAATTCAGTGGTGTTACAAATCGGACTTAGTTTGCAATGATGACATACCGAAATGCCATGACATAGCAGGAGGTAGAGCGCACGAAGCCCAGTGGAGGTAAGAAACCCGCACGTAATGATCAGGCTGTCAACTACCGTCGCCCGCAGGCACGACCATGGCTCAGAGTCAGACTAGCCTGAAATGTGCATGGACCAATCCGCTACATACACTATATCCTTGTTGTCAGTCCCGCGTCCTTGTTCACAGCCTTCAGCCACTCACCTGTGTTGTAGCTCAAGCACTTCTCGCTCGAGGGCAGCAGTGCATACAAAGTTCGGTGCACAGCAAGAAAGTGAAGCCGAGTATTGCAACCGATCTGGCCTGGGAATGTCGACGCGGTTCCGATCTTCCTTTTGGCTTCGTTGGCTCCGGCACCTGACCACACTTCTGACAACATCATGGAGGGGACCGGGAATTTTTAGTCAAAGATAAAGCTCCATTAAACGATGATAGAGATACAGTACATGTCTATGCGTGTCTGCCAACCACGTATCATACACCCTGGGTATCTTGCGTAATGTCGAGTTAACTGTCAATTCAATCCAAACGGGGAGTACGGGTATATCATTTTTGTTACCTACACAGCACACTCGTCGTCCGCCTTCGCCTGGTGTCGCCTGCTGGCGACATCTCGAAGACGTGCGAACAATTGTGCACCGGGCAACTCCCGTGTACACGGGAGCGCACCACTGCACAGACCGACAACAACCAGGAGGAATGGTACGCAACAAGTGCATATACGTCGGCCACGACCGCGAGCCACACGAAGCCCTGCATAGACGACAGGACCAGCGCCCAGAGGAAGAGCGCCTTCGGAAGGCTAAATGCGAACGCCGTCCAGCAGAAGCCGGACGACTCTCGCTGCGCCTCGTTGAGGTAGGACGCCTGCGGGGATCATTGCTTTAATAAGGGACGGCCACTGTCACATGAAACGGTGCAGACGTACGGCATCCGAGGCGTCGGAGGTTGTGGCCCATTGATGTCTCATGGACAGGATGACCGCCGACATGAGAGACATGTTGCAGAAGAGCATAGACGCTAACGCCAGATGGCGAGAGGCCCGTGGAACGATGAGCGATAGAACGTCAACACTAGGACGCTGTTGAGTCAGCGGGCGGTAACCGGCTATCCAAAGAGAGATGCGTACATCAGCAAGGCGAGGGCCCAAGAGGCGTGTAGGAGCCAGTCTCCTCTGTGCGCTTTCATGGCTTTGCGCCACGGCTCGACGTAGACGAGGTTGTCAACGTAGAGCTGGTCGAACTCGTGCACGTTCGCTTCTGGTATTCTGAAACAAAGACGCGAAAGAGCTCGGAAGATGCATGACGGAGTCGTCGCAGGACAGTCCAGTATCGACTGATCTCTCGAAAGGCGCGCATGTTCCTCGCCGTAGTGGACTGTGAATCTATGATGTACTAGAAATCGACTGTTCAGCTTCTGCACACTGAAGACCTTGGAAACTTCACTCACAGATGACGTTCCATAGACGAGCAATAGTCGCCACGATGTGGCCATCAGGGGCGCATTCTGACGCACAGTTCAGCTACGACCGTACATCCACTTCGCCACACGTACCTTGGGCAGCCTTGACAACATCCAGAAATCCTGAACACTCAGCGGCATTATAGGGGAAGGTGGACGTTGCAGAGGTCATCTGATCCACCCGTGCGTGCAGCAGGATGGACTTGAGCTGTTCCAGGGACAAGTCCAGTTCCCGACAACGATGCATCGAGAAGTATTCCACATGAGTCCAGTAGTGTTCCTCCAACGCAATCCGAAGATGCGAGTCGGTGACGGTCGCTGGCAGGTCCAAGACATCACTGGACGCCTCTTCTAGCCAAAAGACAACGCGGCTGGGATAGTCAACCGCGTAGTAACGGCAGGAACCCGAGTCCTCATTCGGTTCGAGGTAAAGCTCCGTGTCATCAGGAAGAGTGATTTGCTGCTCGATGCAAAGCCGTTCTACCGCTTCGATCCACGTGGCCACAATTTCTTGCATAGCGGATGAGCAGAGATTCGCCTCCGTGATAATCCGAGGCCTAGACTCCCGGACGAAGTAGCGTTGCCCTTCGGGGTGTGTGTGAGCAGACCAAAAGGGCGGCAAGTACTGAGGTCTAGACAAAAGCAAACGCTGAGCTCACAGTGTCTTTGACGCGACAAGCTGATCCACTCACTCGGGTTCCCTCCCCGAGGAGTACAGGCCTACTTTAATACTCGTATGCCCCGGCGATACCCTGGGATACTAGCGTTGAGAGATGCCACTTGCAATGGTTCAAGAAAACGTACCTGGCTTTCTTCGCATCATACCGACCACATCGCAGCACAGTAGTTGGTTCGAGAGCACCCGCGGGCAGCGCGTGCTTGTGAGAGTCGCCGGTAACGTTGGATGGCGAGGTCTGCATGTCAAATGGCCGATGGTGGGCTTGCAACGAGCAAGAAAGACGGCCTTTAGTAACTTTGGACGTGGCGGCTACGATGGCCCGGAACACCAGGCAACTGCCAACCAGCTGTGCAGATCTGAGATCTGTAGGGTCAGCCGCCGAAGGGTGTCACACAGCCTATCCACCCCGCTGAGCGCTCATTGACGGGTCACAAGCGTGTCACCGCTTGGATAGCCTCGAGAGGACTGCCCCTGCCTGTACTCGTCGACTCGCCTTTCTGGTACATTTCAACAACTGTCAGTGAAGCACGAGCATCCACAGCATTGCCTATGAGACAAGTACGCGTACGAGGGGCAAAAGAGACTCGTGGTAGACTCCACATGGGAGGCGACATTGAACTTAGTGCAGACGCCTGACTCGGAGCGCGGTGGATTCCTATCGCTTTCGGATATGATCGTGTCGTCGATTTCGTCAAAGCCCCTCACTTGCGCACTCGCACCAATCGCACCCCCTCAATACACGGCATACGCGTATTAAGATGTCTGACCGCCAGAGGTACGAGATGGCATCCTTATAGTCATGGATTCACGAACCCAGACGGCGACTCCGCAGTGATACCCAGCCCCAGGATCTCGGCGGAGCGACGTCTACACGAGTCGAGCCGGCGTCGAAAGACGATGCAGGACCGACATCGCATGTGTCCTCGAGGTACGTAGGTCTGCCGGAGGAGTCGGCAGTATCAGCTCACTTGACCCCCGTTAGTATTGAACCTCCGAGCACTGCGTACGTCTGTCCCGTCAAACGGTGTCAGGTATTTTTTCACCCCCGATTGACAATTCTCGCAGCCCGAGCTCGGCCGACGACTACGACGAGTGGAAACCCCGCGGACCTATCAAACAGAACACATCCAGTGGTACAAAGAACACGAATATTAGGCGTTGAGCATGCAAATCCTTCGTTTATACCTGTGCCTTCCAGAAGATAGTCTACAGGGCCGAGGAAGGTGTCGAATGTAACTTACAATGTATTATGGAATCTAGACCATCCACTGAATGAAATTTCACGTCGGAGGGAGCGATTTAGTAGGCCGGACTCCACGTCGACGGTCAATTTCGCACAGCATTTTTTAAGAATTCCAGACCGGACACCGTGCAGCCATTATTCTACGACAGCGGCGCATCTTAACTGCATATGGATCGATGTATGTGCCTTGGGTTGTCACACTTGCGTGAGCAGCTTCGCGATCTGGAGTGGGTTTGAGGGTTTGGGAGCACGGGGCACAGGGGCTTCGAGGTTTCATGCATCATGGCTAGCCACCTCACGGCCTCAGCACCCACACTCGATGGAGCCGCAGCCTAGGAATAGGACGTTCGAGGTGTGTTATGCATGACCCGATGACGATCGAGACACACTGCTAAGGCACGCCGCGTTGTGGACTGGCCACCACCCCATACGTAGACAAACTCAAAATGTTCATCTCAAAATCGGCACCTGGTCTTCCTTTATTCGTCATGAGGGATTGCGTAACACCACTGTGCCCTCGTATTTACTCGTATATAATGCAAGGGCTTGACAGAAAGCAGGCAACGCCAATCCAATGACGCGTTGCCCAATAGCAATGACAGCGTTGCGTACAATAGATCGTATAATACATACATAGCCTGTGGTAATCGCCACTCCGTTTGTCACTTCCGAGTCCGTCATGAATACCAATATGCACAGAACCTAAATATGTCGTAGTTGCCGAATGCTCCTGAGTATAGGCGATGGCGATGTCGTGGTCACCGCCCAACTATACATGCCCGAGCAGCGCCCGAATCCTTGCCATCAGCATTCTTCCATAGCAATATCTGGAGCGGCGGTATCGCTCGATGGACTCGATGTTGGATCGGCCTTTTCCTCTTCGTCCTTCCTCTTCCGTGTAACCCGATCGCGGACTCTCCGTACACGGTCGCACGCGCTCTCCCATACGTCGCGCAGCCACTGATGCACGGAGATGTCGCCGCCCTCCCAAACCGTGTAGAGGCACAGGACGAGCAGCATCGCCGCCAATCCCCACGTCGTCGCGGTTACCGTGATAGTTGGGATGTCACGGTCGTGGAAGCACTCCAGCGCGAAGGCAACCAGGAACGTCACCACCCTATAATCGTGTGGAATGATTAGCATCATCCACACACAGTGCGGTTTGTCGATCTCAGCACTTACGCCCACATGAGAAGCGCATACGGCAAACTATACATGATGGCCAGTGTCTCCAAACCGAGTTTCGGGTGCCTTCTACTTGTCAGATACGTCACCTATGTCGCCGATTAGAACGGAACGCTCTCGCGGTGAAGGCGTAGCTTACCGCATCCGTAGCTGTCTCCTTGGGCTTGACTCGGTATTGTCGGACCAGTAGCATACCAATCACTGTGGCGGCGATACTAGCAATGGTGGACACGAAACTTGCTATTTGCGCCGGTGTCCGAGTACCGTCGCCACTATCAACGTCATTTATGGTCATAAATGATATGTTGGCGTTCAGTAACACTGTCGCCTGTTTCCATAGTGAGTACACGGACATCGACCGACGACGTGTGACTGACTGTGAGTACGGCCTCCTGCCAGTCTGTCTGGAGCTTGTGGATGAACTGCGTCCAGGCGATCTCATTGATGATCTGATCAATCCATATCCTCTCTAGCGACCGCAGATGGACCTCCGGTGCATTGAAGAGGAGAGGGGATAGTAGTGCAGCAAGGGCTGTTCGCTTCCCTTGCCCGTCTCAAAGAGACTCTGGTACCTGTCGAGACGTGCGACCTTCTGGCCGTGGAAATAATGATACCTGTCATGCGCTGCAAGTACCTCAGTCACCTGCCGGGCATCCAACTATACCGGTCACATACCGAACAGGCACATGAGACGTCCTGGTATTGTGGTCAACGCCACAATGACAAGATGTATGGAACAGGACTCACCAATAGCGCAGGCAGTGTATCGATTCGATCCGAGACCTGTACAGATGGATGAGCCACCGGTTGACTCGATAGAACACCAAATGACCAACTCTTTGTCGTCTTGATCATGGACGCTAGCGTCTGGAGGTCATCGGCTTTCATATTGACGGTGGACGCAGCAGACGAGAGTTGGTCTCATAGAACAATCTAGCATCAGCACTGCTGTCACAGCAGAAGAAAAAGCGACCTCACCGACGTTCCTGTACACGAGTATACTGAGTACTTCTTCTCTGAGTTCCTTCGTGACGGTTTGTTGGATTGGGAAGTACTCAAAATGCTTCCTATGCACGTTCGAGTCAGCGGAGTTGCAACACTAAACTAAAACAATCGTCATAAGAATCAGCCTACCCACGCAGGAGAAGTTACCACACACACTGCCACTGTGGTTTACCAATAGTATGATTCGATCCGTGTTCTGTTTTGTTGCGAAGATGTCAACTTCGCCCTGAAATGGAACACATAACGATGGAACCCACTGATATGCGATGCAGAGTGTAGCCTCTGAGGTCCTCCAGCTCGTTCGAGACCTTGTATGAATGTACCCAGAACAGCACCCGCTCGGCATGGTTTACATAGTAGTATGTCCAATAATGTTTGGAAGGTTTACCAGACTCCAGATCAGTGACGGGTCCTGCTTCCTTTGGTATCTGCTCTAGCTCGAGCACAAGTTCCGTCTCAGGCGGCAGTGTGTAACCTAACAGCTGCACTGCTTCGTCCAGCCGCGCCGCGAAGTCCTCGATCTCTTCTAAGATATCGGGATCGCAGAGCCACGCCTCGGTATATGTTTTCTAGTGGGTAAGCCTCAGTAAGGTTGGCAGAGACGGGAAGGCTGTACTTACTCGGTCCTTGTTATAGAAGTACAAAGCACCTTCGGGGTGTGTATGACCTTCCCAGCCCACAGGTACGTGTTCCCTGGATAGCATGTGAATCCAGGTACCCAGGGGCGTTCAATGGGACTGTACGTACAGGGGATAGGTAGTCTGCATAGGTTCGACAACAAATTCAAAGGGGCACTCCTCACTGTGAACATGATCGCATCAGTGTGGAAACCAGCTACGACGGGTAATTACCCACAGCTTCACCCTTTTTCATATCTACGTGTTTGAAGGGTTGGGTATATTTTCTGCGACCTGCGGGGATGCGTGTTGGGTAGGTGTTGAGATGGCCTGGCTGGCGACGCGACATTGGACCGACTATGGACGGAGGCTTTGTCACCATGCACAGAGAGAACGGACTCGGGGCGCGGATGCGAGCCTGCAGGAGCGCGTACTTGGGACCGCGCCCGGGACCTAGATCTCCCTCTCCGACGATGTGCGTCCGCAACAGTGACTATCCCGGAGAGACGGTGGTCTGTGGCGCGCACCGAGGCACGAGAAGACGGCCGAGACGACGGCGCTGCAAGGTGTTCGCTGTATATACTAGCGCGTGGACGATACTGGTGGGATTCAAAGGATACCTGGGAGCTATTGCGAGAGGGTTGTGAGGCGGTTTGAACGGAGATGGGATATGTGATGTCCTCTTCGCTGCCCTTCTGCGAGTGGTGGAACAAGGCCGACGATGGTCGACTTGCAGGTCGACTGTTGGGGCGACTGCCCTCCGCACTAAGATACATCGAGTTTCGCGCCTGCTCCAAGTACCCAGCAGGGAACGAGACGGGCTCCCTACTCGCGTAGACGACACTAGGTTCGCTCTCACCAAGTCTGCCGTCCAAAGTCAACCGCCGCCCTCGACAGGAACCCTCTCCTCCGAAATCTGAACGGCCATCCTGTGTTGTCCGTGTGTAGCAGTCCTTAAGAAAGTGCCATAAGCGTAAGAGGCCGTGCGCAGAGTGCCGTACAAGTCTTGAAGACAAGAGCAACCGCAAGAGCGTGCGAATCCACTGTACAATTGGCATAGCCATTCGTGAGGTTCGTGATATATCAATGGCAAAAAGCAGGTTCCGAGGAGCGTCGTAAGGGTTCAGAGGCGATACATGGTCGTGGTACACAAGCAACTTCTTGAGTACATATAAAACACTGCATGAGGCCCGAAGACGTTATCGAAGAAGTGCAATTAAGCGCCGGAACGCTCCGACTCGGATTCGGTGGCTTGGCTCAAGCTCAAGTATGGTACTTACTGTATACTGAATACAATCCTCACCGTGCTGTGCTATGTGAATGCACAGAACGTAATCAGACAGTACTGATCAACAGGCATTGTGAAACGAAGTTGCAAGATGACTGACGAGTCGTAGCACCATTGTGAATCTGTAGTATATAGGCGGCTTAGTGGCTGATGTACCGATTCCTGCCAAGCGGGTAAACGTATGTACATGGCAGTACTATGCGTCATAACCTTTCTTCGGTCAACGGCACCGGAAACGAGGTTGAACGGGCACCGAGTAGATTACTCTTCACTCTACATATTATCGGCATTCGATTACTATGTAATGCTCGTCATCACCAACAGACATGCAACAGAGCTAGCCCCTTCGGACTGTACGCGGGCTCCAGGCTTGAGGCTCGTCTGACATGGCGCGGGTGATCTGGGGACCCAGACCAACGGGCGGAACTTGCTGAGACCTTTCTTTGTGACATGAATGTCCGAGGCAGAGGGCGGATGCCCTGCGGGTTGTACCGGGCTCGCCGCGGCCTCTTGTTTCGCAGCCCTTACTGCTGGGGCATTTACGGCCACACCTTGATCCGCCGCGGCCATTCTTAGCTGCAAAGCGCGCTCCTCGCGGTCGCGTGCCTCAATCAACGCCGCGTTTTGAAGAACACGCCGCTGGCGTTCCAAGTCGGCGTGGAGTTCCTGGAGTTCAAGTGGGGTGAATGAATGCAGAAGGGCATGCATATGTCAGCAGCGGGCCAGCATACCTCAACTGTTGGTGGATGAATCCTCGTGTGTGTGAGCCAAGCTGTCCACTGTACTGATGGATGAGCGGTCATGAGTGTCATTCGGCGAGCAAATGAAGTACATGCGGTGTCTTACCAGGAAGACGTCTCTTCCCAGCGACGTAGGTCAACATATCCGCGCCTGCCCTGTACTTTACCACTCGCTTTGTTCGTGTGGTTTCTGTCGCGAATTAGTTCGATAGAGTCAAAACTTGACTTATATAGCAAGGACATACCATTGGATACACTAGGATACTCGTAGTACTTGTTCCCTATAGAGAAATTTAGTCGCCAAGGGAAATGGGCCGCACTGGTAGCCTTACCTCCAAGTCTCTGCCTACGGCATATGTCTGTAAATGTTGATCAGCCAATAGTAGAAATCCTGTGCGCGTAGTATACATCACAGGAACTCGGGAGAACCTGGTGACACGGTGAGGAAGCGCGCTGGAGACCAGTGGGACATGCGTCCGCACGACACGCACCGTATGCGTCAGAAAAGCAAGGCTCGTGCCGCAGGCAATGCGCGCAGGGTCCATAGTACACGCAAATCGCGGAGATGTCGACAATTACACCGTGACGGTCAATACAGTGCGTACCATCATGCCCGGATGCCAACGCCTGCTCCTCCCCCTCCTCCGGGGCCCAGCACTCGGACGATGCCTATCACAATCGTCGATGAAAGCGGGTACTTACAGGTCTCCTCAACTTTTCAAAGAGCCGCCGTATAAATGACATGTTTGGTCGCGTGTTCAACTCGATGAGCAGGAGGGCATGATGGTAGAAGGTAAGCCACACCTGTAGGAGCGGTGGCGCTCGCCGACATGCACGATCTCAGATCAGATCTTGATCCTATTAGTGTCCGCTTTAGGTAAGCAAGTACAACGCTGCGTAGTACGTTCGGTGCCGTGACTACTCATGGCGACGGATCACTGTGCACTGCCTGGCACAAGATGTTAGACTGTCTCCGTCGTGTAAATTTTCGTCGAGAACTCAGGCAGATAGATGTAGGTATGTTGCATATTCATTAAATGACTCATTATTGTATAATAGCGTCTCTGCCAGCACTGGCCCGCCGGAGGCCCCTGCGTCACTGTCAGCAGTTTGAACGCGCTGCGCAGGCGAACGATTGGGCCAGCCTCAGATTACAATGCTATGAGCGTGCGCCTCCGCGGCGCCTGTATAGCTCAGAGCATTGACATAGACATCACGATACATACATAACCTGCCACAGTGGCTACTTGGTACACGGACAGAGACAACAATACAGAGGTCAATACAATACACGCATACTTAAACGGAACGTAAAAATGCCACGAAGAGTGTATCGTGACGGGCCCTTCATCATACTGCTACCGGATCATTCGCGCACAATCTATACTTCAACAACGTCGTCTCGAATATCATCGTCGGGAAGGCCTGGGGTCGATGCACTCCTGGTGTGCTGCGACGAGCCATCAAACGTGTCGCCGACCTTGTTTCGCACCTGGAGCGCCCAATCATGCAGCGAATGACCAACGCTGCCCTCCCAGCAAGAGCGGACGCACAGCGCAGTGGATATTGCCGCTAAACCCCAAGCAACAGCGGTTGCGATCACTGTAGGCTTGTCCTGCCAGCCGAAGCATTCAAGCGCGAGCGCTGCCATGAACGCAAGGACCCTAGGAAGTAGCATTGACATCCCTCGTGCAGAAGAGCAAGCGAACATGAGACTCACGCCCACAGTAGCAATGCGTGCGGAAGGCTATGCACGATAGCGAGGGTTTCCATGCCCAGTCGAGCGCGCCACTGGCCGTGCAAGTACGTAGCCTGTGAATGAAACCGTGTCGTGAGCTGAGCATTTCATGACGAAGGAACGTAGTGCATACGGCTTCCTCAGCTGTCTCCCTGGGTTTCACGCGGTACTGGCGGATCAGCTGCATGCCAATAATCGCAGAGAAGACGCAGGCGATCGTGGACACCAAGCTCGTAATCTGCGCAGGCGTCCGCTGCGGCGAAGCATTGGCGTTGACATCTGCGATACCGAGGAAGGATACATTTGCGCATAGCAGCACCGCCGCCTGTACACAGACTTAGCTGACGTCGGACTGTGGATAGTCCGGGCACGTACGGGGATCGCTGCTTCCAACCACTCCTTTCGCAGGTCGGCGACGAATCTCTCCCAGGAGTTCGCATTGATGATACCATCGATCCACACTTTCTCCAGACTCCGCAGATGCGCTAGGGGATGGTTAAACAAAATGACGGAAAACGAGCGTATCCAGGGCGTCCGAGTGCTGTTGTCGTTGTCAAAGAGGCTCTGAAGGCGATCGAGACGCGCAACCTTTTGGCCAAAGAAGTTGAGGTATCTGTCATTAGCTAACATTTTCGAGTTATGTCACTCGTCTTGTCGATCATTGCGTAGGTGTACATACCGAAAAGGCACATCACCCGTCCTGAAAAGTTGTTCTTATTGCGCGCATAAATGAGCAAAAAGGCCGACACTTACCAAGAACCCAAGCAGTGTACTGATTACTACTCCCGAGGTCTAGTCGCCGTGTGTGAGTGCCAAAAAGAACACCATCACTTCGGATCAATCACCTTTCGACAACTTGAGCAGCGACGTCAGCCGATCCATGTCGCTAGATATCATCCCAACGGTGGATGTTGCCGACGTCGTCCGGTCTATGAAGCCGCATTAGTGTTCCACTAGCGACGCGGATGTGGCGTGCGTCGCATTACCAATGTTGGCATGTATGAGTATACACAAAGCTTCGTCTCGGAGCTTGTCCGTGACAACCTGACCAACAGGAAAGGACTCCCAGTGATGCCTTGTAGACAAATTTCAGTCGCAGTGGCACGGCTGCAAACTAAATCAGGGAATAAGGATCGCTTCGTAAGAGAAAAGTGCGAGGTGACACATACCTAGACTGAACCCCTTACCAGTAGTAGGCCTCAATCCCATGTTCTGTAAAAGTAAGGATTTTAGAGGGCCTTATGACCACTGGCGACGGGACATACTGATATGAGAGCGGAATAGAGGCCTCTCAAATCCCCCAACTCGTCAGAGACGGTATATCGTGAACCCAGAAGAGGACTCTTTCATCATGGTTGACAAAGTAGTACGTCCAGTAGTGCTTGGTCTCCTTCGTCGGGTTCACCTCAAGCTCAAGGACGACTCTGAGTCCGGTGGTATGATCATGCCAGCATCAAGCGCGACCGCCTCAGTTGGGCAGCGAAGTCCTCGATCTCATCCAGTACGTCTGGATCGCATAGCCACGCCTCGGTGTATATTTTCTGTGGCGTTGAAGGGTCAGGCAGACTCAGGTATGCACGGTGGCCACACGTACCCGAGCTGGGTCGTAGAAGTACAAGCCCCCTTCCGGATGTGTAACGGCTTCCCAGCCATCCGGGACGCCCTCCCTAACGCGAATGTCAGTGTTGCAGCCCTACTAGTACGGGAGGCAGCCGAGTCGATACGCACAGCGGGTACTTTGTTTGCATGGGCTGCACGGTGTACTTGGAAGGGCATTCTTGCCTGTTGGCGACATTTCCTGTCAGCGCCACATCAAGGCCACCACACATAGGCAGACGCCACTTACAGTTTCGTACCTCTGTCGTATCTATGTGTCTTGATGGTCGGATACATCTTCTGCGTCTGCTTGGGACGTTGCTTCGCATGCTCTTCAGGACCCAGAACAGTGGCACTTTCCGAGGATAGCGAGGTGTTGTCCTCAGGCTGTGTCGCCACAGACATGGCAGAAGGCGTTGTCGAGGCGGATTGTATTGTCACTTGGGATGGTGTTGTCGAGAATGGGACCTGGTCTGCTGCAGAACTGGGGTCGGTGCGATGAGGGAGTGCGGTTTTTATAGAGTTGGGAGATGCTTACCGTGGACAAAGCGGAATATGAAAAGGGGTCAGGCCGTCATCGCCACAGTGGCAGGCAAGGTGGCAAGTGCCTAGATGTGTTTGGCTACCGTCGTGAGGTTCGCGTTCGACTATATAAGGATGCGGAGGCAGATCTTGAGATGCGGTTTGTTTTCCAAGCGCGTGTTGGTGGTTGTATGTGGGCGCAGAGTGGGAGATGGCTACTGCTCGATCCGGATCTCTTTGTTGGCGAACCTTGGTGTCATCTGTAAGCCCTCGTTCCAGGTCTACATCGGGATAGTACGCGGGCTCCTCGCTCAGGTAGATCACCCCAGAAGCACTATTGCCGGATCCAATCTGCTCATCGGCTTCAGCTCCGGCTGCACTGGACGATGGCGTTGCCCTGAGATCATTTTACTGATCGTTGCCTTGAGTATCGAACAACGTTTCAACACGTCCCAAAGCCATGCAAGGACAATTTTTGGAGAGTGACGAGATCCTGGCAGCAAGAGGAGACGCAAGAACGCGTAGTACAGCCGTCGCAGGGTAAGCGGCGTCATATTGGCCCAGAGTCGCTATGGAAAGACAAGCTGTGAACCGCAGGAGTGATGGTTGATGAGAGCAACACCTTCAGAGACGAGGTCATGAAAACGGCAGCTGCAAGTTATGCGAATTGTATGCGATTGAGCAGGCTCGCGTTGAGGCGATTCAGTTCTGAGGCGCGACACAGGCGGCGATTCGATGATGGATGAGATTCGAGGGCATGTATGCGTATATCAGGGTCCCAGTGGTGGCTGGGCGGAGGATACCGTAATTCAGGTGGGTAGCGTTCCACGCTGACAAGGCCCAGCGCATTTGGTCCTCACCTGTCTCCATTGCACCGATAAGCGCTAATGGAACGCCAATACTAATGCCACCGGTGGCAATAGTACTGCACTATGTGAGCTCGATCCGAGACATGCAGCCCACAACGTGTACTGGCCTTCTGGCTTCCGTTGCCGACATTGCTGCACAGATTGAGCTGAGCATCGACCACGAGGTGACCAGATACATAATGGGGCGCGTGCGAGCTGAGGAGCATCATCACGCCGGTGGCACGTAGATCTGCCAGATATCTGATATTCAAATTGACGCCACACAGTGGCCGCGATATTGCGTAGTACTGTAGATCGTCACTGCCAGTGCGATCTGCACGAGCATATAGACGTGTTTGAGATATTTTCTATCCTCTATCGAGTCTCACGACCGAATCCGCTATACCAGCCTTTGAGAGCCCGGCGTGGGACGAATAGCGACCGCTACCGCTCCGGCGTCATAACCCAAATACCTGAGCGCTCAGCTCGCAACATAAGCGTACGGGTCAGGAATCAGCCAACGATGGAATACCAGGCGAGAATTCTGTCATTACATCAGGTACGGAACCTGTATCCAATCCTAAGATTCCGAGAGTCGTGCACCGCTCACAATTATGAAGTGTACTTGAATGTTCAAAGAAGACCACAAACCGAGCCCATCGAGAAAGGTCAACGTCTCATTCGTTTCATGTCCCCGCCATCACCAAAGTCCAATGCCGCGAGAGGCTCTCTCCTCTGTCCGCCGGCGCCCTGCCGGGTGCCCGGGCCAGGAGGCGGTGCGAGGCCCATCCCTGCATTGGTCTTCGCGACGCCGCAGCAGCACCGGAATTTCCCCTGAATGACGACAATAAGCATAATAGACTGCGTGTCGCCGGAGATACGCACTGCATGACATCTGCGGTGCGCTTGAAGCCGATTGAACTCCCACCGGCGGAGGAGGTGTAGTTGGGTCGGGCGGCGTGCGCGGAATGTTGCGGGTTACTCGGATGCGAAGTCTAGAACAGCATCAGCGCATGTTTGCGCATATGGTAGGCTAACAAGCTGTGCGTACCGAAGCGACTGGGACATGGAAGCCGCCCATCGTGGGCGGCGATTGTGCGAAGGCGGACGAGGCATCCTTCGAGTCTGATGGGTAGTGGGATTGCCTGTGTTCGTGCCTTGGTATCTATGAGTCGTGGAACTCGAACCGGACACAGCGTGGTACGGCTGTAGAGGCTTCGCCGCTGGAGGTTCCGAAGAGCGCTGTGGCTGAGGCGGGTGTGCCCGCTCCTGAGGAGGAAAGTGTTCCGTCCGTCGTGAATTGTGCTCAACGTCCCTCGAGTCCTCGCCCACCTCAAGGCCACCAACTCCCTCGTCAAAGTTGATCGGTCCACCTATCCCTTCCTCACCGAGGTCCACTTCAGCCAGGAAGGCGTCGTCATCCGAGTTGAAATGGAACTCGGACGTGTCATCTGGGATGTCGGCGTCATCACCATCGCCAGCTGGAGCTGGTGGAGGAACAGCCACCGTCGAGGACGTGTTTGCGATGGGCGGTGGCGCAAAAGAGACCCGCTGCCCTCCTTGTGGTGGTCCTTGATCTCTCTGGTCCGATTGCTGGTTTCGAGCCTGTGCAGCTCCTGTGGTATGCGCTGCTGACGTCTCCTGCGGACGATATTGTGGTTTCTGGTTTTGACCGCTCGGACCGACCCGGGACGTGGCGACGTCAGATGGTGTATCAAGCTCGCCTCACCAGCATCCGGACCAGCAGAGGATTTCCCCTTCATATTGGGCGTGGATGTCGCGACCGGACCCGCCTGACCAGACGCTGAGCGCATATGTGGAGGTAGAGCAGGAGCTACACCTGGGGCGGGCTGTGCTGACGCGTTACATGCACTGAGAATGGCTTCCATACGAGACGTCGCTTCGGTCTTCACTACAGGCGGGGCTGGCTTGTTGGTCGATGGCCCTGGTTTGCTGGACGCGGTCGCATTCGTGTTCGTGCTGACGCCTGCCGGGCCTTTCGTGTCCTCGAATTCAGGCCGCCTGTGGAGTTCATCCTTGTTGAATTTGGGCTACAATCAACCGCGAGAGAATCGGCTCAGTCGTTAGAGCGTTTCAGACGAGACACGCGGATCAGACACACTGGCGGGACCTTCATCTTCACAACCTCCTGCGTGTACGACTTGTCATACAGACAATTCCCGAGAAGGTTGCCGAAATTGCGCAAAGCACGCTTAACGGCGTCTGTCACCGCTTCCTTCTTACACTGTATGCGTCATGAGATGTAAGTGGCGCAGCAGACATTTCGTGCTGGAACTTACCTTGTCGAGCGCAGCCCCTTTACTCTTGGAGTTCTCCAGCAGCCCATACCCAACGTCCTCATGAAACGCACCATCGCGTAGCGTTATTCTGACAACAGCGGTGACTCCCACTGAATACCTCTGTGATTGCTCGTTTTGATCGATAAAGTCTGTCGTTAAGTTGATTACACTCGAACTCCAGCCGTTAAACCCAAAGCTACGAAGCGCGTCAAAAGGGCGACTGAAGTATGGTGGCGTCGGTACTTACACTTCATTTGCAAGATTGATAATCTTCCATCCTGAGAGGGAACGTCAATTCGTGGGCAGCAGGACGGCATTCAAACCGGCTTACCCTCAGCGTAGGTCAGCTTAGGACCGCCACCTGGCCCTGGTCTCTGCGAGATATATTCAGGACCAAGTTTCCTGTTTAATTTGGCCTGTAGTGTTGCAATTTTCTTGGCACTTTCGTCGCTCAAGTCGACCAAGGTAGTGTCTTGGAAAAAGGAGGATTGACCGGGGACGGCGCCGTGCATCTGGGGTGCGAATGACATCGAACCGTGCACGGAGATGTTAGAGGTAGTTTGCAATGGTTGTCCGAAGGGGCCCTTCAAACCGCGTTGTGCTGTTTCAAAACCCTCGAGCAGATGTCCGCTGAATGCCCCTGCCATTCGGCGGCCGCCGGGATCTTGCTGGGCGATGTATGCGGCGCTTTGGTCAGACGGAGCAAATCACACGTAAACCACAAGTCGCTTGAACAAACCTTCGATGGGGTCGCGTCAGCGAATTCTGCGCTTCAAGAAAGAACGGCCTGGCGGAAGCACGCAGTCAACAGTGATCTTCAGCGCGTATATGCTACCGATACGATTTCACAGCGACCCGTACAGACGGTTAGAACCTGAACGTGATTTTGACAGCTCCTTCACAGATGAGTGCGAACCTGAGCTAAGTGCAACGATTGTGGCGGCGAGAGCCAAGTTGAAAATAGGCGCCAAAACGCGTCGCGGCTTTGAGGCGCGTCGAGAACCTCGCGAGTGGCCACGTCACATGATATCCGTAGCGGGATCACTTCCGTACTAGGAAGGTGCGCGTCATTGTAGTACTTTCTCTTCCTTCAAGTCGTGCTTGCTGTCGTCGTCGTCGTTGTCGCTCTTCTGCTGCACGCATTGCCCTCCTTGCGAGAGTCTCCGCCTACTCATTCTACTGGAGCTCACTGTCACTTGTCATTGTCTCTGGATATCACTCACCGCTTTCACCGGGACGCGTAGTAATATTTACCCGATCACTGGCAGTTCAATATGTCGAAGCCTGATACAACCCGCGCGACGGCCACCACCAGGCCTACAACCCGACGTTCAGTACCTGCACGCTCGATGAATCCGGGCGTCCCGAGAAGCGTCGTCGGACGTCGGCCATCTGTATCAGGACTTGCTCTCACCGGCAACCTGAATCCAGTCTCAGGGCTTCCGAAAGCACAGAGATCCTCAAAAACGACCCAGAAACTCGTAGTGCTTCCTTCGGAGCCGCAGACTAAAGCACTTCCACCACCAGAAGAAGAGGATGATGGCTTTCATGGTTCGAAACGGATCGCGGGGTCCGAGACTACAAGAGTGCTGGCGAACGCATGACCAAGGTGCAGCGGGGGAAGGCTGATTTCAAGCGTATCACGGCGTACTGTGTTGCGGATGAGTTCAAGATGAAGCTCCTCGCGACGTATGTGAAGCGCGAACACAACGTGCAGCCGCGAGTCTTTGACGAGGCAATGTATCTTGTGAGCGTTACTTTACCCATTAGATGCACTCTCCTTACAACCTATAGATATACTACCTGCCACTACTCCCGGCTACGGCCCGCACTCCAACATCCGCTCCTCGGCTGCGCCGACCTCTTCAGGCTCGGACGATCCTTCGTCGTGGCTATCAGAGGCAGAAGAAGAGGGCTACCGAGGCACGTATTTCGACTCCGCGCCAGAGGCTAGCGGCGTACCTCCCCAAGACGGCTGGATATCGTCGTCTCCTCCCATTACGGGTGGGAGCGTAGTGTCTCCTCCGTCGATGTTATCGCCTGGAGAACCTTCCGCCGACACGAACCCAGCCCCGCCGAGGAAAAGACAAAAGCGTAGGAAAGGCAGCAAGGCTGAGGACAAGGCCGAATATGGCGCGAATGGCGAAGATTACGCGGAGGCTATATTCTTCACCTACGGTGTGGTCGTATTCTTTGGGCTGACTGAACAGCAAGAAAGAGGTATCTTGGAAGACGTGGAGGGGGCTGGCGTAATGCGAAAGAAGTTCGTGGAGGATGATTGGGAGGTCGAGGAATGCCACTATGCGGTATGTATGTCTGACAGTACGCCGTATGGGTGTTGAATGCTCACTGGACTTGCCAGCATGACCCGAATATCGCATATCCAAGGATATATAATGACTTCTTCAGTGCGTTTCGCTTGCGATTGCTTAGTCTCATTAGCCCTTACAACGAAGCACTCTAGCGTTCAAGACTCACTCGCATCTTCTGAAGCTCTCCGTCGCGCATGCCCTTGCTCAGTCCACTCTCTTAGCGCACTACGAGACGCATGCAACGCGCATTCTGTCCTCGCCGCGCACGGTATCGATTCCCCAGCAGCTCGCGTTGACCGGTGTGCTCTCGCTGCCACGGAAGGAAGCGCTCCGCCTGACCGGCCGGTTGTTCACCCTGCGCCGTGACGTCAATCTCGTCAGCAATGTGCTCGACGTGCCGGAACTGTTCTGGAGCGAGGCGAGCCTGAAGGCGCTGTACGACGCGGTGAGGGAGTACATGGAGATTGGCGGGCGTGTGCAGGTATTGAACGAGAAACTGGCAGTGGCGGAGGATTTGGTGTGTTTTCCGCTTGCTTGGAAGTGTTGTGCTGGAGCTCATTTTGTGTCCTGGCGACATCAGTTAGGAGCGATACACGACCATTTGAACAACAGCGCTATGGAACGTATCACATGGATTATCATCTGGTGGGCTCATGTCCGTCATTTGCGTGATTGAAGCGTACTGACGTTGTGTAGGCTTATCGTTGTAGCTTGTCTTGTTGAAATGGTAAGTGCACCACCGTTCGCCCTTACTAGATACATGCCGCGTCCCGCCTCAATGCTATGGTATCGTGCTCATGAATACCACCGTAGGGCGAGGTCATTGCCAGACTGGTCGTTCACGCGACTATGGGTAGCTCAAAAGCGATTGCTGCCTCCACGACATGTACGAATGCGGCGGCTGCGCTCAGTACGCTCTCGAAGGAGGAAGCTTTGGTCATTCTGGAGCGCATAGCGGGTGGAGGCTCAATGTAGTGACCTATGGGTGAGTCCTCCCTAATCATGTACACGTGTGCCCAATGTGGCGTTCTGATCACGAAACAGGACTGTACGTATACTCTGTCTAATACGACGTTGCCGTTCTTCGCAAACATGGTCAGAACAATGTCTCATCGGAGCTCTGATTCGGAACGTTCAAAGCAAATGACCAGTTCAAACGCGTAACAGCTCTCGAGTATTAACTGCTCTTGGACGACGCTTCATAGCGTGTACCTGTGCTTCATTGAATAGAAACCATGCACTCGTGGTCTCGTATCGTGGACTGATCTATGTACGATGAGTCGCATGGACTCTTCGAGTTTTGGTGTCTATACTGGTTGGAATTGGCAAGTGTATTGCGATGCATGTCGACGACTTGTGGATGGCAAGTACAACTCTTGCTGTATCCGGCAGACAACGTCTTCCAAGCGCAGCGAAAAGCCTACTTCTCTGGTGAGCATGCTGCAGTCTAACGCAATGGAACGACATATGAACATTCATTCGTGTGCAGTGCAAGAGCCTCGAACGCATAGCCTCAGTGCTCTTCACGTTCCCGTGAGTGTCTTCATAGTGGCGTTAAGTGTGGTTCTCAGTTCTAGCGCCAGTGCCTTGCGGTCCGGAGCTCACAGATGTTATCTGATGTATGAAGGGCGCAAGTTAACTGAAGCGTGAGTCCTATTCTCAGATGTGTGTATGCTGGAACACTTACCGGCGAGCTTCAGCGACGCTGTTGTATACAGTACGCGGCCAGGTAGCAGCAATGAAGTAGTGATAGTAAGGTACGTGTCCGATCCATCGCATGTATTGACTGGTTCCGAACGCCTGTGCGTCGTGCACGCTCGGCGTCTCTAAACTCATAAACGACGGGCGCATTGGAATGTTCCAAAGCTTATATATCTATCGAAGGACTAAGGCCCTTATCGGCCTCATAACGTGCGACTACAGCCTTCTGCGGCTGTGCTCGACACCTCGACTCTTGCCCTCTCTGTGCTGGTCGTCAGCCATGTCTCGCTCTCCGCTTCAGCAGCTACGTGCACTGTTGCGGTATATCCTCTCGTGGCTCCCTCAGCACTTCGCGCGGCCTCTTGCTTTCCTCCGGCTCCTTTGGCGACGTTTCATGAGAAGGACTGCAGACCGGGGTCTACCCCCTGACGCCAAAGACGACGACGGTGTCGTTAAACCCTCCCCCGTTTCGCATGCGAGCTACCGCAAAGCCGTGCTCGACAATCACTCCTCTGCCGTTGTATATGCAAGTGACGAACCTAGTACGTATCCCTCGCTTGAGGATCGACGGGCACGGTCTTGGAGTCACCGATCTCCCGACACCGACCCTTCCGGAAGCTATGCACATTCGAAACCGGACGCGTATTTATCTGGGAGCGAACGGGGAAGCAGCCCGTATTCAATTACGATTCAGAATCCGTCTCAACACTCCCTTGCAAGCACGAAGGATTCATCGCTCTACCATACCAGTGTACACGATGACCACGTCTCCGTCAACATGTCGCGTCCATCCTCCCGTATTTCGATGCGCACCAGAGATGATCGTGATTCTCGTCTGATCACTCCCTCTGACTCTCGACGGCAGTCATCAAGATCTAAACAGCGAAATCTTACCCGAAGACGAACCCCTACGGCATCCCCGTCTCACTCCACTGCCACACTACATAGCAATAGTTCATGGGTCAGCCAGCATAACGTAGCCATGCCTGCTGGCCGGTTGTTGCATGAGAGACGAAGTCAGAAGACGTACCCCATAGTTGAAACAGGAAGATATACAAAGGCGAAGGATTGGTGAGTAGTAGTATGGTGCATCCAACCCCAGCACTGACATCCGCTTAATCAGGGAACAAAGGGAATGCGCGTATAAAGTTGAGCCCATGAAGATGTCTACAAACTGTGCGTCTTCGATGATTACTGTAACTCTCGAGGTACGTAACGACAATCGCAGGGCTGAGCTTCAGGTCATTGGGAAGCACATACCCATCCGGAAGGCGCTTTGTACTTTTTCGATCGACTCGTGTATGTTGCCTCCTCATGACTCGTGCTTCTCACCGGCAACTATTTGCAGAGGATATATACAGAAGCATGGATTTATGACCCGGCAATACTAGAAGAGATCGAGACTTCGCGCATCGGTTGGTCGAAGAAGTGCAGGAGAATAACTCGTATTACCACCCATGCAGACTTGTGCTCGAGCTGGAAGATGTCCCGGAAGAGCATATGCTCCATCTCGCCATTGCGCCCATTATGGACATATTACTATGTCAACCATGCGGAGAGGGTACTCTTTTGGTTGAAAGAAACGACCTCGAAACCAAGTACAGCAAGTCAACACATACAATCGGATTCACATTCAGTGGGTTTTGCCATAGCATCGTGTGTTGGAATAACCCTTTGACGTAATCTCGCCGGCCACAGAACTTGTCATTGAATCATATTATTGGTAGGAAACCACGTCGCGCTGTTGTATGTAACTCCATCCCACGTCCTACATGCCTGGAGCTCATCTTCTTTGTAGGCTACCTGTACCGAGGTTGACATGCTTGGTAGGAAACATATGGAGTACTTCCCGGTGGGGCAAACAATCACGGAAGCTTTGAGGATTGAGGTACTGTGCATTCTCGTGCATGCCAATGTCGGTGGGTCTGCGTTATACAGTTCGATGAGACTTTATCCTAATCACTTTCTGCGTCGTTCAGACCAAATCATATCAGAATCATCGACCGTCTCCATGAAGCCCGACGAAATGCTTAATCTCACGAAGATGGTTGAGATATCGAAAGGTCAGTGAGGGTTTCGTGTTCAAGATCACTGGTGTGCCTTAAACTCACCAAAGACGTAGAGCTCGGTAGCAATGACTATACTGCCTCTGTCATAGGTAGGTATCTTCTTCACAAAGGTAACAGTGATTAACGAGTACGCAAGGACGTCTGATGCATACTTTGGTACGGAGACTAACATACCTTCAGTGCGCAAACGAGAGACTGAGGCCTTCCAGTTCATAACAGGTACAACTTCTCGTTTGGACAGAAGGCCGCACAAATCGATCGCTTTCAGCCCGTCTACGACACCAATACGAAAGAGCGATCGGCGTTATTCACACTTCTCTCGTGTGCCCTCTTCAATGCGCCCGACATGCATCTTCAGACTCTGGAGCGAGCATGGATCGACGGGACGATTAACGAAATATTCTGGACCAAATGTATCAACAAGCTGCAGAAGGACTGGGAAGAGGCGGTGTTGACGGTAGGTCTATCAGCATACCGACCAACACGACGAAGGTGACATCTTATCGTGGTGATGTATACCAGGCGACCGTGGTCCTGAATGCCAATATATCGTTCTTGACTATCAATGACGTCGACTCTGGCACTGGCCCTCGGACGCCGGCACAACTTGCGAGCTACGTGTCCACCATCTGCAGCATTGCCGCGGTTGTCATAGGGCTGCTCATCATCCGCCAACACCGAGTGAGACCCAAAGAGACGGCGACCGACGCCGTGAGCACCGTCCTATCCACTGATATAGGATGCCAATTCATCGTGTCTGTAGGTAACGTACCTGGAAACCCGCAGGCACCCGCGGCTAGGACTGGAGGTGTTGGGCATTGTACACAGCCTGCCATATGCATTGCTCATGTGGGCGTGAGTCAAGACAACCGTTCATCCGTCGCTGAAACCGTGCTGACCATCTGCGAACCAGAGTCGTCTCGTTCCTTCTTGCCTTCGCTTTCGAGAACTTCCGCGTCAAGGACACCGCAACCCTCGTTGTGGCGTCAACGGCATGGGGCCTGGCAGTGATTCTGCTCGTCCTATGTCTGTACACCATCTGGGAAGGCGGTGAAATCTCGATCCGCCAGAAGATGCGCGAGTTGTACCAGCAAGCGAACGACAAGCTCCAGCTTTCGATGCGCCAGTTTATGAAGCAGAAGCAGCACGCCGACCAGAACTCGTGCACGGCGCCGGGGTCGTCCAGCAACGTTGCGGTCCCAACGGGGATCGAGATGCAGAGCATATGATGGAGTGTGCGTTTTTGAAGTTCGTATATAAACTTGGGGGTAGTACCTCGCAATTGCCTTCGTATGGATACGCACGCATGTCGAGGTTGGTGTCTGATCGGGTCGTATAGGAGTTCCACATGTACAGAGTATTGACACTATTGACACTCTTTCACAGCATATATAATCAGTGGATCTTCTCGATAGCTACCAGTGTCTGTCATGCCATGTCCCAAGCGGCGGTCTTGGGAGTGACTTCGGCGCTTAGCCCGACGCGCTCAGGTCTGTCGCATTCCTATCAGAGGTCCTTGGAGGGTCCTGACAGTGTTACTGACTCAAACCTCCGTGCATCTGGTGATTCATGTCTCTACACGATTGTATAGTTGTACTTTGAGGATAAATTATGAGTAGAGAACATACAATATCTGTCTCTGCATGCAATACTTCCGGTATCTGAGCTTCGACAAGAGTTTGACTATTGGATTTGAACTGCGTTTTGATGTACTGGATCATTGTATCTGCTTAGTCTCGCCGCAAGACCCCCTCACGTTCACGTGCGGGGTTTGTGTCGAACCTAGTATCTGCTGACTTTCATGACTACCAGTTGCGGGAGCGTCGATGTGAACAGGAACGATGGCATGAAAAGGAGTGTCGGTACACTGCAGCTGTTCTAAAAGTTTGAGTGAGTGTCGCAGCGAGGATATGCGGACAACTATCAGAGCTAACCGGATTGCAGCGCAGAAATTCAGAACCGCATCTCAAATATGTGATACAAGGTGCATTACCAACGATCGGACTAATATTCCAACCAGCTCTGGGATCAGGAATGTTCCACATCGCGACGACCTGATGCATTCAACCTGTCAACACCTTCTTCGTTCGACCTCGGAGGCGATCGAAACGCATCATACACTAGTCTCCGTGGCAGATCATGACAGAAAGCAGGTAAGCGTATCTTACGATCACATGTAATCTCGTCCATGGATAGGAACTTACTGAGATACGTTCATCCACGGATGTCTCAGAGTGAGACCTGCCTATAGAGACCGTGGCTGACAGCTATCAGTGCAGTAGAGCACTCGGTGGGACGTTGGTTGTGTTGATCCGTGGCGACTTGTGGGAGACAAGGGTACTTTATCAGTATACGGAGGGAAGGAAGGAAGATGTCTGACGTACGTCTGAACATACGGAGTGAGACTGCGCCACAAACAGACGACTGATCGCGGACACAGCCAGACGTTCCGGTCGAATGCGATGTCTTGTACGAACCGTGGGATGTCTAAGTATGACGACACGGGAAGATCAGACGGCCGAAGTGACACGACCAGTTCCGCCGCCGAGAGGTGGCAGCAGTCGCTGCACAACCTATCCCATGACAGGTCGATCCGCTTCTTGCCCGCAAGGACTGCCGACATATTGTGCAACCAAGGGAAAGAAAGATATCTGGACGCTGGTCAGTTGGTGTGAATGGTGGCAGTGTACGATACATACCTACTGTTGACGTCAGGTGAGGTTGGACAGGCTGCGAAACCCTTGACTGCTTTCCCAGTAAGTAAGAATTCAAGGGAACAGTTCTGCCTCCGTCGCATAGCGACGGCCTCTTACAAGCGTCTGATCGACAACGCAAATTGACGTCGTCACATACGATGTGTGTAATGGCTGTACTAACTCAAGAGTCAAGTGTTGTTACGTGTGTCCAGCCGTACGACTCCTGGACGAGGCTGAGCAGTGTCAGACAAAAGGAGAGACAGGAGGCTGTCTGTCGCACTGCTTGCCGTCCAAACCGAGAGAAGTTCTCACCAAACGGAAATGGCTCGCGGAACGAAGCCAGGCACGTCGCGTGAGAGGACGCCCACTCGCAATTGCTGCACAATTGTCTTCGCTGCGTTCTCCTTCATGCATTCGCTGTTTCACGATGCTCCGGCAGTCCTCATTCCCGTTGAAGCCCGTGGCACGAGCCGCTGAGGAGAGAAGGCTCGCCGAAGGGGCTCACGCATGGCGCGGTGGCTGATGATCAGGCAGCGCGCGATTGCCGCCGTCACGTCTGGCTGGGCAGCTGTGCACAATTGTCGCAGGTGGAGGTCGCTGACGGTTTCAGGCCGGAGAGGGACGTGGTCGGACATGCAGATCCGCGGGCGGGGGAGGCTCAAGACGAGAGGCGCTGCGCGGGAAGACAAAGAGCCGCGCACTGTTGCTGGGTTACACAATCGCTGCCCGAAACTCGGTATCCAGACAACAAACACTATATAGACACCAGCCACTCCCCGCTTGTCTCCGCCTTTCCCTCCACCCCCGACCCCCTCCTCGACGCCCACCACCATGCCTGAGCAGACCGCCACCCAGCCTGCAGCCAAGTCCAAGCACGGCCACGCCGCCTCGCAGGCCAGCCGGCTCCGCGCAAAGTGCGCTTCAACGTCGGTACGCACGATCGCCTCACTTTGGGAGCTTCCCTTCCTCATCCGCGGCTTCCATCCTAGGCTCGCAGTACCAGGTGCTTGATGTCGTCGGCGAAGGGGCCTACGGAATCGTATGTTCTGCGGTGCACAGATCCAGTGGGCGCAAGGTCGCCATCAAGAAAATCGCACCCTTTGACCATTCCATGTTCTGTCTGCGTACCCTGCGGGAGTTGAAGCTGTTAAAGTTCCTGAGCGAGGCCGGTGTTAGCGAAAACGTGAGTCGTGTTCACTATGTCGCCACCGTGTGCCACTGCAACTGTCGGCCAGATCATCTCTATTCTCGACATTATCAAGCCACCATCCATAGAGCAATTCAAGGAGGTTTATCGTACGTCCAATCCCAATGCTCTCGTCTACACATCCCTCCAATGCCTGCATCGCAGTGATCCAAGAACTCATGGAAACCGACATGCACCGTGTCATCCGGACACAAGACCTTTCTGACGACCACGCCCAATACTTCATCTACCAGACCCTCCGCGCACTCAAGGCGCTGCATTCCGCCGACGTCATCCACCGTGACCTCAAACCCTCCAACCTCCTCCTGAACGCGAACTGCGACCTCAAGGTCTGCGACTTTGGTCTCGCGCGGTCAGTAAAGACCGCCGAGCCATCGGGCACCGAAACGGGTTTCATGACCGAATACGTCGCGACGCGGTGGTACCGCGCACCGGAGATCATGCTTACATTCAAGCAATATACCAAGGCATGTCTTTACCTTTGTCTGTCTCGCCTTCGCGATTCCGCATGTGGCTGGGACTGACTGGTGCGCGCCTCCAGGCGATCGATATCTGGTCCGTCGGGTGCATCCTCGCGGAGATGCTCTCCGGCAAGCCACTATTCCCGGGACGCGACTACCACCATCAGCTCACCCTCATCCTCGACGTACTTGGCACCCCGACGCTCGACGAGTTTACGCGATCACGACGCGCCGGTCGCGCGACTACATCCGCGCGCTGCCCTTCCGCAAGCGCAAGCCGTTTGCGCAGCTCTTCCCGAACGCGAACGCACTGGCGGTGGACTTCTTGACGAAGAGCTTGGTGCGTAACGCTTGCGGAGGAGCAAGCGGGTCTGGTGTTGATGTCGTTTGTGTGCTGCGTTGCAGACGTTCGACCCCAAAAAGCGCATCACTGTCGAGGAGGCGCTGGCGCACCCATACCTCGAAGCATACGTACGTATTCGCCTCGTCGCCGCGGCTTCTTTCTCATCCTCCTCATCTGTTAGCACGATCCAGAAGACGAGCCCGTCGCACCGCCACTTGACCCGGAGTTCTTCGAGTTTGACTGTCAGTCATCTCCATCTGTGTGCCGATCACCTCGACTGACGTGTTGCCTCGCTTCGTTCCAGTGCACAAGGATGACATCAGTCGCGAACAGCTCAAGGAGCTCCTCTACGAGGAGATCTTGTCCTTCCGCGCGCCGCCCATCGTATAGGCCACGCCCTCGCTGCCCCGTCACCCCGTCCCGCCCATTCGTCTTCCAGACACCCTACCCATATCCACATGCCGTATATACACCCAATTCATCTCCAGACCATCTCGTCGTCAATCATACCGCTGCTGTCCATCTCTCACTTGTATACGTACGTCGGATCGACGCTGTGTCGCGCGTCTGCGGGCGGCGGGCTGAGCCGTGCTTGCTTGCTTGGGGTCGCGGGTCGGGTTACATAGCCTACGTGCAGTCCAAGTTGTGCTTTACTCCGTCGTGTACTTTATACCTGAACCAACATACGTGCGCCTGCACAATTCACGTCGCATGTTCTCGTACAAGTATTGGCGCTCATTTCGCCGTCCGCGTCCGCTGTGTCATGATGGCGTGTGGATTCCATATTGGCGTTGGGCTGTGAGACGCCGTATGGACGTGCAGTGCCTCGCTGCTGTTTTGTGGCGGTGGGCGGTTGGTGGCGGCGGTCGCTCGCCATGCTAGAGCCGGGACTCAATGTAGATCATCCGGTTACATCGGACTTCGGTGCTTGTTTTTCAAGATGGACAACATACGCACGGACGCTTGTCACCTGAATGAGCTTGCTTCCATTCCCCGTCGCGCCTTACATGCACATATGGCTGGCACTGCCACTGCTTGTTCTCTTTCGGGACTCTTCAGGAGATTGATGTCGCGCTCGGATGGTAGTCAGCTCGGAGTGGGGCGTAGATGTACAATCCCGTCGCGGTGACCGCCGTTGCATCATTACGCATCCCCCTGTCAGTTTATAGAGAGGAAGGAACGACGTCATAGCAATGTGTTAAACAGGCTCAGCTATGGAGCCCCACGTCCTATCGTATGTAATTGTGATTCGCACGACTTCGGCCCCTTCCGCACGATCATGAGTCACTCGGAGCTATGTCAGGCTATGCCCTCCTCGCTGACCCCGTGTCGGCTAACAGCAACTGTCGTCACACGAACCAGTAACCATACCTGCGCTACGCAAGTCAGAGCGGCCCGCATACTTGGATAACCGAATCCGCAAACACAAATTCGGAGGATAATCGTGCTCCGAGTCCAAGGACGGCAAGGCCGTTCCCCCTAGTAGACTGAAGAGTGAAACCCTGTTTTAATTACAGTCCGGGGCGTCATTACCAGTCAACACCGAGCACAACCACGCCCAGATGATGATGGGCGCATATAACGGTCGATCGATCAATAGTATGTCCAAGTCTATAAGTAGTTGCTGCCAACGTACGTTACGAACTTGAGCGTATCTTCCTGGCTGCATCGTCGGTGGCCACTCGCTTTGTCGAATTCGCTACCGAGACCATGTTATCAGCACGCGGGAGCGCATGATCTGGACTTCTCGCGACGACCGTTGAGCGAAAAATACAAGGCCTGAACAAGCCACATTCCATATCGGGCGGACAATGGCTGCGGCGCTGATGGGGCGGTGAGACAAACATCCACATATGGCAGTCGATCGAACACGTGCACGGCGCGTTGGTGGCGAAGTTGGGCGCTCCCTGTCTCCCTCATCGTCCTCACGCGCCAGACCGCCGCCGCCCTCCGTGTAATCCTCGTAGGTCGCGCGCAAATTGAATCTTAGCACTGCCATTGTCGCAGAGTGAAATAATTGCACCGTGTCAGTGCGGAAGGTAAGTCATATCGCAGCTACTCAGGTGTGGCGAGAACGCGTCGCTGAGTCACAAGTTGAAGCCACACAGTTATCCGTGGCCCATCAGCCAATACGTCCTTTTGGCGAATGCTTGTGCCCCAAAATCGATATGCCTCGCCGCTCAAAAGCTTCGTGATGCGGGCTCCTCCTCCGCATTTCCCCCCTTCTCACCACGGAAGTACTCGAACCGCCTGCTACACCGCTGAGGACATCGATATGGCGGACAAAGTGACGCCTCACAAAGGTCCTGTGCAAGGGGAACCCACTAACGCCGCCGACGTACGGCAGCAGAGCCAGAAAAACGCGAAGGCGTGGAAGATCGAAGTGTACGACCGCATTGTCGAGGCAGTGCCTGACATCAATGTCTTCCTGGCAGAGTTTGTCCACTCTGAGAAGCCGATCCCCCTTGTCCCGACAACAGGTTCAAAGCTAAAGTGCCTACGGGGAAAGGAAAGGAGTTTAGCATGTACGAACCTCTAGTGAGTGGCGTTGCCCCACTTCATACTCACCGATTGACTGTTGCGCGCATTCATAGATACAGGGCCTCACCAGTCTGGTTCAACACTTCCCCAAGGGGAAATTACCGACATTCCTTAATCACGCGCACCGTACGATGCAATCCCCGTTTGCTCTGTGCGACGAGGAGCAACATGAAACAAAGCCGGACGTCATCGCGACAGTCCCCGGGCTTCCGTGTATCCCACCTACGCATCGCTGGCGACACGTTGCGCTCGTCTTCGAGGCTAAATCTTGTGACAGCGACGATCCGATGGAGACCATCACGGAGACGCACGAGGAGACACTCGTCCAGCTGGCGAAGAGCGCACGCAACATCATGCTTGCCCAGGGGCGATTATTCGCCTTCGTCGTCGGGATCTACGGACACAAGGCACGCATCTTCCGCTTCGATCGTGCAGGGGCCGTATGTTCTCCGTTGTTCAATTACGTGACGAAACCCGAAATTCTGCACGAGTTCTTATGGCGCTTTCTCAACCCGAAGACGAAGGGTTGCGTGGTAGTTGGTGACGATCCGACATCAAATATGGGCACTCGCAAGGACCGCGCAAGGGTGCAAAAATTGACGCAGAAGTACGATCCTTTCTACAAGTACACGGCGGAGAATAGGAAGGCGGTCCGTCGCTTTAAGGTGACTCACGACAAGGGCGTGACGGAGTATCTGGCGTACAAGCTGATATTCGTCAACCCGCGGCTCTTCTCGCGCGCGACGACGATCTGGGAGGCCTTTGAACTTAACAAAAAGGGCGAAGGGACGGGCAAGCGTGTCGTCATCAAGGAGGCTTGGCGACAGTTTGCGCGACCGTCTGAGATCGGATTCTACCGGGCGATGCGGGAGGCGGCAGACGAGGCGGAGGAGGGTGCGGCATTGTCCCTATCCGGTGTCGCTGATTTCGAGTACGGTGACGACCTTGGCTTGCGCGAGGCGATGGAGCTTGACAAAATAGCCCGCCGCGATGCGTCTGGCACGAGCGACGATGACAACACTCCCGCGGCTTCCTTTTCCGAAGAACCGAATGACCCGGACGCATTCCCCCGCTTAAAGGTGCCCTACTGGCAAGTTTTGGGGCATCGGACCGTTACCGCGCGCTGTCGTGACGCAATCCACGAGCACAATGAGCGCGGGCATGTGCGTCTGGTTTTGAACTCGATCGGCACGCCCATCACAGAGTTTGAGTCGACATATGAGCTCGTTCGCGCTCTGCGCGATGCCATCGAAGGTGCGCGGAACTCATCATCGAATAGTGTACGTAAATCTCACACTTGTTTTATGGCAGGTCATAGGCAGGCATACCTGGCTGGTATCGTTCACCGGGATATCAGCAAAGGCAACGTCATGATTGCAAGGAGGATTGACGGTCCCTCTTCGGGCTTTATACACGACCTCGACTACGCGTGCAGTTGGAAGCGCTTCTTGGCGAGCAAAGGGAAGTCCGTCAATCTGGAGAGCTGGAAACAACACGCTCGCGGCGAATACGCGCCTATCAAGCAACGCATACTAGAGAATATGATGCGAAAGATGAACGGGGGCCCAGCAGGCAACGACGACAAGAAACCGGCGACCACAGGGGATCCTAAGGTGGATAACAAGCAACGCACGGTGATTCGCATCGTCGATATATTGTAGCCGACTGCTAATGCACTGTAATAGGGCACGCTGCATTTCATGGCTGTCGAGGTTCTTTCTGGCCACGTTACCCATGAAGCTCGCCATGACCTGGAATCCTTCTACTGGCTCCTGGTGTGGATAGTCCTCCGACACACGGCATTCATTCATCCGAACGGGGAATGGGCATGGCACGAGCTCTTTGGCGCTGGAACGATCGCGAGCTGCTGCACACTCAAGGAGTCGTGGCTCAAGCGAGGCTACACTCCAGTCATGGTAATGCAAAATATGCCGCTCACTACGCTCCTGGAGGAGTTCCGACAGCTGTGCAAGACGAACTTCGACAACGAGGATTTGAAGAAGCAGTGCATGACCCATGAAGACGTCTTGAATATTTTCAACAAGGCTCTGGAGAATCCTGGCGCTTGGCCTCAGGACGACCGTGCGAAGCCCTGGACTCTGCCGAAGAGCGACCAATCAGACCAGGTCCCGGGCATGGAAGAGCGCTCAGGTCAGGCTCGTACCAAGGGTACCTTGACCTACACTTCTGCGGCAGCATCACGTAGTGCATCTCGACTCGGCGCTCGACTTCAACCGAAGAAGCGTCCCGAGAGTCCACCAGCCCCCTCGACCTCGAAAGCACAGCCAAATGAAGAGCATACGGACACGGATACAGCCGAGTCCGATGTCGATGAGTCCGACAGAGGTCCTGCGAAACGGACGGCACGCTCGCGCTCTGCCGGCAAACGACGAGTAGCTGGCCAACACACGTCCACCACAATGTCTCATGCATCGGGCAGTAATGAGGTTCCGCCTTCCAGTGGCAGCGAGTCACTCAAGCGGCATCGGTCGGGTTATGCTTTGCGCTCAGTGCAGACGACGAAGGTGGAGGATGTCCGGCAATCTGCGAGGAGCACGTCTCGCAAGATGGGACCTCCGCCCGCTCCGAGAACCCGCTCTGGCGGGTCGCAGAGCCAGTCTGCGAGCCGCCCTATCAGTGCGCAGGGTGTGGCGTCGAAGAGGGGTAGTAGCGCAACGAAGCGGACTCGTGCGCGCGGAGGCGATGTGGAAGTCGAGGACGATGCCGGCGCATCGCACTCGTCGAAACGGCAAAGGAAGCTCAGCCAGCCTGAGACGGGCCAGGGCTCGCAGAAGTCCCGGGTCAGGCGATAACGAAACCGTGCGTCGGTATTGTGTAGTTCGCTTTAAGCATGACGCATGAGAGGTGGTATTGACATTGTAACAGTATCTGAGCTCGTCTCTGAGGTTCTACTTTGTACTTTTCGTACACTCGCAGCGATTCGCATGTTCTACCTCTTCATGGCTGGCTGCGTGCCGTCAGTTCTCGAATCGATCCGGGTTGGACTACATCAATCTTCGTATTTTATGTAAGATACAAGGCGCTAGCGCTACTCACCAGGCCAGTCTCAGTGCAAGTGAGCGCAGCTCAACAGTGGCTCGGCGCATGGCCGTTCTTCTCATAATCGTCGCTGCCAGTGAGTACGAGTTCCCAGCGACTTCCTCATGTCGTGATTATGTCGCACTGCCGCACATCCAACCATAGCAGCTACTTGCCACCGGCATACATTGCCCCGAGGACTTCAGATCGATCTTCCAATACCTACTCAGAACTACTACCCCTTTGCCACGAACTGCACGAAGATCCATGTCAATTGTACTGCAATGGGTTCGTATGTGGCTTCACGCTTCAAGGGTTGTATGGCATTCTGTGCACGGCTTCTGGTGCTTCCTGAAGGCTGCTATGCACGGACAACACAGGGTCCGGGTGCCAGCGGACTCAAGAGCTCATGACTGACTTTGGGATGCGGCAGACCTGATGAGACTAGGGACCCAGTGTCGTCTAGGTGACTGTATACTAGTGCTTGTTTTTTCATGAGACTTCAAGTTCGTGAGGAGAATTGATCCGTATATAGCTGTAGATTCTGTACGCCATTTGGCCCTTCGCGCGACCCCGAAGCTATGTCCTCCGAGTCCTCGACGACGGCCTGAGTCTGACCAGTTACATCTACTGACACAGCTAGAACCGCGCAGGCCAACAGCAACTGTCGTCGGCCGTCAGACACACGAGCCAGTAACTATACCCGCACTACATGCAGTCAGAGTCCGCAAAGACAATCTGAATCCGCAATACAAATTTGTAAGATGATCGTACCGTCAAGAAGCAAGGTCACGGTCATTTTCCCTATAGAAGACTTGTTTCATCACGGTCCGGCGCGTCATGCACCAGTAGGCAGGACTTCACCTGGCTCAGAATGTTGAGCGCCAGATACCGGTCGATCGGCCCTACATAAGTATCTCTCGAACACCCGTACCACTGAGTAGTAGCGGTACTAGGGGAAACGTGACGAGTCAATATTGTGACAGACTCTACTAGCATAAGCCTGAGTACTATCTCTATCCTGGCTTGCATCGTCGGTGAATTACAGCTGTACCTTTTTGAGTATCGCTACCGAGCCGATATCATCAGCACGCAGTGGCGTCTGGAAAGGCATGATCTAGACTTCTCTCGACGACCGTTAAGCAAAACAGCACAAGGGACTGAGTTGGAACCAGGTGCCTTCCATATCGGGCGGACAATGGCTGATGTGGGCGGTGAGACAATGTCCACATATGGCAGGTCGTACGAACACGTGCACGGCGCGTTGGTGGCGGATTCGGGTGCTTCCTGTTCAACGCGACCGTAGAACGCGAACGCCCACCGTGTACCGCTCGCCGCTCGCGCTCGAATTAACGCTAGAACCTTCATTTCTGCGCAGTGAGTTCAAAACATCGCGCAAGTGCAGAAAATAAGTCTTATCGCAGCTACTAACTTCAGATTAGGTTTGGCAGAACGTATCGCTGACCACACAGATATTGGTGGACCATCAGCGCTTCAGCCGACACGTCCATTTGATTGCTTGTGTCGCAGAATCGATATGCCTCGCCGCTCAAAAGCTTTGGCGGTGCGGGCTCCTCTGCATTTCTTCCCTTACCACGAGAGTATTCGAACCGCCTGCTGTACCGCTGAGGACATTGTCATGGCCGACAAAGTTACGCCTTACAAAGGCCCTCTGCAACCTGTGGTGACAGACGTGTCGAGCAACCTGGAGAAGAGCGAGAGTAACGCAAAATCGTGGAACACCGAGATCTTCGAGCGGATCGTCGAGCCCGAGATAAAAATCAAGACCTTCTTGCAAGAGTTCGTCCCGTCGAAACAGAAGACCTTCAAATGTCCTGATACAAAATTCATGGCGACGGTTCCGACTGGTAAAGGAAAGGAGTTGAAGATGTATAGGCCGCTAGTAAGCACCACTCGTGCAGATGTCCTGGCCGCTACTGAAAGCACCTTGCAGGTGAAAGGCCTCACAAGCCTGGTCCGCAACATTCCCGATGACAAGCGGCCTATGTTTCACAACCATGCCCATCAAACCATGCGATCCCCGTTTGCGATGTGCGACGACGAAGAGCACTCCACGAAGCCGGATGTTATAGCGAGGATTCCGGGGCTTCCATACATCTCGCCTGCTGATCGCTGGAGGAACGTCGCGCTTGTATTCGAAGTGAAAGCTACTGCCGCGCAAGATCCCATGGTGCGGCATGCGGCCGAGCATGAGGACACGCCCATCCAGCTGGCCAAGAGCGCGTGTAACATCATGTCCGCGCAGGGACGATTGTTCGCATTCGTGGTCGGGATCTATGGACACGAGGCACGCATCTTCCGATTCGATCGAGCAGGGGCTGTATGTTCTCCGTCGTTCAACTACGCAGAGAATCCCAAGCTCCTGCACGAGTTCTTCTGCCGCTTCCTCAACCCTACGCTCAAAGCTTGTGTGGTAGTCGGCGGCGATCCCACGTCCAGTCTTGGCACCCACAAGGAACGTATGCAGGCACAGGAGCTGGCGGCTGAGCACGACCCTTCATACGAGTATATGCCGGAAAACAGGAAGGTGGTCCGTCGATTCGTAGTGACGGAGGGCAAAACCAAGAAGACGTATCTAGCCTACAAGCTGATATCCGTCAATCCACGGCTCTTTTCGTGCGCGACGACGATCTGGGAGGCGTTCGAACTTGACAAAGAGGGCGAAGCGACAGGCAGGCACGTTGTCATCAAAGACACCTGGCGGCAGTTTGTACGGCCATCGGAGATAGATTTTTATCTCATGGTGCAGGAGGCTGTGGCTGAGGAGGCGGAGGAAGGTGTAACATTAGCGGAATACGGGGTTGCCAAGATCGTGTGCAGCGATGATCTAGGGTTGCGCGAGGCCAAGGCCCTCAATAAGAAGGCCAAGACGAAGTCCAAGGCGAAAGAGTACGTTGGTGATTTCCCGAGACTGAAGGTGCCTTGCGCGCGTGTACTGGGACACCGGACTGTCTCTGCCGGGCATTATGGCAAGGGCCTTGAACACAACGAGCGAGGACAGATGCGGCTCGTTTTCGAGACCATTGGAAAGCCAATCACGATTTCGACTCGACGTACGAGTGGTTAGTGCTCTCCGTGACGCAATTGAAGGTGCGTCGTGCCTACCTTGTTATGATGACGTTGACGAGTGTGCTGCGATAGGGCATCGACGAGCGTATGAGGCTGGCGTTATTCACCGAGATGTCAGTGGCGGCAACGTCATGATAGGCAGAAGAGCAGACGGAACGTCCTTCGGCTTCATTCATGACTTCGACCATGCATTCAACTGGAAGGCGTTCTTGGTGAGCAAGAACATCCCATCCGAATTGCACAGCTGGGAACAATACGCTGGGGCAGAATATGGACGCGACTGGCGGGAGCAGGCGGGAGAGTCGAGTGCGGTGGAATGGAGCGACAGTGATGACAATTCGAGTAGCGAACCAGCTCAATGCATGCCGAACAACTCGACCAGTCAACGCGAGCAACCCACCACGAAGGACTCGAAACTTGATCATAAGCAACGCACGGTGAGCCAGTCATCTTGTTCGCGTGTCTGACGATTGCTGATCATTGACAGGGGACGTTATATTTCATGGCCGTCGAGGTACTTGACGAGAGCTTCAGCGTCACGCACGAAGCTCGGCACGACCTCGAATCCTTCTATTGGCTGCTGGTATGGATAGTCCTACGCCATACAGCGTACATTCATGCCAAAGGAGACCGTGCGTGGCATACACTTTTTGACGGGGGGACAATAGAGAATTGCCTGTCACTCAAGATGAAGTGGCTGAACAAATCAAAAAAGCGGCCTCTCAAAGTCGAGGGAAATGAGAGGCTCACGCGGCTATTGGAGAAGTTCCGAAAGCTCTGCAAGACGAACAATGATAACCTTAACCTGGAGCACAGCTGCATGACGCATGAACAGGTCCTCGATCTCTTCAATCACGCTCTGGAGAAACAGCATGCGTGGCCTGAGAACGACCGGGCAAAACCATGGACTCCGCCCAAAGGTAGAGCGGACGAACCGGATGCTATGGAGAAGCGGTCAGGGCAGTTACGCACGAAGGGGACCCTCACCTATACCACTCAGGGCGCGGGGCGCAGTGCATCTAAGCGCGATACACAGCGTCGAGCAGAGAAGCGTCCCGCAGCTCCAAATCCTACCCCCGATTCGGACGCCCAGTCTGATGACGGACGGGCGGGTGCAAACGTGCCGAACGTAGGTACTTCCAAGCGTGGAGCAACTTCAGGCGCGGTTCGAGGCAAGCGACGGCCTGCTGCTCTACATACCTTGACTACGTCGGCCCATACATCAGGAGGCCACGAAGTCCCGCCTTCGACCAACAGCGACTCGGTGGAGAAGCATCCGCACTATGATCTGCGCTCGGCGAAGACGAAGAAGGTAGACGAGGGTCAGCAATCCGCGAGGAGCACGTCTCGCGAGATGGGACCTCCGCCCGCCCCAAGGACGCGTTCTGGCCGCTCGCAGACCCAGTCTTCAAGCCGTCCTGCTGGTAGGCAAGACGTGGCGTCGAAGAGGGGGAGCAGCACGTCGAAGCGGACTCGTGCCAGTGCGCGCGGAGGCGACGACGTGGTTGAGGACGACGCTGATGTATCGCATTCGTCGAAACGTCAAAGGACGCTCAGCAAGCCTCAGCCTCGGACCAGCCAGAGCTCTCGCAAGCCCCGGTCCAGGCGGTGACAGAATGCCGGTCTGTGCTTTCGTCGGTCAGACGGTATAATAGTTGGCCTGGTGTATGACGCATGAGGTGATACTGACATTGTGGACTGTATCATACTAGTAGTTCGTCTCCGAAGTATCTGTATCTGGCTTGTATTTATTCGTGCGCGTCATTATGGAGGAGACGGAATCATTCTGACGCCGTAGCGTGGCGCTGCTTGGTCGTTTTCGCGTCTGAATCTGAGGCGCGAGTACGGTGATATCGGGACTCCTATCACTATCATTTAACTTTCCCGATAGTACGTATGGAGTTCAGGTGGCGTCAATTCTGGAGTCCTGCGTTGATATAGGTCCGTGCCTACTGGAAGCACCGAACGTACCGTGTCCACGTTATTGATGTGCTATCTCAACTTGGTTGACTAGAGAAATCTCGGATTGATCTTCGAAACCTCAAGCTGGCTAGCGATGTGTTCAGTGCGTGCATAGCTAGTACCTTCGGTGTATTGGCCTTCAATTCTCAACCGCAGGCCCTTTTACTCACCGCCCTGGAGCTCGATATTCACCGGCCGCTGCGTCCGACGCATAAATAACACTCCTACTCACCGGTTGAATTAAGCTACTCGGATGGATCGATGAGAAATCCCGACGACGTGGACGCCCCATGATGGTCCCTCCTCCCGCGGGCGAGGAAGCTTGGAAGGTCAAGTTGGCAGAGCCGCGCACGTAAGCCTATACTAAAATTCTATATATGGTAATGTGCTCCGGCCTGTCCCGGGTAGTTGCGAAAACATTGCTCATTGAGCGCCAGATGTAGTTCCGAGCCTCCTCCGAGTCCGCCTGCTTGAGTCACGGCGCAGGGCATTGCAGGCGCGCAGAAGACGTCCTCAAATATTTATACGGTTGTGGATATCCATGCATGGCCGGCCGTCTTTCACCGCTCAACTCCTCAGGTTCGCCCCGCCCACCTCTGGTGTCATTCAGTCCAGTTCAAGGCACGGCGGGTAATACTCGAATATTTCATCAAGCGATCAGTATTTCCTCTGGACTAGTCAGTTGTTGCTGACCCTCCTATACTCAATGTCATACATGCCGAATTCAACTCATCGTCTCGCTCACTATCCACCATGGATTACTCGTTGGCTTGGGTATCGTGCAACACCGCCGCCAAACCGCTCGCAGTACCTCGTCTGGTTTTGGTCTTCATCGGTGCTTTCTCCGGACTATGCGTTTTACAAGCCGTGTTTGGCCACGCACGATATTTCATTGACCGCGGCGTGCCTTCCATGATTGCATCCTATGTGAGTCAATTCGTGAAAAGATTTGAACGTAGTAGGCTCACATAGAATCTGAACAGGGTGCGTCAGCCGTCCTATGCTACGGTGCGATCGAGGCACCTCTCGCGCAGCCTCGCGCTCTCATCGGCGGACACTTCATCTCTGCCCTCTTGGGGCTATGCATCACCAAGCTCTTCTCGCTCAGCCCGCACTTCGAGTCCATCCGGTGGCTCGCCGCGTCCCTCTCCACGTCCGCCGCCATCGTCGCAATGCAAATCACCGGAACGACACATCCGCCCGCAGGCGCGACGGCCCTGCTTCCCGCGCTAGACGACGACGTATGGCACCTCAGCTGGTATTACCTCCCCGTCGTCCTCCTGTCGAGCATGCTCGTGCTAGTGACGGCGCTGCTGGTGAACAACGTGCAGAGGAGGTACCCGACGTTCTGGTTCACGCCGGCGATACCGGCTGTGGCGAAGACATTGCGGATCTGGGCGCACCAAACGCACAGCAGAATTGTGCGAACGGCTCCGCGAGCATGTCTTCCTCAACCACGGCTGCCGCTCCTGCGCCTAGCACGAATGAAAAACAAGTGACTAGGAATGATATAGTTTGAAAGTCATGACGGTACGTGTATCATGTCCCGGATCACAAGTGCGGTCTGACTGAAAACTGGTTTTGAAGGATGTGGTCTGTGAACGCAATACGTCGCGGAAGCAAGTGGCTGAAACCAACTCATCTCCGGAGTATCGCAATTCTCAAGCAGGCTTCATGGAATTCGTCGTACGGAGTACTGCCCACTATGTACGCTAGCCAGAGACACGCCGCTCCGGGAACAGCTGTGGACGATAGTACGGTGCAGAGTGAACAAAGCATTATATCCCCGTCTCCTAATCGGACAACCTCCACCACTCAAGATCTTTGTTTGAGGCTCAAGCATACACCACTCTAATCGTTGGTCGGACTGAATTGCGACGTCAAACTATGCCAAACTAAGTATCGTACAAAATATTGCCACCAGTTCCTTCCTTCGCCATCCAATCTATGGCGTTCACCTCGCCGCAGGTCGTATTAGTGCCCGGACGGGAAGCCCGTAAAGATCGGTCCGGGGGCTTCAGGGTGGTCCGCTACCTGGCGCCTCTCACCTCGCCGGAGTCTGCGCTCGTCGTGTGCGTCGGCCGGATGACGGTGATCGTCTCGGGGACGAACGTCGTCGTGCGTGTGATGTGCGTGATGGTCACGGTGCGCGTCTGGGTGGATTCCGCCGGCGGGGCAGGAACTGAGACGAGGGTGGGTCAGAATCAGGGAAGGCGGACTACTAGTGAAGGTGCGAGGTTACTCACCGGCGTTGACACCGAGTGTTGCGCATGCTGCGACGAGAAGGGCAAGCGCTGTCTTCGAGGAGCCGAACATCGTGTTGAACAGAGGATCGAGGTGTCTCTGCAAATGTGCGGCGGTGGGCTGTGTTGTGAATCTTAGTTTACCATTCACGCATGCTATATACCCGTCATGTCGGTCGGCGAGCTGTCCACCGTTTGTCACGCCAAGTCGGTTACAGAGCGGAGATTCCGACGTTCGTGTGGTCATCGAGCAGGCCTTTCGTGAGGCTCGGCGTTGCGTGATGTCATCTTCCGCAGGTCTGCTTGATTTCATGCGACGTACAACACATCATATTCAGCAACAGAGAGGTCACACGACAAGGCAAAACAACTACAGAACTGTTCTCCCCTTCATCCCGGTAAGCGTTGAACGTTGAACGTTGAGGCCGGAGTCCAATCATGGTTGCAACGTCGGAGCCGACGACAGCTCGATCGCCGGATGTTCCTGAACGCCCACACACGATCGAGCGCGTCAGTATTATCGGTGCCGCTTTCTGTGGAGCGCTGTGGATTTCAACGATACACCGAGTGAAGCGGGGATCGTCCAAATTCCAATGAGTAACTCAGCTGTGGTGAAGAAGTTATCGCGGTTTGTGCCGTTGGGCCGTGCTGCTAATATGTGAGACCTCCACTATCGCAGTCTGATATCTCGCAAGGATGTCATTGAGTAACTCACCAACTGCCGACACATTGGTACGCGTCATATGTAGCGCGTAAGTAGGACAGGCGGGAAGTCCCGATTTAGACTGTGCGCCTTTGGTTCCGCCGCGGTGCCATACGGTGGAGCGGTCATTCCTAAACCTTGTGAGTTTGGGGCTGCATAGTTGCTAAGCTGAAAACACACCGACATTCGTACCTTGGGGCTTGAACACGAACGACGGGGCCGCCGAGGTGGCGAATCGTATCGCCGTGCGGAAAAATTGAAGGCCCAGCCTGATGGTAGCATCCGACAACGATGGAGTGACATAACACATTACGCATGGTTATTCCGTGCGCAAGGAGGGGAGCGGCGGGTATTGCGATGTGTTTAGGCAGCGGGCTCGGTCGGGTATGATGCAGTGAAGGAGCAGGCCGCTGGGAGCATGCAATGCGGGCCGTTGAAATCCGGGGCGGCCTGACGACCTGCATGCCTCATTTGTTACCGAGCAGACGTATTCGGGACATGGTCTCGCCGAGGACACATTGGTATCGTCATTGCAGGGCTTCGTGACTCTGACCTAAACTTCGAAGAGTATATAGACAGCGGTGTCCGGGTCCGGGGACACAGTTATCGATCCGCCGCATTCACGTTTTTGCTCGCACATCTTCGCCTGCCAGCACCGGTCCGCCATGATCTTCAACGCCAAGTTCACTTCCCTTGCCGCGGTCGTCGTGGCAGCTTGCACCTACGGTGCCCAAGCCTGTGAGTACCGCCAAACCCCATGAAGCAGTTGTCCTTACCCTACCTCCCGCAGCGCCCGCCGGGCCGATCTCTATCACCCTCACGACCACGACGGTGACGCAGACGATCACGAGGCAGTCAATTACGACCGCCACCGCGTCGGCCACGCCTCCCGCCGACATGAACGGCGGTGGTGCGGAAGTGCAGAAGCGCCAGGACAGCTCCGACGACGGGACCGTGCTGAGCGGTGTGTTGGGCACGCAGCCGTTCACCATCACCATCCCGCCGCTGCTTTGCCTCCCGACCCCGACGTCCAGCGGCTCGTCTGCTGCTCCCACGAACGGCACCAGTCAGGGGCACCACCACCACAGCGACAACGGCACCGTCAGCTCGTCGACTACGGACAGCGCCTTCTCATCGGCCTCGTCAACGGACGTCTCGAGCTCGAGCGCGACCGCCACAACGGTGTCTTGAAATGTGGTACGAAAACAGCCGAATGTAGACAACGGCGATTGCGAACAGCATAGGACACACCTGTATACGAAAGGATTGTACATTAGCATATGAATCGAATATTCCGACGTCCTCTGACCACGCACTTCGCGTTCGGTTGCTGCCAAAGTGGTGTGTTTTGGGAAAAACCGCATGCGTCCCTTAACGGTTGTTAACTCGAATTGAACTCTGGGCATCACATAGATTAGGTCACCAACTCGAAGAGAAATTGGAACCCACTGAGTACACCTGTATCATTACGCCACCTTCGCTCAACACGTTCGGTGAGCTGCGAGCGGGCGGCATGCTTTGGGCATGCTTCACGAGAGAGTGTAGGCCTACTCTTCATTTAATATGCCGGTCAGCTTGTCACAGAGAGCTATATCGACCGTCCATATGTGTAGGGCAGAGAAAGCTATTGCAGTTATCCCGCAAGACGGCAAACGAAATGATGCTCAAGAGCATGATGCCCTCGAGAGTCGAGACGACGAACTTGCGACGAACTGAAGGGAAATGTGAGGCGTCTCCACGATATTCGGGCTCCGATAAGACTTGCAAGTCTCGGCCAGACAGGGCGAGACGAGGTGGCCCAGGGTGGCCCACATGGTCGTATTCCCATCATATTGATGCACCAGCATTTGAGGCGTCGTGTACGGCCACGGCAGCGACAACCTGGCCTGCGACAAAAGGGCCACTGGTACAACTCGTTGTCTATTCCAGCGTCGATGTGTTGTGGCAGAGTACCGCGGAGCTTGACGGAGTGCGAATGAGTGGCACGGTGGTCGCGTCAGGGCGTCTGGTAATTTGTTGTCCTTCGACTCTGCTGCCTCCGTGGCCCACACGCACCTTCTCCCCCGCATCATCTCCCATTTTCACGGTGAGCACATCTCTTCAGGGCACGTTTCTTATGCTGAATAGACCGCAGTAGCACCATCATGAACACCAACGGCACTTCCACCGTCAATCCTTCCGAAGTCGGCTGGCAATTCGTCCCGCAATACTACACGTTTGTTAACAAACAGCCCAATCGTTTGCACTGCTTCTACACTAAAGCCTCTACATTTGTCCATGGCTTGGAGGGCGAGGATATCAAGCCGTGCTTTGGCCAGCAGGTGCGTATCCCATCCAGCCCGGTGCTGACGCGTCGTGCTTCGTAATACGCGTGGGAGGCCAGGGTGCGCTCAGCGCGTCGGCACTGGCGGGCCTCCCGTTCCCAGCGGATGCATTGCACTCGCGGAACTCGCATTACACCGCAGTCACCGGTACAGGGCGTCGGGCTGACGTTCGTGTCAGGAAATTCACAATAAAATCACTTCCATCGGTTTCCAAGATTGCAAAGTCTTCATACACTCGGTCGACGCTCAGTCCTCTGCAAACGGCGGCATCATCATCCAGGTCATCGGTGAGATGTCAAATCAGGGCGAGCCCTGGCGCAAGTTTGTCCAGACGTTCTTCCTCGCCGAGCAGCCCAACGGCTACTTTGTGCTCAACGACATCTTCCGTTTCCTCAAGGAGGAGGCCGTTGAGGACGACCAGGCGAGTGATGTTGACTCTGCTGCTCCACGGCCCCTGCCGTGCAGGTCTCCCCTGCTCCGCCAGCACCTTCTTCGCCGTCGCCCGTGCCACCCGCTCCCATTGAGTTCCTTCCGGAGCCCGTCGCGTCACCTACGCCCCCGCCTGCTCCTGCGCCGGAGGAGCCCCCGGCGCCTCCTACTCCCGAACCTGCACCTACACCTGAGCCTGTGCAGCAGCAGCCCAACGGTGTGCACCCGGAGCACGAACAGGAAGCTATTCTAACTCCCCCCAGGTCGCCATCGCCCGCCCCGGAGCCACCAGCAACAGCGTCGCCCCCGCCCGTGTCGCCCCCACCGAAGGAGCAGCCGCTCCCCGCACCAGTTGTCCCCGCACCGCAGCCGCCGCCACCACAGGCCGCTCCACCACCAGTGGCTCAGCCTGCTCCTGCTCCTGCTCCTGCCGCTCCCCAGCCTCAGCAGCCACCTCAGCGGAAGACCTGGGCAAACCTGGCGGCGAAGGACTCGAACAAGTGGGGCGCGGCGGTGGCAAATGACGCGCGTGGTGTGAGCGAGGCTCCTGTGATGACGGGCACGCCAGTCCCGGTCAACGGACCTCAGTCGCCCGCGCCGCATGTGACGACGCGGCCAACGGTGCAACACGCGCATCCGAGCCTGGTCGCTGCTCAGACAGTCGCGACGCCCCAGTGCTTCGTCAAGGTACGTTCATCCCCAGAGCGCGTGACCGTGATACTGACCCCTCCGCAGAGCGTGACGGAGAACATCTCGGACGCGGCGCTGAAGAAGACGCTCACCGAGCGGTTCGGGCCGATCAAGGAGTGCGAGGTCCTGCGCAACAAGGCGTGCGCGTTCCTCGAGTTCACGCAGCTCGACGCGGCACGGCGCGCGATCGTCGCGTCGCTCCCGATTCCGCAGGGCGGCGAGGGCGGCATCCGCATCGAGGGCGCGGAGGGCAACGCGAGGATCTTCGTGGAGACTCGCAAGGAGCGCAGTGAGCGCCCGCCGCCGCGCGGCGGGCCGATGGGTGGCGACCGGGGACGGGGTGGTGGCTTCCGCGGGCGCGGAGGCCCTGGCGGGCGTGGACGGGGTGCACCGCCGCCGCAAAAGTAAACTGCTAATCCCTTCGGTGGTGGCCGTGGTGGTGAGTGGAGTGGGCGAGAGGGGGTGGGCGGGCGCACGGCGTGCGGGTGTCCTCTGGTCTGGGCTGGCGGGTTGTGATTTTGCATTCTTTGGGGAGACGGACCAGCATCCAGTGGACGGTCGCGCGCCGGGGGCGCGCCGCGAAAAGTACGAAACGCTTGTCTGTGTTCTAACGATCTTGATGTCGAGTTGCGTAGCTTAGTGTCACCAGTCGTCGCTTTCTGTTGTTGCAACATTCTCGAAATGGCATGCTTTCCACGTCTATGCTGCTCATTTATGTGTGGGTCACTTGTTCTGTACGGGTGGTTCAGACGGGTGGAGGGAGGATGTCCGGGGCGATTGGAATATGATGGGAAACACCTGTCTTCTACCGTTCGACGATTGCGGATAGCTCGTATGTTACAGTACAATTACACAAGATCAATACAGTGGAAAGCCAGAACGTACACGATCTACATAATACGCCACTTGCAGAGAAACGATGCTTCTCCGTTGTCAAGTAATCCGTGGTAGTAACGCTAGCAGCTACGCGACAACAATTTGCGGCCACATAACACGACGCTGGTGAGCTAGCCTTCATGTACGCTTGCCCCGTGGCTTGCGCGATGACCTAGTGTTTCGAGGGTTGCTCAGAGTCCGCGGACGTTTCGATGAGTGAGACGACCCAGCGTCATCTCCGACGTCGTCTTCGTCCTCTTCTTCACGAGTGCGAGTCCGCTTCGTCGCGCTGCTCCCTCGTTTCGAGGCGCCGCCCTGTCTACTAGCAGGCCGTTTGGACGATTGGCTCTGCGACCCTCGGACTCGAGAGCGGGTCCTCGGAGCAGGGGGAGGTCCCATCTTGGGAGAGGTGCTGCTGGTTGACTGTTGAACCTCGTCCGCCTTCTTGGTCTTCACCGAACGAAGAAGGTAGCCGGACGGGTGTGATTGAGATGAACCGCCGTCACTTGATGGGGGGATCTCGTGGGTGCCAACAGCGTTAGACTCTGTAGTCGAGGTACGCGTAGTGGCGGTTCGTCCTCCAGTCGATTGACCGCGGGCAACTCTCGCCCGACCCTTCCGCCTGGCTGCCTTCGCTGCATCCTGCGCATCGGTATCGGATGAATCCGTCTCCGTCTCCGTTTGCTGTCCCTCGTGAAGTTCGTTGGCACGGCGAGTCGGAACGGGAGGCCGGGGAAGATAACTCGATATGTCGCGCGATGCCCCTTGAGAGGTGTAGGTGAGGGTGCCCTTGCTGCGGCGTTGACCAGATGGCCTCTCCATACCCGGTATCTCACCGACTGGGTCATACTTGGGTGGAGTCCAGGGTTTCGCGCGGTCGTCCTTGGGCCAAGCGTCGCGCTTCTCCAATGCCTTGTTGAAAATCGCCAGGACTTCCTCGTGAGTCATACGAGCGTCAGGGTCTTCGTGGTTTCTCTTACAGAGCTTCCTGAAGTCCTCCAGGAGGCCTGTCAACGCTTCGTTGGATTCGACCATCACTGACGGTTCTTTCCTCAGCCATGACTCTTTAAGAGCTATGCTTTCGTGCAACCTTGCGTCGAATAGACGGTGCCAGGCCTGCTCGCCATCAAGATGCAGATAGGCAGTGTGCCGCAGGACGATCCACACCAGCAACCAGTAGAAGGACTCGAGGTCATACTGAGCTTCGTGTGGAATGTCTGCGTGCTCGTTGAGAACTTCGATCGCCATGAAGTGTAGTGTACCCTTAGATCATGTATTAGTCATGGGCGCACGAGTAGAATGGCTGGCCTACCGTTCGCTGCTTGTGGTCGTTCTTTGGGTCTTTAGGGTTCGGCGCAGGTTCGCCGGTGGAGTTGCCGCGCATCTTGGCTACCATTCGCTGTAACATGGTCTGCATGACGTCCTTGTACTCATCTCGAACGTATTTGTCCCACTGCTTCATGTTGACGGGCCTCCCTGAGCCCCGCAGGAATCGTTTCCAGCTGAATGCGTAATCGAAGTCATGAATGAAGCCTATGATTGAACCATCCGGTCTGCGGGCAATCATGACGTTGCCATTACTGATGTCTCTGTGGACGACTCCAGCCACATAGGCTTGTCGATGCCCTGTTGGAAAATCCGACGTGAACACTTCATTCATCTCCCATTGTAGCAATTCGACGTACCCTCTATGGCGTCCCGGAGAGCCGTAGCCAACTCGTACGTTGACTCAAAGTCAGTGATCGGCACTCCGATCGTCTTCGAAACCAACCGCGTTTGACTGCGCTCGTTGTACTCGATGTCCCCGTCTCGGCAGCGGGCGGTTACGGTCCTATGTCCCACGACGTGCCAGTAAGGCACATCCAGTTCAGGAAAATCTTCGAAACATTCATCTGCGGTAGACGGTGCCACAGTGTCCTTGTCCTCGCCGGCCAGCTTCCTTGCCTCTCGCAAGCCCAGATCATCGCCATATTCGAACTCGGCGATGTTGGCGAAAGACAATGCTGTACTCTCCTCTGCCTCGTCTGCTGCCTCCTGAAATAAGCGATAGAAGCCGATCTCCGATGCCCGCACGAATTGTCGCCAGGCCTCCTTGATAACGACACGTTTGCCCGTCCCTTCGCCCTGTTCGTCAAGTTCAAAGGCCTCCCAGATCGTCGTCGCGCGCGAGAAGAGTCGTGGGTTAACGAATATCAGCTTGTACGCCAGATACGTCGTCTTCTCTTTGCCATTAGTCACTATGAATCGACGGACGGCCTTCCTATTCTCCGCCGTGTACGTGTACGAAGGATCGTACTTCTGCGTCAAATCCTGCACTCGTGCGCGATCCTCATGAGTGCCCAAACTAGAGGTCGGATCGTCGCCAACAACCACGCAACCCTCCTGCTTCGGGTTGAGAAAGCGGTAGAAAAACGCGTGCAGAATTTGGGGCTCCTTCATATAATCGAATGGCGGAGAACATACGGCCCCTGCTCGATCAAAACGGAAGATGCGTGCCTTGTGTCCGTAGATCCCGATGACGAAGGCGAACAATCGGCCCTGCGCAAGCATGATGTTGCGCGCACTCTTGGCCAGCTGGACGAGCGTCTCCTCGTGCGCCTCCGTGCAAGTCACCATGGGATCATCCGTGTCACATGGTTTGGCCTCGAAAACCACGGCGACATTTCGCCAGCGATCAAGAGGGGGATATACGGGAGTTCGGGGATGGTCGCTACGACGTCCGGTTTTGTGACATGCTGGTCGTCGTCGCCGAGAGCAAATGGGAATCGCATGACATTGTGTGCATGGTTCACGAACTCCGGTCGTTTCTTCTTTTCGAACTGGCGCACTAGGCTGGTCAGGCCTTTTACCTGTGGATCCGCGTGAGAGGTGGCTGGCGAAGATGAGTAAGTAAAGCCAACTGACCAGAGGCCCGTACATGCGGTGTTCCTTTCCTTTCCCAGTAGGCACCTTCGCGCTGAACGTAACGTCTGGACAAGCGGGGACGGGCTTTTCAGAGTGAACAAATTCCGTCAGAAAGGAACCGATGTCCTCCACAGCTTCGACGATCCGCTTGTGTATGTGGCTTTTCCAAGCCTTTGCGTCTTTCTCGCTCTGCTGCCGTTTATCCGCCGCATTCGTAGGCTCGCCGGGATCGCCGCCCCTGCGAGGCGTGACTTTGTCGGCCATGTCGGACTGATCAATAGTGTAACAGGCCGTGCAAGGGCGGTCGTGGCAACGAGAGGAAGAGTATGGGGGAGGAGCCCGCATCACCGAAGCTTTTGAGCGGCGAGGCATATCGATTTTGGGGCACAAGCACTTCGCCACAAATGGACGTATTGGCTGATGGGCCACGGATAACTGTGTGGCTTCAACTTGTGACTCAGCGACGCGTTCTCGCCACACCTGAGTAGCTGCGATATGACTTACCTTCCGCACTGACACGGTGCAATTGTTTCACTCTGCAACAATGGCAGTGCTAGGGTTCAATTTACGCGCGACCAGCGAGGATTACACGGAGGGCGGGGGCGGTCTGACGCGTTGAGGACGATGAGGGAGGACAGGGAGCGCCCAACTTCGCCACCAACGCGCCATGCACGTGTTCGATTGACCTGCCATATATGGATGTTTTTTCACCGCCCCATCAGCGCCGCAGCCATTGTCCGCCCGATATGGAATGTGGCTTGTTCAATCCTTGAAACCCGTCTGCTCGCCGCACGAAATGCTGACCATACGTTGCGGTGTGTTGATACTTATTGCTGTACAACCGCTGTGATACTGACGGTAGAAGGAGGCATGGTGATCACCAGTCAATCTGGTCGAATGTGATTCAACCTTCGAATTCACTAACTACATCCGCGTTCTTGTCACTACGCCGCGCCACCGTGCTTGTTGATAAAACAGTATTCCATGTCAACCTTGTCCGCATTTCCGTTTCATGGGACGCGTTCTGTGTCGACTGAGAATGACAGCACCTCAGGAAGCGTGCACGACGCTACGGGGTGTCGTGCAGTCATTGACAACAATCACCGCGATGTTGCGCGACTCGCCGTTCGAAATATACACCGTCTCGATTTACTGCAACAGTACAAATAAGTAAAGTACAGACAGAGTCACAGTCGTGGCTCAGAACAGACTCAGATCAACAGCCCGTCTAACCAACGAACACTACACAACAACAATGCTATCACCGCCTGGCCTGGGACCTGCGTGAGCTTTGGTCCGCCCGAGGCTGGCTGCGCGTCCTCTGACGTTTCGAGGAATGCAATACATCAGCGTCTTCCTCAATCTCGTTATCGCCTCCGCGCGCACGCGTCCGCTTCGTTGCGCTACTCCCCCTCTTCGGCCTCACATCTTGCTCGGTAGCAGGACGGCTTGAAGACTGGGTCTGCGAGCCTCCAGAGCGGGTCCTTGGAGCGGGCGGGGGTCCCATCTTGCGAGACGTGCTCCTCGCGGATTCCCGAACCTCGTCTACCTTCGTTGTCTTCCCCGAGCGCAGATCGTAGCGGGACGAACCTTGCCTCCCCGCCGAGTCGCTGTTGGTCGAAGGCGGGACTTCGTGGCCTCCTGATGTATAGGGCGATACAGTCAAGGCATGCAGACCAGCAGGCTGTCGCTTGCCTCGACCTGCACCTGATGTCGCTCCACGCTTGGAAGTACCTACATCCGGCACGTTTGCACCCGCCTGTCCATCGTCAGACTGGGCGTCCGAGTCGGAGGTAGGGCTCGGAGCTGCGGGGCGCTTCTCTGCTCGACGACGTGTATCGCGCTGAGATGCGCTGCGCCCCGCGCCCTGAGAGGTATAGGTGAGGGTCCCCTTCGTGCGGAGTTGCCCTGACCGCTTCGCCATAGCAGCAGTTTCATGCGCATCGCGTTTAGGCGGAGTCCATGGTTTCGCGCGGTCATTCTCAGGCCATGCATCGCGATCCTGCAGAGCAAGATTGAACAGATCAAGAACATCCTTGTGCGTCATGCACTGCTTCGCCAGATCAGGGCTGTTGAAGTTTTTCTGGCAGAGTTTCCGAAAACGCTCCAAAAGCCAGGCAAGCATCGGATTGTCCTCTATCTCGATAGGGTACGGTGGGCCAATCAGCCACTTCATCTTGAGCGACTGGCAGCTGTCTATGGTCGTCCCATCGAAAAGCGCGTGCCATGCTTGGTCACTGTTGGGCTTATCGTATGCTGTGTGACGGAGGATTATCCATACCAGCAGCCAGAAGAAGGATTCAAGGTCGTGTCGAGCTTCGTGCGTAACGTTAAATCCCGGATCAAGTACCTCGACAGCCATGAAATGCAGAGTCCCCTGCCAGTAGTCAGTCGCTGATAGGAACACGGAGGGGACGGACTCACTGTGCGTTGCTTATGATCGAGGTTCGGATCTGCCGTAGCTGCTTGTCCGTGTTCGTCCTTCTTGGAACCGCTTGGTGGTTGGTGAGCACGCGAGTTGCGCGATGTGCGGTGGGCTCGCTCGTTGTTCAGATCACGGGACGTATGTTGCTTGCGATTGCGATCGGAATGCCGCACCACCGTTGGTAACTCGTCACCAGAATTGGCATCGCTGTTGCCCCACCGTTTCTGCCAGTCGCGTCCATATTCCTTCCGGGCGTGTTCTTCCCAGCTCTTCAAATCGGCCAGCGTCTCCACCTTCGCCAAGAACGCCCTCCAGTTGGACGCATAGTCGAAGTCATGAATGAAGCCAAAGGAGGTTCCGTCCGCTCTCCTGCCTATCATGACGTTGCCACGACTGACGTCACGGTGAATGACTCCAGCCTCGTACGCTCGTCGATGCCCTATCGCAGCACACCTCGTCAACGTCATCATAACAAAAGGTAGAGCCACGACGCACCTTCAATTGCGTCACGGAGAGCACTAACCAACTCGTACGTCGAGTCGAAATCGATAATTGGCTTTCCAATGGTCTCGAAAACGAGCCGCATCTGGGCTCGTTCGACATGTTCAAGTCCCTTCTTATAACGCCCGGCAGAGACAGTCCGGTGACCCAGTACACGCGCGCAAGGCACCTTCAGCCTCGGGAAATCGCCAACATACTCCGTTTCCTTGGCCCTCGGTTTGGCCTTCATATTGAGGGCCTTGGCCTCGCGCAAGCCTAGATCATCGCTGCACACGAGCTTGGCAACCCCGTATTCCGCTAATGTTGCACCTTCCTCCGCCTCCTCCATAGTCTCTTGCACCATGAGATAAAAGTCTATCTCCGATGGCCGTACAAACTGCCGCCATGCCTCTTTGATGATGACGCGCCTGCCCGTCGCCTCGCCCGCCTCGTCGAGTTCGAACGCCTCCCAGATCGTCGTCGCGCGCGAGAAGAGCCGTGGATTGACGGATATCAGCTTGTAGGCTAGATACGTCTTCTCGACTTTGCCCTCCGTCACCACGAATTTACGAACCGCCTTCCTGCTTTCCTGCGTATACTTGTATGAGGGGTCGTGTTCGGCCGCCAGCTCCTGCGCCTTCGTACGCTCCTCGTGGGTGCCAAGATTGGACGTGGGATCGCCGCCGACTACCACGCAAGCTTTGAGCGTAGGGTTGAGGAAGCGGCATAAGAACTCGTGCAGGAGCTTGGGATTCTCTGCGTAGTTGAACGACGGAGAACATACAGCCCCTGCTCGATCGAATCGGAAGATGCGTGCCTGGTGTCCATAGATCCCAACCACGAACGCGAACAATCGTCCCTGCGCGAACATGATGTTACGCGCACTCTTCGCCAGCTGGATGAGCGTCTCCTCATGCTCAGCCGCATGCCGCACCATCGGGTCTTGCTCGGCAGTAGCTTTGGCTTCGAATACAAGCGCGACATTCCTCCAGCGATCAGCAGGCGGGATGTATGGAAGCCCCGGTATTGTCGCTATAACATCTGGCATCGTGGAGTGCTCTGCGTAGTCGCACATCGCGAACGGGAATCGCATGGTTTGATGGGCATGGTTGTTAAACGTAGGCCGCCTGTCGTCGGGAATGTTGCGGACCAGGCTTGTGAGGCCTTCCACCTGCGAGGTGCTTTCAGTAGCGGCCAGGATGTCTGCACAAGTGATGCTTACTAGCGGCCTATACATCTTCAACTCCTTTCCTTTGTCAGTCGGAACTTCCGCCATGAATTGTGTATCGGGACAGTTGAAGGTCTTCTGTTTCGACGGGACGAACTCTTGCAAGAAGGTCTTGATTTTGGACGTGGGCTCAATGATCCGCTCGAAGATCTCGGCTTTCCAACGTTTTGCGTTTCTCTCGCTGTTCTGCCGTTTGCTCGCACCGTCTGTCGCCTCACCTTGCGGAGGACCTTTATGAGGTGTAACCTTGTCGGCCATCTCGACGTCCTCAGCGGTGCAGCAGGCGGTTCGAGTACTGTCGTAGTCAGAAGGGGGGAAATGCGGGGGAGGAACCCGCACTGCCGAAGCTTTTGAGCGGCGAGGCATATCAATTTTGGGGCACAAGCACTTCGCCAAAAATGGACGTATTGGCTGATGGGCCACGGATAACTGTGTGGCTTCAACTTGTGACTCAGCGACGCGTTCTCGCCACACCTGAGTAGCTGCGATATGACTTACCTTCCGCACTGACACGGTGCAATTATTTCACTCTGCGACAATGGCAGTGCTAAGATTCAATTTGCGCGCGACCTACGAGGATTACACGGAGGGCGGGGGCGGTCTGGCGCGTCGAGGACGATGAGGGAGGACAGGGAGCGCCCAACTTCGCCACCAACGCGCCGTGCACGTGTTTGATCGAGCTGCCATATGTGGATGTTTGTCTCACCGCCCCATCAGCGCCGCAGCCATTGTCCGCCCGATATGGAATGTGGCTTGTTCAATCCCTGGAATTCGTCTGCTCGCCGCACGGAATGCTGACCCCACACTGTGGTGTATTGACACTTATTTTTGTACAACGGCTGTGATACTGACGGTGAACGGGCGCATGACGATTGCTAGCCAAGTGATTCCTTCGGATTCACTACTATGTTCCCCGTTCTTGTTGTTACCGTGCTTGCTGCGAGCAAGGAAATGCGCATTGCATAGATGCTATGCAGACGTATGGACGACTAGACATACTTATACACAATAAACCTGTATTTTAGGTCAATTTCGTCCACATTCTCGTTTCACTGGCAACGGGACACGTGTTTCGTGTCGGCTGAGAATGACAGCACCTCACTGGCAGGAAGCACGACGCTACTGTGCGGGGTGCCGTGCAGTCATTGACAATAAGAATCACCGCAGCTTTGTCGAGGTACCTTCATTGCCCGGCTTGTAGTTGTTGCTGTTCAAATTTATGTTCCTTTGGCCCGAGGCGCCAGAAGCCTGGACGTTGCGCTGCAAATATATAACGTAAGTACTCGCCGTTTGAAACACACACCGTCTCGATTTGCTGCAAGAGTACAAATAAGTAAAGTACAGACAGAGTCACAGTCATGGCCCAGAATGAAACTCAATATCAACAACAGCCCGTCTAACCAACGAACACTGCACCACAACAATGCTATCACCGCCTAACCTGGGACCTGCGTGAGCTTTGGTCCGCCCGAGGCTGGCTGCGCGTCCTCTGACGTTTCGAGGAATGCGATACATCAGTGTCTTCCTCAATCTCGTTATCGCCTCCGCGCGCACGCGTCCGCTTCGTTGCGCTACTCCCCTCTTCGGCCTCACATCTTGCTCGGTAGCAGGACGGCTTGAAGACTGGGTCTGCGAGCGGCCAGAACGTGTCCTTGGGGCGGGCGGAGGTCCCATCTCGCGAGACGTGCTCCTCGCTGATTGCTGATCCTCGTCTACCTTCGTCTTCGCCGAGCGCAGATTATAGCGCGGATGCTTCTGCACCAAGTTGCTGTTGGTCGAAGGCGGGACTTCGTGGCCTCCTGATGTATGGGGCGACGTAGTCAAGGTATGTAGAGCAGCAGGCCGTCGCTTGCCTCGAACTGCACCTGATGCCGCTCCACGTTTGGAAGCACCTACGTTCGGCACGTTGGCATCAGGCAAGGAAATGCCGCCCGCCTGTCCGTCAGATTGGGCGTCCGAGTCGGAAGGAGTAGGGGAAGGGGCCGCTGGGCGCTTCTCTGCTCGACGCTGTGCAGCACGCTCGGATGCGCTGCGCCCCGCGCCCTGAGACGTATAGGTGAGGGTTCCCTTCGTGCGAAGCTGCCCTGACCGCTTCCTCATAGCGTCTGGTTCGTCCGCTCTGCCTTTGGGCGGGGTCCATGCTTTTGCGCGGTCGTTCTTCGGCCAAGCACGCCGATTCTTCAATGCGCGATCGAAGAGATCGAGAACCTGTTTATGCGTCATGCAGGTGTTTTCCAGGTTAACATTATCATAGTTCGTCTGGCAGCGGTTTCGGAACTGCTCCAATAGCCACGTGAGATTCGGATTTTTCTTAAACTCGAGAGGCCGCGATGGATTGACCAGCCACTGTATCTTGAGCCCCCGGCAGATTTCGATTGTCGGCGCATCAAAGAGTGCGTGCCACGCACGGTCACCGTTAATGTGATGGTATGCTGTATGACGGAGGACTATCCACACCAACAGCCAGTAGAAGGATTCAAGGTCGTGCCGAGCTTCATGCGTGACGCTGAAGTTCTCATCGAGTACCTCAACGGCCATGAAATATAACGTTCCCTGTCAGCGGTTAGCAACCGTCGGGCACACGCACAGGACAACGGGCTCACCGTGCGTTGCTTATGATCAAACTTCGACTGCTTAGTGTTGGGTTGCTCGCGTTGGCCGGTCGAGTTGTTCGGTGTGCTTTGAACTGGGTCGTCACTTGAATCGCTGGACGAGGGTTGACTATCCTCAAAGTCCGAGTGATCCAAGGCCGTTAGTAGCTCGTCGCCGGGTCCATCATCATTGTCGGACCACCCTTTCACCCGCTCCCGCCAGTCGAGTCCATATTCCTTCCGAGCGTACTGTTCCCACTGTACCAAACCGGCCAGGATGTTCTTGCTCGCCAAGAACACCTTCCAGTTGGATGCGTAGTCGAAGTCATGAAGAAAGCCAAAGGAGGTTCCATCGGGTCTCCTGCCCATCATGATGTTGCCACGACTGACATCCCGGTGAAGGACTCCAGCCTCGTACGCTCGCCGATGCCCTATCGCAGCAGACCTTGTTAACGTCGCGGCGAACAGATGGTGGAGACTAAACACACCTTCAATTGCGTCACGCAGAGCACTAACCACCTCGTACGTCGAGTCGAAATCAGTAATTTGCCTTCCGACGGTATTGAAAACCAGCCGCATCTGAGCTCGCTCGTCCGTTTCGATGCCTTTGGCCCGACGACCGGCACTGATAGTCCGGTGTCCGAGCACCCACGAGCAAGGCACCTTCAGCCTCGGGAAGTCACCAGTATACTCGTCGTCTTCGGATGGCGTAATGGCGTCTTTATCGAGGTCCTTCGCCTCGCGCAAGCCCAGATCATCACCGTACTCGAGGTCGGCAATCCCGCATTGCGATAATACCACACCTTCCTCCACCTCCTCTATAGCCTCCTGAACTGTCAGATAGAAGTCTATCTCCGATGGCCGCACAAATTGCCGCCAGGCCTCCTTGATGACCACACGCTTGCCCGTCGCTATGCGCTTTTTGTCAAGCTCGAATGCTTCCCAGATCGTCGTCGCGCGCAAGGGGCGCGCACGCGCCGGAAAGTGGACCGCAGGTCCACTGGTGGTCCTCCCAAATCGGTGTACGGGGTCCTCGACCTCACTTTCTCGACCATTATCGGCGAAACTTCGTTTTACTTGACACGGAGGCAAGATACATACACGGGTTTCATATTATATGAAGTATATGTATGCAGAAACACGCCCGTGTAGTTCCCATGGCAGTATAATGAGTACGGGGCGCGAACGTTGAATATCAGTCGTACTGAGCTGAAGCGCCGGGATTCCCGTTATGGACGAGTAAGATTCCTGCAGCCACCGCAGGATCGAAGTCCAAGGCATGGTCTCCGCACGGCATGCACATGTAGACAGCATGTATAAGTCACGTAGTACACATGGCAATAGTATCTATTGCAGTATCAACAGCATTGCGCCCTACCACTGCCCTTCATACACTCGAACATGGCTACTCCGACTCCGCCTGCTCAGGCTAGCATCGAGATACGCACTTCCGATGGACAGGTCCTTTGGACGCAATGGGACGCAGACAAGAGACGACACGTAGTACACTGTGACCTCTGCGGCAAGCAAGTTACCCTGACGAAACACGGCCACGCGCACGCATTCTTGAATGAACACCGCGGGTCTGATAGTTGTACTCAGTCGCAGCGGAAAGCTCAGCATCGGCGCGAGCGCGAAGCTGCATCCGCGGCGCGCAGAGCACTTTTCCAGCCTGAGAATATTGAGCAAAGGCCTGGAGGTAAGCGCGGTGAATTTTCACGTCAACAGAAAGCACCTTATGATCATCTCCACTAGTAGGGACAACACAGGCTCAATTGCGAGCTGCACCAGATCCCGGGCCCTGCGAGTCATCTAGTGCAGCTCAGAATTACCAGCCTCTAAATGCTAGTGTTCCTGCCACGCCACATTTTCAGCCTATGCCCGAGTCGCATTTTCCTACTGCGACAACCTCGCTAGTCGACGAACCATCTGAATCGACTCGCCGACTGTCTGGCGATGATCAGCCGGATGAGCTTACATTCGCATTTGGGGACTTACATGCTTCATCGCCTGCGCCAGAAGTTCCTTCGGGGATGGACCATGACCTTGGCCGAGGACAGCCGCCGCCCACGAGTATGCCATCGCCACTTGCGGATATGCCGCCGCTGCCTATGGGTATGCCACCGCTGCTCACGGATGTGCCGCTGCTGCCCATGGGTATGCCGCCGTTGCCTACGAGTATGCCGCCGCTGCCTACGGGTATGCGACCACCTCCTGCTGCTGCTAAAGACGCCGGGACATCGCGTCAATCCCGATCCACGGAGAACGGGTTCGCCTGCAAAGGCGTGCTCATTCAGTGGAAAGCAGGTTCTGTGTGGGACACGTACCCGTACCACCAGCATGCGCTTCGCGAGTACCCATGGGAGCCTGTCAGCATCGAGAATGGTGAATGGTTCCGCCTTCGTGCAAAGGATTGCGCCCGATCAACAATCAGCAAAGACGGATGCTGCACAGCCTGTCAAATGATCCCCGCGTCCGAACGATATCGCAAGTTCTTGGATAGGGCCATATCTGCGAGTGACTACACGCCATGGGAGTACCTCAATTACCGTCAAATTGTTGCACTCTGTAAGAAGATCGTCAGCGAGAACCGACTCCTGCGGCTCAAGGTAAGCACTGAACATTTGTGTTCTGTATGAACATTGTGACTCACCATCATCGGCAGAGTCGCAATGCAGATCGTAATCTGTCTCGACTTCGTGGCAAGATCAACGACCACCAGCGTCTCGTTACACTGCTCGCAAATCATGATGTCAAGCGGCTCCACCACTTACTCTCTGTTGCACTGCGCAAGGGGGCGAGTCCCAAAGCATTGATTGCGCAGATTGAACGCGCTATCACAGGGCTGTACAGTGATCGTGCACACTTTGAGGAACGCGATATCGATATCGCATTCCTCGTGAAAGCACTCGGTGGCCCACGTCTATTGTATGCCCTATCCAAATCCCACGGACTTGCATCAGTATCCACCACGAATCGCAAGCAGAAGATCCCTGAGCTCTTACCATCTATTTCTATTCCTTCGCGTCAGGATGCGAAGACGAATTACACATCATTCTGCAATCCCTCGCGAAAACCTCCACCGCCCCGATATGGCGCGTCGAACGACTTTGCAGGTCTTATCGTGATGATTGACGGTGTCAGTCTCGAAGAGCGGTGCCGTTACCTTCCATCCAGTAATGCAATAGTCGGCCTGAGCCGAGAAGATGCCCATAAAGTGTCAGTTCAGGTTACGACATACGAGGCATTGCAAGAAGTTGCGGCTTCTCTTCGTGACGGCAAGATCTCTTGTGGGCAAGAAGCGACTGTCGTAGCAATGGCACCGTATGCACGTACCGATCACCCCAGTGCCCTGCCCCTTATTGCCTCGCCAACAAACAAAAGCGAGACAGGTCGTGAGCTTGCACAGTGGCTCCAGACCTACTGTGATGCCTGGCAAAGTGATCCGAATGGCGAAACAGCACAAGGGCCAATATGGGCACTAGGGAGCGATGGTGACGCAGCATTTCGGCTCGCGAAGTATATTTTCTGCTTCACACATACTGTACCCGAAGCAACTTCCCTTGGCCGCCAGCTACGTCAGCTCCGAGGTATGAATCTAGCAACAAGTTCAAGTGGTATTGTTGCCACCTGTGATCCAAAGCACGTCATCAAGCGTAGGTCTCAGTCGTCAGACACCTCAACCAAGACTTACATTTTCATTAGGATTTGCAACACTGATACGCAATCCTCGTGGTATCATGGTTAACGACACACTTTTTCAACGGTCTGACTTCCTGGCGCATCTCCTCGATCTGCCGAACATGTCATCAGAGGATGCCAGAAGGCTTCTCGATCCCGCAGACAAGCAAAACGTACCAAAAGCAGTCCGTTTGGTGCAGGAGTTGCTCAATGTCAAAGAGCTGCCCACAGCTGAGCTATTGCCAGCCAGGGCTCATCGCCATCACTTGTTGTCGTTCTTCGCCGAGGTCCTTGGCTACTTTGTGCAACCATTCATAACAGTCAGCATGTCACTATCTACACAAGTATGCTCCCTCGCGACATACTCCCACTTGCTCGCAGCAATGTGGCTGCGGCACGGGACTGCCTTCATGACCGGAGCTCTCTACGCCGACTCACAAGCAATTGTAAAGAATATCATCATCACTACCCTGCGACTCCAGCTTCTAGACGATGACATACCATTCTACATCATCCTTGAGGGCACAGATCGACTTGAAACCCTCTTCGGTGATTGTCGCACACAGGATCACAGCCGGAATTTCGATATTCTGCAGCTATGTCAGAAGCTCAGTATCGCTGCGGAGATCAGTCTGATCTTCGAACGTAATCCTGACCTCGATCGTGGACACAGACGGCTTGATCTTAAAGACGCGAAGGGTGTTGATCGCGTCAATCCACGCTCATGGGTCGGCGATGTTCGAGTGGGCCAAGTTGATGTTGCATCGGAATGGGCCAGGGGTCGGGTGAATGCCCAAAAGCTCATCACGCAGTACCTTGGAATTGATGCTGCTGAGAGCTTCAATACCATGTACACGCAGACAGACTGCGACTTACTCCGACCGGGAGGTACCTATGTTGGAGTCAAGTACGATCCGGACGACGATCGTACCGACGCCGACGAAAGCGCAGTCCCTAGCAGCGACAATAACAACACTGAATCACCAGTACCTGATGAAGATGAATATGACGACGTACCGATAGGCCTTGACATCGAGGACTTCTTGCCAGAAACTACGGACGACCTCGAGAATGACGTGACCTTGGCATCATCGCCCGAAGATCATTTCCTGCTTGTTGATAACAAGAAGTTCTTCAAATCATCTGTGGTCACGGCACTGCTCACAACAAGCCGCGCACGGAAGGTCCCACTGCGGACATTGCGCAATCGTGGAGTGACGTTTGAAGACCTAGATCGCGGCGCGAAGGGCAACCTGAACTCGACTGACTTGCTTGATGGCGACATAGTGAAGATGGGAGATCTCGCCGCATCACTGCTCCGTGTGCGGTCTACCGTGTGCCTCGCGGTTGTTGAGATCATTGGTTTCCGGAGGGGGAAAGGCGATGACACAACCTGGATCTCAAGTGTCAATGTAGAAGATTTGGAAGACGACACTGATTCACATACCGTGTCCACCCAAGTGTTGGATATGTTCACGCCGGAATCCGCTGCCGTACCCACCGACAAGCGCACATGGCAGTGAACACATTCGTACATTCGCTTCGATGTACAAGCTAGCGGAGAGCGCATGACACAGCGCCAGCACAGTCTTGAAATTCCGGGGAAGCTCATTCATCCCCTCGGTCCATCTGTCGTCGCACTTGCACGACAACCTGTGACAGACATTGATCAGTCCGACATCGCTCGGCACTGCGCCATGGAAAGCTCACAAATCGCGAAGACATGGTCACTCACGCACTCCCAGCTTGATACCATCCTGACGTTCGCTTGGGAATCACTATCGCCTGATACAGAGGACATCATTAGCAATCTCGAACAAGTCCCGCCACTCACCGCAGCGAAATTGCCTTACAAGGACAAGCTAGGTAAGGTCGCGGCCTTTCAGTGTAACCGTTTACAGTGGCTCACAATCAATCAGGAAATGAAGTACTCGCCGTGCTCGATGTCCCGACATGGCTAACAGTCGAAAAACAAGCTGGTACAGCTTCGGTTGCCTGCTTCATCTGCGGTATTCGCCACCTCGTTAAGAACATGCGCAATCACGTCGGGCACCATATACTCTACGCAATGCGAGGCATTGATGAGGATGCATGCAATATAGACAATGTGAGCTATCATACTCACCAAACGGTCTTCCGAGTCGTAACTGATGTTCGCCGCTGCGCATACTAGCTCGGCATCGAGCCGTGTGGATTCTGTGGAAGAGACGGATGTGTCGTGCAACTCACCAAGAAGAATAACTCCGCTTCGATCACAAGCAGCTGCCCATATCATTACACCTCGATGAGCTACAATTCGGCCAAATCCGTCAGCAAGGCAACACCGTGTACGAATGTTCCGATCCACTGTCCACTCTGCCCGACAGGACGGACCGGTCAACCACGCACCATCTGGAAGTACAATGTACTGTTCCACCTAGCAAAGGAGCACATGGATGTCGACGGAGAACGTATGCCGCCCATCCCGTTGCAGCTCGCGGTCGATATGCACATCTCTTTGGAGGAGGAGACCTTGATGAAAGTCGACCGCGATGTTACTGAAGGTTGGCGCATCAAACACGAGATACCTGGGAGCGATGATATAGAACAATACAGCAAGGAAATCGAGGGCAGCCAGGACAAGAAGGGGAAAAAGCGTATGAGATCTCAGTCGAATGTTGTAGTTGAGCGAGGAACGAAGTCGACTCGACGCCGTTAGCTGTACGATCGCGCGGATTGCTTATTTTCATCTAATCTACCATCTTATCAGAGTGGTGGTGGTCGGTTTGGTGTTCGGGGGACGGCGCTAAGCTTTTGAGACCTGCGGTCCAAAATTCTCCGATAGATTGCCCCTTGGTCGCGCGCGAGAAGAGCCGCGGGTTAACGGATATCAGCTTGTATGCCAGATACTCCGTCTTGTCGTTCTCGCCGTGATGCACCACGAATCGACGAACCGCCTTCCTGTTTTCCTGCGTATATTCGTACTCAGGGTCGTGGGCAGCTGTCAGATCCTGCACCAGCTGACGGTCCTCGTGGGTGCCGAGAGTGGACGTCGGATCGTCACCGACCACCAAACAATCCTCCTCCACAGGGTTGAGAAACCGCCACAAGAAGTTATGCAGGTGTTGGGGTTCCGTTACGTAGTTGAACAGCGGAGAAGATATAGCTCCTGCTCGATCGAACCGGAAGATGCGTGCCTCGTGTCCGTAGATTCCGACGACGAACGCAAACAACCTCCCCTGAGCGAGCATGATGTTACGCGCACTCATCGCAAGCTGGACGAGCGTCTTCTCGTGATGCTCCGTATATCGTACCATGGGGTCTTGTGTAGCAGTGGCTTTGGCTTCGAAGACAAGGACGACGTTCCGCCAACGATCAACAGGCGGGATGCACGGAAGCCCGGGGATGGTAGCAGTGACATCCGGCATCGTGGAATGCTCTTCGTCGTCGCACATTGCGAACGGGAAGCGCATCGTCTTGTGGGCATGGTTGCTGAACACGGGTCGTTTTTCTTCTGGAAAGTTGCGGACTAGGCTTGTGAGGCCTTCCACCTGCGACTCGTCGTCAGGATCGAGAGAGGATATATGCACAGGATATCTGCACGAGCCTGAGTGATGCTTACTAGTGGCCCATACATCGTCAGCTCCTTCCCTTCAACAGCGGGAACCTCTGCCATGAATTCGGTATCGAGACAATCGAGGTGGCTGTCATCCGACGGGACGAACTCTTCCAAGAAAGTCTCGATTTCCGGCGTGGGCTCAACGATCCGCCCGAAGATCTCGGCTTTCCAACGTTTTGCGTTTCTCTCGCTGTTCTGCCGTTTGCTCGCACCGTCTGTCGCCTCACCTTGCGGAGGACCTTTATGAGGTGTAACCTTGTCGGCCATCTCGACGTCCTCAGCGGTGCAGCAGGCGGTTCGAGTACTGTCGTAGTCAGAAGGGGGGAAATGCGGGGGAGGAACCCGCACTGCCGAAGCTTTTGAGCGGCGAGGCATATCGATTTTGGGGCACAAGCACTTCGCCAAAAATGGACGTATTGGCTGATGGGCCACGGATAACTGTGTGGCTTCAACTTGTGACTCAGCGACGCGTTCTCGCCGCACCTGAGTAGCTGCGATATGACTTACCTTCCGCACTGACACGGTGCAATTATTTCACTCTGCGACAATGGCAGTGCTAGGGTTCAATTTACGCGCGACCAGCGAGGATTACACGGAGGGCGGTAGCGGTCTGACGCGTCGAGGACGATGAGGGAGGACAGGGTCACAGGGAGCGCCCAACTTCGCCACCAACGCGCCATGCACGTGTTCGATTGACCTGCCATATGTGGATGTTTGTCTCACCGCCCCATCAGCGCCGCAGCCATTGTCCGCCCGATATGGAATGTGGCTTGTTCAAGCCCTTGTCTTTTTCGTCTCAGCGGTCGTTGCAGGAAGTCTAGACCATGTGCTTCACTGCATGCGCATGTGCAGTGGTGCCGATACTACAGGCTCAGGTCGTGGTTCCGTGTTTCCCGCAATCACGAAGTGCTGACCACCCCAGGTTGGCCTGACTCGGAGCTCGAGTCGAGAGTCGAGGCCGGGACTCGGCGCCCCGTTTCGCCGACAGAGGACCTCAAAGGATGCGAGGACTCAAATCGTCCAACTTGTAGCTCACGCGAACGTCACCTCTCGATCAGAGAACGGTGCAGCATAGCAAGCTCTAGGTAAGCCTCCGACGTCTCAGTTGGATCGTTTCGTACGCTTACTACTAGTATGCGGTGGTCGCAACTTCACTCTGCATTCAGCTCGTCAGTATCATGACATGAAGACTAGCATCCGAAAGATACTGTCCCTACATTCGCTCCGCGTACAAAGTGCCATGGGCATCAGGATTCCGAGGAGCCTAGGTGAGTCCATCTCGTCGTAACCAGCCTGATGGTAGTAGTTCCAGCATGACTGGCACACTGACTACTCGTCCATTTCTGCAAGGCCGCTGTTTCTTAGGCGTCTCGGGTTTTCTCGCTACAAGGCCACGGCTGCTCCGTGGTACTGTAGGACTAGTGCGGTTGTACTCAACTCGAAGAACCCTTGCCCAATCCAATCAAGCCACTGGCAAAAGCACCTGATAATCGTCGCATGGCTCGTCCGTGCCCTTGAGATTGCTGCAATTCACGGCTGGTGACTGGTCGGAGTTCGTCACAGCCGGACATGTCTTTCATCCATGACAGCGCTGTTCTTGCCTGCTCCGCGTCCGGCTTCAAGGCTTATCAGTGTATCAGCACGGGTAGCGGCGCATCTTCAAGGGAAATATGGAGGCTCGTCTAGTTCAGCTCGCTCGATTCCACATCGTTGCTACCCCTAGTTGCCGGCATATTGAAACACCGTGGTACGTTACTCCCATGCCAGCGGCGAACTGTTCATTGTGTGACACTAATTCTATTTCATCTGCGGTCACATCGGTTGATACAAATAGGTTCACTACCCCAGTCGTGTTGTGCACACACTACGCTGGCCCATGTACGAGGGGAGTATGGCAGGAAACACGCCCGGCGACCATCAAATGGCCCCCGTTGCGCTTCTGCTACTTACGCTCAACGTCGTTGTAGCATCGCTGCTGGCTTCCTCGCCACCGTTCTTATGGCGACTTGGGGGCACTGTCGTATGTTTTGTGCTCTTGGTCGCTGCATTTATGGTGGCTCGGGGGAGAGCCTGAGTCAGAGCGACTATCCGACCGGGTGCATACTCATGATACAAGCGTTCACTGCTGTCTATCTTCTCTGGATGACAGACCCCGCACGCGACTTCCGGCACGAGCGCGATTACGCCGCACCGGAGGAGCTGTCATTCCTGCGTCGAGTGTACTGGGCGCTGTGTATTATGAACAATCCTCGGGGAGTTGGATGGACCTGTCAGGTACGTAACGCTGCTACAACCAAGTGGCCCCGTGCTTCACCGTGTTTCACGAACAGGTTGCGAACGTGCCGCCATTGCCCACTGAAGCTCGATGGCCCTTCGTGCGCCGACGACTCAGGCGTGCAATATACTGGTATATGCTCCTCGACATCTTCCAGAACTACGAACAGCGCAATCCTCTGTTCTCCCTTCGAGGCGAGGATGTATCGGTATCCTCACAGGGCTATCTCCTCCGTCCTGTCAATATATTCGTGCGTGTGGCCAGCGTAGCCGGATCGATCGCCATGCAGCATGCGCTCCTTGCTGCCGCGATGGTGGCATTCGACTTGTCACTTCCCAGAGATTGGCCGGACATCTACGGTCGGTGGTCTGATGCATACACTGTTAGGCGATTATGGGGGTGAGTCGGTTTGCATGTTTTCCTCGCTTGCACGTGTACTCAAGCGGAACATATACAGTCGTTCCTATCACCAGTCGTTACGCAGGGTAAGGACCAGCGATGTATCATTCTAGATTGCATTTATCTCAGTGCTCATCGTGCATTGATAGTTGACGGCTTCAACCGGCAAGATGGTTTGCCGGATGCTAGATCTCAGGCCAGGATCATGGGCATCCTCGTACACCCAGCTCTACATTGGCTTCGCCGTCTCAGGCCTCATTCACTGCGGAGGCGACTTCACGGTCAGCCGCAAGCTTTTCGGGTCGTCCTTCCTTTTCTTCTTCTCGCAGGCCATCGCCATCACCGTGGAAGACGTAGTCATCGGCGCGGCCCGCAGGGCACGACTGCGCTTGCCAAATGGACTCGCGCGTCTCGTCGGCTTCGCATGGGTGTTCATTTGGATGAACATATCGTGTCCGTGGTACATCGACTGGAGTCTGAAGGAGGGTGTCATGGACACGGATCGGGTTCCGTTCTCGTTGATCAATCTAATGTCTTCGAGTACGAATGCGGGGACAGTCTTGTTTTACGCTATATTGTCCCCGATGAAGTCTTAGTGTGTCTTGACCTGTCATTCGAAGGACCGGAAGAGGAACTTGTTGTAACGACTAGAGAGGGACGTTGTAATACTAGTATTGACGCTGTCTTGATTGTACTACCACCATTCTCGTCCCTCTTAAGTACGTACGTCTCAAGCTACTCATAATGGTTAAACAGCTCGTCAGATTTGCCAAAGGAGAACACTGGCAGAATTCCACGGTATCGACTTACCGCGGTCTCCAAGCTCTATAACACTGCATGAGCGCGGTACTTGTACATTTGACGGGGACGTTTTGACCTTGGCCTGATGTGTGCCCGCCGCCCGCCGGGAGAAGAGGGGTCCTGGGGATTGCCGGGGGTCGTTCAGTATACGGGCTGACGTCACAAGGCGCTGCCATATTTGGGCTTGGCATCCGCCGCGCTGCCTCTTATGTGCCCAGCGCGATGTCTGCGATAATCCTCATTCCCTCTCCTTGCCATCATGGCCTCCACCAGCCACGCCCATTTATTCCTCATATTCTTATGTATTCTCGTTTTCTGCCTGCCGGGCAGCGGGGTGTATGCGTTCGGTGCGGGTAACATCCCGAGGTGCGTGCCATCTCGATCGCGTGAGGAAGTGGCCTGACCGCTCGCCGGTTGTGCATGAAGCTTCGCGTACTTGGAGGGCAAGGCGTTCCGCCATGGAGATATCGTGCGTAACGCAGCGAGCATGGACGCGGGTGGGGTACTGAATCTAGTCACCGCCACAGGAGGATGTGCTCGCCGATATGGCGAAGCGCGCCGCATCGGGCGGATTTGCGCTCGGCGCGTTGTTGGGCGCGGGCGGCGGGAAGAAGTTCAAGGCGTTGGACGTGAAGCGGGTGTACTTTGGCAACTGGTTGAGGGACTATAGTCAGGTGCGTGCCCTGACGATCGACTGCCTGCGTTGCCCAGATGATTGATGCTCTACAGGCTGTCGATACTGCCGGTTTGTCAAAGCTTCAACTGCAGACGATCGTCAACCTGTGCATGGTCCTCGGCTTCCTCGCGCACGGCTACGCCACCGGCGAGTTCGAAGTGACCATCGAACGGCTCGGTGTCTACCTCCCCACCGAGCACATCGACAACCCCAAGGGCTATCCCGACAACGCGCGCAGCTTCGACTCGCGTCTCCGCGGGCCCGTCAACCCCCAGGAGCTCGAAATTGACCGCAAGACAGGCATGAAGAACTACATCGCGAACGAGCACGGCGGATGGGATACGTCGAAGGCGCTCGTGAGGCGCGTGCTGCACCAGTGCATTGATATCGGTAGACGGTACCGCCAAACCAACCAGAAGGATGACTTGTATGAGGCGTACAGGCTGCTGGGCCAGGCGGTGCGTAGCACCCCACATCGCCTAGTATGCCGTCTTGCTGAGGCGTGCGATCACGAACAGCTGCACACTATGGAAGACTTTGCGGCACATTCGAACTTCTGCGAGCTTTCGCTCGTGGCTATGGGCCACACCGACGTGTTCGTACATGTCGGCGATCGCGTCCGTATTCAGGCTCCCGACGGCAAGCACGTCGCCCCTCTGGTAACTGGTGCGTACAGTACATTTAAGTGACCTTCCTTGGTATGGAACATCGCTTGCAGGCACCTTTGGCTCGAGTGACTTTATCCACAGTCTGCTAGGCGGTAAGTCACACACTTGTTCTAGACGTGCTTGTGAATTAACACCGGTCCAGAGGCCAGCGACCACATCGTAGGTCTTACCCACATCTCTGCGAACCTCCACTGACCGCCCTCCCGCAGAGCCAAGCCTCCGTCGTCGACCTCAACGCGCAGCTCGAGAAGGCGCGCGCGTCCTCGAACACGTCGTCCGCGAATAACCTCCGCGAGCTCCTCACGAGCCTGCCCGACGGGAGCGGCGGTGAGCTCACACGCGAGATGGCCGGCGTCGAGCGAATTCGCGCGGCGGGCCAGCGGAGTCGGGACATGGGCAGTGGCGGGGGCGGTGGTGGGTATGGCGAGCGGGCAGCGTATGGCGGCGGCGGTGGCGGTGGGTACGGGGGCAGCGGTGGATATGGCGGTGGCGGCGGTGGGTATGGCGGACAAGGAGCCGATATGAAGGCCCCGGAGCAGATGAGCCCCCAGGAGTTGCATGCGGTGTTGTGGCAGGTGCTGAGTTTCAGGGACTCGGGTGAGTGCTGAGAGTAGGGACGTTGGGTACGGGCGGTGTTGACCCGTGCTTGCGCAGTGATGAAGAAGGTCTCCGTCATCATCAGTGAGTGGTCAGTCTGGCGAGCAGTGGGCTTTGCTGAGCAGGCGTGTAGCCAAGATACCTGGCTTGAGCTCGTTGCTCGACAAGATCACGGACTCCGTCTCTGGTATGCACATGAACAGTTCTCCTCGGGGTGTGAGCTGATACTCGATACAGTCTTCGTGTTTACCACACTTGAGGTTCGTTGGCCTTGGAGCCATGCACTGAGTCTCTGACTGATTATGGTACATAGCCTTTCTTGAAGCCGATCATGAAGCAGGCGACGACTGGTCTCTCCGCAGCGTCCGGCGAAGTCATCGATAAGCAGGACCAGTACGAGGTACGCATGCACGTCGCGCGACGAGTCGGCTGCCTAATGACTATGCCCTTAGGTCTTCGATAACCCCAACGCGGTGAGTCGGACGAGCGTATGCTCACCCCAGGGTACTGACAAAATCTCAGTCTGACCCCACGCACTCGTTCATGAGTAAAGATCACTTTGTGAGTGTGACTGTGATGTTTTAAACTCTTTATATGACTGACGTGTGCGTGTGTAGAACCTGATTCTGAACGAGCCCGCTGGACAATTGGGCAAGATCATCCTGGTATGTCTTGTGCTGTGCGACTGCTATCATTCAAGGCCGTCCCGTAACATCTTGAGTAGCAATACACCGTAACGCGTGTCGTCAAGGCCTGGGACGATGTCGGGATCAACCCACACGACGTGACAGAAGATGTTCTCCACAGCTTGTAGGCTACTCATCCGCATTCCTACCGCCTGGGACGTCTGATGAGTCAATGCTCGAAATAGGTTCCACCCCGACTTCCACGTCCGCGGCTCTGAGATTCAGCGCCAAATGCTCGATTTCATGAAGAGATGGGTAGACGAGCTCGGCTCTGACCGTAACGAGGTTCTCCGGAGACTCACCAAGCAGAGTGTGCGGAACCACATGAACGTGCGCATCGGTCATGAGGGCCAGGGCGGTCAATCACACGGCTTCGGAACGGCGCAACAGGCGGGGATGCAAGCGCAAAGCGACATTCTTGGCGCTTTTGGTCTGCGGGATGGCGCCCCGTATGGTGCCGGTGCTGCGCGGAGCGTGCAGAGCGGTTACTTGAGCTCAGGGGGCGGTGTGCCAGCAGTCCAAACAACTGTGGTACAGGAAACGGTGCCCGCACATCATCGTGAGCATCATGGTGGCCACGGACATCACAGCGGCGGCCACGCACAGACGTACTACGGGGAAAGCCAGACGGTGCGCATGCCCGGCGAAGAGATACGCACGAGCTACGAGTCGAGCTACGCCCCGCCCTCGGGTCCGCCGCCTGCCTTCCCGGGTGCCGAGCCGAGCGGGTATGCGCCGTCCTACATTGGTGGCGGTGGCCCCGGAGGATACGGAGGCGGAGGGTACGGCGAGTCTGCTCCTGGGTTCCCGAGTGCCCAGCCGCATCATGGAGGCCACCATGGACATCATGGGCACCATTCGGGTGGCGGATACCCTGCGCCTGAGGGCCCTGCGGGCTTCCCGCAGCCTGGAGGAGCGCCTGGTTTCCCAGAGGCTAGGAGAGGATACCCACCGAATGATGATCCGTATCGTCAATGGTAAGGAGCGATATGAGCGCTCTGCGGCATGTGCACAGAGGTAGTACGTGAATTGAGTGGTGTAGCTGTAGCAGGAGTTCCATGACCCAGATGTAACTTATGTAAATCTGATCCCTCTTGAATGCACTATTTTAACGACTACACTTCACGTGTAGGTACATTGACAGGAATATATGCATACCAGGGCTTCTACAATTGCAACGCATGGGTAAGCAGGTACACGCCGATTGTGAGTGAGTTACAGTTCTAGTATACATATCAAGAAGAATGCCGGCGAGGGCGAGCTAGGCTAACAATTATGGCCGAGATCGACTGGCAAGGGTCGCTCGCTGAGAAGGTCGGACAAAGACCTGACGACCTCCACCTGGCCTCACCTGACGCCTTCTCCAGAAGGGGTCTAACAATACGGAATCAACTTGGTCAGATAACGGCGTTAACTGCTCTTCAAGACGTTGTGGTGGCCTTGCTTGCGGTCTTGCACCAAACCTTGTGGTGCGGCCAGTGCGCCTTTTGACTGAGTGACAAATTAGACCCGAAAGTGCAATACGTAACGCAGCAACAGTGCCTCTCACCACTCCTTGCTGCAGTAGTTCACCAACTTGCACCTCGAGCACTTCAGCAGCGCCTTATCCTTCACCACCTGGCAATTCGCACACTCCCTCGGGTTCTTGTTCATCCATGCGTCGCCCACGTCCGGCATGTCCTCCTTCGATCCCAACACGCGCTTGCGCGCCGCCTCCACGGCCGTCTGCCCCGCCTGCTTTTCCTGCCCTTGCGCGCACACGTTGTCGATCTTCTCGATCTCGCTGTCGAGTAGCGTCGGCGTGAACGAGTCTCGTGTAGTGTGAAAGAACGGGGGCGCGCCCTTGGACGGTGTCACAGGATTGTCAGTGCCGGGAAGGCACGCAGGATCGACCTTGTAGCCGCGGTTCGGCGTAGTGTAAGTTGCGCGTACCCTGGAGGAGAGTACTAGGTGAGAGGAACGATGCAGTCGGAAACGATTCAGAATGTACCAGGCGGGCTTGTTTCCCCACCCCATGCTTCGTGCAGATAGGTAATGAGGGACATCATGCGATCGGCTTGGTACTTGGTCATGGCGTCGTAGTCGTGGTGCGAGTAGTTTCGCAGTTGCAGGGCTCCGGCATGATCATGACAATGAGAAACCGACTGATGGTGGGTTCAGTGAAAAGCATGTGTCCCCAGTCTCGCTAGCAAGACGTTAGAGGTGCAGTTATCACACTAAGAAACCAGATATGCCGAAGCAAAAGCAAGGTATGGACACATAGACGGTCACAATCGCATGCTGCTGCTTCGGGGTATCCTCCAGATACTTACGTGGCGCTTTGCGGAGCCTTTGACGATCTATAGGACATGCCGTCTGCGTCGACATGCGTATTCTCTTGTCTTCCAGGCGTATCATTGAGCACCCCCGAGCGACGTACATATGGTCGGAATACCGACTTATAGCCTTTTGTTGCAGCCGTCCTATGATACCAATGGCTACGGCACTCGACGAGAGGAGAGCGGTCTCGAAGTCCGCAAGGGAGCCCCGGCCGTATATATGTACGATCGCTCTAGGGTTGCGAATAGCTGCAACTCTGCTCCGGCAGACGCACCTCATACAAGTACAAAATCGGGACCCACTCCACCTTTTCCTGGCCCCATCTCTCTCGCACCAGTGCGCGACCTGGTTCACGACCGTCCTGCGCGCGGCGAAGTCGTCGGGCGCGAGGTCGGGTGCGCGCGTCGCCGGCGGCGCAAACTTGGACGAGATGTCGTTCATGTAGAGCCCGAGCCCCGTGCACTGCAGTAGGCGGCGCGCAGCGCTCGTCTCGCTCTTGTTGAGCATCATCATCGGGTTGAAGCTACCGGTCGTCGCGTGGTTAGTGAGATCAGACTGGGAACACGCGCAGGGTAGTAGGAGACGAACTAGGTAGCCCGAGAAGGCGGATGCAAGGTCGTCCATATCTGCACGTATTTTAGTGAGATTCAAGTGTTGAGTTCAGTGCCGGTGCCCGGGTGGGCGTTCCGAACCAAAGCCGCGACGACGGCGGATCCGTGAGCGATGGAACCGTGATACACAGAGCACGTGGTCGCGCTACCACCTTCCCCCGCCCACGCCGGTACTCGGTCAAGCGAGACTTAGTCTCACTCCGAGCCTTACTACTACAAGATATCCATACCAGTTGATTCTGGCACTCACTCCTGTACGAAATATCCTTGACTTGTGACACTGCAGAGTCTAGATTGAGCACATGGTGTTCGTACGTGAGATATTCCTCCGAGACGGTGGGTGAGCGTCGTATATTCTCCATTTCGCGTGAACTCACTGCATTATGTGATTCTACAACATTGTAGAGTTACATCTCGGGAACGAAGCGCGTGAGTAGCTCTACGCAGAACAACCCATGTGTAGTACAGACAATACAAATGTTGTGCGTCTCCTAGCCTTCCACATGCTCTGCAAGCAGCAGCGGGAGTAGGGGCGCCCCGGGCGCCGAGACTTTCTAGACCGACAAGACCGAATTCATAAAGAAAGGATAAATAATTACGTGTCGCGCTGAGACCGGGGATGCTGAGAGACGAGGAGATCTATGGGGATTGACGTGGGCGGCGCCCGGGCGCGGACGTGAAGGCCGTGTCTACGACCAAACCCAGGTCATGCCATGGAGACGGCCCACGGATAGGTCTGCGAGCTGCTGGAACGCCGACGGGCTGAAGTCGAGGTCCGTGGTGGCGCAGCCGGTGCAGCGGTCGGTGACAGTAACCTTGACAGACTTGCCGTTGTCTGGATGCGCAGCATGTCATGAGCCTGTGATACGAGCAAGAGTATAGGGAGACGTACAAGAGGCAGTGATCTGCTTGTTGCAGACGGGGTTGTTGTTCGGATTGCCGCCAGTGTAGCCACTGTTGTAAGTCGACTTAACAATTGCGTTCCATACAATGCAAAATCATGGGGAACCTACGGGTAGTTATCAAAGAGGTTCTCAGACACCGCCACAATGTAATCCGAGTTGGTGTTGGTGATACCGCAGGCACCCAGGCCGGTCTCGTACCAGGTAGCTAGACGCAACCATGACGTTCAGCTGAAATATCCACAACATCGGACGCGTGCAGCCTTACCGTCACCAGTCTGAGTACCGTACAACCAGGAAGGCTCGGACCTCACAGTCGTGGAGGCGATCTCGATGTACGAGCCTTGAGTGGAATTGATGGCACGAGGAATGCTCATTGCCAGCGCGGACACGGCAAGGGCGAGGGTAATGACAGCCTTGTAGAAGAACATGTTGAAGGACAGAAGAGGGAGTGAGCGGAAGGGCGAAGGAGTGCGAGGTGTTTAGGGTGAAAGGACCGAGGAGCCTAAGGACCCAGCAGAAAATTGAGGTCTTTTATAGACCAAGGAGGCCATGCTTTGACAGGGTAGAGGCGTTGAGCGATACAAAGGAAGACAGCATAAGCAGAGGCATGCTGGCTGTGAGTGTAGCAACCAAACGTACATGTGAGCGCGAAGAAATGACATTTCCAGTTTCCGGGGTCTCTTTCCTGTCGCGAGTAATCTGCCAGAGAATGTAGGCACAGTCTCCACCGTCCAAGACATGCTCGTGAATGGTCTTCTTTGGCCTTCGTGATTCACTTTCTAAGTCGCGATTCGCGAGGCGCCCGACGTCTTGCGTGGCGAGAACAAAGGCGGCTGTAGCGCATGGCATCGCGGACGTCGTCTTCAAGTTCTTTTCAACGACGAGCGACGCCCGACGTTTGACTAGCGTTCTCCTCGACAGACAGAATCAGTATTCAGTAGGTAAAGGTGCAATAAGGCTTCCCATAATATACTTACTGTCCGACGGGACCTGCGTTCATGATGGTCGCCTAAAGCTGTCTCGGCTGTCACATCGCCACAGGTAGCCGGGGTAGCAGGAGGGGGATAAATGCGAAGTTTGCCTTGGTTTAGACTTCCTCTTTCTTGCAGGTAAGTCATGAGACTCGCAGTCCGCCCGTGTGCTGCTTGCGATATGGGAACTGGCAGTGAAGCTTGAAGCTTGACGGTGCGATGGTTGGTTACTGCCTCAAGGTGCACCGCATGTACCACTGAGTGCTCAAGCCGTCGCAAGTGGCACGTCAGCCCACTGGCACTTGAGCTTGATTGTTGTAAAACACAGATTGTTGGCGTTACAGACTTACAGTTACACCCCCGATGTGTCGGTACCGGGCCACCTTTCAAATTGGAGGTGCGCCAGGCCACCCCCGAGGCAGTGTCAGCGGATGTCTGCGCAGAATTTTCCTTTTGTTCATACTTATGATCTCCTGATACTATGGAGGACGACCCGTTGGGGGTTACCGGCCAATCGGGGTCACGGTTTGAACCTGTATACAACTCTGACCATCCCATCATCGTATGTCGCTTCGGGTGTAGATTGAGTTACCTATGGCCCGATTTATGACACATACCAGCAGCATCTGTGTGCGACCATCACCGTTATCTAGACACATTGACAGCGCCACTGGCCGTCCTGGCGTAACATGATTCAACTTTTCATGATGGGCGCCCACGTGCCAGTAGGTGGCCGATATCAACCTATGGGCACCGAAAGCCCTTCTTTGTCCGACTGTTGCAGGTGCGTACGGTCTTGATGTTTTGCGGTAGAACGAATTGCATACATAGTGTTGAGATACATAGGTGCCCAGATGGCCACCCGCTCCGAGTCCTCTCTATGGGCTTGTCGACACCCGGGAGAAGGGCGGAGTCGACTCCGAAGCCGCGGTTAGGCGTGGTATAGGTCTAGATGAGAGTAGGTGAGAGAACAATTTAAAGTCACAACCGGAAGCAGTCTGTAACGTACCAGACGGGGTCATCTTCCCTGTCCCATGCCTTGTGCAGATAGGTGACTCATTGAGGAACATAATGCGATCGGCTTGTCACCTGGTCATGGTGTCGTAGTCGTGGTGCGAGTAGTTTTCGCAGTTGCAGGGCTCCGGCATGATCATGACAATGAGAGACCGACTAATGGTGGGTTCAGTGAAAAGCATGTGTCCCCAGTCTGACTAGCAAGACGTTAGAAAGGCAATTATCACATTTAGAAACCAGATATGCCGAAGCAAAAGCAGTGGTATGAACACATAGTCGGTCGCATTCGCAATGCTGCTGCTTCGTATCATCCTCCAGACACTTACCTGACGCTTTGCAGAGCCTTTGACGATCTCTGGGACATGCCATCTGCATCAACATGCGTATTCTCTCTTTCAGGCGTATGAGTGAGCACCCCCGAGCGATGTACATATGATCGGAACGCCAATTTATCAGCCTTCTGTTGCAGCTGCCCTGCAATGGCAATGGCTACGGCACTCCAGCGAGAGCAAAGCGGTCTCAAAGTCCGCAAGGAAGCCCCGGCCATATATATGTACGATCGCTCTAGTATTGCGAATAGCTGCAACTCTGCTCCGGCAGACGCGCCTCATACAAGTACAAGATTGGGACTCACTCCACCTTGTCCTCACTCCCTTGCGTCTCACACCAGTGCGCGACCTGGTCCACGACTGCCCTGTGCGCGGGTCGCCCGCGGCGCGAACTTGGACGAGATGTCGTTCGGGTAGAGCCCGAGCCCCGTGCACTGAAGCAGGCGGCGCGCTGCGCTGGTCTCGCTCTTGTTTAGCATCATCATCGGATTGAAGCTACGGTGTCGGCGCGTCGTCGCTTGGTGAGATCAGGCTGGGAGCACACGCTGGCAGGGGTGGGAGAAACAAGCTAGAGTATCCCAGAGAAAAGTAATGTGAAGTCGTCCATCCCTGCACGTCCATAAGATTCAAGATATCGAGTTCGGTACCGGTGGTGGTGGTTTACCAACTTGAAGTTGCGACGACTCGTCACTCGGTGCTGAAGCGCTGACCGCCTGGCGCCACTGAGATCCAGATGCACAGATCACGTGGTCGCGCTACCACAAGATCTCGATCTACGATCGCAAAATGTACCGTACCCACTGCCAGCAGTTGGTACCCAGTACTACTTACCTGCTCACATTCGACCGTCTACTTGCCAGTTTGAACACGCTTATAAGGGCCTGGCCTCAGATTCCAACATTGCTGTCCCGTTCTCTGTGACTATGGCTTCAAAAATCGTCGCGGGCACAAAGCGCAAAGTCAAGCCCTCCAAACTCGCCGCCCGCAAGAAGGCGAAGACGGCCCACCTCTCCGTCGACGAGCTCCCATGGAAGGCTGTCGCACGTCCGAGGGAAACCAGTGCTGCGGGAGCATTTGACGGAATGCTTGAGCTGGAGGAGGTCTCTGATGTGGAGGTTGTGTATGAGGAGACGGAGGCAGGGAAGATCATAAAGTTCAAGGTGAGTCGTGTTGGCACAAAGAATACGGATGGATGGATGAAGAGACGTGCTAGGTTGCAGGAGCAATCGTGGATGAAGGAAACAATGTAGCGGACGTGCAAGATGTGCCTGCGGCTGAGGAACCGGTTGCGGGATCTTCTACGTCTCCCGCACGGAATGCATCAACGCCGAAGGAGGACGTTGTACGGGTGGAGGACGCACAGGACGCACCTTTCGATGGTAGGCAACTCCCCTACTACTATTTTACAACTTCTCACCTGCCGAGCACTCCTCACAGCCGAGACCATGCTCCCCGACTGGTCGCCCTTTTCCCTTCACCAACAACTCGCCAAGGCCTTGTATGCGCAACACTTTACTCGCCCAACGCCTATCCAAGCCGAAGCGCTCCCGCTCGCCCTCTCGGGCAGGGACGTCGTCGGTGTCGCAGAAACAGTACGTGCGTCTCCATCCATCTGCCCACATGAACCCATCTGTGCTTTTACAGGGCTCCGGCAAGACCCTCGCGTACGGCCTGCCCATCCTCGACCACCTTCTCAAACATGCATCCGTCTCTGTTTCATCAGTCAAAGAGCGCAGACCCGTCAGAGCGCTCGTCCTCACACCCACCCGCGAACTCGCGCTGCAGGTCTCCTCCCACCTGAATGCGTGTCTGAACCCCGTCAACGTCCCGTCAGTCGACGTCAAGCGAGAAGAGGATGAGCCTGAGCTTCCCTCCGCCAATCCCAAAGGGAAGGGCAAGGGCAAGGGAAACGGGAAACAGAAGGGTAAGAGCAAGGAGAAGAAGACGGCGACCAGCGAGGAAGCGAAGCAGCGGAGCGGCCCACCCCCAGTGAGCGTCGCTGCCATTGTCGGCGGGATGTCCGCACAGAAGCAGCGCCGGCTTCTCTCGCGCGGTGTCGACGTGCTCGTCGCGACGCCCGGCCGGCTGTGGGACATCATACAAGAGGTACAGTCCATTCCTCGTACCACGTTAGCGCTCAGCTGAGCGACGTCGCGTGCTGCAGGACGACGAGCTCGCAGGTCAGATCGAGAAGCTCCGGTTCCTCGTGCTGGACGAGGCGGACCGGATGATCGAGACGGGGCACTTTGCCGAGATGGAGAACATCCTCCGGCTCACGCTCCGTCAAAGCAAGTAAACACCCCAATTCCTTCGTCTCCTCACCCGCCTCCTGACATTTATGCGATTTCAGGGATGATGAGATCGAGCCCGAGCCCACGTCTGGCTCGCAAGATGACGAAGACGAAGCCGGAGAGGCGGAAGACAGCAAGGCGGGTGTAGAGGGCGAGATGCAGACCTTCGTGTTCAGTGCTACACTCAGTAAGGACCTTCAAAAGAACCTCAAGAGGCCCTCGAGATCGAATAGGCGGAAGAAGGGCAAGCCTGCATCTACACTCGGTATGCACTGGCGTTCGGTAGCACCTCTCGACATAGCTTCCTGACACGAGTTGTAGACGATCTCCTGATGAGGCTCGACTTCCGGGATCCTACACCTGCGGTGATCGACATCGCGCCGGAGGGCGGTGCCGTCGCCACTTTGCAGGAGAGCAAGATCGGGTGTCTCTCGGGCGACAAGGTCCGTCTACACGTTCGCCCGCTTCCTCGTAAGCTGATTTCGACCTGAACGCCATGCATAGGACGCGTATCTGTACTACTTCCTCTTGCGCTACCCCGGCCGCACGCTCGTCTTCCTCTCCTCCATCGACGGCATCCGGCGGCTCCTTCCGACCATGTCCCTCCTCGACATCCCCGCCTTCCCCTCCACTCGCAGCTCGAGCAGAGACAACGACTCAAGAACCTCGACCGGTGCGTCTCTGCCTTTTATCAATCCCCTTCGCATACGACCGCCCACTAACCTACGCCGCAGGTTCAAGTCGACAGCACGCGGCGTCCTCCTCGCGACCGACGTCGCTGCGCGCGGACTAGACGTCCCCGCCGTCGACCACGTGGTGCACTACCAAGTGCCGCGCACCGCCGACGCGTACGTCCACCGCAACGGGCGAACCGCACGCGCCGCGCGCAAGGGCTTCAGCCTGCTCATGGTTGCGCCGGACGAGCGGCGGGTCGTCCGCGCGCTCATGGGCAGCCTCAAGAGGGGTGCGTCTGCCTCACCGTTGTTTGGCGTGCTGATGACTGATAGAGCGTCGGATGGCTACAGAGGAGGACGAGATCCCGGAGATGCCGGTGGAGCTGTATATGCTGGACAGGCTGAAGGCGCGGGTGCAGCTCGCGCGGGAGATCGACGTAGCACAGCATAAGGTCAGGACGGAGAAGCATGACATCAACTGGCTGAAGGAGGCGGCGGAGGCGATGGAGATCGAGCTGGATTCGGGGCTGGAGACGTGAGTGCATATTTTCCAGACGCAACTTGGCTTGATTTCAAGGCCGTTCAGAGACGAGCAGGAGAGCGTCCCGTCGAAAGCGCAACGGAAATACTCGGACGCGAAGGTCGCTGGTCTGAAGGCCAAGCTCAAGGGATTGCTCGCGCAGCCGCTCGTCGCGCGTGGCGTGTCGACGCGATACATCACGTCGGGCGCCGTGTCCATCGCGGATGATATGCTCACGGGGAATTGTACGTCTTCATTATGCTCAGTATTTGTGGTCTCGTTCTGATCTTGCCCTGTAGTCAACGAGACGATGGTTGGGCTGCAGAAGGTTGAGGCAGGGAGTGACCTCGTCGCGGCGAAGATACGCAAGTCAAAATCGAAGGCTCCTGTCAAAGAGGAGTTTGAGGAATGGGGAGGGATTGCCGAGTGAGGAGCGACATGTTCTAGACTGCGCCTGTTGTTGCAGAGTCCCCTCAGCGTGGTGCGTCGTAATGATGCAACAGCCGTCCCAGGTGACGACCAAGCCAAGTACTCTCACTACTGAGATGCCTGGATACGGATCTGGCCATGGTTGCCAATCAATGCGTATGTCTGGACGGAGAATCAGGCGTTGGCCCAAAATGTCTATTTCTGTTTGTTAAGGACTCTGGCTTGCGACCTTCAAATCCGCCAGTTTTCGTAAGGAACGGGCTCCCTGGGTCGAGAGAGGCATGTTTGCCGCATGTTGTTCGCTAAGGTCCTTTAAAGGTGGGCAGTTCTGCCGGGGACATCGGGAGTTCTAGCCCGTCTGATAGACCGCTGGTTTGCGAAGCCCCTTCAAGAACGGAAGTACCTCCTTTTGGTCGGCAACGGAGACTGCGTACCCAGAGGGCTGCGCTTGACTTTCACGGCCACGCACGAGAGTCAAATGTTGCTTTCAACCTGCAGCTGAGCTGCGGTGTAATTGCGGCGGATGCGGATGGGCGGCAGACACAGGGGCGGAAGCGCCTGGGCGCTGCAGAGAGGCGTGGCGTTGGGCGTGGCTACGATCCATGCAGATTGATTGCGGCCGAACGTATGTAGCGCCGGCCGCGGCGGATGATGATCACGGAATAGGATTCAAATGATAATTATATCATCGCAGCTCCCGCTTCGCACCTTTCCCATCTCTCCCTCCATTCTTCTTCTTCGAGCCTCTCTTTGCCAGCGCCGCGATGTCTTTCCCCACCTCCGTCTCGACCCCGCCGTCCTCGCCCCTCCGCGCCCGCTTCTCTCGCTCGCCCTCGCCGTCTCTCACAAGCTTCGCCATCATGCCCCTCAAGTCCATGGCCGACGTCGCGAGCCTTATCGTCCGCCTGCGCCGTCACCGCAAACGCGCTGCGCAGAATCACATCCGCAGCGACTCGGGCGACGAGCCCTTCACGGACGCACGGTTCTGGGGAGAGGGGGTGCTTTCCACGAAGCGGGTGCCGCTCGAGCGGGAGGACACGTTTGAGTGCAGAGACGGCGTTGATGCTGCGAAGCTCGTCCGCCTCGCGCGGGCGTCGCTGTATGAGGAGGCCCAGCTGATCGGCGCGAACGTCCTCGTGGATGAACAGTGCGTAGCTCCTTTCGCGTTGTGGGCGTATGTGTGACTGACGTTGTGCATTGCTTGTAGGTGGTCGTGTCATGTATGCGGCCCGCGGCACGACGGCAGGGCGTTCAAAGTCCATGTGCGTGCGGTCGGTTCTCCGCGTATGTGCGTCTGCTCACCGCCGTGCTTCACAGGTCCACTACTCTGCCTCCGCCGCCCGCTCGGACCGCCCCGACCCGCAGCTGCCACCCTCTATCGAACGCGCGCGCGGCGTGCCAGGGCTGATGACCATTCTCGACCGTCAAGATTAAAACACCTTACGAGCCGACCACGCCCCCTTGGGCAGCGCCCGCGCAGGCATTTCCCCGGCTCTCTACGCGCTCTCTACGAAAACTCGTTCACGGTGATATATACGCTCATTCGGATGGACTGAACTCTACGGACACTGCCCTATAATACTTATTGACCAACACACTGCTCGCACAATTTGGCTAATGAGCTTGTGACTGCATGTAGTATCACCTTTTCTCCTACACGGACACTAGGATCTACGTACAATGTACTTATTCGCGGATAGTATAGAAGCTACAAAATCAAACTGAAACATTTGTTCTACGACTCTGCAGCGCTCCATGTGCCAAGTTCATAATTACAGCTGCCAGTGCTTGAAGCTGAAGTAGGACCTGAGTAAGACGATGTACTTACGAGGGTGCCTCATGTAGCCTTCCATGGCAGCCGACGTCGTGACAACCTGACTGTATATATACAACTATTTACGCAACCTGACCCATGGCAAGATGGCCGAGCGGTCTAAGGCGCTGGAATCAGGTTATACCTCCATCCAGTCCGAAAGGGCGGGGGTTCGAATCCCCCTCTTGTCAAGTCTCCTTTTTGCTTCTGCCTCTTTATGAAAGAGGTCGAATTCTAACCTAAGCTGGCGGATGTAGTCAACGAATGTTGCCCAGATCTCCTTCCCGTGCCAAAGACCGATGTGGACGAACCAGTACTGACCATAGGGTGGCGCGGCCATGGTATGTAGTAGGTACCGCCGCCGAGGGTGACGTAATGCGACACATACGCCTGCCCGCCGATCATCAGGCAGGCGCACACCCGTCTTTCTTGTAAACCACCATCATCTCGCAAGCGCAAGTCCCCCGCGGCTTTCATGCCCTGACTTCTCGTGATGGGGTCACGATACAACTGGCTGGAGAAGGTCGCCAAAAATGCAGATTCTGTGTCGTGGGCACAGGATATGTCCGTGCGATCCAGCACATACGACGCCGCATCTTACAGCTTGCAGAAGCGGCGTGCACATCTTAAGGCGGCGTTCGAAGCATATATTGCACAAGAATATCAGGTCTCGGCTGATGACTCCTGGAGACTACAAGACATTGGTGGTAAGTTGGTTAGGGAGCCCGGGACCACCCATGATGTCGTGGCATGTGAGACTTATTCAAGTTGTTGGTATACTAACCTAGACCACATCGAGAACTTTCTTTCACTTCGCGCGCGATTCGTTGATCCAGCAGCTCTCCGCCAGGAACAGGGACAAACAAATGTGACCTATTCCACCCTTTCACAGTGGAAAGACGTCATGGTGCACTCGGTACAGTATCTGTTGATCATTTCCCACTGGCACCACTCGTTGATTTGGTCGGCATACAGGTGTATCGGAATCATCCTGAAGGGGCTAAACTTCTCTCCGAAGGTCTGTATGCACGCCTCTACCAGGTAAGTTCCACTATGTCAGTCTCGATGCTCGGCAATGGTCAATAGACATCCCACAGCATATCGCATTTCTCCAGACAGAACTAAACCTGCAGCGACACCGACCCGTTCAAGAAGGGTTCGGTAGACTAGAGATGCGTCTCGTCACTGAGAGACTCTATGCGACGGCGAAGGATCCTCTATTGGTGGGTTTGGCGATCAGATCCGAACTACCATGAGCACGCAGCTAATGATTTGATGGCAACCTTTGCAGGCGAACCAGCTTGATGTAGCGTGGAAACTCTGCTTTCTCACTGGCTGTCGTGCTGGTTCGATTGGACATTCCAATCCGAAATACAAGGCAGCTGGTCAATACATGAAAATCGGGGTATGCTGTGCGAGTGTTGCCTCCGAATCACGGTTCTGATATGACACAGGATATCATTCGACTCACAAGGCAGGGCTATATGCAATGGCAGATCGAGCTACACATCAACAACTTGAAGGGCCATAATTCCGGCGAGGGGAAAACGTGAGTGGTCTTGCCTAACGTTGTGTGTTGCCCCGACTCACTGCCAGGGTAGGATTGTGTTCATCTTTCGGCCGGTTAAATCTCCGCTCAACATTGTTTTCGATATCGGCTTGCTCATCGTCATCAATCTCTTTCTCCGCGGCATGCTCTACCATTCAACCTGGCAAGACGTCTGCAACGACGAGGCATTTGAGCTGCGGGTTCGGCCAGAATTCAAGGACCACGCACTAATCTGCAAGGGAATGCCTGGAGGCAGAGGGGTCCACGAAAGCGAGCCGATGAGGTCGTCTTCCCTGCAGAAATGCTTCAAAAAGGTTGCTCAGGAATGTGGCTTCTGTAAGTTGGCATGTTTGCAGGAATTACCGCTGCTCATTAGCTGTTAGTAAATCCCAAACTCTACAATTTACGACGGGATTTTGCGGAAGACATGCTTGAGGAGTTCGGTGCTGAGGTCGCTCGGGAGGGTATGGGCCACGAGGAAAATCCTACCTTGGTACGTTCAGGCCATTCTCGGCTGCTGCTGTTCCACCCACTCGGTCATTGCAGCGCAGGCACTACGTCCAGAGTGTCGCCGGCAAAGATGTTGTCGGTCTCCGGACCGGTGAGGCCCTGGTCTCTCGCAAGGAGCTCACTTGGATCAGGCAGCCTGCACTGCATGAGAATGTGAGACTCATGGCGCCCGCGGAACTCAGCCACTTGGGTGCCAATGGAGTCCCAAGTTCCGTTGCCCGCACAACTGGGCCGATACTCCCGGTAAAAGATACTGCAGTTGAGGTGATTCTCGCCGCTCTCCGAGATTACTGCCACTGAAATTTTGTGTCTTCTTAGACGAGCGTGTTCATCCCACCAACGTTTACAGAAGCCGAGCTTGAGGCTGACGACGAGTATCAGAGATTCTTTGCGCATCCTGATAGGTCCAAGCGAGTCCAAGAGGTTGACGAATTGAAAGCAACACTGGAGTCGGCCATTGGGGGTTCGCTGCTGCGAGGTAGCAAAGAAGACAAAGTGGATGATTGCATCGCTGCGCACTCAGACAGGGTCACTCTCACCGAGAAGTGGGAGAGGTATAAAAAGGCCGCAAACACACTCTCGACCACTCGTTCCCGAAAACGGAAGCAGATCTTGGACAAGCGTGTCAAAGCTGCAAAGCTAGAGTGGGAGAAGGTGCACCCTGCATCAGTGACGACTCTGGAACAAACCTCAGCTGGTCAGACCACAGCCGAAAGGCTAGCGAAGGCAAATTTGCTTGAGCAGGGGTCTCCTCTGCTTCGCGTTGCCCTGACATGTTTGTGCTCGACTTTGGCGCTGATATATGCTTCACTGACTTGCCGCCGAGCAGATGCACCCACGAGCAACATCAGTTCTGGAGTTCCCACTGTCACGGCGGTCCCTGTGGCATCCGTCACGGATACGATCTCCACTGAGCCTGTGATGAACGAGCTCGACACCGCGGCTGATCCAAGCTCGAGCGAAACAGACTCAACACCCGGAACTTTCGAAGAGCTCGACACCGGTGATTTGGATCTCGTGCCCCTCGATGTCATGGCAGCTTCGTATGCGCAGTGAGTCGAAGCCCCTCCTGACACCTGATCTATATACTAACACTTCTTGTAGAATGGTCATGAGCGTACATCGGGTGAAAGCATCTCGTGAATGCATCGACTGCCACCATGACCCTACAACCAAGGCGGACATGATGGGCAAGACCTTCCTACCTCATGAAATGGCTGATCACCAGTATGCGAGACTTCATTGCTCTCAAGCACTGCCTGCTGACCAGTGACGAGTACAGGAGGGTATATCACACGACAAGAAATCAAGTGTTCCGATTCTGGGAGGAGGGTGAGAGTTGGACGAGTGCAAGAGTGAGGAAGCGATGGCCTAGTGGAGGCTGCTTCTTGTGCTACGCCGATGGCAAGGCGTACCGAAAGTAAGTCTAGATTTTCAAGTTTGTGTCTTATCTCCGCAATTCACTGGCCTCCAGATACACCAAGTCGGGATTGACCGGCCACCTGTATCACACATCATACCATGCCGAAGATCCGCGAGTCGCTGCAGCTCTCAGCATGAACGCTTGGGTGAGTCTAGCATTGTCATTGCCACACGGCAGTGGGACGACTCACCGCCGCTCTAGAAGAAGAAGAAATACGGCACAGCATACCAAAAGCGCCTGCTGAAGAAGAACGCTCGCGCGTCCATGAAGACCCTCATGAAGGTCGCACCCGATCCTGCCTCCCTTTTCCTCGGTATCTCTCTCCCAGCTCTTCGGAACGAAGAAGAATTTCTTGCTGCTTGCGCCAGCGTTCATGTGGGCCATTTCATTGCTGCTTCGCCACCTCTCCCAGTGCCTCTGGCTGCGCTGCCATTCTAGGTTCATTCTCTTCAAAGGCAGATAATGGCAAAGTTTTGTAATACACTGTCTCGTACTAGGGTTCCGCACAACCACCCAATTACATGCATGGATTTATGCTAGTCCGAAAAGAGATGAACAACCGTGAGAATGCGAGGCAGCAGTACAAAAGCGAGGAGGTGAGGCGACTGCAGTACAAAAGCGAATGAGACATTTAAGAGACACAGACTGGGAAAACGAAGCCACAGGCAAGTCCATTGCAGCAGGGAAAGCGTCCGAGCGGATTGCACTCTAAACCGAAAGCGAGCCAGCAGACTTGGGAGTGTTTTAACCCTGCAGAGAGTCACTGGAACTCGGCCCAGCATCGCCAGCTCCAGAGCCTCCAGGAAGGGTCGAAGCGGCAAGGTAGCGAGGAGCCGGGGCAGTGACCTCCGCATTAGCCGAAGGACGAGCTCCGCCCAAGTCGAACCAGGTAGAAGTGTAGGGGGTCATGTTGCCCAAGAGGCCGGTGAGATCCGGAGCAACGGGGTCAGCAATCGGCGGCAACTTGAGCTCGGGGATTCGCATGCCCAGCTGTTGGGCAAGCACGAGACTTTTTAAATGGTCCCTTGTTGCCCTCGCAAGGGTCGCTACCCTGTTGGTGGCCGAGTTGGAGAGCTGAGACTGCAAGTTTGTGTACCTGATGGCGAGGTCTGCCGTGGCCGCCTGGATCGTGCAGTTTGCGGCGTGCATGCTCAACCGAAGCTGTTCGAAGGCAAGGGCCTGGCAATCATGAGCTCCAAACTGTGGCTACCGAAAGAGATGAGGAGATCCTACTTGTTCTGTAACTGTTCCTCCACCCGAAGTGAGCCCAGCTTGTTTACCGTTCGCACTTGAACTCTTGCCTCGCTTTGAAGAACGAGGGAGTCAGTGATCACTATGAGGCGTATGCAGGTGTGGTGGTTCGTGGGCTACCTTTGCCTTGACCAGTACCGGAGCATCCTCGTCGGAATCGTTGTCTGGAGTGTCGTCAGGCTCGTCATCATCGTCCTCGGATGACGAGGCATCTTCAGAGACCTACTCGCAAAGTCATTGACTATATGCGCCCATCCATACGAATGTGCGGGCCCTTACCTGTGACTCGACTGCAATCGCAGTATCTTGTGACTTCCCTGTGGCGCCCTTCGACTTCCCTGCTGACGAACTCGCTCTCTTCTTGCCCTTCTTATCCATTCTCTGTTGTGAGAACTCTCAATCACATGCATATATGCGCCCACCTTCGTCGAATTGGTAGCAGAAGCCTTTGATTTTGCCTTTTTCGTCTCGGATGTGGGCTCATCCGCCCCAGTTCGCTTTGCGGGCACCTAGAACACCATCAATGTCCAAGAGCATGAAAGACTGCGAGCAGGAAACCGCACCAAGGTTCCTGGGGTACCCTGGATGACGACGAGTTGAGGATGGTGGACGACTGCAGCGCCGATCACACCCTTGAAAACTCATCAGCAACAGATTGCACCAAGATGAAGAAAACTTGCTGGAGCCGGTGCCGGTATCGTGCGAGCATTTGTGGACTGCGCGGTGGCGGGCTGTAATGAGAAGGGGATAGCGAGCGGTTGGCCAACCTTGATGGCGTTCAACTCGTACTGTCGAGCTTGCTCAGCAGTGATTTCCTGAGTCATATGAGGACCAGCCATTGGTGCGATGGGGGTGATGCGAGCAGAGACCAAGTGAGTGGGAGAGAAGAGAGCGAGAGCGCAGAGCGGCGAGCCCATGAAGCACTTTCCATAAAAGCATATCCTCGGTGCGGCCCGGTGCCGGCAGTGCGCCTCCTCACGCTCATGCCAATGGATTCAAACTTGACGCGGACGCCGCAAGGTTGTTACCACGCTCGTCCTTCGCTACAAGGCTCAGCAATACAGGATTGCAACAACAGCAACGAGTAGAATATACAAGGGGTCTCATTCGAAGCAAATGGCGACCTGCAAGGTGTCGCTCGCAATTTTTGAGTTGCATGCAGCTGGCATGAGCACATGCATCGCCGCTCTCGCGCAATCGCCATACAGAAAAGGTAGGCCCGGGCGTGGTAATGGCAACGAGTGTGAGTGGATTCGTGTGAGCCGCCAGCAGAAGCAGCTTAGGAGGAGGCGTGCCCACCCTGAGCGTCCGCCGCGGCGCATCGCCGCTGCGCATATGGTTGCTGCGTCGTCGCCGGTCTGCGGATGGATCAAAGGGGCGGCGGGATTGAAACAACGGCGAGGGGGTGCTGAAGGGTGCTAGTACGAGACGAAGCTGAGGGTGGCCCAACCCAGAATACGGCCAATGCAGTACATCAATGCTCCTTTGACAAGCGGCGGATGCATCACCCGGGCCTATCCCCGACGCAGACATTCAACGCGCGCAGGCCACAAGAACACAGTGTGGGCGAGCTGAGGAGAAGGTCGGCGACGTGGCAAAGCAGCGAACACAGCAAAATATCATGTGACCGTGCCCTACGTCCTCCTCCACACCTATGGCTGGCCTCTCTTCTGCTCACGTCTGGGTCGTAGCGGTAGACGGGGCCATGACAGAGACAGCTACTGTGCGCGTCGCCCTGCCCTCTGTTGGTTTTTATTTTCTGTACCATTTCGGGGTAAACAAATGCATCGTAGTTTTGGCTGGATCGCACCTCGGTATTCGTAAGGACTCCCAAGGACCTCTTGGGAGTCTTTAAAGGAGGGGCGGCAATTACATGATGCAGGGCAAGTAACTATATTTGGCGTGTGCGGTGCGCACGCATAGGTATAGCAGCAAGAGCAGGGCGACTGCAGTCGAGGTTGTATAAACAGGTGCAGAGTGGTGTTCGGCGTATGACTACGCCTTGCAGAGCAACAGCAATAACTACGATGTGATGCACCTAATAACGACTGCCACCCCGCTGGAGGCGCCACGAGTCTTGCCAGGCTGGCGGCATCACCGCAGGATCCTCGTCAGCGCTGCTTTCACTGTCGCCAGAGTCACTGTCGTCAGTAGACGTGTTGTCATCTGTGTTGCTATTGTCTTCGTCGCCGCCACTGTTGCCTTCGGAGCAGCTGCTGCCGCCTTCGTGCCCTTCACTGCAGCAGCTGCATGAACCGTTGTCCTCGTCGTCACGGTTGTGGCGAAACACATCGCCCTCGTCAGATGGGTCATCGTCAGACTCGGAGGATGGCAGCCAGCATCGAGTGGACATGGTGCAGGAGCACGACTCCCAGAGAACCTCGCTAACGGAAGTGAGGACTTGGGACCAAGCTCGACCGGCGGGAAGAGGGCTGAATCGGCCTGCGCGAGTGAGCTGGAGGGTGAGAGGGCGCCGGAGGTGGGTGGCGACACGAGTGGAGAGGGCGTCGGCGAGGGTGTCGAGATTATAGTCAGAATGCGAGACGACGAGGAGATCGAGGGCGGGGAAGGCGCCGGCGCGGAGGAGTGAGAGCCAGGCAGATATATAGCCACACCCTACAAAGGCAAGGCGGTTTAGGTGTGACCAGCCAGAGAGGATGTGTGACGAGAGCTGCGACGAGGTGCAGATCAACGCGTCGACATTGGTGAGCGTGAGGTCGTTGAGCGAGCAGACGTTGAGTTGGAGGAGGACATCATTGATGATGGACAGAGGGTGTCCCTCGATATTGTCCACAGCCCAGAGCGCGGTGTGGCTGATGTCCTCTGCGACGACCGCGAGGACGTCGAAGTAGTCGTACCTGCCGGCAGAGATGCGGACGCGGGCAATGGCGGGGAGGCAGTCGTGGGGGATTGTTACAGGATCCATTGTGGATGTATGCGCGGGCAGGCGGCCTTATATAGTGGCGGCGCAAGCCCATGGGCGGGGGCGGCGCATGCCCACGGGCGGGGGGCGGACGAGAGGGCGGGGACAGTGGGCGGGGCGGCGCGACACAATGCGCAGGCGTTGTTGCGTGTGACGTATCATGACGTAGAGGCGACGTGCGCGCGCGCGCGCGCCCGTGGGTGTGTGGGTGTGGACGGTGGCAGTGGGCAGAAAGGGGACACGGTCGAGGGCGAGGAGGGTTGGGCATGCGTCGTGCAGGTCGTAGAAAAGGCGCCTGCGATCATCTTCGCGTCGTCGTCGAGCATTGTGCAGGGAACACTGTTCAAGGTTCAGCAAGGTGGGCGGGCACCAGACGGGGTGGGATGTCATTCGTGCATACGGATTCCTTACGGCGCTACTCTACGAACAAACAGTGCGTCGTGAAGGACAGGCGGTCGTGCAGGACGCTAACTGGCTGTGCACGCGAGGAAGCATCTGGCGACAAGGTGGAGGCGGGGTCGAAGACGGCGTGGCGCAGGACGGCACGCGCGGCGGGCAGAGCGTCGTGGGGAGGGAAGGGTGCACACGAACGTGGCGGGCGGTCGCCATCTCGGGTGGCGCAGGCGGGTGGTGCGAGAGGGAGCGCGGACCCCGCCGCTGCCAGTTAGTCACGAGAATGCCGCGATGGCGCAGGATGAGGGAGAGGGGAGGACAATGGCAGGGATGGTTGGAAGGTCGCCGCGGCGATGGTGGTGGTGGTGGATCAGGAGGTGGGCGACCGATTGTGGCAGGAGCTCCGCTTGTGTCGGCGGGTGGCGTTCGTCAGCACAATGGGCGGACGGTGTGTTTCGGGTACGCGGCGCGCGCAAGACTCCCAAGGACTGCTTGGGAGTCTTTGCGGACGCGGGCGGCGCATGGACGGGAACGGACGAGAGCGCGAGGACACGGTGTGGCTTGTTTGGCGCGCATCGGGCGCGAGACCACGCGCACATGCGAAGATGGCATACACGTCGGTGAGGGAGACGACGCAATGATGGACGCGACGGTGGTTGTGGGCGAGAATGGCCGGAGGGGATGGACGCGACGGTGGTGAGCGAGAATGGCCGGAGGGACGAGCGCGAGCGGCTGGCGCGAGGGCGGACGCCGGACTGCTATGTATGGATGTGCTTATGTAATCGGTCCCCGCATGGCACCGACTACGTCGATTTGTCGATTTGAAGACTTGCAGCCTCATGTTGGGCTTCAAAGGTTTTCACGGGTCTGTCGAGGCCTGATTATTAGCCTGACGAAGTTTCAACAGGGGTAAGACATGGAGAGCAACGGGGATAATTCACCTTGTTCAGGTCGTGCGGGCGCTTGCCATGCTGTCGGTGTGTGGCGATGATACACGTACGGGCGGACGCCGACCAAGTGCCGGGTCCAAAGTCAAACCGAGGGGCGGGAGTCGATGCAGACTCGGCCCGTGACAAGGGTACCCGCCATGCACCGAGCGCGGGTATAGTGACGGAGACGACGCGATGACGATGACGGACGCGACGGTGGTGGTGAGCGGGAATGGCCGGAGGGACGGGCAGGGTGGCGCGGGCGGGTGGCGCGAAGGTGGCGGGACGACGACGGGCACGAGGGTGGCGGGACGCGCGAGGGTGGCGGGAAGAGCGGCGGAGGTGGCAGGAGATGCCGAGTGAAGGTGGCGGGACGACGGCGGGAGGAGTAGGCGTGGCGGGGATAGAATGCCCACCAGGTGATCGGAACGACACGCACGGAACAAGGGCGCGAGTTCGAATCTCGCTCTTGTCATATTACGTTGTCCTTGTAATTTTTTGGGAAGCAAGAGAAGGTATGTCGGGTAGGTTATGCTCGGGAATAGACCGCCCACTTTGAACAACCCGCAAAAACATTGCACAAACAATCAGCGGTCTCGGAAGTAGCGGGGTTCTCTCCGAAAAGCTAGCGAGGAAATGTATTGTCGTCAACGCAGCACTATCGTACATCTTTGGCCCTACAGCCTAGTGCATCATACCCACAAACCCGGGCAGAGAGGGTGACCACCGCATCCCGAACAACCGAGCTCTCACACCTTTTCGATCTCCTCGTTATCCATCTTCTCCTGAACTGGTGCGCCCGCGACGTGCACCTTGCCCTCATAGAGCTCCGCCTCGCGCTCATTGGGGTCCTTGAGCGCGACGTGCGAGCCAGGAACGAAGACCGGCACGCTCTCGAAGTAGCTGTCGAGCTCTGTTGTGTCGTGCGCTGTGAGGATAGTGTCGAGGAGGATCGGAGGAGACACATACCTTCGAGGGGGATGCCCCTCGTCTCGGGGAGGAAGGCCCAGAAGAAGAGCGCGTTCGTGAAGCCGCAGATCGCGAAGGTGAGGTAGAACTTCCAGCCTGGATCACGCGCAGTCAGAACCGCGACTGAATCGCGGTCCGCTGTGCAGGGGACTTACCGACTGTGGTGAATGCGGGAGGGCTGACTTGCGCGATCATGACTGCCAGGAGTCAGGACAAAGGTACAAGGGTGCACGGATGCATAACGTACAGTTTGAGATCCATGCGGCGGAGGACGTGATCGCTGTAGCTTTAGCGCGGTTGCGCTGTTGAACATCTCGACAGGAATCTACACAACACCCTCGATGAGACGTAGAGCGACAACGATTGCATATACATAGCTAACCGCCCACGACAGAGGTCCGCAACACGCCGAGAACACCAAGTTGAACTGCTTCCGAGTAAGCATACTCTCACAAAACAAAAGAACCGCCACAAGCTCACCAACCACGTCATCGCGACGAACGCCCTGCTCGCGTTCGGGTTATTCGAGCCCGCGGGGAAGCGCGCGATGATGATCGTCCCGACGACGAACGTCAGCCCGCAGAGCGCGTTCCCCCACACGAACACCTTGCGCCGGCCGAGCCGGTCGATGTACCAGATGCACAGCACCTCGCCGATGAGCGCATCACGGAGTTGCCGGACTGCAGCCCGAGCGTGGTCGAGGTGTCGATCCCGATGCTCGCGTAGATCGTCGGCGCGTAGTATTGGATGCAGCTCACGCCGGTCATTGATGCTGGAGCGCGAGGAGGTCAGCCTGATTGCTGACACGGCAGGATGTGGTGCCGTACCTGAACTGGATGCGACACCGAGAACGAGACGTCTGAAGTTGCTTGGGATGCCGAAGAGCTGCCTCCAGACTCGCGCGTCTCTCGCGTCCGACGCGCACCTGTTCGAGGATCTCCAAGTGTTCGCTCACGACGAAGGGGTCCGTGATGTCCCCGTGTGCATGAAGCCGACCGAGTACAAGCAGCGCCTCTGGTCACGCCCTTCATAGCTAGGAACCGGGGGCTCTCGGGGAGAAGGCTGCCGAGAGATGTCAGTAAAAAAATAACGTTCTGAGGTTTCGCTCCACTCACAGGATGAAGAAGGCCAGGGGGATAGCAGCTAAAATGGATCAATGCACGGCCAGTATTCTGAATTAATCCAGACGTACGTAGCAACTGGATGCCTTGAGGATGAAGTGGCCTTCTCAGCGAACGACACTCAACGAACAGTACCACTTACCCAGCGGAACTCTCCACTGCGCCTGGCCCGTCAAGCCATGGTAGCACCCGTACCCGATGAAGGATGCAATCAAGGAACCGATTCCGAGCATGAACTGTTGCAGCGTCGTCAGACGGCCACGGATGCTCGGGTGCGCGATCTCAGCCTGGTACAAAGGTGCGAGCATGGCCAACATGCCGATGCCCATCCCGGCGAGAAATCGCCCGCCGTACATGTAACCGATGTTCTGTGCTGCTGTCTGGATCGCGCCGCCGATGAGGAAGACGATACAGCCGGCCAAGATCGTCAGACGGCGTCCGAAGGTGTCGGCAAAGGATCCGACGTAAATGTTCCTGGCAAGCTCGGTCACGCTAATGAGGATGCGAGCATCGGGCGTGCTCACGATGCGAATGCACCCAACAGAGACATCCTGTGATAAGTCCCAGCTGGGTCTCGGTCGGGTTCCCCGTCTTCAAGAGAAAGTCGTCGCTGGACTGTGACAAGTCATGCGTAAGTGTCCAAAGTTAACTTAGCATCTGCGCTGCGACTCACCTCTACTGTAGCAATGATACCGAGGTCATACCCAAACGTCACAGACCCCAGTGCCGCGAATAGGCCGCAGAGCCAAGTGTAAACCTAGAGCATTCTTAATCCTCAGAAGAGCGTGTGTCACCAATGCTGCCTCCACGAACCTTTGGCGAGACCGGCATCGTGAATGAGTAGTGTGGAATAGAATCGCGAGAGACCAAACTGGCTGGGAGAAGCCGACCGTCTCCTGCGTAGGCAACAAGTCCCCCTCATGACCTTTATATTGAAGTCAACTTCCACAGAGTCAATCATCGGTGGGTGGGTGCTATTCCGATCAGGGACGGGACTTGCGCGTTGTACGCATCATGGGTGTGTGATCGCAGCCAGCCCGCCGAATGACTTATTGAGCCCGGGATATGCATGGACATGATGCCTCGTGACCATAAACCATTGCCATACAGAGGATAGATCAGGACCCTTGACTGACAGACGGATAACGCGGCTACGTTCTGCTGCAGAGACGACAGTATAGCATACTGCAGGATTGTTATGAGTGAACGTTGGCTCGCCATAGACGAGGAAGATGAGACTCTTACGAATGACGAACGAATCCTCCATAGACGGCACCGAATGCGGGGTGAGTGCGGGGAAGCGGGGAAATAGGCGCTCCAGTCGCATCAACGGGGCAGGCATTCGAGGTCGACGGGCCGCCTCCCGGTCCGCAGAATCTCCGTGGTCCTTGAAAGACGCATCGATGCATGACCACTGACCAGAGCAAGGTCATGGCTGCCGATGCTCGTTGCGATAGACCTGAAATGATACAGGGACAGGGGTCAGCAAGAGCGTCGAGGGTTGCTCGCCGCAGTACGCCCTTGTACGACGTACCCGGCCTCTCGCACTACCATGCCTGCTCTCGACGTCTTCCCCACCGCGACCATCGCGCCAGTTTCTCCACTGATCTTCTCCGGATTCCTGGAGCACCTAGGTCGCTGCGTCTACGGCGGCATCTTACCTGCGGGCCCCACGAACTTCCCATACACGCCTCGCAATCCTTGCCCCAAAGACCAGTTCGTCGAGACTCCAAAAGAGCTCCTGACCGCAGAGGGTTTCCGGAAGGATGTTCTGGAAGTCTTGCGAGACGAGCTAGCGACGCCCATGGTGAGGTGGCCGGGTGGCAACTATGTGAGCTCGTACAAGTGGAAGGACGGGATAGGGCCGTTGGAGGAAAGGAAACGACGCCCGGAGCTGGCGTGGGGCGGGGAAGAGAGCAACCTGTTCGGAACGGACGAGTGAGTAGTATGTCTCGACCTTCGGAGTGAAGAACTGACGCCGTGGTGCGAAGGTTCATTGCGTGGTGCCGAGTAGCCAAGATTGAACCTTACATCGTTCTGAACATGGGCACGGGGACCCTCGAGGAAGCCCTGCACTGGATCGAGTACTGCAATGGAACAGGTGATACGTAAGTCTTTTCCCCCGTATCTTGCAGCTCAGTGAAGCAACGGTGCAACAGCTACTACGCCAATCTCCGGCGCAAGAACACGGGCAAGGACGAACCGCACAACGTCAAATACTGGGGCCTCGGGAACGAAGTCTGGGGCGAATGGCAAGTCGGCCAGCAGACCGCATCTGCATATGCGACCAAAGCCCGCCAGTGGGCACACGCGATCCGGCTCATCGACCCCACCGTGAAGCTCGTCGGCTGTGGCGAGACGGGGCTCAACCACTGGGACGGGGTTATCCTAGATGAGCTCGTCGACAAAGTCGACTTGCACAGGTGAGTCGGCACCTGCAGCCCGCGCATGTGCGGTCTCACCGAACGCCGGCGAACGTTGCAGCATACACCTGTACACAGGTTTCGGGGCTCGCGATCGATCGCAGATCGAGAAGGAGTACGGGCGCGCCGTGTATGGTCCCGATGCCGCAGAGTACTCAATCGAGATTTGCAAGGGCCTGATCAACAAGGCAGTAAGCGAACTCTATCTCTCCTGAAAATCTTGTGCGTCACTCACCGTGTGTACCACTCCCTGCCATCGCAGCGAGTCGCAAAGACCGCCAGCAAACCCATCACCATTGCCTTCGACGAATACGGTGTGTGGGACGAGACGGTCGGCACGCCGGAGAATGGCTTGGAGCAGTTCTATGACTTGGCCGACGCGCTCGCGATGGCGTCCTGGCTGAACGTCTTCGTCCGGCAAGCGGATATCGTCGAGATGGCTTGCATCGCGCAAAGCGTAAACGTCATTTCGCCCCTGATAACCAGGTCAGTACAGCAGTGAGGCAAAAGAGGTGATTGAAGATTGACTTCGGCAACGTAGCCCGACTGGACTGTTCCGGCAGACCATCTACTGGCCGCTGTATCTCTTCTCGCGGTACATGCGGGGTGGGGTCTCCATCCGCGTCTCCCTCTCGTCTCCGACTTTCTCTGGCGAGACACTTCCGCAGTGGATATCCTCGGTGAAGGGTCAGCCCAAGGATCTCGATGCCTCGGCGGTCCTCCACACGTCCGAAACCGGCCAGAAGAGCGTACGTATCGCCGTGGTGAATCGGAGCAAGGACAGTTCCTATACCGTACCCGTTCGGGTAGCCTTTAGAGAGGCCCGAAGGAAGTCGAGGAGCACGAGCTGTGGCATGAGGATGTGAAAGCGCGGAACGGGTGGGGAAAGGAAAACGAAGTGAGCGTGAAGACGAAGAGAGCGGCCTGGACCGGAGAATGGACCTTCAGAGAGCATTCCTTCACGCTGCTCGTCCTAGACATAGCCTGAGCGCGGCGGCATTTCTCAAAACGGGTGCTGCGAGACTGCAGACGGAGAAGAGACGAGTGACTTCGTCGGACGGTCGTGTATATGAACGCATATATGAATACCAATTCACTGGCAAGATGAGTAGACGAAGTGAATGCTTCAAAGAGCGCAGGCGCACCACGGAATGAACAGGTCAGCACAGAATAAACATACTGCGAGCCCTTATGACACTGGTGGTGCCCAACGCTATCTGCTTCCTCAGTGTTCTGCATCCGAGGCTACCGAGCAAATTGCGACCGATCCTGGACCTCAGGCAGTGTCCAAACAGTACAGCCCAACGGAAAAAGGTTGGGTAGGGGCCCTATGCGCGACGGGCGAAGCATGCAAAGGTCGAGGAGGGTGTGGTCACGGTCAGTGGCAGAGCACTCAGATAGACGCCCATCTAGTACACGTGTGTATCGACCTACTTACTTACTCAGCGATAGTTCTATCGATTCCCCTGCGATGCCTTCGAGCCCGCGACCGACTTGGTTCACTTGGTGCTGGTGTCGTCTGGAAGGCTACTCCTCACAGTTTCTGCTGGGGCTTCGCGACTTCACACAGGGTATGCAGCCCCCGACTGGCACAACAATACGGGGATGATCGGTGCCGATGAGAAGCAGTCAATCCAAATCCCATAAGTGGCATATAGCGTGTCCCAGGTGCCGAACACAGCTTGCGTGTACTCGTGATCCCGGACGACGACCACCCGACATTCAGCTGCAGGTGAGTTCAATGACTTCCTAGTATTGCAATGCGTTTGACGTGTACTGGTAGCAGGCGATAATAAGCCACAATGGACCGATGTCCCGCGGAACTCTGGATCCGGATATTCGCATTGGCGTGCACGGACGGTGGCTATACAGGGCGATCACTGTCCTGCGTCTCGAGGTACATTTCCGATGTCTCCAGACCAGTGCAACTTCAGAGCGTTGCACTACACGGGGCGTACGAGCTGAAGTGCTTCGCGGATACGATGGAAAGCCGCGTTCCGGAGGACCGGCGTATCCTCCATCTGTACATCGCACATCACAAGGAACCGAGCGACAGGAACTCGTACGCACCGCCCGACTCACTGAGCAGTTCGGAACTGCGCGAAGCCCTGATCTACCGTCTGTATCACCCCGCGGACGAGGCTGAGCTTCTGCGCAGACTGCCGGACGAGATGCGAGGATGGCCGGCAGGAGAGCTGACGGCGGAGCGGGACCAAGTGTTCAGGCGAGCCCTCGACCGCGTCATGCAGGTCGCGAGCATTCATCTTCAAACCTTCACATTGCATATCGGTTCGCTGCTGCTGAGCTCACAATATGGACCTCACTTCCCATCTGTCCTCGCCAGACACGACTTCCCACGGCTCGAAGAGCTGACCATCCTGGACACCTTCGTACTTCGCGGAGGGCTGCAGGCACCGCATTACAAGAGGCTCCCGGAGTTCCCATCCCTCAAGCGTCTCCATCTAGTAGACTGCTACAACTATCTCGTCGCATTCCTGGGATCAGTGCCGTCCCTGACACATCTGCGCATGAGCGGCGTCACCCAGCTCTTCCCGGATCTCAGCGCGATCGTGCGCGGGGTGATAGACCCGGACGCTACGACGAACGTTGTTCCGACTGCCCAAACCGGTCTCGTGCACTTGCAAAAGATATCGTCAGCCCGGTCTCACAGTCGCGCACTGCGACCTACCGAGTCATCACGGAACAAGCGTTGAAGCAGATGGCACGGTGTAACGACAAACTGATCCTGTTGCGCTCAGATCGCGCAGCGGGGCCGCCCTACGGACTGCCAGAGGCGAGGCGAGATTGGCTGCAGAGGATCGAGGGGAGGAGGGATGTTGGGGATATCGGACGTTGGATCGCGACCCCGAAACTATCCAAGGATACACGTTTGGGTATTAGGCTGAAGGCGTCTGTGACGACGTGCGGAGATTACTGGTGTACTGTGAGTTTGGCGTCGGCATGTTGTTCTCTTCGCTTTGGTCAGCTGGCTTCCGTAGCGTTTCTTTGGCACTAACGAAGTTTGCTTCTTAGGTTTTGGACGAAGCGCTACGCATTACTTGCGGACCTATGTTGTAGGCCGCTATACTCGATTCGGAGTCTGTCACGGTCAGATTTCAATGTGCCATCCCCGCTGTCCTGGTCTGTCAAATCCTTGTCACGCAGTCCTGGTCCGCGCAGAACTGAGCTATATTGCCTTCGCCTGTCCTTTTCACTCCCGCGAAGCTGGGATCAAGTCACCGCCACCGGTCAGCGTCCTTTGTTTCTCCGGTATGTTCTCAGGTTTTCACCCACGTCACGTCCGATATCCGCGCCCCATTCGCGTCCCACCTGGCTGTACCACGGTTTCGTCTCCGTGCTTGCATCCTGCGCCCCCATCCACACAGGGCGAATGTTTTCCCAGACAGTTCCAAGCTCCTGCCTCTTGCTCGGTCAGCGCGCGTGCCCGCGCTGACACGCAGTCCGGACGTCGCGCGCTGCACGAGATCCGCGCTCGCCGTTCTGTCAGCGTGGGCGTGCGCGCGCGGGGTTTTCTCGTCCCTCTGTGGTTCCTCGCCGTATGCGTTGCACGCGGTGCTGACAGATGTCGTGTCCGCCGTGTCGTGGCAGACGTGACAGGACGGTGCGTGGCTCGGTGGTTGTGCGGGCACGTCCGGCTGCACGGCACCAAGGCGTCGTCCACGAGCTGCACCACCTGCAGCACAAGGCAGCTGTGCCTGATCTGTTAGAGACCGGGCTGCCAGTGTCAGGTAGATGTCGTCTGGTTTTTTCTCTTCTGGCAGGCAGGCAGGAGGTACCACTCGGCCGGGCAGCTCCTTCCGGCCATCTGTGATCCTGATGAGAGGGTTCGCGGCCTGTATACCTGCATGCTGCTGCCTCTCCTTCGGGCGGTACGCGCGGGACGCAAAGTCAAACGCCTCATCCCCAAGATATCACCGCAGTGACGGCACTGCAGCTTATTGTTCTGGGTGCTTCTTCCAGCGCAAGGCGATGCTATGTCCGACATTGATTCATTCTCGGACCCGGCGGCGCAAGAGGGCTCCTTCGTGTGAGATTGGCTTTTGCGAAGGGAGTACGCTACCGATGACTGTCCAGTCTAGTCTCAGACGATGTGGAGCCTGGGCTAGACTGAGTTGCTCGCGGGCAGAGCTCGGAACACAGCGTGGAAGCTAACTTGCGCGGATCATCATGCACCGACGTGAAGAGTTCATAAGACCACAAATGTTGCCGTTCATCTCACCAGAGTCCCGGTGATTCGAGAAGAAGTACTGGCAGCATTACGCACGTATTCGAAATATGTACGCGAATGAAATAACTATAGAGACGTCCCCAACGTATCAAACTGTCGGGGCACATCTAACAAACAAACGAAGAATACGGTAGACAGCAGACAATTACGCGTGCGACTGCGATACCGTACGAGAACTAGAACGAAGCGGGTAGATATCCAATAAGGGAGCAGCGTAGACTGCTCGATGTACGAAGTAGAAAAGCGACGGCGGCGGCTAGGGATAGGCTGTAAGATAGGATGTGCGCGAGAGATAGCAAAATCCACGACCAGGAGAGTCAAAGCGAACGAAGTCTATGCACATCTAATCTGCGGGCAAGGAGCGGTGATGTATGCACAGCGGGAGAATGTGGGGCGATAGTAGCTACAAAGGAGAGTTAGATGTTTTCCATGGGTAGTTGTTGTCGAGACGGGGAAGGCATGGGTTGCGCGCCATAAGTCCCATCGCGCCTGTGAAAGAGGGGGTCATGTCGCATACGGTGGGGTACACCTGCGGCGCCAGTCAGTGTAGGGTTCATATCGGAGCGCGGAGAGCCGCACGTACTATGTACAGGTGCGTGCCAGCGTTTTAGCGCGACAAGGTTTTCATGCGCGGCGAGGGAGCAAGGTGACGACACGTGTCCGCTTCACCTCGAGACCCTGCTTGCCGAAGTAGCGCTCGGACTCGAACGACCACTTCAAGCTGCCAGTGATCCAGTCGGCGAGGCCGTCGACGTAGACGGCGACCTGCTGGTCGGTCTCCGGGTCCCAGGAGGGCAGGTTCTCCCTGAGGAAGTGGAAGCGATCGATACTGTGCTTGCAGAGATCGCCGACAAAGTCGACTGCCGATTGGAGATCGAGGCCTTGCTGCTTCTGCACGACAATAATCATGTTGTGCGTGTCGCCTAATATAAATACGCTTATTGTCAGCAAACCGACCTTCCCCCGCCGCCGTTGCTAACGATGCCCGCACGAACCTTTCGACTGTTCCACGTTGAAGGAGAAGATGTCCTACAACAAAAAGAATCAAAGTCAGCTGCCGACGCCGAAGACAAAGTCGTGCCAAGGCGCACATTTGACCACTAGGCGAAGTAATGTCAGCTGCGGGGTTCCCAGGAAAGACAAAAGAGACGAACAGTGACAAGATCATTGGCGGCTTCTCCGAGGCCGCGTATGATTGGATGGTCCATAACTTCCCACGACAGGTCGAGCTATTGGGAGGAACGTCAGCGCGCTCCGCGAGCACAGCCGGAACACTTACGTTGTTGGCATACTCGATGAGCGCCCAGCATGGCTTGCACCCGCTGGTGTCGCGACGGATAGCGATGTACGACTCAAGATCGGGGATAACTCCGTTGGCACGGTCCCGAGCTTGCTCGGTGATGGCCTGGAAGAACATGTCGAAAGTCTCGATGAAGCGTTGCTGTGCCCCAGGCGATGCGGTCTGGATGAGACGTTGCCAGTAACTGACAGAAGACAGTGAGCGCCAACGACCACAGTCCAAGGTCAACGATACGTACTCTTTGGTCATCTTGCCGACGCGTGAAGTCGGGCGCGAGGAATGCGGGTGATAGAGAGGGTCCATGACCTTGATCGCGCTGCCGAGGGTGCCGCGGTCGTCCATCTCGTCGGAAATGTTGTCGAGGTGAAAGAGGTAGTTCATAAATCACAGCATACGCGCAGCTGGGGAAAGCCGGAGAGAGGATAGCACATCGACGTCAGATAGCCGGCCTTGAGCCCATGGAACGCGTCGCGCTTCTTCTGGCTGAGGTCGCCGCCGCGGAAGAGCCATTGCTTGGACTCGACGCTGGCCTGTTTGTTGTGGCGGTTGCACCGGACGGGGATGGTGCAGTGGGAGACGAGGTCGGGGATGACGATCTTGGTCGGGGCAAGGGACGAGGCGGGAAGCGGGGAGGACATCGTCGAACAAGGTGACACTGGAGGACGGAAAGCGAATATATACCGAAGACGTGAAGAGAGATGGGATCCCAAATGGGTGAGGAAGCTTCCGAGAAGGAGGGGTCCTTATATGCGGACGCGCTGCAGGCTCTCGACACGTGTATTGGATATTGTACGGGATTTTCGGGAATTCTCCTATAGGCTGCGAGGGATGGCGCGCGTGTGTGCGGCTGCGGTGACCCTGGCGGCGAAAGCAATGCGTGAGTCAATTGCAGAAGCGGTCCTGTTTGGGCACGACAAAAACATCACGACCAGGACAGATCGATACGTTTCAAATCTCGGTTATCTAACTTCCGCGCACGAACAAAAAGGACCTGTCAGGCCGCGCCGTCAGGATGAGATCTCGCCGACGATTACTCTGTAGTTAATCAGGCTTCAGAAGCACCCTGCCCACGGGTCCGAAATTCGAGGACATTTCCTGTCCACACCCCGCGCCGCCATTGGTGCCCTGCGGTGCGCATGGCCTGTGGCTGCGAGGATCAGCGACGCGCACGCGCAGCCATGCGCACGAGAGCCAGGCGAGATTACGGCACAAACCCTGGCTGCGCGCCTCGTTCCACACTTGGCTCGCTGCCGTCGGAGAATTGCCTTTCCTGGCACGGGGGCGGGATGTGCTTCCGCCCGCGCCCACACACTTCAAACTCCGCGAACCCGACACGGCGGGATCAACAAATCGGAAAGGCAGCATACCCTTTCAGCCCCGAGCGAGTACCACACCGATCGTGTGCTCGTCGTTCTTTCGCGATGCGGCAATTCTCCTTGCTCGCTTCAGAGCTGCTTGTGCGACAGCTACTGAGAGCCACCACGCCCCCGGGCGACGCCGAACGACGCGGCCACCATCCCCGACTGACACATTTGACAGAGTCGGGAGCGCTGGCCAATTTATGGACGTGAGAAAGCGATCGCGCACTGCAATCTCGCGCTGCCGCACCCGGAAGGCGGCCGACGCAAAATTACGAGAAGCAGGTCTTCCCGATCGGTGACGCAACTCACCGCGGAGCGGGTGGCTGGGCCACGCATCGCATGCGCCGTCCAGTGGTCCTGGGCAGTGCTGTCAGTTCCAGGACATCGTCTGGGGACCTACTCCCGAATATGGGGTGTGCCACACCGGACGTGAACATGACGCCGACCATGAGAATGCGGAGAATTAAGCAATTCCAAATGCGCGCAGACCGATTTCCCGTCCACTCGGGGCCGATGAAGCATCCTCGCTCACGGCATGGAAGTGCATGGAAGGCGCCGTCCGCTTCTGGCTAACGGCTCGCACAAATCACCACGCCCTATGTGGCGCGAGAAGCCTGCGAGCCGACATGAAATGTCAGACGGCAATGTAGGCTTGAATGATCATGGCATGCGGACATGGAGGGTTCCACGCACCACTTTTTGCTGCTGCACAAAGCAGATCGGAAGTGTATTCCATTTTGCAGCAAAGTTCGCGTCGAAACCACATCTGCATGTGTTGAAGTGTAGAAACTGGCAGGTCCTGTGAGCCACGAAGGCATGCATTGCCACAGACTGACAGAACGCGAAGAATGTTTCAGCCGGTTGTCCAGGCACGGCATGACATGCACTTGTGAGAGCGTCGCAACCACCCGGCCTGTGGTGACGCCCCGAGATCCAAACTGAGCGTAGCGGACCGAAGCATCGCGTGCGCCAGCGCCGCAAAGTGAGATCTCTACAGGGGTCAACGATCCTCAACTTCCGACCGTGACGACCAAACATCCACCCGACAGGATGGGAATGGAGTGATCAACGGGCATGTAGTGGACGGACCCTGGGGCCGGGCGTACCATCGCGCGTCCTGGAAAATCGGAGAGCAGTAAACGTCCACGCTCTGTGACATATGCCAGCCAAAGCGGCGGGCGCACCACTCCATCTACGTCCACAGCACCTGTCAATCTCTTCGTGGCGAGTGACAACGCCGGAGCCTGCGAGCCTAGGTGACGTCGACGGCCTCCTCTGGGCACCAGCGAAACCACCGCGCTGGCATTTGGCGGCTATATCTGATGCGACCTGAGCGTACAATCAACGCGCAGGCGATTGGATGGTGGGGCGGCCTTTGTGCGTTGTTTGGCCCCCAAAACACCGGTGTTAGCGGGACTACGGATCCCAATGGCGTAGTCCCAGTTGGCCGGCGGGCGCTATCGTATGGCATTGCAGTGTTCAGCAAGTGCCCGGAGTCATGCACGTATGGAGCAAGGGCGAACAGTCAGAGAACACTACACTGCCCTCGTACGAAAGAGTTTAGCATACCATGTGAAGTGCGTCTTCTACGATTGCAGCGGTGCCTGCGGTGGAGTTGGCAGGGGCAGAGGTTTCATACATCATGCCGTAGTGCCAATCACGGGAGGATCCGCGGAACACGCACATTAGCCAGCAGCCCTGACAGTCGGCCATACACTGGAAGAGCCCGCACCGCAGTTCCATACGAACCTGTGTCGGAGAAGCCCAATATGGGCTCTACTCGCTCGCACGCTCGAAAGGTCAGAATGAAGATGGTGAGCGTCATGCTTCACCGTACTAGAGTTTGCAGCAACGAACCTTCGTATCCCTTGAAACTGGAGTTTTCAGTGTGTATCGGCCTCCAGTATCACGACAATCCATCAGTTCTCCTTGAGAGATCGGAACGCCTGTACTGTCCTTAGTTGCTTCCGGTGATACACATTGTGGCTGAGGACCCATTGCTGATACGGTCAGGCAATTTGCAATGAGCAGAACTCCATGGACGTCGGCCCATATGCCGAGGAATAGCCCTCGGTCCGCACTGGCAGTAGCTGGGATTGAGCAACGCATTCCTTGACAGTAACTGATACGTACTACGTCGCCGACAGCATGGCTATGCTCCGTTATAGCGGAGGATGGCCAGATGAACGATGGAAGTGCCTACGTATCAGCACCTCCGTCATTGCAAGCAAGTTAGTGGTTTCGGAACACGTTCGCTGCTTCATACTGCGGTCCCCTTGGCATCCCTGCGCAATTGTCACTTAAAGATACAGCCCCAGGTGGTCCTGCGCGCACATGCACACGTAGCGTGGTGTGGCTGGCCAACATCGCCTCGCGTCCCAGATGAACAACTGCCAGTGCCATTTCAGATAGTTGGATGCGCATCACCGCTTTCGCGGACCCGCACAGAGGCATCGCCTATGCGATCGATCGGTATGCACATACGCTTCCCTTTGTGCACGATTACGCCAGGAATGTCCTGACTGACATCGATCATATGCACCGCGGACATGAAGATACTGCCCCGTCCTTCTGCGAGGTCCGAAGGCGCAGTATCGCCATATCCGGGGGCGATGGCCCATGCCTACCGACCTCCGAAGGCGGTGATTATTCTCTGCTAGCCGGAGAACGAGCTTGGGCAGCTCATTCCACGCGGCTTGGACAAGATCCATCCGGTGATCATCCTCTGGCGAACAAGGGAGAGCATCGTCGGCGGCATCTGCGACGTACTGGTCGGTTAAGCGGGGAAGCTAAGAGGGTCTTCGGCGCGCGCTATCCGGCGACCCAATTGTCTTGACGAGGGACCTTGTCAATCAGGGCATTGTAGCGTGGAGCGTTACGAACTGGAGTGGGCACATACTTTCTGATGAACTGCACCGTGCGCTAACCCAACGGGACTTTCCACAAGGCCTGCTGCAGCGGCAGGAGACCGGCAGAACTAATCGCTAAGCTCGAGCCTACCAGAGTGCCGCGAAGACGGACAGTAGCAGACATGGGTCGCATAGCGTGCAGAGACAAAAGAGAATGAGGTTGCCGCCTAGCGAGCAGTGTCGTCATTAGATTTGAAGATCGTAATAACGATGAGCTGAGAGACGGCGGCGATGGTAAGTCGGCGAATTCGATCGGGTGGTTTGCCCAGATGGTCGAAGCTTCATGCATGCATGGCTTGTAATGAATCCCAGCTGAATCCTAATCGCCTGGTCGTCATGAGGGGCGGAACACGAGTTGCTCATAGTCTTGGGTAGGCAGCGAGGATAATGAGAATCAATGTTGTTATCTACGCCCTTCAATCGCATGTCACAGAAGTATAGATTGTCCAGTCATGGGTGGTACGGCAGAGTCTGCGGTGAGTAGTAAGCTTCGCAATGGCAACTGACAAGTTCAAGTTCAACTGAGCGAGTCGTACATCGCTTATCTTTCGCTACTTACTGCATTCAGCCAAGGGTTGCATTATGTAAGCGATGTGGTCACCGACCTGCGCCTCCGACTCCCAGCCACACTCGAACTCGTCTGGCAATGTCGTGAAGTCTCTGTCTTGCTTCCTCCATTGACCTCGACACCTCTATACGATCTTGTACGATTGGTGCAACGACTCATAACATATAAGAATCTGCAGACGGGCCCGCACCTTCGCCTTCTCGCTGGGTCGTCGCGGACATGGCTCCCAGGCGAACGTTCGGACCAGATGCATCCGGCGCGGTAGATGCAAGTGAGCATACACCGCGCCCACCGAATGGAACTCCACAAGCGCGTCGGATGTCATCGCGTGTATCGTTTTCAGCCCTGCGGAAGCCAAGCTTCAGCCTGCTACGGAGGAGCACAGTCGACGAGGAGGCCGGTGAGGGGACGGTTATGCAAGACAAGCCTGCGATTCCAAGCGCGTTGCAACTAAGCGAGGCGTACACCACGCCGCTCCCAACGCTGTCTATGGTTGTTCTGTCGATTGTGAGTTCTCCGTCAAGCCGTCGTTTGCATATCGTGTGACTATATGCGCACATTCTGTAGGCCATGCTCGGGGAGTTCTTGTCGGCTAACGTATCGGCGCCATTCATATTGTTCATGGTGCAAGGTACGTCGATTTCCTTGGAGATGCTACAATTCACCTCCGTCACGCTCTTCTTTGCACCTCACGACGTTGCACGCGGACTTACGACCGCTAATTCGCTAGGCTTCAATCAGTTCGAAGATGAGGCCAAAGTCGGCTACTGGACCGGTATTCTGGGTGAGTGTCTCCAGCGCCGCTATTAGCCTCGCCTTACAATCCTTCCCTCAGTGTCGACGTTCTTCTTGACGCAGTTCCTCACGTCGCTGCTCTGGGTACGCTCCACTTTTTGTACTTCCCGTCATCATTGTTTGATCCCCGGCACAGGCGACAGTCGCCGCAAAGCATGGCCAGCGGATCGTCCTCTTCATATCTCTGCTCGGCAGCGCCATTACTTGCTGCATATTCGGGACTGCCACCACGCTCCAGGAAGCGATAGCCATACGACTGATGCAAGGAATATTTGCCGGTGCGATCGGCGTCGCGCGTGGCTGCGTCACAATGATCACCGACCAGAGCAATGAGGGAAGGGCGTATGCGATTCTGGGGTGAGCAATAGAGATACCAACCTCTGTCAACAGTCGTTGATGGTGGCGCAGGTTCTGCTGGGGATTTGGCGGCGTAGCCGGGGCAATCGTTGGTGGCACATGTAAGTTTGAGAATCCGCTCAGAAGCCTGCTCGACGCTGACATGCAATAGTCGAATCACCGGCCACAAAATGGCCCTCTGTATTCGCCAATGTCCCAGTTTTCGTGAATTATCCTTACTTGCTGCCGACCATGATAGCGGCTTCGGTCACGTTCATAGGTAATACAATGCCGTTCTTGGCATCACATCTTATTCTCATATTTTAACGCAGGTGCTATTCTCAGCTTATTCCTCGCTCCGGATGGTGGGCCACGAGAAGGCGCTATTCGTTTACCAGCTGAGAAGGTTGATACCATTCCGGAGGAGGAAGAGTCGATCCCTAGCACACCCGTACTCGGGAGCCCCGAGCGTCGCAGTGTCTATGGGTCGCTGAGGCACAAGCTCCCAGCACGCCTCTCTGGGTACTTCACAGGCCGCGGTCAGGATGCAGAGGAGGGGCCATCGACGCCAAGGCACGTGCAGGAGCCCGTTCCACTTACGGTCACTCCGTCCAACAGTGCGAGCAAGATGCGCGCGATGTCCTCTACTAGTCACGCGAATGGTTCTGCGTATGGATACGGAAGCGTATATAGGAGCCGACTGGCCAGTGGCTACAGCTTCGGAAACAGGATGAGTGTAGCAGCTTCCCTTCGCAGGCGCGAGAGCAACGTTGAAGGCATGCCGTCGTCTGTGGCTACCGACCGCGACCTCAACTTCGCTCAGCGGCTTCTGATGGCAAACGAGAATGCAGTCACCAATATCGCCGATCTGTGGGTCGCTTCAGCCATGAACGTCGACAACGAGGATCCCTTCGAGTCAGAGGACGAGTATGAAGCCGAAGAGGGTGCCACAGAAGGCGATGAGGACGGGATGGTCTCGTCGGCTCTCGACGACCTCGACGAGGATGACGTGTTCGGTGGGCAAGGGGCTACGCCGACGCCTCGGAACAACCGCTTCTCTCGGCGGGATTCGCACACGTCTGTGCGCTCGCAGTCGAAGCGCCCTTCGTTCTCGACCGCGCGCCGGCCACGACCGCTGGGCTCGCCACGGCGCCAGTCGTACTCCGGCCGCCTCTCCATGCAACGCCAGCGCTCGTCGCAATTCTCACCGCGCTTGCCCAACGAGGACCAGGGCACGCCACCCCCTTTGCACCGGCGCGCTTCCGGGAGCATGCCCACGATCTTTGCGCATGCGGGTGTGCGGACGCCGCCCGCGGTCGTCGAGGCGCAGCAGCTGCTCGCGCAGTTGGGTGAGCAAGGCCCTCCGGACGTTCTCGAGCCGATTATGGAGAGGCAGAGGGACCAGCAGACCCTGCCCGCTGAGGCCGAGGCCGAAGTGCTGGAGAGGGAACCCTCGCTTATGTCTTTGCTCCCTGTGGCGATCATCATTCAGTATGGGTTGTTGGCGCTCCATTCGACGACGCACGATCAGGTGTTCTACCTTTACCTCGTGTCGTGAGTTGCTTGACGCTGTGTATGGTGGTCCGCTGTACTGATTTTTCGCAACAGCAAATACCCTCTGGGAGGACTCAACCTCAACGCAGGGCATTTCTCGCAACTGAGTAAGTGATTTTGGCGTGTTGGGTGTGACTGGTAATATTCATGTAATTTTATAGTTGCCTTGATGTGTTTGGCGCAGATAGCCTACCAGTTCTACTTGTACCCGTGAGCTAGACGCCTATTCTCTCATTCATCCCCAATTCTAACCCGCGTCTCGCACACGTAGGAACATCGGGTGAGTATTTGTCCCATAGACCAGTTCATCAGCCCTGACGCATATGTCCAGCCCTCCGAGGGGTCGGTTCTCGCATCTCGCGATGTTCCGCATTGGATCGCTCCTCTTCATACCAGCATACTTGTCTGTCATTCTGTACCGTGTGTTTGCAAGTTCGGACGACGATGGGAACCCGGTTCTCATGGCCGGTACGTATTTCAAAACTCACATTACGAAGTGCAGATCATGACTGATTTACTCGAATCCGCGTAATAGCTCTCGCAATAAGCACGTAAGTATCCGAGAGTGCATGGTTTCATTTAGGCGTGAGAGCTTACCTTGTTGCTCAATAGGGCCGTGCGCTTCTGTGGAGGCACGTTCGCGTACACCGCAGTATCCGTGCTGCTGAACTACAGTACGTCCTCCCGCTCGCGGCAATGCCCGATGCTCATGTCTCCCAAGTGTCTCCGCCGCATGTCGTGGGCTTTGCAAACGGCATTGCGCAAAGCACCGTCAGCCTCGCACGATTCATTGGCCCCATCCTGGGCGGCACAGTGCGTCGGACGCTCTAATGCCAATTATTCGATTTGCTGATCGTCCGCTCTCGTCGTAGCTCTGGTCCATGAGCGTGGAGAACGGACCCGCCGGGTACCCGGTCGGCTTCATTGCATGCTCGGGAGTGTGCGCACTCGCTGTGGCCCTTAGCTTCCTCATTAAGTGAGCGACTTGCATTTTCCAGACCTCGATTGCCTCTCGTATACCACAGGACTTTGTACCCCGATTCGTGGTCATTTTCGGAATACCGTAGCCTTCAGCCTTTCTCTTCCTCGTTTTTCTTTATAGTTATGTTACTGTGCGACTTGTCGAAGATTCTGTGCAGGTAGTAATGATCGTCTAGATGGACTATGAAACATCCCCTGGTTCTGTGTGCCTGCATCACGGACATATACTGCCATCGACGGAACGCCTGAGGAACGTGCAGGCTACGTGTGTTGCACTGCATGTTCTGTGATGGCGAGTTCGAGAGAACGGGCGCCTAATGCGCTTCGGCATTCACCGTCTGCCCGCCGGCATCCGCCGCGGCCGCACGGCGTTGTGCTGGAGCACACCGCTTGCCTCTTCGACGCTCGACACTTGCACGTTCGCTACTTGCACTCTACGGAATGAACGGCTGCTTTCAGGATCGCTTTTGGGTACTGCGTCTTTCAATACTAGGGTGCGGGCTCTATGTGCTGGATGGGTTCGAGCAGATTCTACAGTTCCAAACATCAAGCTGAACACTCCACCGGCGCGAGTTCTTTCGAGGCCTCGATCTTTGGCGAAAATTTCCTCGAGCTGAGTTGGATGAGTGGGTCTGGGCTGGACGCATGAGCGGTGAGCGGGATCTTTCCGTAAGTCAGTGGGGCGCTGTCGATTTGCTGGGGATTCTCTCATCCGAGTCCGGTGTAGTCCAGGTACATATACGGCAAAGACCTTGCTCTGCTTTCCCGGGAAGCTTACGGAATCGTAGCCCTTGCCATCCTATGCTGGAGCGTCAGGTGGTACGTAGGACTCGTGGTAGAACGACCGTCGCACAAAACGTGTGCGACGCCCTCTGGGACTCGACTCAGCTGCGGACATCTGCAAAGCAACTGAGCCGCAGCTAACGGGACGGTGATTTGTTCCACGTGCATCAAAATTGGGGCTCGCACTCTCCATTATGGTATGTCGTGGGACACACGCGGTTCGTGGGCATGTTATGTTCTGGACCGCAACATCATTGCGGCACGATCGATCGCACTTGTCATGTACCAGGCGTCCCGCGCGGTGGCTAGGTGCGAGGTAAATTTGCACCGCAATTTAGGTGCCTATTGGTTTACTCGGGCACGATTTACTCGGGCGAACTCAAAAAGCTTAATCATCCTTCGCGGGTGCTTGGCGTTCGAATTACGTCCGTGTCCTCACGAACATACGACATGGGAAGTATTGCATCTTTCCCTTCTGAATACCGCTATACAGTCTGTCGACGAGGACGCCCACCGAACGTTGGATGTCGCTCGTCGTTCAGGAAAAGACGTCATCCACGATGTCATGCACTACAGTTGCCTTTGTGGACGTCGGGCGCCTCGCGAGTCGCGGCCTAGGAGCGAATCACGGAGGTCAAATCAGGCTATTGGACGAGCACGTCTCGGGCGGTGGAGACTGCGCCTACCTTGTTTGGCAGCGACAGGAAAGAGACCCCGAAAATTAAAATTTTCATTTCTTCGCGCCTAACATGCACGTTCGGTTGTTACGTCCACAGCCAGCATGTCGCTGTTTATGCGGTCTTTCTTTGTCTCGGTCAAAGCCACCTCTACCCGGTCAAAGCATGGCGTCCTCCGGTATAAAAGGCCTCAATTCTCTGCTGGGTCCTCAGGCTCCTCGGTCCTTTCGCCCCTAGACACCTCGCACTCCTTCACCCTTCCGCTCACTCCCTTCTGTCCTTCATCATGTTCTTCACCAACGCCGTCGTCGTTCTCGCCCTCGCTGTGTCCGCGTTGGCAATGAGCATTCCTCGCGCCGTCAACTCCACTTGCGGCTCATACACCGACACCTCCACCACGTCCACGAATGTGGCGGCCGACGAGCCTTCCTGGTTGTCCGGCACTCAGACCGGCGACGGTAAGTTTGCGCAGATGTTGTGAGCGGCGTTGACTCATCATATTTGTTGCGCATAGCCACCTACTACGAAACCGGTCTGGGCGCCTGCGGTGTCACCAACACCGATTCGGATTACATCGTGGCGGTGTCTGAGAACCTCTTTGACAACTACCCGTGGGTTTCACCATGAATCTGTATCGTATGGAACACAGATGCTAACTCGACATCCAACAGTGGCTACACTGGTGCCAACCCGAACGACAACCCCGTCTGCAACAAGCAGATCACTGCCTCTTGTACGTCTCCATCTTCCACGACATTGCTCGTATCACAGGCTCATGGCATACTGCGTATCCAGACAACGGCAAATCCGTCACGGTTACCGTCACCGATCGCTGCACCGGCTGCGACACCACGTCCCTCGACTTCAGCCCGTCTGCGTTCCAGCAGCTCGCAGACCTCTCCGTGGGCCGCCTCCACGGCATGACCTGGGATTGGTCATAGACACGCCCTTCACGTCCTCACGCCACGTCCGCGCCCGGGCGGCGCCCCACGTCAAACCCCATAGATCTCCTCGTCTCCCAGCAACCTGGCGCCACACACCGTTATTTATCCTTTCTTTATGGGTTCGGTCTTGTCGGTCTAATAGAAAGTCTCGGCGCCCGGGCGCCCCTTCTTCCCGCTGCTGCTTGCAGGGCGCGCGGAAGGCTAGGAGACGCACGTCTGTGTTGTCTGTATTACTCATGGGTTGTTCTGCGTAGAGCTACCCACGCGCTTCGGTCGCGAGATGTAGGGATGTAACTCCACAATGTTGTAGAATTACATAATACAGTGTAGAATGTCGGCATATGCGCGCGTATTGGCTCGGAGGTCCCCGCGACGAAAGGACAACTATATGAAGGACAAAGTCGAAGTTTCCAGTGTCGAAGTCTCCAACTGTGCAAGTGAGAAATGGGCGGACATTCGCGTCCTCCTGGTACATTACTTGCGCAGCCTGGGAAACACTTGACCGCGTCAGCGCTGAGCGCTGCGCATCGAGCCCGTTTTCAACCCACGCGCTTGACACGCTACTCAAGTAGGCTCTCCATGATGCACGAGGCAGTCGCTTGCGTAGAGATCGCACTCTGTCGTCAGCCTGTCCGCACGAAGACGCCTCGTTTCCGGAGACGGAATGTTGTCTGCGACCTGCACGCCAGCGCCCCGTCTGTGATCGGTGTGGAGGGCATGCTGAACAGTTCGGCAGCGTCCGAACTGTGAGTGCGCGAATAGGTGGTTTCCGAGTCCGCGGGTTTCCGCGCGACCCACCTCGACGCCTAGGTACGCTAGCGTCATGGTCGCATATTGGTCGTGTCATTAATGCTCTAGTGCCCGTAGGTAAACGATCTTATATGACTTGTTCGCTTCGCAGGCGTTGTGCACACCCGAAGTCCTGGAGGCTGAAGCGCGGAACGTAAACATGTGACGCATTAGCATATGCATGGAGGAATCGTCGCACTTCGTGAAGATGACGTGCCTCGCACGTATGTCCAGTATTTCCGTAACATCGACAGGATAGAGCATGCAGTTCCAGTTGAGCTATAACCAAAACCTTTAGTTGAGGCAGCTACGGAACGAGGGCAGGGTCTCGGGCGTCAGGCGTGGCATAGCCAGTGGATCGCAGTTATGGTCCGGGTTACTTGCTTGCAAAAAGCAATGCTGCGCAGACCTCAAAGTTCAGACATCCGAATAGACGACATCGACCGGGTCACGTATACGTATACGTAGTAAGTACCATTTGTGCCATGATACCGACCTTTCCACGTACGTTCTACCCGATCGGAGAACATCCTGGCGAGCAGACAAGTCATGCGCCAGCGCTGAGCACTGAGCGCTGAGGCCTGAGGCCTGATGGCCAAGACGTCGACTCACAAGGACAGTATGATAGGAGACGGTCAGAGTGTATAGATAGACGAATCGAACTGACGTTCTGCGGAGAATTGGAGACGCACGGTTTTGTTTCGTCAAGTGACTTCCAAACTGCAAGCTGCCATTCAAGTTTCCGTGTGTTCGACAAGCCCAAACCAACTGGCGGTCACCGTGAAGACGTACAAACACTACGTCACCGTGGCCGTATGCATGGTCGATATTTAGCCGACCGTAAGAAAGGTTACAACGTGCACAGTTGGTCCATGTCCTTGTTGGACTGGTGTGTGCTCTTGGGAGTTACTTGATGGCGTTAGTCATTTCTGTAGGTGTCGACTGTTAGCACGTCGTGCTGGCGGACAGAGACGGTGCAGCGTCGAGGCCTGTTCACGTGGCTTGTATGCAGCCCTTTCGCTACCACACTGTGCGGCTACGTTTTCCAAGAACCAGTTTGGAGACGATCGGGAAGGGTAGCCGAGTAAACGTCCTGGTGATACAGTCATGTCAAATCTTGAGAAGATGACATTAAGTCGCACTGACATACCTCCTGCTACGCAGACATGGTGTAATGATGGCCGTCGTGCACTGACTCGGTGGTGAAAGTCAACAGGAGTTGTCAAAGCCAACGACGTGACTCTGCATAGCGAACGAGAGGCGGCATACCGACCGGCCTCTGTAGCTCAGATCTGGCATGCAGTCTCGCGGGGTTCGGATTCTAGCAGCAAAAGAGGATCAACACGGTGCGTGATGATACAGCGTCTTCTACCACCAGGAATCACAGCCTGCGGTTTTCCGGAAGGCCACCTCTGAGCCCGTACATGAGGTCTTCACTGGCACCTACCGTGCATGTACGCTAGCATTGAATGTCGACGTGCTCAAGAGATTCGTCCTCCGGTTCTTCAATTGCGTGTCCTGGCTCACTGTTGACGCCAGGGTACCGCTTATGGAAGCATCGAGCTCCGCTGTAGCGGTAAATTCCAGCAACGGCGTCCGCGGATTCAGAGCAAGTCTTGTCTTCAAAGATGCCTTGAGGTCAAGTCACCTCAGAGCGGAGTCAGATCCTATGTCAAGACTGGATGCCTCGCAATGAGTCACATGGCGATCCAAGTCTGGACGATCTGTATAAACTACGAAAGCGCGCAAAACGTGGTGATTTATTGGTGCGTTGGTGCCATGACAGCAAATCACACTTGTTATCCGTGCGGTACCGACCCCAATGAGATTGATGATGCACAGAAACCTGTATGTACTCGTTGGACAGACAAAGCTAGGTGAATGATCAATCGATCAACGATAAGACCAATACGTACGCAAAACAGGTCGAGGTTTTACGGATCCGGGGAAGGGTCAGGCGATGAGTTGTTCACGCGAAATGGAGAACATACGACGCTCATTCACCGTCTCAGAGAAGTATTCCTCGCACAGTACGAGCGGACCCAGATGGCTCAACTGTGTCTTGGATTCTTGACTATGTTTCCATCAAAGTCAAGGCCATCCGAGAGGACTGAAGCAGCTCTGGCCGTCATGGCCCCTGGGCATATGTGAGCACCACTGTGGTAAGTAGGAAACGAGGGACGCGTACAGCTGCCCAATATCCGTGAGTACACATGAGGAGGGCTATGATCAACGGAGACTCACTTCTCGTAGTAGGAGCTGCCCCGGGCCACGATGTATAATGAGCATCCCTGGATTATTACTATAGACCCCATCCGTCATGCTATTGTTGAGCAAATGACAGTCTAGGAGGTGCAATCACAATCATAATCGCAGAATTCAGTATGTCAGACAGCAGGACGAGAGCGAACAATACTCGATTGTGGTCTAAAAGCGCATATACTTATGTGCAAAGCGGCGAACACTAATGAGAATCATTTGTGGTATTGTCTCGAGTAGGAACAACTGCATGATGACTCACTGGTCGCGCTGACGACGATGATGATGATGATGAACGCCATCTGGCAGTGCAATACGATCCCACAACTACAGTAGGACATCTTTGCTCGCTCTCCATTGAGAGAGTAGTCATATGGACACACCTCTGCACTGATGACACGTGAACGTAGAGACCTCATCGGCAACTCTGAACCATGCGGAGGGGCTTGTGGAGCGCGAGAGGCGGGCTGAGAGCAGGGACGTCAGCTGGCGTCACAAGGAAATCGTGGAGACGTTCCATCAACTGGCACAAGATTGGCGGGGATTGTGGGAGGCGCTCTGACCGTCGCCCCCCCTCCTCCATGAAATCGAGCTTGAAGGATTGGACTGGACTAGGAGATCATGACATGGGGGATCAGACTCGCTTCGAGGACAGGGGCTCACGTAATAAGTGGCTGGGCTTTGGCTGGGCTACTCTTCCTGCTTGCACGTCGTTTGGCGCGATCGCCGTTGAGAACAATTGGTCGAAGTATAAGCAAGATCACTGTGGAACCTTCGTACACATGTATTGGCTTTCAACGAGGATTGTAGCAACAATCTCGACGCTCGTCGTCCACCATGAGTGAAGGGTTTGTTGCGCATTGGTCTTGGTGGTGACCATAACCTCCGTGCGCAGATCACCCGGATCCGCAGCGAAACCTGGTCTCTGGAATGGCCAGCATTGACTGCATCAACATTTGCGTCGATTACTGGAATGGCCCGGGCGGTAGTGAATCTCCATCCGACTGCTAGTAGCAGGCTTTCGAACCGTGACATGGCGCCGTAAACCGCTGCTTTCAATGTTCAAACGTTCAAGGTGCAAACATCCGACGAAGAACGGACGAGAACAATCCCCTGTACTTTGCAGTGCAAGAAACGCAGACCCGGAGTGCAGCGGTGGAGTTCAAATCATAATTACCATAGTACATACTCGTCGCAGCATTCGGTATTTGTCTATACTGACGCCGGCCAGGATCTCGGCCACCCTAGGCAGTCGGTCATCGCACTCCTAGTCTACTGCAACCTGTCCTCTAGCCACGAAAAAAATACTAGGGTCGAGCTATCCATCTGTACAATGTATATACACCACCTCAAGCCAATACAGTACGAACTGAAGGTAGAAAAAATCAGTCTGTACGATGCTGTCCATATATGGTAAGTGCGAGTGCATATTCTCAACCCATCGACAGTATTCAGCCATTGTGCTTGTATCTCGGGCTGAACAGCTGCTGAATTACTGGGATATATCTATTGACATTCTGGAGTACATATATGCTGATTCGGATAATATTAGCCTTGTAGCGGGCCAGCTCTGGCTGCATGGCCGACTTCGTAGTCAATCTGGTTCCCAGGATTCTTGTCACGAAAGTGCTTACTACCTTCGACCCAGTGGTCAATAAATTCTTCTAACAATTTTCCTGCATACATAGGATGTTCTAACGTGGTCCCAGATACTCACCCAAGCGGTCGAAGTAACATGGACCCGAAGGCCCGCATCGACTCCTTAGGTGGCCGAGATCCCGGCCGGCGTCAGTACAGTTCTCCGGAAAACTCCGATATCTTGTTCGGGTAATAGTGTTGGTTGAACTTGGTTCGTCATCGCCACCGCCACTATCGCTTTGCTGCTCCCCTGCTGCCATACATACCATCCCGGCAACGACTTCAATGCGTTTGATGGTCGAGTCCTCTGGCGACGGTTATTGATGCCTTTGTCTAAGGAGGAATCATATATGCCCGGGCCTGGTCTTCAAATCTTACGCAAGTACTGTAGCGAACCCACAACCCGGATGGGGTGTGACGTGTGACAGGCTGTACACGATCCGGCGCAGCGGCGGGGACACGTGTGACGTGTGATGCGCCCCCGGATGGCGGTCTTGTCGCTGTGCCCGCCGCAGGCGCCGCTCCTAGCGCCTAGCGACGTGTTGGCGCCGGCGGCGGGGTCGGGTGTGACGAGTAACATGACATCCTCGCCGCGGCGGGCGGCGGGCTTGTGACGCGTGACATCCGGGTTGTAGGGTTCGCTACAGTACTCAGTCTGCTGTCCTCGACTCCGAGTCATGCACTGACTTCCGAACGTCGAGATACGGGAGGTACGAGCGGCTCCCCCTGCGACCATGGTGCAGGCTGTGCAGATGGCGACTTCTCGCCTACTGTTGTCATTCGTGCGTCCAGTCCAGAGTGTCCGCGAGCTACGAGAGCCGTATTCCACCCCAAGCGAGTTGCTGGACTGCGCTTTTCATCATCAGGGTGTCACTATGGCCCGGCGTCGCAGGCCGACTGCTGCGGTACGAGCTCAATTAAGCTCAAGGTCGACACCAGACTCGCATTGCCGACGATGATGTCTAGTCTCCGTTGCAGACTAATAAGCCGGCAAGCGTCTTGTACGGGTGATGCTCTGATGCTCTCTTCGACCAGTATAGACCCTTGCGAAGTACACATACGTAGTGGGGCGAGTATCCACTCTCCCCACAAAATCGGAGCCGGCAACATGCTGGTGTGGTAACTCATCAGCGTCCAGCGAGAAGTTCTGGACCTTGGGGTGATCCTGGCTGACCACCGCTCAGTGCTCATGGAGTGGACACCACTTGACATCTGATATGCGCAGTGCGCACGAGGCGAAAGTACCCATGAGACCATTCTGTCCCTTAATAGCCTTGAGGTCGCTGATTTTCCTGAAACATTTCCCTATAATCTCAGGTGAGCCGTCCACTCGATGTTGCGTTGTCGCGTAGATTGAGATTGCGATCTGAGCAGGAAGGCAGTGCTGCGCGCAAGGCTGCGCGCATTGTGTGCTGTAATAACGTGACCATCGTCATTATGACGCTCGAAGACCTTGAACGCTATACCGTTGTTACGTCCGCTTTCGACTGACATTCAAAAGTCGATGAGCTCAGGCGCGACGCGAGCGGGGGTACTCACGAAATTGCCTTTGAAGCCCAATTGACTGATGACAGTAGCCAAGTTGGAACGGTGCGTTCCTCGATCAAACGTAGCATCAATGGGCGCTTACTCACGTGGTTGCGGTGGCTGCGTACACGGTAACTGTTGGTTGGCCCTGGGTCGGCCGATGCAGGTCCATCGACGGCTTGGGCGTGGCGATTCTACGGTGCACGTTCTTAACGTCACACCCGTAGGAGCCCTTTCGTAGCCGGACACAGCCATGGTCCACCCCGGATCACTGACAGCTCTGCGGCCAGGATTATGTCGGGATTTTGGGTTCTGTTGGTTGTCGACCATGGCTGCGCAACGGCGGGAAAACCTCAAGGCAACTACTTACTGAGGTTGTGAGCTCTGTGGTTCTCTCCGTTTCCGAGTCGAAGTCTTTGCTAGGCCGAGCACCTGGCCGCGGGTAGATGCGTACATGAGGTGCATCGGTGCATATCACTGATGAGTCGATCAGGCCTGGAGGACTGTTAAACAATACGACATGGGCCGTTGCTGGCGATTGTTCCGGCAATCTCGTCTGCGTACCTTGCCTGCCTGTCAAGGCAAGTTAACCAGGCCCGCGGGATGATGGTTTTGGACAGATCCGCGCAGTCTCCCGCCCACTAGGCCTTGGCGCAGAGCTGTACATGCGGGGCGAGCTGGGTAAAAGCGTGAACAGCGCACCGGCGTTCGAGATATAAAAGGGCCATCAACGTGTTCTTGTGTCTTCTAGCTCCGCGCATTGGATCGTGAGCCTCGTTCTTTACTCAAGTACAGGTGCTGGTCGGTGAGTAATGTCGTCGTCCGCGAGTACGCGTTCTCCATGTCGTGCTAACTTCTGAGTGCAATCTTAGCCTTGCTTATTACGACATACCCATCCTCATCCTGTATCTTACGAAACCGCACGACGCCATCCTCCCTTACGACATAAAGCTGTCTCTTCCCCGACTCTCACCATGCGCTTGACGATCCTCGTCATTATCATTGCCATTATTGCGTCCACCCTTGCCGCGCCGATAGACCGGTACGTGACGGTGATCCAATCAACGCGGCGCTACTGACTCGTTTGCGCAGTGATGATCTTCGCGGCAGAGCTGTCCCCTGGAAGCATCTGGAGTCGGGGCTCGGCACGGGGCTCAAAGCAATAAGCCGCGCTGCTTCAGGGTGGGGCATCTACGCGGCCATCAGGAACAAGTACCAAGCTCAAGATGCGCACAAAGAACACCGACACCTGATAGGCGCCCCACCTGTCTCCTCCGGACCAGCCGCTCCTCACTAAGGGTACGGCCCGTCGGACCCTCGAAATCGGCCCCATAAGTGCTGACTGGGACAAGGCTTCAGTCATGTGATACGGGTGCTTATAATACATGTATTCCGCTTTTGTGTTGTCTCTCGCGTGCACTGAGCTCTCGAAATACAGTAGTCTCCTCAAGACCCTCCGCGCGGCGCTAGCGTGGAGGTGCGGGGTTTGTGTCGAACCTACGAAATATAGTACCGCCAACATGGCGGCGCTACCTGCTCGCGCCGGCCGTTAGCAAGGCACTATCAGACAAGTTTACAAAAGGGTTACATTGATACATGCAGATATTCAGTGACCCGTTACTGCTGGTGTATACGATGTGAGTCGTCGATACTAGAGGGTAGCTCAAGTGATGGAAGTGCATCACTTCAGCTAAGTACCTTCTACAATCCGACTGCTACTCGGCCCGTTGGGACGGAGAGGCTGGTCCGGATCCGAGTAGGGTCCTTGGCGCACGACTTCGATCCTGGAGGCTGCCGATGGCCTCGGGATAGGTAGCACTGGAGTCTGGCAGTTGGCTTCGCAACATCGCGCCCACTCGCGCCTTCTCCGTCCTCTTGATGTTCTTTGCGCTCGCACCGGGCCCTCCGTCAGAGAGGCCTTCTGTAGGGTCTGCCTAGGAGAGACTAATCCTAATCGTGGCGACGAGTCCATTTCATGGCTGTATCACCGCGTCAATGGGCCCTGCAATTGTCTCCCGAGGGCGGCATTCAACATATCTCGCGGAGACACCGACTCACCCTGAAGCTTGAAGCTTGCGCTCGAAGAGCTGCATGCGTCTTTGCGTCATCCTTGCGAGTGAACTTCACCGACAGTCACCATCTTCGTTGCACATACGTGCCGGCTTGCATCGCATCTCCATCACACCTGACACTTACATACCTGCTGGAAAGCATTCCTAGATTATTGGGCGTCATCGATATCACGGAGGTGTCATGTATCTGTTCCTCTGGTCACGCTAACCTTCGTTGATAAATAGGACCGACTCGCCAGGCATGCCCATTTAAGTATGCCATGGGCTCGTTACATTATCCGGGCTTTAAATACGCACATCGATTAACATTCCAAGTCGGCATGATATCCGTCAGAGACGGAACGTTGATTCGAGTCTAGGTCCTCCAACGGCTCGTCGGTCGCGTGCCTTACGGGATCATCAACGCCAGCGAAGACTAGGTTGCTACCTACGGAAGCATCAAGCTCCGTTGTACCAGCGAACTCCAAGAGCGCAGTCTCTCGCAGATCCAAGGCCAGTCTAGACAGGAGTATTGAGGTCAAGCTAAGCCACAGTATACGTCAGATAGTCGACGGGAGCGCAGCATCTAGCAAAACCTTACATGCTAATCCAAGTCTGGACGATCTGGATTGTCTACGAAATGGACGTGTCGTAATTGTCTGTGTATCAATAATACGGCTGGGACTCACAACCGTCATGCGTGCGGTCCCAATTCCAATGGTGTTGATGATACACAGAAACCTACACCCATGGCTTAGACAAGACCAGGGTGTTGTCAATAGCAAGCATTATAGACATACGCAAAGCAGACAGCAGCTGCGCAGGGGAAGGCGTCAGTTCGTCTCGTACGATCATACCAGAGATCTCATACTGCTCACTATCTCTAACAAGAATTCCTCGCACAGTGCGCCTGGTGCCGGATGTTCCGCCGTGTCGTGAGCCTTCATGTATGTTTTCATCATCGTCAGTATCAAGACTATGCTGTCTGAGAGAACTGAGGCAGCTCTTGCAGCCATGGACCCTAAGCACAAGTCAGCGTGCAATATCACATTTGCAGGAAATAAGAATGCGTGCAGCTATTCGGACAGTGAGTAGGCACTGAGCAACAGACACTGCGAAGACGCACTTCTCATATGTGTAGGAACTGCCCACAATGCTCAATGAACATCCTTGGAACAGGATGAGAGGAGCGGGGATTGATCTTGTGAATATGTACTAAATTTTGATTCTGTGATGTTGCAGCGTGACTGGTAGTAAATGGGCATACGCACGATCATGATAGCAGGGTTCAGTAAACCAGATATCAGGACTAGAGTGAACAAAACCCGGTTGCGGTCGAAGAGCGCATATACGCGCAGAGCCGCGAACACTGCGGAGCATTATCTTCGTTCAAGCTGAGGGAGAGCGATTAATCGTCTACGTACCAGTCGCACTGACAACGTCAATGATAACCATGGCCATCTGGCCGTGTAGGACGATCCCGCAGCTGTAGCGCAATATTCTCACCCGGTACATGCGCGGTTACCGGGATGCCTCGTACCTCTGTGATAAGAAATATAAGCATAGATACGCGCAGAATGAAGTCTGGACCATGAATCTTACCCAATAGTTCTGCCAGCTGACCCATTTCGACGAGGACCGTATTTAGGAGTACAGGGTAGCGATAGCCGAGGAAGAGCACTTTGTTCAAAGACCATTTCGAGTACCAGAAATATCGGGCCTCTTTATCTAGAGTCAAGAGGTAGTCATAGCACCACACGGCTTTGACAGAGTCAGAAATTGTGCACGAAAAGGAGAGCGGTCGTACTGGTCGCGGCCCAAGTCATGTCGTTTGAGAAGAAGACATATGTCTTCACCAAGCTAGCCTGATGACTAAGCGACTGTCAGAGTCGTTCCTACACGCAAGCACGTACCAGACATACCTCGGTCCCTGCCTTGGGCTTGATGTCTGATCTCGAGTAAGGCTACGCATTATGACTGGTAGCGTGAGCTGAGGAGATGACGTCCGTAGTGAATCCAGTTCCCATCTAGTGGGTCACTGTGGGTTCGGTACTAGAGAAGACTTCGAGTGCCGAGTGGTCATCTGGGCTCTTATATACCTTGAGACTGCTTTGATGAGTCACGGTACCACAACTCCTTAAGATGTACGCACCCGCAACAATCAGACATAACAGGGCAGTCGGGGCCCATAGGTTGGGAATGACCATCAGTCTTGGCCTACTGGCGCGGCACAGTGGGTACCCCCATGGCCATCCGAGCCACATCGTGAACCATGAGACGCTCAGGTGCTTCTCTTTCAACTATTCCTAGGCCAAAGCTATACCATCCGTGGATATACGGCAGCCGGTGGTATTGTCAATGTGTCTAGACGATAGATGTATCACTGACAACTTGTTAGTCGCGCACAGGTGCTGTCAATGCTGGCACAACTTACTGACAAGTTATACCGTAGTGTAACGCCACCAACCTGTGTCACGTCCGGCGTATCAAGCGCCAGTGTGCTGGCGCCTTACTTGCGGCGACCTATAGTCTCCTGTGGGCAGACTCTAAACGCGACCTCTGAGTGGGGGAGGACGGTAGACGAGTTGAGCACTATACCGTTACGTGGAACCCACAGGCCTGAGTAGCATCAGGCAGGTGGCTGGCCGCTGGGGATTAGCAGTAGGGTACCACAGTGGCGGGCTGTGGCTACGTACGTCCTACTTCGGCCTAGTACTTTGAACAATAACTTATGCAGCTATCAGCAATCACATACCCCACATAAACCAGCACACACGTAGCTGGCGGTAAGCCTACTCCCATACTTTCAGCATCACCTCGGATCTCTGTCTACCGTCCATCCAACTCGGCCTCGCACTCCAGAGCTCCGAGCATTGTTATACATTCACCGGCAGTTACGACGACGGTCGCCGGCGTCATCCACGCTGTGTCCAATCTCCATACTGTGACTCGGACCATGTGAACCTGTCCGATCGTCTGCACAGTAGCCGTGTAACTCAAAACCTTATTTTTTGAGACTCACTGTGCACAGGATCTGGATGCGGCTCGCGCCGATCTGTAGACATGAAGACGGCCCTGGGTATGCGGTGTAAAGTAATGGCTTGCTACGCGATCCGAGAACAATTCGAAACGTGGACACGCCGCACACGAGGCTCGACTTGACTCAAACCGGATGCATCCTCCTAAGTACAGGTTGTCTCGTCAGAGAATTCGGGGCTCTGCATACACACATCCATCAGCATGCAGAGTGAATGACATGAGGGCTATCGGAGACGGAAAGTCGATCAGAGCCAACGTTCTCCGACGGGTCGTCGGTGGCGCGCACCACCAGACTGTCGGCAACCAGCAAAGACCAGGGTGCTGCCTACGGAGGCATCAAACCCGTGGTACCAGCAAGTCCCAACTTGAAAACACCCGTCTCCCGTAGCTCAGGGCGAGTCTCGACAGAGGTACTGATGTCAAGCTAAGGAATGCAAGTTAGATGTATCGAGACTCCAAATCTAGCAGAACCTAACATGCTGATACAAATCCGGTCAATCTGGACGGTCTACGAATAGACATAAGTACCATGAGTTGGCAGGGTGTTAGCGACACGAGTAGTGGCCTATGAGACTGCCAACGTACGTATGTGCCACGCGGCGACACCTCTCAGCACGCCTGAGTCATACCGAGAGAGCGACGTGCGCATTCGCGGAGCTGTCAACGTTACGTAGCATCAAGCAGCAACGATCAGTATGTATGTACCTAGTTCGACAGAACGGATTGACAGCGTGCACATGCTTCGATGTCAGCGAATCTGACCCGCGCGAATCAGCATATGCACGCGTCAGACAAAAATATCCTGAGGCACGAAGGAATTGTCTATGTCTGCCTCAGGAGACTGATGCACGCACCGTCCATACCCCGAATTACTCCCCCAAGGCAGGCCTGAATCGCTGAGTGATCGGTCCGAGCGACCTAAGCGGAGGTATAGAGCGCATTCCGCCGTGGGCTACGATGAAGGGGCTGCAGAGACAATTTCCACCCGCAACTTGAGGCTGCGTCGATATATAACCACGGCGCCGTTAAGTCTCGACGCGTTGGCTTGCTGAAGCGAACCGCGATGTTCATGCCGGTGTTTGGCCGGTGTACTCGAAAACGGAGCACTTCGGTGTGCAGAGCGCATCCGGAATGAGCCTACTCCACCCCTGCGAAGTGTCTGTCAGTTGTATTCGTGTATCGCTGAGGGATAACAGGGTTCACCGACCTGATATCCGTCGACCTGGTACCTCTGAGTTTGGTTCGTCGACAAGCACAGGCTACTATCTGGCAGCTGAGCATTTGCGAGGTATGGGAGTGAATACAGATGGACCACGTACGTATGTCATGCGCCGAGACTGCGCGTGTGATTGCAAGTAGTACTGAGGTAAGTCAGACGATGACATGCCACGCAACTCTGAAGAATCCCGTACCGGTGATACTGTCCCAAGAATGAGACTATGTAGTCAAAGAGTCGGGGCCAGAGGGTCGAATGTTCTAGCCATACTCAGGTTGAAAGCAGTGCGATACCTCAGCTCCTCGGAGACCCCGATTGAAGTCATAAATCAAGAGGGTGATGAGCAGTACTTGCGTGACTCGCGAGGGTTTGTTCTCGAAGATGGTGAGTATGTACTAGAACAATGATAAGGCCTTCCTCACTGAGTACTGACATCTGACTTGTTCAACTGGCAAAGGTGCGCACTGGGTGCAGCAGCACAACGGGAGATCTGAGAGGCGCCGGCAACGCCCGACGCGTCGTCCTCCCCACAGCCACCGCGACCATGAGCGAAACGGAGCAATCCTGCGCAGCTTGCTCAAAAGCATCAGGCACCAAGCGCTGCTCACGATGCCTTTCCGTCAGATATTGTGTGCGCGTTTTCGGACATGGCTGACTGGATATACACGTGCTGAAACACACCGCAGAGCGCAGAATGCCAGCTCGCCGATTGGCCTACTCACAAGCGCGTCTGCCACCCCACCGAGAACAAGGACGCGTCGAGCACCTCAACGGCCGTCCCAGAAGGAATAGAGGAGGAAGTCGTGCGCATGCGCGCGTTTGTGGAGGAGGTCAGGGTCTTCACAGAGAGATACATGTCGGGCAGCCGGAGCGGTTCTGGGCAACCAGACCCTACGCCGCTCGTCGAGGCGCGTGCAAAGCTCGCTGGTGCGTTACGTCGACCTCTCTGCATGTCAAATGAGGCTGACTACGCCCACAGAGTTCAAAGTCTCTCCCGGATTTGAGTTCTCTCCCGCCGTCCTTAGCGTGTCCCAGCAGACGTTGCTGAGCATGATACGCACGTTCTGGATCTGGACCCTCTCGGGCTTCACACCTGAGCAACGCGAGCGGACGGCGTTTATGCTCGACGCTACCCCTCCTTACGGCAAACGCGTCCCAAGGTTCAACGGCAAGGCTGTCGTTGACAAACCCGGCGACTGTTCGGCACGCGTGTACGAAGGCCTGTTCCGCTGCCTTCCTCTCCTTGTGTTCCAGGTGCCCGGTAAAGAAACCTCGGACGAGGCTACCCTTTGGAGGGAGTTTGCCGAGGTCGCTGTCATGGCTTGGGAGGAGGACTAAGGCACGCCGCGCTGCCGTACGGCGCAGTCTGTCCACCTGCATACAGTCATCCCGAACATGCCATTCTCAAGGCCTCAACCGTGTAAAAACAACAGTGCTCCTTTTGTACAGTACCATGTCTGCGATCGCAATCGCTACGCGAAACGTATCTCCGCGAGCGGACAGAGCGAGGAAGGCGACCTGACAGCGGGCCATGAGTCAAACAAGGTGCGTCATTGGAGCCTGTCGCGCGGTGGATAAGTACGATGATCTGCGCACGGATCTAGTCTTCTTCCCGGGCTTTTCGGATACAATGTGCTCAAAGGCGGTATGGGCAGGCCGGAGGAGTGGTTCATCCCGGCGGCGTCGCGAGACGACACGGGTGGCTGTGCGTACTTGCCACGCATTCCCCCATATGTACTAATACGTGTATCGCGCCTTCTCTCAAGTGGCCGATACGGCTCTGTCCGGGCTCCTTGCGCTTCGCCCCGATACTCGTGCAGCATCTCTGAGCCAGGCGATAACACGGGACCTGCCTTGGTGGCGTATGCAGCAGTAACAAGAATTCGTTCAGTGTGGCCTGCGGCGAGCAAGCTCGCTGCTAGCTTTGGTGCGAACGGCCAAGACTACGCGCTCTGGCAGTCGATTCTGCCTAGTCACTGATCGCAACAAATCGACGCGGAATGGAGGTCTAAACAAGGACCGACGTGTCAAAATAGATCACGGTCCACCGGCTATCAACTCCCTCTGTTCGGCCTCTACCTTAGAGTGGACGAAGCAAGGAACATTGTTGGGATGTCGACATCGACGCCGCTCTTAACTGGGACGCTTGCGTGCTTGAGGCCCGTGGAACGCGCTGACGGGCCCCTGTCAATCCCATGGTCGCTCTAGTGGGTCTCTCGTTAACACCCGCGGAGGCGAGTTTGGTTGAAGGGTACGTGCTTGGCATGTGTCGATCGGCGCAGATGAGGCCCACTGACAGTTATTGCCACCACGCAGTTTCCTGCGATTCTATTACTACTTTGAGAACTACCTCTACTTTTCGGCGACGAGTGAGTAGACGATCGTTCGGCCTATGGTCGCGGATCGTCGCTCATCGTTCATGTCGCTGCAGCACTATGTTGTTACGACTGGTGTCTGACATTCGATCGTGAGGTCAACTTGATATGGAAGAGTAAACTGTCGCCTATCACAGTCCTCTTCTGTTTTTTGCGTTACCCCGCGGTCTTGAATACCGCCGTCGAGCTGCTCAGCCGCGCCTCGTGGCGATGGCAGTCCAACTCAGTAAGCACTTTCTTCTCGATCGAGTGGGTACCAGTCTGATCTCCACGCTTCGAATGTGCGCCTAGAGGTGAGACTTCATGTTTGGATCACCCTACGGCTCTGGCGATGTCTAATAACACGTCTTATCTTAGCTGTGTGGTCCTTTTACGCACCGAGGTTTCCTTTGCAGTGATCATCTCGGTCAGTGCCGCCGGTGAGACGATACTCTGTACCCAACATCGCTTTCGCGCACGCTACTCACTCCGCAACCCGCAGTCTTTGCATCCCTCCGCATATATGCCATCTTCGACCGCAACGCATGGATAGCTGCCGCCGTCCTCCTCCTCGGCCTGGCCAACCCGGTCATCATCACCGTACGTCCTCCGTCGCCCGAGGGCGCTCCTGGCTAACCATGCGATCCGCACAGTACGTCTTCATGCAGTCGCAACCCGTAGTGAGCGGCTTCCTGGGGTATGAAGTCTGCACGCTCTCGCTCAATAGCGGCCCTGCGTATTCGATATATAGGTAAGCCCACCCACCATTCTCCAGATGCTATGTGCTCATAGACCTATTGCAGTTGTATGTGAATTCGACGTCTTTCCGTGCTGATCGCTGAGAGGGTATTACCAGTGATGATGGGCGCGCGGGCTGCGTCGCTGTTGTCGGACGGCATGGTGTTGGTGCTCACAGCTGTGAAGACGTTCTGGATCAAGAAGCACACGTCGATCTCGAGGGGAACGATCATCACAGATATCATGCTCAGAGACAGTACGCACGACCTCCCTCTTCGCGCAATCTACATCCCGTTGACGAGTGATGCCAGCGCTGCTATACTTCGCGTGGGTCGCATATGGACGCCGACTCTTGTGGCAAGTGCAGAGACTGACGTTTTCTGCAGTTTGCTCTGTGTCGTCAATGTCATCGGTCTGGTCACCGGGCACTTGACGACTGACATCGCCGGCGTTCTGTGTACATGCGAGGTGCGTCGGCGCAGCCGCAGACTTCCCGTCTTGAGCACACTCCCTTACCTGTTTCGTCAGTTCATCGAGGTCTGGCAGCTATGGTCATGCATGTGAGTCCCTCGTCATCGTCTCCATCCGACTGTCTCACTCAACCTCGGCGCGCCCAGCCTGAACTCGGTGCTGCTGTCGCGTTTGACGTTGGATCTGAGGGGCGCGGCTCCGGGGTTGGATTCGTCGATGTCGACCGCTACGCGGAGTGGCTCCGTGCGGCCGGACGGAGAGACGCAGGAGTCGGAGGCCATCGAGTTGGACACGGAGGTGTCGGCGATGTGGATGGGTTCCCGCTCTGCTACGGGTGTCGGTGGCTCGGAGACTGCAGACGCGCCTCAAAATGCGGGGAGCCCGTAACTCAGACTGCCAGGTCCTCCGGGCTCCTTCTCTCGCGCACGAGCTGCCCAACCTGTACAGAGACAAGGGTTCGTTGTCCAAGCTCAAGCTCTGGAAGGGAAGTCAACGGACGGGCGCTCATTTCCTTCCGACAATGATTTCCTTTTACGGCAATCTCCTTTCCTTTCCTGTCAAGCGAACGCTTTCATGATCAACCATCACGCTACTTCTCGTCTATGACGCTTCTCCCGGATGTCTCTTACCCGCCACGGGTCATAGTTCGACTCCGAATGTCTGCCCTTCCCCGCTGTCTCTGCTACTGCTTATCATGACTCTCGCTGTCTCTCGCTTGTGCTCCAGTACATGCACTCATACTGGGCCTGGGCGCCGGACTCCGGAGTTTGCATTGAATCTCTCCCCGCTCGACGCTCGTCTGATCGCTACAGTATCGCCTGCGCGTTAATTTACGCAGTCTTAAGAATGCAGTTTCAAACTGACGTCGACGCCCCTTAGTTACCGCCGGCCTTCACTTCATTCTGATAGTAGGTCGGTATGCTTGCTACGAGCTCACGTGGGTTTATTTTTCTCATAGGGTCCATTAGTCTCAGTCTGTACTACTTAGCTTGCGCGTCCACGGGATACTCCGATCATCAACGCATTGCTCGAACGGAACTTGTTCATTCAGAGTTCAGTCCCACTGTATCCTCGACCATCACAGTATCAGTACATGCATTTCGAATTTGCAGACCAAGCCCTCCACCAAGGATTCGACGTTCCATCGTGATACGAGGCTACACACCAAACATTTTCGAATCAACGCGTCGAGTAAGTAGTTGAAATACGACCGTGACGTCGCGCCGCGCGCGAGGCAGCCTGCAGCGACAGGCTCACTCGAAGACATCCGTGGCATACCGGCCCTGCGTGATGCGCCCGAAGATCGCCTCCGCCTCTGCGTCGTCGACGGCATGGTTGGCCTTGATGATCCGGAGGAGCACGTCCTTGATGCCCTGCGCGACCTTGCGCGATCCACTGCGTCAAGCCACATTAAGATTCCCAGAGGTAAAGCATGAATTGAGAGGGTGTGCACTTACTCTAGTGTGTGCCTTGTACGCGTCGTTGATCTCGCACCGGTCGTGCCATGCGCGGCTAGTTCGGGAACGACAGCGTCAGAGGACATGGGAGCAGATCACGAAACGCCACTCACTCTTGGACGTACTTGCACCCCTCCGACTCCTCAGGTGCCCTCGAGAACGCCGGCCTCACATCCACGATGCCGAGCTCGCGCCACTCCTTGAGGTCCGTCTCCGCATACAAGAAGTCATCCCCGGGTTTCCGGCACCCCAAGAACAGCACGCTCTTCCCAACATCGCGCCCTGCCTTCTTCTGCATCGCGCGCTCCTGCAGGAACCCGCGCATCGGCGCGAGCCCCGAGCCCGCCGCGAACAGCACCATCGGCACAGCGGGGTCCGCGGGCGGGTGGAACGCCACGCCGCTGGCCTTGACGGCAATTTGCACTTTGTCGCCCGCCCGCATGCCTGCGAGGAACGTCGACGCGACTCCGAGGAACGCGTGCGTGCGGCCGGAGTGCGCGGGCGCGTCGAGCACGCTCACCGTGATCGTCACGTGCGAAGGGTTCCAGAGCGGCGAAGACGAGATGGAGTATTGCCGGATACGCATGGCGAGCAAGAGTTGGAGGTATGCGAGGAAGGGGAGTGCAAGCGAGGGGTGTTCCTCGAGGATCTCGAGTACGCTGAGGCGGGTGGCAAGAACTTTGTCGGCGTAGGAGTCGGAGAGCGCTTGAAGGGCCTCGGCGGGCGCATTCTCGACGGCCATGAGCACGCGGAGGTCGCGCGTGGTAGCAGTTTGACAGAGCTCCACGTAGCCCGCGAGAAGAGCTTGAACGGTGATAGGCCGTCCGACTGGCAAGGGAGTGAGCCGTTTGACGAGAGGACAATCTACCTGCAAGTGAGTGACCCCCCAGGCTGGTATAGAACCCACTTGCCTCTTGTTCAGGGGAGAGACCGAACCGCGCGATGACCCTGTGCACGTCTCTATCTGGGTTTGAAGGCAGACTATGAATATCCGTCAATATCGGGACTGGTAACTACCATCAGGAACTGCCCGACTTACATAGCTAGGTAGTCTCCAGCCCTGTAGGCCGTGCCTTCAGGGGGCTCGAACTCTGCGGAGAACCAGATGATATGGACACTTTTCTACCAGAATGAAGACCAGGGACATACCCAAGTGTCTCTTAGCGGGAACGCCAGGTCCGGTGAGTAGTCTGTTCTCGATCACCGTACCGAGCGCAACATCAGGCTGGCGCAAGACCGATGCACGCGTCGTGCCCTCATCGACCGTCTTCATCTCAAGCCCTCCGGCGAGGTTAGCACTCTGTGCCACCGCAGACGTATCATATTCCTATCGAGCGCCGTGAGCGTCGACTGTCCGCATTATTCGAGGTACTTGCCTTTGACATCGTTTGCCACAGTAGGACCTCCCACTCATCAAACTTCTCATAGAAGTCCGCTGCGTTCGCATCGCCCGCACCGCGGGGAACCGTCCTCCGCGCGCCCCCTTCCTCCAACAACCTGTCGATCAGAGTGGGAATACGTTGGTAGGTCTGGGCCCAGTCACGATTCCCGCAGCCGAAGACGCCGAATGCGACATTTGCGAGCTCTTTTCCCTTGAGGTTCGTGAGCCACTCGACGAAGTGGGCAGCGTTGTCCGCCGGTTCCCCTTCAAAACAAAGACTGAGTAAAACGGATGTGGGTACTATGATGTAGCCTACCTTCGAATGATGCCGTGATTACAACTATGGGGCCGTCTGTCGGGAGCCTGGCAGCGAACGCGTCCAGAGTGCCCATAGTAGCACGGAACCCTGCGTATCTCAGCACCGCATGCGCATACAGTCAGGGAATAGAGTTTCATACCGTGCGCAGGAGCTCCGCTAACAACCCTCTGTGCAAACGCCTCGCTCGTCCCCGTGTTCGACCCATACAACACGTACATAGGCTGCTTGCCCTCCCCACTAGCCACAGCGGCCTGGGCCTGCTGTCTTGTCTGGTGCGGTACCTGCGACGAAACTGCCGTAGGAATCGCATAGTGCACAGAACGATCCTTGCGCCGCATGACGTGGATATGGAAGTCCGCGGGCTTGATGCTCATGGCATGTTTGATGTGCAGTTCATAGGAAGGGTCGTCCATGACGAGGTGAAACCGTTGGGCGATGAGCGACACCATAAGAAGCGCTTCTTGCCAGAAGAAGGCGCGGCCCTGTGTAGATGTCACAAAGTTGCAGCGGTGCAAATGGACGGAAAAGATACGTACGATGCATCCACGCATGCCATACCCGAAGGGTTGCCAAGCGTTCGGCTGGAATGCATGAGGACCAACTGTAGTAGATGATATCGAGCACTCACAGGAAGTTTAGCGAAGTTCTCTTCCAGCATACGTTCCGGTTTAAACTCGTCAGCCTGTCCGTCACCCAGCTCAGTACGCATTCAACATAGGTAAGAAGAGATCATTGACATCTTCGCCCCAGACCTTCGGGTCTCTCATCATGACCACCTCAAGCACAGTGACGGCCTCGCCCTTCTTCACTGCGTACTTCCCGCCGCAGAGAGTCGTGTCATCGACGGATTCGACGTTCCGCAACGGCGCAGGTGGCGACAATCTCAGTGTCTCCCGCAGGCATGCTGGCGAGTGAGAGCAGTGAGCACGTATGGGCGGCTACCAGGAGACGCAATGGTGGCCCAGTCACGCGGAAGGGCTTACGGACCTGTGAGGTAGGGAAGCTTGCCGAGGTCGTCGACTTGTGGAGGCCGGTCGCCGAACACCTCGTCCACTTCTTCGCGCAGTTTACGTATCACATGGGGGTGTTTGAGCAGGTAGTACGTGAGGAACGAAAGGGTCCCTGCGGATGACAACTCATCAGTGCAAGACTCAAGAAGCCCTCGGCGCGCGTCCGGTACCTGAAGTCGTCTCGTGGCCTTTGGGTAATGGTTATTACCAGTAGACCACTTCTGCATATGAGTTGGGCTCACCGGCAGGAATGTAAGTAGCTGTGGGGCTATCGTGAGTGACATCGCGCTGTATCCGATCGTAGGCACTCACGTTGTTCTTGATGTTCTCGTCGTCCGATCCCTTTCCCGTCTTGGAACCCTTCCCGTTCAGCATCCTGTTCAACAGATCATTCTTCTCCGTCGGGTTCGCCTTGCGGTCCGCAACGACTACCAAGCATTAGCGTCGGGTTGACACAAAGCGACTCGCTGCATACGCACTCTGGTTGGCAAGGTCCGCAAGCACCTTGATATCCTCTTCGTACTTGATGTTGTAACCCATCATGTTCGTGACGATGGGTGGGCGGAACGGGCGCCCCATGCACTCGACCAGGAAGTCGCCCATCGCTTGCACGAAGGGGTGGTTCGTTTCCTGTGGATCCCAGCATCGGCATAGAACAGAAGAGACACTCATCTAGAGTATACACGACGCACCCTGTAGAATGAGTTCAATCTGACGTCGTATGATCAGCGTGGGGCCCTCACGAAGACATCGAGATTGAGCTCACCTATGTGACATCGAGCAGTAGGCGATAGTGTCGAACGCGAGCCTGGTGAAGTCCGAAGCTGACAGGCACAATGATTTCACCAGCTCAGCTAGATATAAGACTCGAACATGGCACAAAGACTGACCGTTCCCATTTGGTAATCAGCTGCATAGCGATGTCGTTCATGTCGTCAAACATGCTTTTGAGAGCGGTCGGGCCAAAGGCGGGCATCAGGAGACGGTCTACAGCCGGGTGCATCAACAACCGCCACCTTACCCCCCATCTGATAGGTCGCAGACTCACGGGCGATGCCCCATTTCTCTTCTCCGGGCTTTGCCTGTGACGAGTATATATTCAAGATGATGGCTTTGGGCCTGGAGTGCAACATACCGTGAACAGCCCATCGCCGACGCCGTGCCTCACCTGCTCGAGCGCGCCGCCGGGGTTCTTGATGAACCGCTTCTCGTCGCTCACCTCGTTCGTGAGCTCGTACGAGCTGACCACGAGCGTCGACTGTGCTGTGCGCCCCCACGTTGTCAGCATCGGGCCGCGGGGCGAAGAGGGGGGACTCACAGAATTGCATGAGGCGGTAGATCTCGCCGTACTGGCGCGAGAGGAGGACGTACGAGCGGAGGGGCACCTCCTTCTCGATCTGCGTGACGTTACCCAGGAAGGGGAGCGTCCGTGGGGAGGGGATCTGCGCCGTCATCGATATCGCCGCTTTCCCTGTGCTTTTCCGCGCGAGTAGTCCAGTTGGCAGAGAGAAGAAACGGGATGGGTATGTAGGAGCTCGCAGGCTCTGCGTGCATATATACTGGCTCTGCGATGGGTCTGGGCTCAGCCTCCGTCGCCAGGCTCGACACGAAGATATGCCCCGAGGGGCGTGGCCGCTCCGCTGACCACGCTGTTCCCGTCGGAGGATGAGCCCGTCGAGCGATGTTGTCAGGGAACGGCTTCGACGTATCTGAGAGCGCTGTCCTGTCAAGGTTGGGACATAATAGCGGCCCACGGAAGTTGGCGCGGCAATCGCTTGCTTGATAACATGGGCCTACTGTGTGGGTCAGCCTCTGCTGCTCTACGTATAGAACGCGTGCAATAAATTCGAGCTCGCTGGGCAGAGATGGGTGGAAGAGTCGGGAAACGACGGGGAGTCTGACGGTCGAAACATGTGCTCTGGGGGAAGGGCACATACCGGAGCGCCCTATATGTCGTACACTTACATCCCTCACGGACTCCCTTGATTTAGCCTCTGCAATACGCGACACGCTTTGATAGTCCGGAAGCCACCAAATTGAGGCACAAAGCATGCCTTCCCGTGGAAGTCCACGACCCACTGAAGCCACCTACCGAAGGAAAGACCTGCTCAAATTCGCGTCAAGGCGGTGATTGCAAGCGGGCGCGCACCTGTCATCGCGGTGGATCACGTACGCACGTCGAGCACATTCTCTCTTCCTCCGAGACCGTGTTACGCAGTAGCGGCTAGTACGAGCGTCGCCGTCGGCGACAGGTCGCTACTTGCACGCAAGCATTTCTTGGGATATGCCCGGAACCCCGGGACCTGTGCGTTGACGGCCCGATGAGTTCGTGCCTACCTTCGTGGGCGCTGTATCAGCTCGCAGGAGACCTATCGATGCGTGCGCGAGCACGGAGCGAGGCAACAATCCATGCATTACCCCAAACAGGGCCCGACTCTGCTCAGTTGAGCGCAAAACACATACTCCAAAGCCAGAGCACAGCATAAGATGGCCCCGAGACTTCTTCTCCCGGTCATGACCCTGGTCGAAGGTTATCTCGCTCTTTCGGAAAGGCCTGCCCAACTTTGCACAACGTCGATGGATTCGAGGGTGCGCCACCGTCAGCAGAACCAACCACGTACCTCCGAGTCGCTGTGTCGGCTTGACGCGTGATGTCATGCATATTATGCAGCAAGGATGGGCAGACGCGCGGGACGAACGAATATATAGACCAGCCTCGAAATCATCACAAGTACTATCTGCAACTGTCTGCGAGGGTTGTGATACAGAAATATGACCGGGGTAAGCAGCAGATGACTCACTGGCCCATTACTGGCAAGAGCCTTGGACGTCGTCGCTCGTAGCGAGACCACCCTGCATGAACTTGCACTGCCCCGCGCCGGCTAGCCTCTCAGTCCACATATCAACTTGATGATCAACTGGCTCCTCCATTCCACGTAGGACCTGGGGCCCTTTCGCAGGTAAGTTTCGCCAGCCGGTAGCAAACTGGTGCGTATCTCGACAGACATCCTGTACAGAGTAGTCCAGAGTCCAGAGCAGGGCGCCGTGAGAAGAGAAGGCTGGTTAGGATGGATCAGAAACCCACGCGGAGCGGGAGTCGGTGCTCTGGTGACGAAACAGATGAGCCTCGCGCGACGAAGTCAGCTCGTCCACACAGGCCCCGCCACCGCCATGCGTAACCGAGCCGGGCATCACCCAGTCTCCACCCGTCGTCGCCCTTCCTCCGCACGGACCACACCGTCCTGCCTCTCCATCTCTCTGTCGACGACCGTGCACGCACCACGGCCTGAGTACGCCGTCTGACCACCCAGTGGCAGATCCTGTCCATCATATGCCCCGCGCGCCGGCGCTCTACGCCCTTGTGGCGTCCCTGGGCCTCCGCGCGTCCGCCTACTCCTGGAACTTCACCAACACGCCCCAGCAATGCCAGAACCTCTCGCTGTCGCTCAGCGGCGGCGGCACGCCCCCGTACTCCGTGCTCGTGATACCCTTTGGCGCGTCGACCCTCCCGAACAACGTGGAGGTCCGGCGGATATTCGCGGTGCAGTTTACTGACACGGAGACGAGCTTCCAGTTGCCGTACCCGACGGACTCGCAGTTTGTGGCGGTGGTGAGTACTTCTCTTGGTGTCTGGGCATCGGGGTGCGTGGTCAATGGAGGACATTGGGACGAGTGGGTGTGCGAGGGAGGCGCGAGGATGCCGTCGAGTGCGAAGGGCGTGCTGGGGCACGCAGCGTTATATATTCGGGACGACAGACGGCCGGAACTGCGGTCTGTCAAGTTGGTCAAGGTGGAGCGTACATCGATATCGTCCGCAGCAGTCCTTGCCACCGCCGGCCGAACTACCCTCTATCTCAATCGGGCCCCATACACGACTGCCCTTCCTCAACAGGGTCGTGTGTAGGGTCTGCCTACGGGAGCCCACTTCCTCCAAGTCCATGGCGTCGAGCCCCGCGCCTTTCACAAACACATAGGCGGAGTCCAGCGGGTTTGGCATGGGATCACGCAGGACGCAGAGGACTTCGACGGCCACGCTGAGCCAGGCAGCCGCGACTTTGGCCACGGCGGCCCAGGTTGTGCGACACAGTGTCCGGATCACTGAAAGCCAACGTCCGACGATGTACACTCCTATGCGCACTCTTGTGCGGGGCCCAACGATGTGGACTTAGCTTCCGTATCGAGCACGATGCGTGCCTTCGTTTCCCAGCCACAGACTATGCAGTGAGCCCATAACTGACCGATCCGCCTGCAGGTCAGCGACAGCACCGGCTTCGGCTCGGGCGGGACGAGCGTCGCCGCGACGGTGCAGGCCAGCAGCGACTCAAGCTGCTACGATTCCTCCCAGCAGGTCTCGCCCGAATTCGCGTTTAGCATCGTCCCCGCGCGCCAGATCGTCGAGTGCTCCGCGACGCGCATATGGTGGGACCCCGCGAAAGTGCAAGGGTGCGTCCGGTTCTGCCCCACTCTCACCCAAATCCACACTAACCCCGCCCAACAGGACCCCGAGCTTCCAAGGCGTCATCCCGGGCGGCCAGTCCTTCGCCATCCCCGAGTCCAACTTCTCGACCGTCCCCGAGGAGGGCTACGGCTTCACCTGGACGCCGTCCGTGCGCATCGGCACCACCATCCTCCTCGTCGGCGGCGACGACCGCGGCGCGGGTTCTGCCGGCTCCGGGCTCTACATCGTCGGCCAGGGGTCCTCGCAGGCCTGTCTCAACGCGGACTCGCCGAGCTCGACGCCGGGGAATCCTGCGGGCGGCAGTTACCCCACGAGCACGAGCGGCGCGGGCACGGGCGGGGCGGGGGCAGTAGTGCCACATCCTCGAGCAGGTGGGTCTTGCGTGCACTTGGCTGTGCTGCGAACGCGCGCTGAGATGGTCGTCCGAGCAGCAGCCACACCAACACGGGCGCGATCGTCGGCGGCGTCGTCGGCGGCATCGTCGGCTTCCTCCTCGCGCTCGCGCTCGTCGGCCTCCTCCTCTGGCGCCGCCGGCGCGCGCACCCTACGACGCGCCCCGTCGACCTCCTCCACGGCGCTAACTCGGACGAGGGCGCGGCGGCCCGGGGAGCAGCTCCCGCAGTACTACGAGCCCGAGCCGTTCCTCCTCCCCGAGCCCGAGCCCGACCCGGAGCCGTCCACCACCGGCACCAGCACGCACCAGATGTCGGAAGTCGGCGGCGGGCGCGGGAGGCGCGAGAGCGGGAGCACGCTGGGCTTCTTGGCGGCGGCGGGGCGGCCCGGGACGCCCTCGGCGACGTCGACGATGCAGACGCGGAAGAGCGGGATGCCCCCGATTCTGCGGCCGGTGAACATCGTGCAGCACGAGGACGCGGGGCCGCCGGAGGAGGAGGGAGAGGAGGAGGGAGAGCCGGAGACGGTGGAGCTGCCGCCGGCGTATACGAATTTGAAGACCACCGCGCCGCCGAGGGGGCCGGAGGGCGGAGAGTCGCCGTCCCCGCTGCCGCGGGCGTAAAACGGGAGCTGTTTCTTGGTTTGGACCGGATGAGCATTACTTATTGTATGACCGTTGCCTTCATGCGCCGATATCCTTAATGGTTCTCCTTCGCATATCGCTCCGCGTACCCTGCCCTCTTGCATTTATAACTTATTGAATGGAACGGATCACTAAGTACCAATGAATGTTGATTACTTTCGTGTGCGCGTACTTACCGTTTGAGCGCTGGAGGATTCTCTTTTGAACGATGCACTGTTGTCTGCACCCGCATTACACATTCGCATCACGTCGTAGTCGTGCCACTGCGTTGTATGCTGGCTTGTTGGAGAGTAGATATGATATATCGTATTGAACGGTTGCCAAGGAGGGGAAAACACGATAGTAGCTATCTAGTCTAGTAAGTCATGCTCAATGCATCGCAGCACAAACCCCAGCGTGCGGAGTCTTGGTACGCCAGTTTCACACTCGTTCCGAGTCATGGCCACACGAGGTCAGGCTTGTCGGGGACGTTCTGCGGCCAAGCACTCCGTTATTACGGTCACAGTGGTCCAGCTCTAGATCTCGCCTCGCTGTCCCGCTGCGTATCATCTAGTGCTAGGGTATCCTCTGTCGTGCACCCGGTGGGCGATAATATGCTGAACGTATGCGAGAGGCTCGTGGACGGGTCCCAGAACCTCAAGGTGCGACTGTCGATGGAGTCTGCCGTTCCTAGGTCGTCCGCGGCGCTCGCACGTAGGTCGAGCATGAGGCGGGAGAGGAGGATGGAGGTGAGTCTGTGCGGTGGCACGGTGTGCCGTAATGATTAATGAGGATGTTCAATCATTGAGTGATAGTAGACGGAAAGATGAGGGTTAGCGAGAGGTTTGCGGTGTAAGGAATGATACGGACATAGCGGTCCATGTGCTTACGACGAGTATAAATTGCTGCGCGCAACGCGAGGTCAGTCATCGGGGACGCAGATAGAAGATGTAGAGATGGTGCTGACCGTGAGGCGGGCGACGGCAAGGCCTAGAGCGATGACGTTCAACACGAACAGCAATCTAACATCGACTGCGCTTCGCATCCGCTGTCCTCTGAAGCCCAGAGCATGTATCACGTACCCGAAGTAGATTGCAGCTGCGCGCCCAGAGAACCACATGTCATGTTGCAGTTAGATGCGGTGCTATCATTGGACCGTAGTTGTGGCACGCACTGTCTCTCATCATAACGAGGATCGTCTTCGAGCCTCTGAAAGCCATGGCAGTCGTCGGGCGAGTGGCCATCCAGGTCAATCCGAAGGCAAAACCGTCGAATACCACAGACGATACACGCGCACCCATCATCCCTAGGCAAACAGGTCATTGATATTATCGCGGATTAACCACTAGATGCTACATACACCTGTGGTGTACGATAAGGCCAACATCAGCCTGGTATTGGCATTGTGCCTAGGCTGGACTCACAGATTATTGATGTACGCATCCTCGATGTAACAGACTTGGTACGTTGGTGTGATCTCGGCCAGAATTGGATGAGAGTTGACGAACGTATACTAGTCAGCAATGATAAAGAGTTTATAAACAATAGCGTGCGGTCGCTCCGATTTGTTGTGGCACTTACGATGGATATGATGGGAGCGATGAGGCCTAGGCCTAGAGTGAAAGCGAACAGAACCTTGTTCCTCTTGAAAAGCGCGAATACACGCATTGCCGTGAACACTGCCGGTGCAGTTCACGTCACGATCCGATGGACACCCAGAAGAGCGGACAGCTGCTTACGCGCAGAGGCCACCAAGATCAACACGTCGCCCGCCATTTCGAAGCGGAGAATAATGACGCAACTTTCCGTCCATGTAAGGCCATGCGGCAAGACCTATGAACAAGGCTGCTATGCTTACCCCTGTAAAAGCGAGATGAGTACTGTCGCTGGTCGAAAATTGTCGCATCAAACTTACATGTGAGGTCAGCCAGCTCCGGCCCGGGAAGCTTCCCAGTGCTATAAATACTGTGTTCAACACTGCGGGGTAGCGAAGTGTGTAGAATAGGCCAGAGGCTAGGGAGAACTTCTTCGACCACACATATTCGATTTCACTCGGGAAGGTTAGAAGATAGTCGTAGCAGCATAGGACTACGGCGAGTGATATGAGCAACAACGAGCAGTGAATAGGCCTTTCCAAGACATACTTTGTGAAGCGAGGAGAAAATCATTGAGCATACGGCTACAGTCCTGGTCAGCGTGGATTGCGGAAGAGCGCAGGCTGGGGAGACAGACTCTTCTTGGTTAAAGCTAGCCGGGCTGTTAGCCATTGCCAGGCAGTTGCGCTATAGCCGGCCAGAGAGAGTAGTCGAAGTGTGTAGGGAATTGTCACAGTACCGCAGTCGTGAAGTTCTCGATCGGTGTGGGACGAGTCGTGTTCAAGTTTACCACCTGTAAGCGACACTTTATATGCGGTGTACTCAGCCTTCAAGTTCTTGACGGCGGCAGCTTGAAAGGCGAGTCGCCGTGGCTGCTGCCACACGAAATAAATCTTTTGTTCCTGTTCCGACCAGACCACTGAACAATCAGTAGCGAAGGTAACCTGATTCGGCGTGGATATTGCTGTAAGCAACGGTCAATATTGATAACATGAAGATGAGTCGGAGGCAGACCTGATCAGAGGTCCAATACTACAGAGCGCGACAACCCAATTTCGGGTTAACTGGTGTGAATGGCTCAGACATGTGCATGAGTAGTAGCGGAACACCCTGCAGTGCAGGACAGCCTCGTGCCAGTGGGCAGAGCCCGCTAGCGCTGGACACCACGGCGCTGGGAACATGACGAAGATGAGGTTCACGCAATGATGATGGGGCTCTTGAGTCTTCAGTAGGACGAGCAGATCGAGTTCCACGGCAACGAACAGTATTGTCTCGCAGACGATGGGAGCAGAACGCGCTGGTCCCCGGGCCCTCGGCCAAAGGTCAATTGCATCGTGACCGTCTCCCAGCGGCTGATACTGGGCAATCCGGACTTCACGGACACGTCACACATCAAAAGCGCCGAGACGTCTAGATGTCGTGACTGAATAGAATACCTTCCTCCTCCTCCTCCTCACGGTGATCCGGATCGCCCGAAGCGCGCGTATGACTTACGCAAATGCCTATTAGAAAACTCAGCACTTAGTGGTAAGGGCATCTTAGTCGGCCATGGGGCAGGCGTTTCGCTGTAAGTAGCAGACGCACTTCCACCGTTGTCTTTCACAGGCTCTTGCGAGCCAACTAGTAGTTCAAATGTTCAAGTCTGACTGAAGCTTTCTGCATAGGTATTAGTAGGCACTGTATAGGGCTGTGGCGGTCCTATACACAACCAGATCGGGACATAACGTTGTGGAAGAGTACCGCGCCAGTGCATTACATTGAGTCCACTGCACTACAAGATCCGACGTCCTCTCTCACGGAAGAGTTCGATAGATAATCACCTTCGCCAGGATCAGTGGCTATCCAGCTCTCTGACTCCCCGTAGTGTTCTGCATTGCAGCTGATCACCCCCGACAGTGGTAGCACGTCCGGAGGGTCACACGCGGCCGTGCGCACGGTGAATACGAGCGAGCCCAGACTGCCAGATTCAGAGTGGCTCGGCGGGGCACGGCAGAAGAAGTGGTTGCTACATTCGGAGCCTGTAGGCAGGAGGTCTGCGGCCGCACGGAGGTCGAGCATGAGGCGTGATAGGAGGATAGATGTCAGTCTGTGTCAATGAGGAAATTGACATTGGGTAAGAAAGAAGATGGGAAGATTGTAGAACGGGTGACGCACAAAGCTGTCCATGTGGTTATGACCACGATGAAGTGCTGAACGAAGAAGAAAGACAGCTGTCGCACCACATGCCAGGGAATGGGCGTATGTACTCACAGTCAAGCTCGCCGTGGCAAAGCCTATAGCGATGATGTTCAGCACTGACAGAAATCTGAACACAAAACAATGAGTGGGATGGCATGTTGAGCTGGAGCATTCGTGTCGAGGCTCAAGTGTCCTATGTTATCACGCACCCGAAGTAAATCGTTGCTGTTCATCCGAGTTGTGTATGGCATGAGCTGTGGTATGTTCTTCAATATCAAATCAAAACACGCACTGTCTCTCATTATGACAAGCATCGTTGTCGACTCTCCAGTTGCGGCCCCAGGCCGAACAACCATCCACGTCAATCCGAAGACGAGGCCATCACAAATCACGGACGATGCGCGTGCACCCAACATCCCTGTAGAAATGCGTCAAACCCGTGTTCCCGTCAAGTTGCCCGATGACGCTTACAACTGGAGTACAAAAGCATGGAATGGTAAATATAAAGGACGTGACAAAAGTGTTTCCGAACGGGGACTCACAGATTAGTCACGTACGCATCTTGGATGTAGCAAAACTGAGAGCTACGCGTGAACTTCTCCAGAGTCGGCTGGGAGTCGATGAAAGTATACTAAACAGCGAGTATCAAGAACCCGTCAATGAGCGTATACAGCCATATCAACAAATGACATGTTACTCACAGCTGATATGGCGGGAGCAATGAGACCTAAGCCTAGGGTCAAGGCAAAAAGGAATATGTTTCTATGGAACAGCGCATATACACGCATCGCCGTGAACACTGTCATTTTATTGCATGATAGAGCTTCTACAAGAAAACTGGATGGGCACTTACGTGCGGAGGCGGTTAAGACCAATATGTCGCCCGCCATCTCGAGGCGCATGACAACGACGCAGCTTCTCGCCATAGGAAAGGGTCATGGAAGGTCCCGCAGATAAGTATCGAATCACTGCTGACCTCTGCGAAGAAACAGGATAAGCCATATTGGGTGCGCTGCTTTCGCCGACAAGAACGTACGTGTGGGGTCTGCCAACTCCGCCAAGGGAAGTAACCCAACGTCACGAAAATCGTGTTGACTACTGGCGAATACCGGAGGGCGTAGAACAGGATAGAGGCCAGAGATAATTTCCTCGACCACACATATCTGACTTCGCTGGCGAAGGTTAGACAGTAGTCATAGCAGGAGAGGACTAAGGGCAGTGCATGAGTTATGGTAAGTGCACTGAAGCAGCCACGCCGGCTCATTAATACGTACCCTGGGCAGCAAGAAGCAGGGAGCTTAGTAAACGGCTGGAAGGCTAGTTAGCCAAGACGTTGTGGAATAGAGACCTAGTGACGAACTCTTCCTTAAAATACTCAGCTAGTCTGTTGGCCATTTGGGACTGCGCTGTGATGCAGGTCAGGGAGCGAGGTCTCCAGGATAGAGACTGTAGTCAGGAGCAACAGACGTAGACGGGCAACGAGGGTAATGGGGCACATTGCGGCAAGCGAGTAGAAGCATATAAGTTGCGGAACTCAATTTCCGCTCGGAGGGCGAAGCACCGGCGTTATCCGTAAAAGATTCTGTAATTTTTTCTGCGTGACAAGACCACCGAATACTAGTGGCGGTATTGAACTCAAACGGACGTACCAGTGAAGATCGCTGAGTAGCAGACCGATCAGTAACAGAAGCAATACTGAGCCTGAGGGAGCGGCTTACCGTGCCGTCGTGAAATTTGGGTACTTCGGAGGGAATACCTAGTTCTTCCGCAACAGGATGGTACATGGAGCTTGAAGCGTGAAGCTTGCCACGTTCAGGACAAGACACACATCAACATGTGTCCATGGTATGTGAGACAGCGCAGGGTGCGGTGTTGAATGTTGCACGTTCCGGACAGCTGTCGCTCATAGATCGCACGAAGCTGAGATAGAGAAGAATATGCGGCGGCGAAGTGGTCGGTCAAGGACACGGGCCGACTCGTTCCATGCACTCTACATGTGAGACCTTGCACAATTGCATCACAGGTTATCGAGATGCGAGGAGGTACGTGGAATTCACCTCACAAAGTGCCAGTTCAACCGGGCCGTGTTCAATGCGTGACTAGAGATGTGGCTCACAAGAAGTTAGGGACGGAGCGGAGGTCGCTTGCGATAGGTTCTTCCACTATAACGGCCTCCTCCATCGATCCAGAGGCGGAAAACAAGTGTATATCAGTAAGTACTTGAAGTGGTAGTATGCATACAGTACTTAGCACTCCAGGCGTAACGCGCATTGACAATGGGTACCACATGCACGTGATGGTGTTACTCGACCGTCACACCCTCTACTGTGACTATTATTTGCGTACCACGCTGGCCCGCGTTTTGAATTTGAGCACTTATCCACCTCAGGCTTGAGACCTACGCCAGTTGGCACGGTGGGACGATCCGAAAGGATCTAGAATGTTTTGTCTGACAGTCACGGTCTGTCGGTTTGAAACATTGAAGTGCCCCTGCGTATACGGTATACCTTGCGTAAGTGTTTGCGTTCATTCATTAATTGCCGCTGCTATGCCAGTAGTACTAGTGCGTACTCCATATCCCAATGCCAAGTACAGCGTGTTGGAGATAGACAAGCATGCTGATGATGCTGCACAGTACGAATCCAGTCAGCACAACACGCTACTAGTAGGGCTACAGAATGGTTCAATGCGCGAACATAAGCCTGAGCTACTGGCTCGTGGCCACCACCAAAAAGGGTTTCCTTTATTCGTTCGCCAACGTGCGCATGGCTAATGGTCACCTGCTTCGTGCGAAGTATGCATTGTCACCTCCCGAAAGCGCTTGCGACGCGGGGCGTACCATGGACGATGTGGGGTGGCCGTTTAGGCCCTTTGAAAGCTTTGGTCCGAGTCGGGATAGTGGGTGCATGGGTCATCCGGGACAACCACAACGATTCTGCGAGCGTGACCAGATCAAGGACAATATGTTCGATGGAGGGCCCAATAACTCAAGAAATTGGCGTCGCCATTAGCTCATCACGACGCCTTCCCGCACGAAGGTGCGACTGACCTGGGACACCTCCACGTCGTCTCTTCACCATCTCACCCCTCACTCTCGTCTCCACCTAGAGTCCAGCTCTCCCCCTCCGAGTCCCCGCGCCGCCGTCCTGCACGAGGACTGACCGGACTCAGCTCAATAGAGATCTCCGAGGGCGGGGCCGCACCGCGCTGCGTGAAGTGGAGCGAGCCCAGCGTGCGCGAGAGGCTCGTCGAACCACTGCGGAAGGTGTGGCGGCTCGTGTCGCTCGGAATGAGGTCTGCGATGACCTCGCGGAGGTCGAGCATGAGGCGTGAGAGGAGGACCGAGGTGAGTCTGTAGGTAGGGGTGGGGTGCGTTCGATGGTAGGAAAGGACGGGTCAGTAGGGGCGCGAAGATAAAGGGAGGTGACTAACATTGCCGTCCATGTGTTCACGACGACTATGAACTGAGTGAGCGTCAGTTGTTGCACCATTGACGGAGGGATGCGGGAGAGACACTGACTGTAAGGTGCACCGCGGCGATGGCTATCGCGAGGACGTTCAGCGCAAAGAGAAATCTAGGGTCGAGATGGTGGGCACGACAGTTAGTTCCGGCTCGGATCAACGCCCTCCTTAGGGTTCGGCGCGCACCCAAAGTAAATAGCAGCTATTTATCGGGAGATGATTCATACTTTCAGTGGAAGTGGAAGTCTAACTCGATGATAACACTCACTATCTCTCATGAGGACAGCCCTGGAGCCTCCGAGCGCTGTCGCGCGGCGCGTGCCCCACCATGTCATGCCGAAGACGAACCCGTCGAACACCAGGACGATGCTCGCGCACCCATCATCCCTGCCAATGTGCCGAATATTGAGCTCGTGCGTCCGACACAAGAGATGTTGCTTACAACTGCGAATGACAGGGGGCCGCATGTTAGACGAGGGTGTGATTTATAGGTGAAATTCGCATGGACGGGACTCACTAATTGACAACGTTCGCAGTGTCGATGTAACACACCTGATAGTCAGGTGTGATCGCGTACAATATTGGTGTAGACCGAATGAAGGAATACTTTGTCGGCAGATTCGACACATTATTAATCAGTACGTAGGCTTGGCCAGATGCAGGTTCAAACCGCTCACCGCTGTTATGACGGGTGCGATCAGGCCCAAGATAAGGAGAAGCCAAACAGATATAGGCTTCGATGGAAAAGCGCGAATACGCGCATCGCCGTGAACACTAGCAGTTGACAGTTATTCATGAGATAGTCAGATGCTGCAACTGTTGCTTACCCGTGGAAGTGGTCAATATCAAGACATCGCCCGCCATTTCGAAGCGAATAACAATCACGCAGCTACCCAGGCCAATGAGCATACTGCACAGCAGCAGTACATCGATTCAGGCTGACCTCTGCGAGACAATGAAGTCAGACGCGCGGCCGGGCGAATCAAGTACTTACATGTGGGGTGCTCCAGTTCCGTCCAGGGAAATATCCCAACGCAATGAACAGCGTATTCAACACCGCGGCATAGCGGAACGCGTAGAAGAGGGCGGCAGCCAGCGAGAACTTTCTCGACCATACGTATTTGACTTCGCTGGCGAAGGTTATACAGTAATCATAGCAGCAAAGGGCTACAGAAGCGCATGGTCAGTACTAGTACTAGAATACATTGGAAAGGCATGCGGCCTACCCTGTGCGGCGAGTACGAGATTGTTGAGTAGACGACTGGAGTGCTGGTCAGCGTATCACGGCGACGCGCAGAAAACGGTACCGACTCTTCCTGTATCAGACTGGCTGCACTGTCTGCCATTAACAACAGTAGTTATGAGCGATGGAGCGAATCGTGTGGCAGACTCCGAGTCCGGAGTTGCAGTCGACTCGGATAGCGGTAGCAGCAGCGGTACGGATAAGCTTCACGAAGCGCAAGCGAATAGAGGCATATATACCATGCAACGTGCTGGCGGCAGCCTGGAGGGCGAATCGCCGTATCTTGAGTCAGGACGGCGAACTTGTTTCTCCCGTGACCGGGCACACTGAGGCACAAGCACTGGCAGCGAGGGTGTATTAAAAGGGCGAGAAGATCCCTGTCAGCCATAGACGCTAGGAGGAGAAAGCGTGTCAACTCTGCCGCCCTGAAGAGACAACCCGAGCTGGGTGTGGTCTTTATGTTCAGGCTCAGGTCGTCGAGTACCTGGCCATAGCAGTCTTGCTGCCACGCATCCTCCATACATGATAGATGGATGCATATATGTTGAGCCGCGATGCAGCGTACCTAGCCATCTACCAGACCTCTGTCGTGGTTGTGCGGCGGCGGCGGTGAGGCAATTCGACAGCTGTCAACGTGAGAACAGACAGAAACACGATAGAACAAGTTGGCGGAGATGCATCCGGTCCAACAATCCTGAAGACGTTCACATGGTTGGTGCGGCGCACGTACTATATCGAGTTCACCTCGACAGATGAATGTACAGGTTCATGCTATGGCATGGAGGCGAAGATGGGGAACACATGCCGTGTTCGTTACTGATATTGAGGCAGATCCTCTATCAACAACAGACAGATAATGCCCGAGTCCTTCAACTTCCACCCGCATGACGGCGGTCATTACGGCAATGCATCATGGCAGAGCACAGCATCCACGCCGACACTGATCACCACAGTGAGATGGATCTCCTGTGCATGTCAGTGGTCGCAGAGGCCAAACTGCCAGAAGCTGATGATATGGAGAGCCGCTGAGCGCTGCGCGACTACATATATTTGACTCTCGGGGCCTTTGAGCGGCCTCCGGGTCAGTCAGCGGCATGCCACGGAAGCAGCACGTATCATTGTTCAAAAGCCCGGCGTACCTTTACGACTGACATCTCAGACGACAGCAGCGATAACCTTCCGCTGCTCTGGTCAAGCGATCCCGACTTGTCCTGGCACTCTGCGCCTAATATTGACTGACGGAGACGGGTGCCGCGAGGGGATCCTGATATTCTAAATACATGACGACTTACCAATGGCACAGTCAAGCTCGTAATAAGTGCGAGAAGCTACCAAGTCGTGGTGGCGAGTCCTATGGTCCTCCGCTCGATGCAGCGGCAATAGATCGCATATTTTCCTCCATTTCGCGGAGGGCTGAGGACTAGAAACCCGGCGTTACTCGCATTAGCAGCAGTTCGAACATCACAGTGAGTATAATGGAGTGGCAACTCAAGCAGAACTCAAGCATGAGGCTGAGGAAGGAGGAGGGGAGATCCAGATCGGAGGTCGCCGGTCAAGTAGTAATGGGCGCCTGCCAAGCACAGTACCGGCAGTTTCACCTACTTGTCTGGCTGCTGAATCTCCTTACCTTGGGCTGAGCAGACACCCTATCACAGATGAGTGACAAGAAGGGCTCGCCAAACGCCACGCGCGGATGCTGAAGGATGTATGTATTATGTGGGAGGATGATTACTGGCAGTCCTGTGCGTCGCGGATACTTTAGTGCATAATACTACAGCGTGATGTCGGTGAGAGTGCGAGTGTGGGAGGGGTGGTGGCGGTTCGGAGGACGATGATGATGGGGTGATATTATCGGTACGTGAGCTACAGTAGTTCCAGGGTAGTAGTAGTCGTCGCAGCCAAACCAGATTCCAAAGCAATGATACACAGCGAAGTCGTCCATCCAAAATCTATGGTTACACTAAGTCGGAAGGGGGGGTGCAGATCGCGGTCCCAGGACCCTCGCGTTTCCACGGGGCACGGTGCGGCGATTAGGCCGAAGCCTTCTCGTCCGACGACGAGCTGCTGTCTGGACGAGCGTGGGGCGCTCGGATAGGGTTGAGCTCTTGGGGCCATCCTCGTGCTCATCGTGCCGTACCTCGTCGGCGGCAACCACGCCACTCTCCATGACCCGCGCCCCAGATCTCGCCGTCGAACAGCGCCGCGGTCTCTTCGAGGTCCGGTTCTTCGTCTCCACGATAAACAGGAAGCAGAACACGACTGGAAAAGAGCCAGCAGCAGTAGAAGATCTGTAACGAAGTGATGAGCCAAGCTTGATGAGAAAGTGGCTGTGACGCACGTAGTACTTCCACCCGATGTTCTGCAGCGCGATCGGATTGACGTACTGATTGAAGATGAGCGCGAGGGAGACGACGAAGTTGAACACGTTGAAGCCCTTCGCACGGATGAGAACGGCAGAATCTCGACCGTGTACGACACGATAAGCGGGGTGAAGCGATGCTGTTGGACACATCACACGACTTGCATGACAGAAGCAAGGCACATACTCGTATGCGGCGTAGAATAGGAAAATAACGCGATACGGCGTGGCCAGCCGCGGCAGTCCCGTGCAGCGCGTACTCCGCAGAACAAATAGTCTGCCCGGTGAAGAACACGACCATGCCAGCGCAGGAGGTGAGGAAGAGCGTCCGCCGCCCAGCAATGTCAACAAGGAACGAAGCGAAGACTGCCCAGCATAGGTTCCAATGGCAAGAATACTGGAGACGACAGCATCACATACCATGTAGAGAAATGAACACAAGAGACGCACCCAGTGATGAGAAGCTGAGTGGTGCTGTCCGTGATGCCGATGGTGTCGAAACCTTGTTGAGGTAAAACGAGACAAGTCCGTTCCAGACCATTGCGAGAACCACGCGATCGCAACAATCAACATGATCCGCTTCCTGTTCCCTGGTGTCTTGACGAGAGACAGCCATCCAACGCTCTGGGCACCTGCTTGAAAGTTCATCGAGGCTCTCAGAGCCAGATAAATATGAATGGCTCACTCTGCCTGTCAAGAGCAATAGCAGCTTTAATCTCCTCGAACTCGTACTGAACTAGCGGATCTTGCTCGTTGCCATCAGCGTGGTAGTATGCGAGCGTCTTCAGAGCCTGTGTCTCCTTGCCCTTGGACACTAGCCAACGGGGGCTTTCCGGAACAAGGAGGACCAAGAAGAACTGGAAGACAGACGGGAGGCCTTGCAACAGCGACGGGATACGCCATGACCAGCTAGTATCGATCCTCTCCGTGCCATACGAACACCAGGAAGCACTGACGACGCAGCTCAGTCAGGAAATGCATATCACGTCAAGGTATCTGGGGACGCACATGATATTACCTGTGTACCACAGTGAGTTGTACAACGAGGTGATAGGAGCACGGTATGTTGGATAAGCGATCTCCGTGACGAGCATAGGTGCCGCGTTCGCTGCAAATGTTAGGCCGAAGCCAACGCAGAACCTAGCACGCTGTCAGCAAATCATCAACAGGGGAACAGAGAAGACACAGACCTCGCTCCGATAAACATGCTCAGGTTGTACGAGGCTGTCTGCACCCCGACCCCGACGAGCATGATAGTCGCACCGATCCAGATGGCTTTGCGCCGGCCCAAGCCATCCGACAAATACGGCGCAAATGGGTAGCCGGCCAGGGAACCGATGTTCTAGACAAACTCGGTCAAATGGTCATTCCACCGAGGAACGAAGTCCCAAAACTCACTTGAATGGCGTTCAAGATACCGAGCTTGCCTCCCACCGGTGTGCCGAAGTAGTCCTCCCATTGAGGCATTGACTGAAAACTGTTCATAAGACTGTTGTCGAATCCATTGGTGGACGATGTGATGAGGCTGTAGCAAGCATGCGGTTTGTCAGAGTTATCTTCGTGCAAACAGAGCCAATGTCAGCTCACAGAAGCAGGATCCAGAGGTGGAGGTAGATAAGGCTGAAATTTCGGACCAACGACGTGTAAGCGCGCTGGGGCACCCATATCTGCGAAGCAGCTACGTACCGCCGGTTGTTGTACCACGTCCGGTTCGGATCGACGAGGTGCATGAGGTTCGCGTTTCCACCGACATTGGCCACTGCTCCGCCCGCCATGGTGTCGTGTGAGGTGTAGGTTTCGTAAAGCGCTAGAGAGTGGAGAAATGAAGGAGCGACGGATGATAACGAGCGTGGGTAGTAGGCTTTATAGTCTTCTGTACAACTCTGTCAGACACAGTCGACAGTATGCCCCTTGCGTGTGTCCCGGTGGTTGTTGGTCACACCGCAAGCCCAGACGCCTCGTTTCCCCGACGGACCCCCCGTGCAAGCAAGCGATCTCTCGCGTAGATTCCCCGCAGCCCGTCGGCTTCTGTGCGATCCCGAGGAGCCTATTGGCCCGCTTGCAGACTTGTAATGCCACTCCATTTAAATCTAATCTGAGCTTGCTGTTCGAACGACGAAAAGTTGTGGAAGCTAGGCACCGAAGTTAGCAATCAACATTGTTCGCGCCACCGAGCGTGCCCGCATTACTGTGTCTCACCTGTCGCAGCCAACTCGCATGGCGCCGACGTCGTATCGGGGCCTTGTTAGAACCTCCATCATTGAACGGACCCGAGTCGACCTTACTCGCCCTAGTGCGCATGGAGGCCGTCTGAACAGGATGCTGGGCCATACCACCCTTGCCTGGCCGCCGAGTGCGGGCGCCGACGTTTGCTGACGCGCAGCATAAACATTTGTGGCGGCGATCGCCCCGAGTCTCGTCTCAGACACGAACCTGTGGCGAGCCCCGTGGTCGTGCCTGACAGTGAGCGTGGACGGTCTCCGGACGGTTTGTGCGTCCCACGTCGCAAAAAAGAACAAACACCGTCAGATATGTCGTCGCTGTGCGACTCACTGACCCTACTAATCTGGTACGCATAACCGCGAGGAGTGCTGTAGACCGCACCGGAGCCACCGGTTCCATACCTATCAGTCAGATTCTCATTGTCCATGGGTACTTTGATCGCGGGGATATTGCGGGGAATGCGGAGCCCCACACTTCCACTCAATGGTTGCAGTGCTGGTAGCTCCTCCGGCCGGGGTCACTGAGCGTTCCTCTTCCCATGGTTCACGCAAAGTTCGTACGCCACGGCCGAAGCAACCGGTATCGTACTGCGTTGGGCTGGTCAGAAATGTCATCTCGAAATGAACAAGATGACGAGAACACACGGCGGTAATGTCATTGTTAGTAGAAGCCGCTGCCATTGCCTTTCCTCACGATGAAAGCGCGGCGTGTCGAGAGCGGAGAGCGAGCTAGTCTGAAGACACGAGCCTGCTTAATACATAGTGAAAAAGAAATCAAGTCCATCAGGCAGGAATTTGCCAACGGCTGGGCTTATATATGGCGGACGAAGTAGGGCCGCCCGCTGCACATCGTGACCCGCCCATGCCCTGATCTAGCTCTGCGTACCTGGCTTCGAGATGTCTGCACTCTGGTTGGCGTTGGCATTGGCATGGGATCAGTCTTTCCTGATCATGCGCCCAATGAAATTGATGGTCGTCGTTCGTCGTCTTCGCGGACGTAATTTCGCCAATTATCAGACTCGCAGGCAAGGCACACTTCACTACACAGACTACGACCGTTGCGGGAAGCAATTGTCTACTGCAATGACCAAAGCATTTCGATATACACATTAGATGGTTAGAGAGGATGAACGAGCGTGTATCGTGCAATGCTAAAGTTGTCGACGTAAATCCAGAAAGATATGTAACGAGCGTCCCTGAGTCTACGAAGGGTGGTAGACAGAAGTAGTTTGCCACTTCCTACTACCGGTGCAAATTACCTGGCATGCTTGGCGGTGACGAGCTCAGCTGCGTCGCGTTTTCCCATATGTGGCTCGGGCTAATGGGATTTGGCCCGGGAGTATCTGGGCTAGTCACTTCCTCCTCTGCTACCAGCTCAGGCCGCTTCTTCCTACCAAAGCCCCAGCTACTCGCAAGACTCGCAAGGGTACTCCGCGCGGTCGCGCCAGCGGCAGAGCCAGCGGTAACGCCCACGGAGGGTCCAAACAGCGGTGAAGCACTTACAGTGGGAGGTGCAGCAGCGCTGCTCGAGGGCCGCGGGACATGGTAAGACTTCGTCCTCCGCCGATGAGCCATCAAGCTCGCAACACCATCGGTAGGCGAGCCCTCTGGGGAAGGAGTGACAGAGTCTGGGCGAGCGGCACTCAGCGTACCGGAAACGTCAGACAAAGGTGACGCGGCTTGCTCAGATATAGCGGTGGTCGCGACTGCCTTCGCTGCCGACGAGGTGGCCCGAAGGGTATGCGGCCCGCCGAGAACTTCGACGACGCAGACACTCTCGACGCCCTGGAACCTGGGCGCAGCGATGACGGGCGCTGTCCAATGGAGCTTCGAGGCACGGACCCAGTAGGGGTTGGGGACGGCGGCGGTTGCGGTGATGCTACAGGTGACGACCTTCCCTCCGTAGGGAGTTTCTGCTCTGCAGGGGGACTCTCCTTCCGTTCGAGTGACAATTCCGGCGGCTGCGCTTGAGCAAGCAGACGAGAGAGGGAGGATGGTCCTGCAGTCGGAGAGGAGTTGACACGCGGGCGGACTGGGAACAGCCGTGAGTTCGGCGGCCGCGTGGCACTAAATGAGTCCTCAACCTCGTTCTCCGGAGGACCGGCTGGGACGGGGAGGGGGCTGGCTTCCTGTAATGGCGGACTCGGCGGAGGGGGGCTCGTCGACTCCTTGACCTCGGCGGAGCCGTGTCTCGCCGTGTCTCGCCGCTTCGCTGGATAGGCTGGTTGCGTCCAATCCTCCACCTCCAGCATGTAATACTTGACGCCATCGCCGAGGCCATATGGATTCGTACTCGGATCCTGGGATCAATTATGACCGTCAGCGAGAGTTGGTCTCGCTCGCCGGCGGCGAGCGTACATACCTTGTGATCGACAACACGTTCCGTGATGGATGTGATCCTCGCGACGATCCACTCCCTGGTCTTGAGCTGCTCAGCGAGGTGCCCCGTAGCCTGGAGGAAATAATGCGGGAAAGAGACTGAATTGTGCCGCAGGAGAAACCTCGGAATATCAGTGACCGACCCACCGAGATGTGAATAGGAACCCGACGCACCATTGAATGCGGCCCAGGGCTTTGACACCGAATTCCGCGTCGGAAGGAACAGTGCAAGGTCACCCTTGGCAAAATTCCTGAACGAAATCTTCCCCTTCGCCCGCTCCCTGTACTCTTTGCATTGCTTCTGCCATTTCCGTATGGTCGATCCTGCCTTGTTGATTGCCTCCAGGAAATGGTCGTGGTCGAATGCGCGCAGAGCTTCAAGTGCAGTAGCAGGGTCAGAGGGGTCGATGGGCGACGGCTCCACGTGAAGATGACTGAGGACACTATGCTGCCCGGGGATGATAGCGGAGTCAGTGAGAGCCGCGTTGTTCGCCTTCGCTGCTGGATGAGAAGCCATGACCTGAGCAGCCGCGAGTGCCTTGAGATGAGACTCGCGGAAGGCAAGCGCAACGTCAAGCAGCTGAGCCACCAGACGGTTGCTGTTCTCAAGCCGCTGTTCATAATCCGACTGTGATACCCTGCCGACCCTCAGGTCCTCGCGCAGAACGTGCTCGATATGCTGCGCCTCCCGCAGCGTATGCTCGATGCACTGAAGCTCTTCACGCAAGCCAGCGGTATCGGCCTGTGCCATCTCCACCTGGGCGCGTGCATCCTTCAATTGTCGCTGCGTGTCCTCCAGTGCCGCCTTTAGTTCAGAGAACTGGTGCTCGAGGACGGCCCGGTCCCCATCAGCCTCAGCGATGTGGTCACGTATGACACGGTCATGCTCGGTCGCCTGGACGCGCAGGAGTCGCTCCTTCTCCCGTGCTGCCTCAGACAGAGAGCGCTTGACCTCGTCGCTCTCAGCGCGCGCCTCCCTAATCTGCGCCTCTAGGTCCTCTCCGCGGGCACGCGCCTCTTCTAGCCTCCTCAGCGAAGACGCCTGCTCCTCCAGGAGCTTGTTTAGTCTGTCGGAGTTTTGCTTCTCGATGGCCTTGACGTGTTTGAACTCTGCCCGTACCTGGGCAAGCTCCTGTCGCGCAATCTCGGCTACTTTGGTTTGGTCAGTAGCCTCCGACAAGGCCCGAGAGAGCGCATCGCGGTGTCGGTCAGTATCGGACGAGAGTTCGGTATTGCGCTCTTCAAGGATGCGCCTGGACGTAGCTTCACTCTCCAGCTGGGCCTTCGCAGAATGGAGGTCCCGTTCGAGCTGATCGCGCGCGGCGGACTCGACCTGTAACGTGGATCGTAGCTCGGCGACTTCTCGCTCCAGGACCAGACGCTCGTTCTCGAATGAGACTTCGCGTTGAGCTTGAGCTTCACGTAGCTCTTGCACTTGAATTTCGAGGTCGATGTCTTCTTCGGTGGCTGTACGAGGACAAAAGTTGAGCCAAGAGCGTGTTCAGAATACCATGCGGGGACTCACAGCGCCGCCTATGGTTCGTCAGTCGGGATGCTGACAGCACTGAGAACCGATTGTGTATTAGGGTCAGCAGGCTTCACACACGTAAATGAAATCGAGGACGCCTCACACGACCGTTCCGCGATACGATCAAAGCCAGACTCAAGACTATCCATCTTGCCAATCAGCCTGTCTAAACCTGCACGGGATTCTCGCACGGAGCTCATCGCGGCCGGGTCCTGTGAAGCTTCCGCGAAGTGTTCCAAGTCATCCAGCACATGCAGAAGAGCTGTCCGCGTCGATTATTACCATGTCCCAAAATTGACCGGTGCGAAGGTCTCACCGTCGATGTCTGGACGTTCCAGTGGATAGGGCGATTCGAGCGGACCGGTGGGAGAGAAATCGATGGTAGGGACAGGGTCATCCATGCCCCGCGTCTCGAATGGCAATTGACCGTGCACGTCTCCGCGGTAGAGTTGTCTTCGCTTCCGTTCGCTTGCTCTATGACAGCGTTAGTGTGATTATGCGAAAAGTGTCGCAGATCACTGACGAGAGCTTGGCCATGACCTCGAGGATGCTCTGAGCACGTTGATAGAAGAAACGCGCTGTCACGAGTAAGCGCGAGCTTCCCGTGCGAGCATGTAGAGTTACCTACCGAATTCCTTCCTCCTGACAATCTCGATGACTGTTGCACCGTACGCATACAGCATATTGTGAAGCCGCTGTATGTGCGAGAAACTTGTCTTTGCTTTGAGACCACCCTGAAGCAGGGTCAATAGCTGCCGCAGTTCGATTAAATCATGGTTCAATGCGCTGATCTGCCTCAAGACCAAGATGCAGCCCTCGGTGTGTGTGTTCTAGAAAGCATATTCGACTGCGGTGAATGAAGATAGCAGTGGGTACAAGGGTGTTGGGACGCACTTTGAAAGCTGTCATGGTCTCCACTTGATCACGAAGCGCCCCGTCCCAATGACGAAGATCTGTAGACGGTGGATTAATTGCATAGCGCCCGCATATCAAGTCCTACGCACCGTGCACAACCTTCTCGAACTGCGAACTAGGTACTGCACGGGTCTCGTTATAGTGGGCGCTTGAAAATGCCCAAACATACTCACTTTGCTGTGTGGCATGGTACTCCGCAATGCAATCAAAAGCCTCTTGGGCCCTCTTCGCGCACGCTTCTGCTTCTTCTAGTGGGCTGTAGGTAAAGTTGACCCATCAAGCACTCCAACCTGATTTCTCCGACGTACCTTTGGGAATTGACAAACTCCCGGACCTCGTGTGCTCCGTCATTGAGCCTCGACATGACCTCTTGCGACTGGCGGAACCGTTCCTTCAGCTCATCTTACCGATGAATATTGCGTCAGCTCAAGTGGTAGTCTGCCCTCGTGGCCGCTTACCGTGGGTTCTCATACAACTGTCTGCAACCTGCCGCATCTTGACTCTGCTCACGTAGTCTCCCAGAGTCCGACCGCGTTCACCGACATCCATCGCCTTCCGCATTGCAGTGCTCATGAACTCCTTGTGCACATGCACGCGTGTGACGATCTCCAGGTCCGCGTCCAGACCGCCGAGGAGTGCTGCCTGTTTGTCGGTCTCGCGCTGTGCCGCGGAAGACACGCCTTCGAAAACATCTGCCATGGCAAGTACATGCAGGTCGAGCACGCTTGATGCGATGCGCAGGGCGGAATGTTGGTAGTGCAAGGATGTGAGAGTGCGTTGGACATGCTCATGATGCTGTTGCGCAGCGTGCTCGTATGAACTGGCGAGTTGGGATATTCGGAATGGTGGAGTGGAAGAGAGTTCATCTTGTCTCGTTTCAGTTGGTTGTCGAAGACAACCAAACAAACGCGCACCTTCCACTGGTGGTTGCATGCACGGCTCCTCTCGCAGTTCGGCCAGCACCTCGTTCACGTCTAGGTCCAGGTAGCGTTTGTTGAATACATAGATCATCTACCCATAGTCAGTAACAGTGTATCTCAATAAGCCACCAAATGACGCACCTGGTCCTCAACTCCAGCAATGTCTCGCACATTATCCTTAGTTAGTCGTCTCCCGTCCGCAAGGTACGCAAGCCCATCGCCTTGATGAATACCCGCCTTCTCTTCAAGTAGTCGCTCCAAATTGACCTCCCTGATTTCTCCAGTGAGCCCCGGACATCTTGTCCTCCCCTAAAATGCCTCACCTCTCCAGGTCCCATACTGAGCCCGCGAGCTGTTCATGCATTCATCAGCCACCTGCGGCATGAAGTTATCAAAAAAGCGCACGTCAGCGACTTGTCCATCCTCCGCACGGCATAGCTGTATCATTTCTCCAGACTCCGGTCCTCGATGTGTTGGTGGTTGGAGAGGAACATGCGTCGTAGCTCGATCCAGGCAGCGTGGGCGAGACTGCCGCCGGATACGATCACTGTACAGTGTCACGTGCCTTACCCGCACATAATGAATCCCATCCACAATCGTCCGCAGACTACCGCAGTGGCATTTATTCTGAACTTACTCTGGACCAACGCAGCATGTACTATTTTCACTCCAAAGCAACACAAATATCCCTTGTATTCGATTAGAAACGGCGATGACACTGGATCCGGAGTGGCTCACGTTCATCACGAAGTGATCCTTGCCAGTGCATGGCGCTCAGGCTGTAACTGAATAGACATGAGTCGAAAGTTGAACCATTCAAGGGCCCGATTCGTGCCTCATGCCCACGTTCGGTCCTGGGGGATTGTAACTAGTAGTGAGTGATGTCCATCTTCTTTCTCGAGCGTCGAACGTTGTCAGACTCTCACTCGTGTGGTCGAGCTATGGGGCGGCCCGTTCTTCAAGTAGGGAGACACAAGGGGACACAGCCTTACTTGGAGTGTCTTGATACTGCTGGTGTGGTATCTTTGAAGGTTCGTCCGCACATTCAACGATACACGGAACGTGGCTGAGTCTGTGACACGGTTCACCTGTCCGCTGGCACTTATACGGAATACGTAAAGGCACCGTGAATGTGTGCGAAGCTCAGTGATTATATGTGGCTCCTCTCTCGGATACCGTTCACCTCAGCCAGACAACGCACAGTCCAACGGAAGGCCGTACAACTCAGGTTCCGGCATTGCACCCTATCGACACTCAATTTGTGCGCTCCGTCTACCGCAATAAGCCACCCTATGCTCCGAGTCTTTACCTCTGTCGCCGACTCGCAGCAGCTTCATCCGCCTATTGGCCGGCGAAGTTCGAACGCTTCGCACCGGTATCCTTGTATGGGGACTCTCCCGCGGCTCTTCCTGCGAAGAATGCTCCTCTAGTAATCAGAAGCGTACGCTTCCAGCGGACTTCTACAATATATCGCGCCCAGTTGACCGGCGCTGCTGTCCTTCCCCGTCGTGTGCCAGCCACCTGCTCACTCACGCTGTCATCTCCCGGTCCACAAGTCTCGAAGCGACGATGGCCCCCGTCCTGCTCACGCCACAAATTCGCCGGAGCGAACACTGCGGTGAATACCCGATTGACATTCCGACGGCGGCGCGTAGTCCGCTCCGTCGTCCGGCCAAACCAGGTTCCAGCATCTGCTCGCCGCCGCGCTATCGTGCAATGCCAAAATCCAATCACCCCATCAATCAGAAACAAAATCACCGAAGCATGTGGGTCCTTGCCACCTGCCGCCAATATGGCCACCACACACCGCGATATCGATCTGCGCATGGATGGCGCGGTGTGCGTCGCGGGGCACGGGGCACAGTGTACCGTCGCGATTCTGTCTGCTGCGGCCAAGCTGGGCGTGCAGTATCAAGCACGATGCATATCGATCGCGTATCCGCGGCATCGGCACAAACGTACTGATCAGAGCTTGGCCACAACGCTGCCCCTGGTCTCTAGCGTAGATTGACTGCACCTCGTGTCTACGTGGCGGTGCCAGCCGTAGTTCGCCTGACTCTTGTCTTGAGGCAGCGATAATCAGGTAGAGTGTCGTTCCGGTCGGCCGAATTTCAATGCAGAGTTGAGTACGGTTAGGTTCGACAGAAACCCTCCGCGCTAGAGCCGTGCGGAAGGTCTTGGTATGAGACTAGAGTACGGTGCGCACGAGCTGCATACGGCGTGCTCCGTTCAGGTATGTAGGCCCGTTGAGAATGTTCACTGGCGACTTGTCTGGTTCGCGCGTCCAAGCCTAACCTTGGGCTGACAGGTACAACGGGGTCACGGCAGATCTCTTCATGTCCTATGCAAATGCTCGTTGGCAGCGTGGGTGCGGCGCAGCCATCGCCATTCAGAGCGAGTCCGTTCATACTTCCAGACGGGGCTCACTTTGAAATTGTCTATCACGAGACGCGGGTCCGTGCACGGTACACTGTACTCAAACTGTACTAGTGATAACACTCGTCGTGCTCGGTCAGGGACTCGCGTGTGATGTTGGCAGCCAGAGCGCGATGTGTGGAGATTGTATGAAGACGTTTTCATTCCCCAGGTGTCTTTGGAGAGGCCACCCGTCCTCTAAACCCCGCAGCTATTGCGCCGGCATCTCTTCGCGGCGTCATACGACCTCGCATCGGTACGTTCCAGATCAGATGTAGAAGACCTGAGTGGGTGCTATCCTTCCCTAATCCCTCTGCCACATCTCCGACTACATTAAACACGATCGAGGCCTTGAGCAGGACCCTCTTCGCGCGCGCACATTCCTTCTCGATGCTTCTTCAATTTTGCTTGGACATCTAGAACAAGTCCCACGTCCTACGTAGGTTATCCTAATTTCATCCTATCATAAGGAGCCCAGGCATTCTTCATAAAAGGCATAGCCTGATGGGAGCTTATACGTAGGTGTGGTCGTTGGCTGGCATGAATGGGACATGGACGGGCCCTCGGCGAAATTCATTGGTCAAAGGACAAGGTCCGGGTCCACTACGCAGCTGCACGACTAAGCGAAATTATAAGCATTTTACCTTCGTCCCGCGCGCCCTCAGCCAATCGGGACGCGGGCATCACTCAGTCCGTTGGAGAGATCAAGATCGGCGGGCGGGGCCGCGGCCTGAGCGGCCTGGCCGACGGTCGCAGCCCGATTCTAGGGACCACCATAATGAACGAATGTCGGTCTTGCCGAATTTCATCAGCACATATGTCGTCCGGTAGAAAACTTCAAAGGTGTGCTGTTACCGGGAGCGGTGGTTGTGATGCGGCTAAAGATTGGATGTTGACAAACCTGACAGACAGTGGACAGAAGTGTTAGGCTACCACTGTTTCATTCCATGTCCCACGCAACCGAAAGAATACCAGACGAGAACTACATGCAGCAGCATAATATTGCAACATGTGCAGAAGAATATGACAGCGTTGATGACTTCCGAAGCCACTGGCCGACGGTCGGAACCCGATTCTAGGGACCACCATAATGAAGGTATGTCGTCCGGTATAAAACTTGATGAAAAGGTGCGCTGCTACCGGGAGCGGTGGTTGTGATGGCCAAAGATTGACTGTTGACGAAACTGACATACGCAGTCGATGTTCCGCGCAGTCGGAAGAACATCAGACGAAACCTACATGCAGCAGCAGATTTCAACATGTGTGGATGTGGAAGAACATGACGGCGTTGATGACTTCGAAGCCATCGCTACCGCGCGCCCTCCCTCAAACACAGTAAGTGCGCAACTTTCGTTCTAGATGATGAAACGGAATAGAATTGCTCAGCATCTACCAGTGAGTGTGGACGTCGCGTGGGAGGTACAGTAAGTACCGTAGCAGCCGCGCGCGCGCCCCGGTACGCCGGCGACTTTCGTCGAATGATGAAGAGAGCATGGATCACGGAGTCGTCTGCTGCGTCTGCATCGCTCGGCGTGTCGCCCGAGAGTTCCAGCTCAGCGGATGGCTGTAATAGGACGAATGTCGGTCGGAGTCCGACCGAATGTCTAGGACACGTACCAGGGGAATGTGCGACCATTCAGTATGATGAGCCTGAGACTTTGAAGATAATCAGTACTTACAGGGTAATTCGGACGCATGCGACAGCTTGGAACTACTTGGATGTCGAGATTGCATTCGGCCGTTCGCATCGGCGTCTGGAACAAACGTACTCGTGTGTACAGTTTCCAGTAACTGATCTTGGGCTGATCATCATTCGTCCGCCTGAACGCACCGAGCCAGGCAAAGATCCAATGGGGTGTACGGACGGTGACTCGGAATTCTTGCAGTCGGCCGAACCTGCGGTGATCCAGAACGCTTGGTCGGAGTCCAACGGATGGCTGGCGATGGGCTCCTTGGTCTGGACAAAGGCCGCACCGCGATCAAACGACAAATTGGCAGTTCGAGCGAGGCTGGACAGGCTGCAGGGCGAACACCGCGTAGGGCCGCGTGCCCGCGAGAACCGACGGTGTGTAAACGAAACGAGGTACGGTGGACAATGAGACGAGCAACGAGGCCGGCAAGGTTGTACGTACTGTTCGTTTGTGCGCGGTGTGGCGTCGAATGGGCAGCGCACACGGGGCGGGACGAGGGGATGAAACGGGCGGGGAAGCGGCCATGCGCTGCCGGCGCTCGCAGGTCGGACGTAGCGGTGGTTCGCTCGGGGACCACCGCGGGCCGCGGTCTCGGCCAGAAGGGCTGGTGTGGGCTCCACAACGCCCTGGACGTGGGGATGGTCTCGACTGGCTCCTCGACGGCGCGCACCCAGCACAGGCGCCCACTATTTTGCCGCCTCAATTTGGCAGCCGCGACCCGCAGCCGCCTCGGCCAATCACCATGGCGGCTGTTCGCAGCAGCTGGCGCCCCTGGCGGTTGGGAAGAGGCCGCCCTGCGCGCGGCGCGACCCCAATTTTTTGCGGCTTGGTGGGAGCCTGCGTTCTGAGAGGACGATTGATGTACACGCGCGCCGCCACTCCGGGCGCGGCAACTGCCAGCTACCAGAGAGCGGCTTGTGGACAATGCATGTCGCCGGACAGCGGGCGGGTGACCACGACGAGCAGCCTGCACAACGTCACCGGCGCGTTATCGATCCGCGCATTCGCTCGCCCACCAGCTATCGCGATGGGCCGGGACCGCCCGCGTAGGATGATTGGCCCGTGCGCTGCCGGAGTGCGTTCGCTGAGCAGCGGCCGGGGAGCGGGCGGAGCGCGAACGGGGGCGCGCCGGGATTGGCGCGGAGATTGAAGATGGAGCGGATGCCGGACGTCATGGAGATGCTTGAAGAAAGAGAAGGCTTATGTCATCAGCTGCCCAGTCCACACACCACCGTCTCACTACACCCGGCGTCTTTTCTTCCCCGCTATAAATCTCCTGGTAACCATGATTCCCCGATAAAGAAAGCCCCATAGCCCCCCGGCCCCTTATATTCTCCTCCCCGCTCTCCGAGCCGTTCTGCCATCCCCTCTTCCTCTCCGAGGCGTCCTCCGCCCTCACCGTCTTTCCCAGCATCCTCGTCTCCCACCCACTGCCTCCGCCATGCCCGGTCTTGTCAGCGACGCAACTCGCATTTGGGAGCTCAACATCTACTGGGCCTTGCACTCGCAATGCGGGGTCTGGGATCCGAAGGGCAAGGGCGTTGACATCTGGGAGTGTATCCGACCTCGTGAGTGTTCCGCCTGTCTTCACCGCCGGACCTCCTAACGCGCTCCGCTCGCAGACAACTCCACCCCAGGCACTCAGGTATGTACTGCGCTCTCTGCAACGCGTCGGAACGCGTCTAATCTCGGACCATCTGCAGCCTCCGAACTCAACGTACTGGCGATACGTCGCGCGTCGATGACCCCCTAGCATCGCCGGTCGGACCGGTAGCCCGCGTGCAGGTCCATCTTCGCTCTCTCCGTCCTCGGTGCTTCCCAAGCCACCCTCGACCACAACAACTCAGACACCGCGTCGTCCGCCCACCACGCACGCCAACAGCTATCGCCCGCGCTCGTAAGCCGCCCAACGTTGTACAGCCCGTTGAGGCGCATCCCCAACACGTCCTCGAGGCCCCAGCCTCCGGCGGATCCCCGGGACACGCCCAGTCTCGCTGCGCAAGGCTGAGCTCGCTCGCAGGACGATGCGCGATCCTACCTCCTCTTCCATCACCAATCACCCCATCTTCCGGGGCGTGATGCTGCGCGACCCGTAGCAACGACCCCGTCTGTCAAGACTCACGAGCGCCATCATATGTTTCGTCATCTGCCTGCGGATATTATTGCATCTTTTCTCTCATCGTTCCCATCCACTCGCCTTCTCGGTCTCGCCCCCGGTCTCTGTGTCATCCCATGATCGCCTGCTTATCTCCGTCTGCCCGGTCTTGTGGTCCACTATGTATTCTCGCGCCTCCGTTTCGTGTTCTTCCTTTCTTCTCCTTGCCACTACCCTACCCCCTTTGTCCAGCCTCGCCTCGCGCCACGGCCGGACCATAGCGTTAGTAATTCACCTAGTATGTACCCTGATCGTTCGCGTACGTCCCGAGTCGCCGTGCCACTGCTATCCTGCTGTCCCCCCATCGTAGCGTATACACTCCCGCACTAGTCCACTGCTTGCAATCTGATACCAATGTTACACCAACATTACGCTCTCATCGCTTGCCCGCCTGAGCGCGTGTGCCACTGTTCGGCCTGCATCGTGCGTGTATCACGCACCATCAAGGCCTTCCCTGTCCTGCCCCCGGGCGCGAACCTCCCGCTCACGTAGAGGCCTGGCTTCTCGTGTATTTGGTTGCAAATTGGGAGGGGCTTATCGCGCGCTCGCTCGCAGCAGCTGCCCAGACCAGCCTGCAGGACTGCTGGCATCTGCCACGTCGATGTAGGCCTCGCAGACTTCCTCTGCACGCGTGTCATCCTTCTCTGCACTACGCACGCGTCCGGCGGGTGGTACGTGCGCTGGCAGCAGTGGGAAGGCACGGACGCCCGGGAAGCCCATGGCAGCTCGAACGGGAAGCCTGCTAACTTGGGGCGATACCCCCTCCCTGTCCTGCCGGCAGCGGACCCCTGCGGCGGCTCGCTCGGACAATCGAGAACACACGAACCGCGACCCCTTCCTGCAGCTGAGGCTTCCTGGATGCTCCACTGGCAACAGATCTGGGACGGACGGTGCATACGAGCCCGAGCGTTTGGCTGACGTCTCAGAGCCTCTCAGCTGAGTGACAGCACCCCGGATCGCGCTCGAGACTCTCGTCGTGCCGCCCCCCCTTCCGCCTTGGCTCCTCATTCAATACCTTCAGCGGTGTGTGCCAGGCAAGTGATGCACTGATAGAGTGGACACGCGAGCGCCACGTAAAGGTGCGGCAGACGCGGACGCGGTGCGTGGATCTGGGCGTGGAGGGCCTGCAGCTGATCATCCTCTCTTTGTTCGCGCGGACGCTGGGGCGATTGACCCTCCCTTCGTGGCTGCTCCGTGCGAGCGAACAGAGTCTGCAGTATCACCGCACCGCGTCGTGGCGTCTCGCTGATCGCCCGCCCTCCGGAACGGCCTGCACTAGAAGCCCGGCCCTGCGTGTCACGTAGACGACTTACAATCCCAACGGTAGCACCTGGGTGCGATTGTGAGTCGCGTCCCGACGCTCGTGCTGCCAGCGGGCGATGCATCCGCAAACGTGATGGCCTGTTCTGTGATCGTATACTTACGGGGGTAGAATCACAGTGCGCGTTACTTACACCTCACGCCCCAAAGATAATGCACGCGATGGACAGCGACGCCGGCCACCGTGGACATGTCAAACCGGCTGCAAGTAAGCAATCAATCGGAACTGCACGCAGCGAGAACTAAATGGGGAGAAGCTCTGGCAGCCGGTCCCGCCGCACAGAGTTCGTGTACGTGTAACACGTCCATGTGCAGCACCGCCGGAATGCAGGGGATTTCAAGCTTTCACGCTTCGAGAGGAACAACTGAGTAACTGAGTTCCTGAGTTGCGAAACGCATGCTGAGTTCGTTTCGCTCGAGTCAATAGATCGGATCTAGACGTCGTCCGGTGTCTGCCCGCACCGCACGAAAACCTTCGTGCTGCGAAGCTTGTCGCCGGCATTCTCGACACCGCGGAACAGCTTGAAGACACGTACTCGAGGGCGGAGAGAAGGCTTGGCTCAAACCTCCAGTGCAGTCCGTCCCGCTGTCAGCAGAAACAAGGCCGCGCCAAGGTCCCGCGGAGCTCGCTCCAAGAGAAGCAGCCCGTCGAGGGCCTCAGATCCTTGGAAAGAGAGCTCCGAGGGAGCTCCACACCCTCGTTCCTCCACAGTCTCCACCGAGCGCTCCCTCGGAATCGGGCTTCGGGATCCCTCTCGCGAAATAAGCACGGCGGTCGTCGTCAAAACGGTCTAGGTCCCCGTCGTTTAGTGTCCGTTTGCGAACAGACCGGGCCGCTCTGAGATGAAATCAAGCACTCCGTCCACATAGTTGCCTTAGCGGAAATCAAGGCTGGCCTAATAATGGCGCACACGTACTTATTTCGCCCAGATGAGACGGACGCGCGCGGGCCTGAGCCGGCTTAGACGCACTGTTCGTGCTAGGGTGCAGAATCCAGATGATCGCATTGGCTGGATGCCCGCACGTAACCGATCTGGCGGGGTGCGGCCACCTCTGGCACAGGACGCCCGCGCGCAATTCCTCCGAGTGCGCTGGCTCTGACCCGAGAGCTGGAGCGTTCAGTTTGGGCAGGTCGCGCCCGCGGACGGCCGTTAATGGAGACACGAAGACTTCCGGCGAGAAGCCAGGGTCTCGTAGCCCGGGGAGAGGCGGGGAGAACCCGACAGCGCAGGGAAGGAGGCCTAGGAAGGATGGGCTTACGAGGGAGAAGCGGCGTGCGCCGGTGCGGAGGCTAGAACGCGGACCAGGAAGGGCACCGTATCAGGCCGCGACGCGCACGCGCACGTTCAGGGATCATGCCAATAGCACTGGACCCCATCGACGCTCGTCACACAGAGAAGCTCGCCCCGCCAGAGAGCCGGTCATGGAATTCGCGGGCGAACGCGAAGGGGAAGCTTGAGCCTGAGTTGCCAGAGAAGGTACGGTGGAGGCGCGCACGTATGGACGGAGATAGACCTAGATACACGCTCGTGCCTAGGATCTAGACGGCACGGCGCACAGCTGATCTCGCGGCCGGCGCCTTGCGGTTCTGCGAACGCGAACGGGAGATGGCGCGCGAGCCTAGGGCGGACAGGAGCGTCGTGGGGTGTCCGTAACGTACTGCCGGCATCACGAGTAGAACTGACAGTATATGGCATAGCGCGCGTGCGTGCTAAGATCGTGGGCCCATGCAAGGTGCAGGTGAGGAGGATCCGGCGCGCCTCGGAGATGAATTCGCGCTTACGAGCCAGTTTTGTTGAGGTGCACGGTCCGTTGCTCGGCTGACCGTTCTCATACGCGTACGTGTGGGCCACTCGATCGTGATCGAATTCAACGGCCTGGAAGGTCCGAGCGAAACGTAAGTGAACGGGCTGGGTTGTACGTTAGGACTGAGGTATGACTCGCCCGTCGAGCACTGTGCGTGTCGTCGTGATCCGCGTCTGTAACGATGACGCTATTCCTACGACAGAGGCAAAAGAAACCCATCGAGGTCCACCGGAGCAACCGCGCAAAGGTTTGGCAACGATTCATCGTGGCCGCATGTCCGCGGGTGCCTAGAAAGGAGGGTAGAGACACTCAACCCGTCGGACGAGAAAGACTTACCGAACGTGGATATTCACAACACCATCGCACGCTGCACAGAACCTCCAGCCCGGACGTGTGCGTCACACCCCGCAACGTGTCGGCGGGGAAGACAGAGCAGATCACTGACGTAGTGCCAGCCCTGGAAGGATGCCCAGCAGCGCGGCTGCGTATGGGATCGCCGCTCCCTGCGTCGTCGTGTCCGTGCTTCGGGACGCCTACTGATAGCGATCCCACGGCGAAGGTCAACGGATGACAGGGTGCATGTGCACTGACCGCATTGTTCGATAAGGACGCTTCGCCAAGGGGTCCCCAGATGTGGAGAGCTGGGCTGGAGGACGTGGAAGGGGGAATGAATGCATGAATGTGTCCTTCACGGTGGGGAGACTTCACCTGACGAATGGGGGTCGTGATTCGGATGGTTGACGATGACACTGGTTGTGTCGTACCACCGCTCCCACTTGAATAGATGGAAAATATGACGCAACGATGGCGTCCGCGCGCTCGAACATGCAGGGTAAGCTCGTCGCGCACCTTGTTCAGGGAGATTACGCTGTCAACGCAAATATCTCTATTCCATACTGTCGGCGCCGACCTAGGCTCGCGGAGTCGGGAAACTGACATGGTAGAGAGCGGGCATCAGTCAAAAGAAGTCGCGTGCGTCAGTGGCGGGATATTCGCAAAGTTCAGAATCTGCCAGAAGCAATTCTAGTTGCGCATAGCCCCGGAAGGTACACTGCCTCGAGATTGGGAGAGGAGTAGGAGACCTGCGCTTGTTTTGCTATGAGGTACTAGGATGCCGTACTTCCCGGTCAGTTGTCTGTCATGAGCAACTGGAGTAAGTATCGATACGATGTGGTTTACGACGTAGCTCACCGACATTGAATAACGAAAGAAGCATTATGCAAGGTGCTAGACTGTTACGGCACGGGTTTCTGTCCGAAGCAAGACGGAACATCGTCCCAACGTCAGCATAGATACTCGTCTTCGTTCGACTGAGTGCCGCCGAGCTTCTCGACAATGTTGCGCAGCCCCTCTGGCAATAATGGACATTAACGCGCTTGATTATGCCACCTAGAACTGTCTAGAAGACCCTAACCGTGTACGCCAAATGTCAGCGGGAGAAGCAGGACCATGATGATAATGAAAGTGCATATATAAAGCTTGTCAGATGCGCCGAGCCGAGGTCGATCCGTCTGCAAAGCGTCCGAGCGTCCATGGCTTCTGTAGTATCAACAGTTCCGACGGTCTGCTGAGTGACAGCCGAATGCGTACCACCTCAGGCCACCCGCAGCGGACTACACATAAGCCTTGTTTGTGAAGGGTCGTGTACGGGGAGCCGATGGCGGGATGCCGTGACCGTGATTATCAGCGGCCTCAAAGCAGGGTGCGTAGGGTAGCAGCGAAGGTATATTCTTGGATGTGCCTCGGATCAGTTCAGGCAGAGCGAACAACGAGGTGAACATGAATAGGACTGCTGGCTCCCATATTAGTCGGCCATGAGGCGATCATGGCGAGCCACAATGTCATTGGTCCGCTGACACGGCAGATGGCACGTACACCAGAGAGGAGAGGGATGCGTACGTTCGGAACGTGCATGTGACAGGCCGATAGCGGAGGTATGTGTGGTGGACCGGCATACAGATAGTGTTCGTTATTAGGTATGTTGCAGCATGACGTCGGCCGCGACGGCTTGCACCTGTGTAGGTCTTCTAGTTTGTTTTTCCCATCTGTCAGTGGCTTGATTGAACGGCATGTCAGGCTACTGACCCCCTACCGGTGTTCGGGTTGAAGTCAACATCGTTTCACTGGCATGGTCTCACCCAGCACGTACTTCCACGCGTCAGTCTGGTCAGAGTTCTCGCGGAAGGCTGAAGAACCTGATCATCGCCTGGCCAGATGTAGTTATCCACGCGTTGACAAGAGGTCATGCGTATGTATTTGCGTGTCGAACTCTGGCCCATTGAGTTTAGGTTGAGAAGTTGACTGGTAGTTGAACTTACCTGGTTGTCAATGTCAACGGGGTGATTCGCATTGATGGCGACCGATAGTTCCCCGTTGAATGCCCAGCACAGCCTGAGACAAGGCAGGCAAGTCCCAAGCGAGAGGGCCGATAGGAAGGCTTAGGCTGTATGTACTTCATATGTTTCCGGTGAACTCAGTGAACGGCTGGTACGGTAACTGTGAGAGCGTAAGCGCCCATCTTACGCGGAGCGCGGACCCGGACTTTGCCGGCTGGTCTCCTCGTTGGCAGCCTCAACGTGTTACCATGAACACTCCTCAGAGTCAGGTTCGTCTCATACCCCCTCAGTCTGAACAAAGTCTGACCGGTGTCCTCAATCTACACGGTGAACCATCTTTTTGGCGGCTTGACGACGTTTAGTTGCTTGGTTGGGGTTCCCTGATCGCTGCGGCGGGCGTGAGCTACTACTATGCTCGCCAGAGCATAAACGAACGTCGCAAGGCACAGGACCTTACTGGAGCAAGGCCGTCAGAGAAGCTGGACTGTATGTGGCCTTGTGAGATCATTGATATGCTGTCTGACATTGCTGTTCCACACAGGGCGTGCACGGATCGCTCAGCAAGAGCAGAACGCAGGTGCAGGCGAAGGTCCCGGCTCTACACCAGCTGTAGGACAGGCAGGCTCTACAACAGCTGTCGGACGGGCAGACTCTTCAGAAAGCGGTGGATCATCATCACCGAAGTAGTGCCTCCCGAGCCGCCCACATTGCGGCTTGCCAGCTCGGTGGATATGGTAGTCAATGCATAGACGAAGGGCAACATCATGCGTAGGTGATGTAACCCAGACTCTTCATTCCTCGCTATGCGCACTAGCTCCAAAGGGACAGGTTAAACGGTGCCGTTGTCGGCATGGTCAGACTAGTTATGGTATTTGGTGAGTACCCCATCGCAATGGAGACTTCCGCGACAGACGGCTGTGAGAAGGCACGCGTCAATGACTGAACACACTGGTACCACGCGTTGCGTAGCCTCGTCCACAACTATGCAACCGTTTGCATCGCGGTGGCTCCATTTACCGGTTCATTGCTAGGTCAAGGATGAGGACAAGGCTGTCCCTACAGCGCCTCCACTTGAACGAGGTCAGTAGATTCTAGAAACGGATGAAACAGCGTTGAAGATAAGACCGATGTACCACTGATGGTCAACTCTCGTCTTCATCGTCATCATCACTGGACGTGATGCGTGGGCGCAGTCACTGTACAGTGGATGGCGTGAAGTTGACTCAGTCCCCGGCAGTGGTGGGCATCATTCATACCTGCTGTTTGATTCTGCATCGAACGTTCTGTTCTTCTGCGTCGAACCTTACGTCCGCTGGGATGGTCGTCGACAGCCGATTCTAACTGCAAACGCATCGCCATGTGTATGCGCACGAAACCGCAGTCTGTGCCGTTCGGTATGACACTGAACACTGCTGGGATGCGGCTTGCCAACGCGGTGGGCTAATATACCTACTAGCTCACATCTGATTCCTCTGCAACAACTAGCCTGAGCCGGCGGCATACGTCAACCTTACAGTTTTTTCGGACACCCGTCATGATGAACGCTAACACACTTAGCAATCCAGCGTCCAAACTCAACCAACACAGTGGTGGCCGGAGTGGGATATAAGCAGTCTGTGGTTGTGTTCATACCTTCATCGTGCACCACCGTCTGAACTGTTGTATGAGGCCTCCGAGGATTCTCTCAGGGAACAGCACTAAGGCAATCGAGGCGACAGCAACGATCTACTTTCGCTCACTCCGGCCCCTTCCTTATGTCCTCCACGCCCAGTGCACTCGTTCAGGACGAGTGAGTCGTCTGACCATCTACTTCGCCTGATTCCTGATGGAGTCGTCTGAAATACCTCATAGCCGTCTGCTGAATTATATGTGCTACGCAGCGACGGGTGAGCCGCCTATCCAATACTCGCATACGTATCCGCTCACAGACAAATCTCAGCGCTCTGCTGTTATGACTACTGCTTGACGTTCGAGCGCGAAGTCGAGCACATGTGGAGGAACAAGTTGACTGCAGCCTCCGCGCTGTTCTACACGTTCAGGTACACGGCATTGCTCGATGTCGTCGTCACCATGCTGGGCTACCTGTCCTGGCCGAGCTGGCAGACCACACGCGTGCGTATGCCAGACATGTTTCTTGAGATTGACCCTTGTCCGACGGGGCATTTTGAATAGAGGTCGGTGTGATCTATCTTTCGCGCGTTCCCGGGTGTTGATAACTCGGAACCTTTCAAGCTGCGTGATTATCATCCGCCTACAGATGGCTGGCGACGTGCTCATACTGACAAGTGCAGCAGGTGGGCTTTGAGCACGGTGAATGTATGCGCTTAGGCTGACGCCATCTGCCTGTAGTCTTCGCAGCTATGCGCATATATGCACTCTTTCATCAAAATCGAACGTTGCTCGTCCTGATTCTCGTGCTTGGCCTAGTCAACCCGGTTATATCTATGGTCAGTTCCCCGCGTTGGAGCTAATGATATGTGCGCCTTCTGATCCAGTATCTGCAGTACACCTTCATAAACTCCACGCCAATACTGTTCCACGTTACCCCAACTTACCAGACGTGTAGTATCGATACGCCATATATATCCAATTTGTACGTGATGATACCACTTATGAGTGCAGCCCTGACCGCGCATAGCTGTATGTGTCTAGAATGCATTCAGATTTGGCTGTCGTAGGTGCTTACTGTAAGCAAGGGATGCTCGGGGCGAGGGTGTCGTCGGTCGTCTCCGACAGTCTCGTCCTTATCCTGACATGGAAAGGCACTCGAAACGTCGCAATATCGCATGGATTGAAGAAGACCCTCATGACTGACAGTACGTGTCATCTACGCCAGCTCAAGCTGGGGGCTTACAGCTAATTCACTACCAGCCGCCATATACTTTGGGTACGATTATTCCGCCCCGCCCAACCTCATCGGTTCCACCGTGTAATCATTCATTTCCAGCTTTCTCTTTCTCCTGAATTTCGGCGGAATATGCATTGCCATAGCTCAGCTTGAAGTAAGTAGACCACCAAACAAGTTCCGCGGTCCTATCTTACGACAGTGTTCTGCCTTTTCCCAGTTCATCGACGCCATCTCAACTCTGACAGCTATGTAAGTCTTCCGGCACCGCGTGCATAGCAGGGTACAGCCAAGACTAACCCTTACACTCCTCCTAGACTGACGTCCATATTCCTGTCCCGACTGATTCTCGACCTACATTCGGTGATTCATATTTGCAGTCAACCAAGCACAGCAGTACTCAGCACGGTTGAGTCGCTCGTCTTCACGGAAGAATCTGGGTGGGTAGGCGCTATGGAACTCCCTCAGAGCAACGACGGCAGATCACTCTCTCGAAGTGTGAAGCACAAGTGAGTATCCAGTGAACCCGTTTCAACCATTTGATTCACTCAGTCGTTATGTGAAGCGGATATCACCCCAAGCGATCGGCGTATGAATCTACGCCCTGAATGCAACCATCACGACGATATCGTGTCACCCTCCGCACTTCGAAGGACAAAGAGCAATCGGAGAACGTTCGACGACACTATCTCAAAACATGAATCTAATCACCGGTTCTTGCAGGGGCGCGACCTCATTATAGGCTCGCGACGCGACAAGGAAACGAGTAGAATCATGGTATTAGGTGACAGTATGCATGAAAACATGACAATCCGATGGCTACCAAAACGAGACAGTAGGGTGACAGTACAACAACGGTGTATACTATTTCGATGGCTATGGTAATAACTGCAAAGTAGCGAAGTCGGCCAGAGGGGATAGTCCTGCCTCAAGACTACTACCCTTGTTCTTCCGATAAGTTTCTTCACGGTTGTGGTCATTATCGGTCCCTATATTCCGTTCGAGCCGCGACCCAAGGCCTACGGGGCTGTCGCACTGCGCACCAAAATGCACACTAGTAAGCTTCCCGTGTTCGATGAAGTGTCATCAAACGTACCTGCATTTCTTCCTCATCCGGCCCGAACAAGTCATCGCTCCAGGACGACTCCCGGTTGCGATCACACTCCATGCTATCTCCATCGCTAGACCTCGACGGGCCCGGACTTAGTTCTGGCGTGGACAACGGGTCGGATGTTCCGCGCGAACTCCCAACCCCGATATCGATGTCGAAGGCACCAGCGCGGACGGGAGGGAGCAGTATGCGTGAAGGTCGTGGCGCATCGTTCCGACTCTCGACGGGTTGGCGCGGTGTAAAGAAGTTGAAGGGGTCCTCTGAGGTCACAGTTGGAACGAAGGGCATGCAGAAACCACCTGGACCTGCCGGGGTCGTTATTGGACGGGGCGCAGGTCCTGTTGCTGCAGGGATGAACATGTCATCTGAGTCTTGCCTAGCCGTGTCTTCAGGGGCCGGCATCATGGTTGATGATGAACTGACGGCTTGGACTTCTGTGAACTCCTTGGCACGAGCTTCAGCAGCTTCCTTTGCCTCTTTTGCTCGTTCTATAATGCGCCCCTGCCTGCCAATCCCTGCAACGAATGATGAGTAAAAGGTATTGACCTCGTCGACATCGCACACGCACCTCGTTTCCAATCCAATGAAGTCTGACCCCAATGCCACTTCAGGTGGAGTGCGAGGCCGTTCGGAAGTTTGAAGGTGCGCGGACACAGCGGACACTTATGAAGTGGTCCTGAATGGGCTGTGTCTGTCAGCATACAAACTCATTCAACACTGCGCTCGTGAACAGCCCCAGACTCACTTGGATGTGTTTCTTCTTCTTCGTCGTCGTCGATCACAATGACTTCAGGTTGCATAGACCGCTCCCCGCGTGTATGCTCCTCTCCGTCGGAACAGTCCGACCTCCCATTGGTGCTTTGCGTTGACCCCTCGCCGTAAGCCTTTTGCTCAATCTCTTCCCATTCCCCCATCATGTCTTCTACACCCGCTTCACCCGATCCCTTCACAATACTCGCGTCATCCCATGTCCACTCACGCCCCTCCTCGTACCTCCGCAGCACTCCGATTCGCCTTCGAATAGGCACCGTCTGCTTCGTCTGCTTCAACTGATGGAACATAGCCGACCACGCTGCCTCGCAGAGAGGGGGGCCTTCTGTAGACGGATCGGTCGAGGTTGCACCAGAAGCCGTGGCAGACTCTGCTTGCTGAGTAGTATCCGAACCAATGGATGGACGTTCAGTAGGCGGAGGGACGGCCTCCGGGGATGGGAGTGGAATCGGCTGCAGGCGCGGCCCGAGCGCTTGTGGGGGATGTGGGCACGACGCAGAGACATCGCTCTCAGTAGCCTGAGGTACGAGAGAATCCGTAGACATGCTCGAGGCAGATAGAGTACCAGATAGTCGTTGACGAGGATTTTCGGCGGTAGCCATCGTCGCAGATCCGCTTGACAGTGAGTTTGCCGGCAGAGCGTTCGAATGATGATGTCCTTGTTGCGCAGGCAAGGGCTGAACACTGAGCGTAGGCGGCGGGCCATATGACATATGCGCGGGACTAGCTGACGACACGAGCGAAGAAGGCCCCAGATTGTCGACAGTGAGTTGATCCTCCACGTAGACATCCCGTTGCAGTGACAATTCGTGTGCTCGCGTACCCGAACCCTGCACAAGTTGGACAGGCGTGATCGCGCGACCAGGAGCAGAACTGTCAAAACTAGGCATTCCAGTATCCCGACGAAGTACAGCCTGGTACGAGGTCCCGGAAGTGAGAACCCACTGGGGTAGTACCCCTGTTCTCGGTGCATGAAATGCAGCAGGATCAACAGGAACGAGGCGTAGCTGCGGCCTTCCGCTTCCACCACCCTCATCCACACGTACGCCCACGTTGCTGTCGGTACCAGTAGAAAGATCGAACCCAGTAACGTCAGAGTGCGCCGCGAGAGTCGCCAAGTCCAGATCCAGTCCCAGTGTACCATCGTCCAAGCCCGGTGCAAGTGCTTCGAGTTCAGCGAGAGGCAGTAGGTGCGCATCCAGACCTAGCACGTCCAGTCCCATAGCAGGCATCAGCTCAGACGGGTCCGCGGGGGTTGACGTATGCGCCTGCGAAGTCGACAAGTAGTCTTCCAATCCGAGCATACACGCGTCCGAGTCAGGCATGAGGCCATCCATGTTCCAGTCTGGTAGTGCCAAGCCAGGTATATGCGCATCCGTATCGAGAGGAAACATTTCGTCAACGACAGAGGTGTCCCAAGTGGTCCCAGCGTCGAGCATGTGTGCGTCCAAAGCAGCCAGCTGTTCTTCAGTGAGCGACCCGCCGGCGAGCATTGCTTCGACGGCTGCGTCCATTTCGAGCTCGATCACGTCTCTGACAGATTCGGTGTACGGCTGCGGTTGTTCCGCCGAGACCGGCACTGTAAGTGGTGCTTCTGCGCTGTCGACACCGCCATTACCCATACTTGGAGACGAAGAGATCGTCGCAAGCGCGTCGGTAGCATCAAGTAGGGTGTTGATATCGAGGTCTTCATTTTGAATAGGTCCAGAAGATACCTCGACGCCGCCCGTATCCTCAGCGGTTCCAAAGTTGGGCTCCTCGCTGTCGTCTTCCGAAAGACGGTACTTGCGCCCCCCGTCGCCAGCGTCACCGACTTCAACCAACGTATCATCCAGCTCGACACGCATTCGGTCCTTCGTCGACCATTCCTGGAGACTCCGAGGCTCCCTGAGATCTTCGCCGACACCCTCTTGCCGGGGACGCTGACACCCTTCCTCGTCGTCTCTCGGCCAAGGATGTTCGCTCGTGGGGTCCACATCTGGACCCCCGGGCTTTTCTTGAGGGTCGCCTCGTGCTGGCTGCTCCATTTCTACATCCACCTCCTCCTGAGATGACTCGGGCAGGCTTCGCGACTCCCCGGGGTTCTCTGCGGCGTGCTGCGAATGTGGATCCGCGCGATCTTCTTGAGCGTCCTCCAGTCGCCTCGACTCATCAACATCAGCAGTTTCTTCATTGTCCTCCACGCCACCGCGAGCCGGCTCCTCCACCATCTTCACGCCCACTTCCTCTCGCGCTGGCTCAACGACCGCGGCCGGACCTCCCGACTCCTCGCTAGCGTCCTCCCACCGTGGACGCTTCCGACTTTCCTCGTCACCGTCGAAGTCGCCCGGCGTCGCGCTCGCACCAGCAGCGTCACTGCTGCCATCCACAGGTAAGTCTGGCTCGTCTTCCGACTCCGGCGTCGGCGGTCTCTGTACTTCGCGTTTCTTGGCTGCCTTGGACTTCGTCCGCTTGCGCGCCGAGCGCGTCCGCTTCGCCGGTGTCTTCGTAGTGGGCGAGGTCTGCGGACTCGCGGTCGCGTCGCCACTGGATGTATGCACAACTCCCAAGACATGGGAACGCTCGGCAGCGCACACCTCGATGGCTTCGCCGGGTTCCGCGGCCTCCTCGCTCACGCGCGACTCCGCACGTCCGAACCTGCGTGACCCGCGCTTGCGCTTCAGAGGTTTGCCGGTCGCCGAGGGAGGCTTGACTAGCTCGTCGTCCACGAGCATGTCGTCCCCTTCCGCCCCAACATTGCAGTCGGCAGCCGACGGAGGTATGCGAATGCCCGAGTTGTTGGCGGCCGGCGCGTTCTCGTCTGCTGGGGGCTCGATCTTGCGCGTGCGACGGGTGCGCGGTGTGGGCTGCGCCTCGGTCATGCTACGCAGGGCGTTGACTGCAGCTTGCCTCATCGGGCGTCCGCGAAGAGAGCAAGCATCCTTGACGGGTTCCAGAATGCCGCTTGATATCCTCCCAGCGGTCGTCGCGGTGGCAGGGACGTCACGAACTTCGTGAGATTGGGCAGGTTCGGCCGCAGAAACGGGAGAAGGTGGCGGCCCCTCACGCTGTTCTACGCGAGTGGTAAATTTGACGGTATCCCGTGGCTCTGGTTTAATGGTCAGGCAATCGAGGAGAGAACACCAATTTGAACACACCTTCCGACTTCACGGCTCTGCTAACCTTCAACCTCTCATACCCAAGCGCGACCTCCGCCTCGTCTTCGATGTGCCAGCATAGCTCCATCGGCTCGGGTCTTGCGGGGGGCGTCTCGGAACCTGACTGTATGCGCCCCTCGGGAGTCTCGGCTCGCGACGGCGCCGAGGAGGGTAGAGGCGAGCTCTGAACGAAGGGCGAAGTCGTAGCGAATGTCGAGAAGTGAGATGTCGTAGGGAGTGAGAGACCGCGAAACTGCTCCCTTCGACCAACGGCGTGCGCCCCAGCGTTGGGTACAACGGTCTCTGTGACCATGTCGGACGTGGGGCCGACTATATGCGCGGGGAGATGTCGCGGGAGAGGGGAACGACCCGGATAAGTGACAACGCCGTTGTCGAGGAAGACGACGTTCTGGCTGGGAGTGGCACGGTGGAAGGGGGCCTTTTTGCGAGATTGCTTCCTGCCTGGCGTTGACGCGCTGGCCATCATCTCGGAGGGTGGATGGGACTTCTGAGAGGGAGTAGCGGCGGGAATCGTCCTGCGTTCAGCGACGTACCCAACGCGCCGAAGAGAGGCACTTGAGGACCAAAGTGGTGGGAGACATGGTCAACATCCGTCGAACGGCCTTGAACTACGCTCCGAATCTGTAATGCGCGACAGACCACGTCGCGATCGCACTGGCAGGGACTCCATCCGTGATCGAGCTATCTTCCTGTCCGCTCACGGTGGCCGTGTGACGAGATTCGGATTCGTCTTTGGACAAATCGGAAACTAACGAACCGCCTCGCCACTTTCGAGGAGAGGAGGAGCGGAGCGTCGAATTCAATATCTGTGTACCACCTGAGGTGTACTAAGTGCTACGGTTGGTGATGCTCAGAGCAGTGCATCGCATCCGAGATGTCTTATGGCAGCTACCACTGCACCTGTCATAAGACATCCCGGCCCGTGCGAGGGTCGACGTCAAGAACGTGGATGGGACTTTAGACAAGCACACACCTCACCAAACGTCATTCCAAGAAGCGGTTCAGTTGATCGAAACGGACGGAAACTCCCGCAGAACGGTGAACAGGGACAGTAGGCTCGGGGATGCCTAATGTGGACTTCACACGTCACGCTACACAAGCGCCCAATACCCTCAGTCGAGAGAAAAAATCATTCCGCGCTAGCAACTCCTGGTTTCGATCCAGGGACTTCGGGGTTACTAATTACATGACAAGCACGTGATTTATGAGCCCCGCACGCTTCCACTGCGTCAAGTTGCTATGCTTAAAGGTGGCTGTAATTCGTTGATCACTAACACAACTCTTCATGCTTTCTGCAGCTGGAACCAACATCTTTGAAGTTGAATATGCACTTAGTAGAAGTTCAATCTTTGAAATGACTACACCTAGTGGCGAAATACTCGTACCCAGTTCAATTGTGTTTTCTCATCTTTCTCTATGATGCGGTGATGCAGATGCCAAGCCCTGCATAGCAGGTGTCGCCGACCTATGGGACCGCCGAGTAAGTACGTGTGCCGTCTCTGAGATTCAAGATAAGGCGAGACATCAGTACCAATGTCGGACTGGACACCTCAAAAGTGAGCGTTCGAGCGCAACAACCGTGTAGTCAACCGGGTCAATAACTCACATCACAGTCCAGAATTGCCAGACTTCGATAAACTGTGGATGAGGGGGTGAGATGCTGTTGCCGTAAGTTGTGTCAGTGATAGGATGGACACACACCGCTCCCACGCGCACAACAGTCCGGCCATATTTGTCGTCAAATGCCTCGTCGCTAAACCACTGATATTGACGACACAGAACATACTGCATCCAGGATTGGATTTGGTACTTTCACAAACCGCAAGCGTCCTTCGTAGCCACTCACGTAAAATGGAGTAGCGCAGTTGATGTCGATGCCTTGTTAGATGTCGTATTCAGTGGAAGAAACGAACCGCACGCACTGTCTCGCAGCATGATGGCAGTGATCCTTGCTTTTGTCTTTCGAGGATATCCGTGTGCGCGTATCAGTGAGCCAGAACGTCTTCGAGGCCGTGAACACCACCACTAGACCGTCTGACAGTAGTGCAGCTGCTCGCGCACCCATCATCACTATCATGCCGTCAGATGCCAGAACCTTCGGACACGAAAGTGAATGCGAGTCCACGTACAACTGCAGGCACGAGCGTGATGTTCAGAGATCAACACATGCATTGGAGAGGCGGGACGAAACATACCTATCTACGGAATAAGCACGGCCGTCGCCCACAAACACGAGTGTACAAACTTGATGATCGAAAAGGCCGTTTAGTACCTGGTCGGAATTCGCGAAGACGTACTGTGCATATCGCTGTCAGCAGTGTCAAGTGGCCCAGACACTGTGGTAGGGATCACAGTGATGCTCGTAGCGTACTCACAACTGTAATGATGGGGTTCACCACGCCAATGAGGAGGACGGTAATGACTATCCAAGGGTTACGGTCGAAGGTGGCGTATATGCGTAGGGATCCGAAAGCTGTGGGTTGACTCTGTCAGTGTAGGACTGTAAATGCGAGAGACGTGAGGCATGGATGGTCCTCACCAGCGGCACTACTCAAAATGATCACCGCAATCGCGACTTCAATGCGCAACAAGACGGTGCAGATGAGGAAGTATGAATGGAAACGTGCAAGCAGATAGTGAGAGACAAAGGTCCTGACCTCTTGGCAAATGGTCGGAACGCAGATCAGCTCGAGGAGCGGCTGAGGAGAATGTGCTCACCGAGTCAGACTGCCAACTTCGCCACGAGATGCGGCTGAGCATCTCAATGACAGTATTCAACAGAGCTGGGTAGCGTATTCCGTAAAAGAGGATCGTCACTGGGGATTGCTTGCTCTTCCATATCAGGTCGACTTCATGACCGAACGTCAGCATCCAGTCATAACAACATAGCGCTGCAAGGCAACGTCGATATGCAAGATGAGTACGGGTCTGTACGGAAGGAGGAACAAACTTGCGCACTTGTCGCTGAGTAGAGGTAGTTTTCCAAGTAGTGATAGAACCGAAGGAAGCTGGGTGGTGACGTTACTGACGAGCAGAAATCGTGAGACTCATCACAGACACGCACTCTTCTATTTCAGTCAGCCTCGCCTCTGCAGATGTCATTGTGAGCGGCCATAAATAGTAGACGTCGACGCATTCCGCAGTCGTCAGAAGAACTTCAAGAAGGGTGCGTGGAGGTCAATGATTGCAAAAACGATTTATCGACATCCTGACGATTGTAATTACGTTGAGTGTGGTTTGTTTGCAGAGGATCTGATGGCCAACATACCGCGTCAATGCTCGCATCTCTAGGGAGCAGGTTAGGTCAGGACGGTGTCTCAGAGAAACGCACGTCGAGATGACACAAACCCCAACACACAGCCTCCTATCGTAGGTTGGTCGCAGAGTCGAGGTCGAGGATGGACGATCGGAAGGAAGAGAGGAAGAGCGGGCTCAATGAGGGCTCTGCGATGCTAGCGTATGACTTACTAGTCACAATTACATTGTCGCCCCGATCCTCCGGGCGACCCGGAGTCAACTTGAGAATCTTGAGACCACGTAGGCTGACGCGAGCGTGCGAGCGCGGGAGAGACTCGACGCTGCCGAGTCGGGCGGGCCCAGTACTTATAGGTACATGGAGCATGAGCAAGAGCTATTCTGGAACAGCGAGAACAATAAAAGCAGCAGAGACAGCGGGGAAGGGTAGACATCCGAAACCGAAACGTGGCGAGTGAGAGACATCCGAGATTGACTCTTATGAGGAAAAGAAAACGGTAATAGCGCATAGAAGCATACTGACCTATAGCTCACTGGAATGGAGTGACTGCGAGTATGTAGACACACACAAGTGAAGGCATGTAGCTGTAACCAAGGTCCATTGAAGGGCCCGCGCCGACCCGACGTGCGCGTGAACGAGCGTCGAACGCGTGACGTCACGCGTTTCGCATAATAAGGAGTGCAGCCGCATACCGAAAATCCGGAGGCATGCGAACGCCATCGGGCTCGAAGCTTGAAGACTCGGGACATAGTCACTTGGACGGAGTAGAGCACAGAATGACTGAGCAGACGAAGATCACTGAGACTTCTCATTAGTTCGTTGATACATATAGTGCGCCGTACGCAGGCTATTCTCGTTAATTAAACTACAACAAGGCCCGACAGGCCCGTCATCTAACGTACACCTACTCGTACAGCGTCTTAATCATTTTGTAGTCAGCCCACGGAGAGAAGCAGGAAAGATCGAGGTGGCTGGTAGCGGAGTGAGCGGGCGCGTCTACTCGCGCATGTTGAGGACGATCCGGCCGACGATGACGCCCTTCTCGAGGCTCTCGTATGTCTCGAGGAGCGAGTCGAGCCCGCGCGTCTCGTAGAAGCACTTGACCTTCCGCGACTCGCGATATCGAGCGCCTCGCGCGCGTCCTGGCGGTTCCTGCAGCGGCCATAAGCATACGCCTGCGATCTCGACAGCGAAGCTGACTCACCCGACGTAGGAGCCGTAGATGCTGATGCTCTTCGTGACGGTGAAGAAGATGTCCGCGGAGAGGGACGCGTGCGCGGGAGGCCGACGACCATGAGGTTCCCGCCGAGGCGGAGGTAGTCGACGGCCTGCGCGTACGCGGAGCTGTTCGCGGCAGTCACGATCGCCGCGTGCGGGCCCTGGCCGTCCGTCGCTGCGCGGATGTCCGCGACGATGTCCTTGCTCTCGCGGAAGTCCACCCACGCCTCCGCGCCGAGCTTCTTCACGAGCTCGCGCTTCTCCGCGCCCGTGTCTGTGGATCCGCTGTGGTTAGGCTTCTGCGGTGTGTGAAGAAGGGGCGGATGACGTACCGACGGCGAGCACGCGGAGCCCATGGCGGTGGCGTACTGGACGGCAAGGTGGCCGAGTCCTCCGCCGGCGCCGGGATCGCGACCCAGTCGCCGATGTGGGTATGGGAGTACTTGAGGGCGCGGTAGACGGTGACGCCGGCGCAGAGGATGGAGGCGGCCTCGTACGAGTCGAGGTTCGCGGGGATGGGGTGACGTGGCTGACCCAGGAGACGACATATTGCTGGAACGTGCCGTCGTCGTGAACCCGCTCAGTTGCTGGTTCGGGCAGCCTGTGTGGCGGTGAGCGCTTGTTCGATGTGTGGGGCATGACGTCACTCACTCTGCTCAAGGCCCTTCCTGCAGAGCTCGCAGTCGAGGCACGAGTACGCGAGCCATTTAATCCCGACGCGGTCTCCGAGCTTCACGGGAGAGCCCTGCGTGTGCTCGCCGATGGCGACGACGGTGCCGACGCCCTGCAGTGCACGTCAGTCGCCGGTAAGCTAAGCCCGGAGAGCACTGACCTCGTGACCCCGATGAGGGGGAGTTTGGCCTTGAGCGGCCAGTCACCCTTGCGGGCGTGCAGGTCGGTATGGCATACACCGGAGCACTCGAGCTGGACGAGACACTCGCCAGGGGCGAGGTCCTTGGGCTGGCGGACGGGGTGGTCGTTGACGATCTTGAGAGGGGCATCAGCGGACTCGACGATCGCCGCCTTCTGGGTCTTCGGGATCTGTACTTGGTAGACATGGAGCCGACGTCGAGTAGTTGCGAGCGGTTGTAGAAGAGAAGCGTGGTTGGTACGAAGCGGCTGTGGGTGATGGAGAAGGGGAGAGAAGACGCGGAAGTATATATACCGGTCAGGCTGGCCGCCTCGGGTCGGCCCGCGAGAGGAGAGGAGGTGTGGATGACGCCCTGAGCCAACGACGAACCGAAGGACACGGAGAGAGTCTGCAGAGTGGCTGTCAGTGATGGGCTCCCTAGGACCGCATCCGGCCGGCCTGGAGTGAGAATGCATGCGGCGCGCGACGACCTGGGCACCCGGCCAGCCCACAAGACCTGCCTCGTAGGCATACGGAGCATCGTCAGTCGAGCGTCGCCTGTTCTTTCGAGCGTTCTGGAGCCTGCCACCGGTGCGCGCTTTGCGTTGTCCTATGAAGGCGTAGAACTGCCTGATGAAGCCCATACGGCCGCTTTTGTACCGCCTGTATCGCACCGGCCATTCTGGACGCGCCATGCCATCCCGCACTGCGTCTGGCTCGCCAGATAGCGCAGCGGTGGCGGCGGACGCAGCGAGAGCAGTCGAGCCGCGGCCCAGCAGTCTGCGCGAAGTCGAGTCGCGTCTGGCCTAACAGAAATTAGGGAACTCACGTGCACCGACACGCGACTCATTGCCCCGCGCGCCTGCTGATCGACCGCAGAGTCTCGTCACTGCGCTCCTCTTCACTAGTCACTCCCTTGGCCACCAGCTTAACCAGAATAGAGTGCTCACAAGGCGTTCGCGTCACTGTCTGGCGAGGTCGAGTCTCCCTGCTTGCTCAGCTGGCCCAGCATCCGGAGTATGTCGGGGCACCCCGGCGACCTTCTAGTGCGCTCAGATCTGCGCGCAGACTGTCCCTGACGTCGTCCTCGGTCCACTTGCTCCATGCAGCGGTAGACATTCCGTTATCCTTCGACTCAGGTACGGTTGATGTGCGCGCGCGATGTGCCCCAGTCTACTTTCGCCGACGCGTTGAGCTGTTAGGTTCAATATCCAAAGCTCGGCGAGGTACTCACCTATCTCGAAGCTTGCATGGATGGCGAAGGCGCCCCCGTAACCCTGGCATCTCCCAAATCAGTCTCATGCTCTCGAAGGAACTGTAGGTCAAGGTTACCAGTAATGGTCATTGCGTGAGGCATTTTCAAACGATATGTGCCTCACCGGCGAGATCCCCATCGACACGCCCCGTTCCTTCCCACACTTAGATTCCGTTGCGCACACTTACTTATCTCAATTCGCAATTCGACACGGCTTCCCTCCCATCAACTGAGTCGATGCCCTCGCAGCTCCTCCGCGCCACAGCATCGGTTCGTCCCTCCCTCGCGCTTCGACTCGGACGGAGGGACACGGGGGAGCCTGCTGACGGGGTCCTGGAGCGGTGGCGGGCGGGGAGGGGATTGCATACTCCAGCAGTGCACCCGAGTGCACCCGGCGTGCAACAGGGCACAATGGGAGGCGGAGGGCCGTACAGATGAGAAGGTCGACTTTCCCGAGTTTCAGCGGTTCTGCCTGAAGTGCGATCCTGATTCTGCTCCACGAGTGAATGAGAGTCATATGCGCGGGAGTGGGTTCATGATGATATTGACAATGTAAGTTGACGGAGGCGAGTGATTTCATAGGTCGCCTGAGGTGGTGAGGCAGCTTTAATTAGGGTATGACATCCACTACTTACGTAGATCTTCATCCATAATTAGAGCACCACATCCGCCGACATATGCGGAAAACCAACCACCTGTCAGACCCTATATCCCATCTTGACAACGTTCACGCTATTTCACGAAGGGCGCACGCGCAACCCGCTGCGGCGTCGCTTCTACTCGAAGATGTCCGTGGCGTACCTGCCCTTGATGGCATGCTGGAACATCTCGTCGGCCATCGTGTCGTCGATCCCCTTTGCCTCCTTGATGATCTTAGTGAGGACCTCTTTGATGCCCTGAGCGACCTTGCGAGAGCCGCAGGTGTACAACTGTCGAAACGGTTGGTCAGTTTGGCGATGGCAGTTCACTCCAGAGAAATGACCTTGGCCTGGGCATTATAGGCCTCCCGGACTTCCTCGCGGTCGAGCCACGCACGACTGAAACCCACATCAGTCCTGTCAACGTTCACCCACAAAGCCCAGGACCAGGAACTCACTCTTGCACGTACTTGCACCCCTTCGACTGCTCCACTGCCCTCGAAAATGCCGGTTTCACGTCCAGAATCCCCAGCTCCTGCCACTCCTTCAGGTCCGTCTCCCCATACAACAAGTCCTCCCCGGGCCTCCTACACCCAAAGAACAACAGGCTCTTTGCTACCTCCCGCCCTGCCTTCTTCTGCATCGCACGCTCCTGCAGGAACCCGCGCATGGGCGCGAGCCCCGAGCCCGCTGCGAAGAGCAACATTGGCACGGCGGGGTCCGCAGGCGGGTGAAACGCCGCACTGCTCGCGCGCACCGCGAGCTGCACGCGGTCGCCCGGTCGCAGCCCCGCGAGGAACGTCGACGCGACACCGAGGAACGCGTCTTTCCGCCCTGCGCGCGAGGGCGCGTCCACGACGCTCACGGTGAGTGTCACGTGTGACGGGTTCCAGAGCGGTGAAGACGAGATGGAGTATTGCCGGATGCGCATGGCGGGAAGAAGTTGAAGGTAGGTCGGGAAGGGAAGCTTGATCGAGGGGTGGTCTTCGAGGATGTCGAGCACGCTGAGGCGCGCGTTCAGAACTTGTTCTGTGTACGAGGCGGAGAGCGCTTGGAGCGCTTCGGTGGGAGCGTTCTCCGCTGCTTGGAGGATGCGGATGTCCCGCGTTGTGGCAGGCTGCGAGAGTTCAACATACCCAGACAATAGAGTTTGAATGGTGACGGGCCGATCAACCGGGAGCGGCGTGGGTCCACTGGATGACAGGACGATCTACGCAGACGTGAGACAGACCAAAATGGCAGACACGAAGATCGAACCTCTTGCTCTGGCGACAATCCGAACCGAGCGACCACCCTGTGCACGTCTCTCTGTGGGTTCGAAGGGAGACTGGCAAGCATACATGAGCACTGTTGGAAGCTGATACCGGAGTGGGCTCACATGGCGAGATAGTCACCCGCTCTGTACGACGTGCCCTCGGGCAACTGGAACTCTATAGATTTCGTCAGGCACGAAAGGAATCATGCACGCGAACCGTCGTACCGATATGCCTCTTCGCCGGAGCCTCCGGGGGAGTGAGCAGCGTATTTTCCACAACCGTGCCAAGCGCAGCATCCGGCTGGCGCAGCACCGACGCGCGGTATGTACCCTCACCCACCGTCTTCACCTCCAGCCCACCCACCAAGCCTGCCTTCGCATCGCCCATCGCGGCCGTGCCATACTCCTACATTCCCATCAGGGCAATCAGCATACAGCCCACATCACATGTCGCCAACCCACCTTTGACAGCGCCTCCCACAAGCCCGCCTCCCACTCATCAAATGTCTCGAAGAAGTCGCCCGCGCTGGCATCACCCACCCCACGCGCGATCACCCTCTGTGCGCCACGTTCCTCGAGCCGAGCGTCGATCAGCATGGGGATACGCTGGAATGTCTGCACCCAGTCACGGTTCCCGCACCCGAAGACGGCGAAGCGCACGTTGGCGAGTTCCGAGCCCTTCAGGTTGGAGAGCCAGTCGACGAAGTGCGCAGCGTTGTCGGCAGGCTCGCCTGACCATGCTTGAGTGTTAGACGGACCAGGGCGTGGGGAAGAGTCTGGGGTAACGCACCTTCAAAAGACGCGGTGATGATCACTACGGGGCCGTCCGTCGGGAGCTTGGCCACAAATGCGTCGAGGGTGCCCATGCTCGCGTGGAAGCCTGTCCAGCCCACGCCTATCAGAACACACGCATACATCTACATCTAGCCACCAAACACTTACCTCTCGCCGCAGCATCGTTTACGACCCGCTGCGCAAAGGTCTCGCTCGTCCCCGTATTCGAGCCATACAGCACATACATCGGTTGCCTCGCCTCCGCCCCGCGCTCACACTTCCATTCGCAACCCCATTCACCGTCGTCTGTCCCGGACCCGCACCCTTCGTACCCACATGTCCTCGAAGGAACGCTGCTGTTGGGCGAGCGACGGGGCGGCCCTTGTCCTTGCGGGGCGCGACGCGGATGCGGAAGTCGCGTGGCTTGATGGTGAGCGTCTGCTTAAGGACGAGCTCGTACGAGGGGTCGTCCATCATCACGTCGAACCGCTGGAAGATGAGCGCGGCGATGAGCTGCATTTCTTGCAGGGCGAAGGCGCGGCCCTAGGAGTGGGGTGATAATCAGGTTAGTGAAGGGATGGGGGAGAAGGAGGGAGGGAACGTACGATGCACGCGCGCATGCCGAATCCGAAGGGCTGCCAGGCGTTTGGCTAGCACAACAGAAGGAGGGTCAGTACATAATACTATCCATGAAGCATAGATCACTCACAGGCAGCGCCTCGAACTTTCCATCCAACATCCGCTCTGGGTTATACACCTCCGCCTGCGCACAAAACTCGTCAACATGAATTGCGGGGAGAATAATGCGACTCACGTCCTCGCCCCAGACCTTGGGGTCCCTCAGGGCTTGCGCGGTCAAGATGGCGACGGTCTGTCCCTTCTTCACGGCGTACTTGCCCCCGCCGATCGTCGTGTCCTCCCACACCTCGACGCTGCGCATCGGCGCCGCGGGGCCCATGCGGAGGGCCTCCCTCAAGCACGCTGGATCCATCGACACCACACCAAGTCAGTGACATCTCTGGTTCCCCGAGTGTAAACGAGAGAAGGGCCAGACGCACCAGTTAGGTACGGCAGCTTTGTCAGGTCCCCAATCTGCGGCGGCTCGTCGCCTAGGACTTCGTCGATCTCTTCACGCAGCTTACGCATGACCTCGGGCTTTTTGAGAATGAAGTACATCAGGAAGGAGAGCGTTGCTGGCGGCGCATGTCCTGCGCGTCAATGCTGTGTCATGGATAACTGGGATGCGGGAGACTTACATGAAGTAGTCTCATGCCCTGGAGAGCGGGGTCAGTCTTACATGCCGGAGCAAGGAGAGAGAGGCGTACCGGCGATGAGAAAGGTCAATAGCTGGTGTCAGGATGAGTTATGACGCGCATATACCCGTGGAGGGATTCAGACGACACACGTTATTCTTAATGTTTTCATCCGGCAGAGACTTGCCTGTCTTCGGGTCTTTTCCCAACAACATTCGGTTCAGCAAGTCATTCTTGTCCGTCGGGTTGGCCCTCCTGTCCGCGATGACTGCACCCAACACAGATCAGTACCTCCAACTCGAGCACAGGCCCAACCCGGCACGACACGAAACAGAATGAGACACGCACTGTCGTGGGCGAGGTCTGCCATGACCTTGATGTCCTGCTCGTACTTTGCATTATAGCCCATCATGTTCGTCACCAGCGACGGCCGGAAGGCGCGTTGGCCGGACTCGATCAGGAAATCGACCATCGACTCGACGAACGGCGGGTTCGATTCCTGGATGGCGGCGTACAGGCAATGAGCGTCGAATCTAGACTCAGTTGAGTAGCCAAGCACTAACCCTGTAGAATGAGTTTAATCTAAAGGACTGTTAGCGAGGATTGTCCATCGAAGACCGGTTCGTTCAGCTTGGCTTACCTATAAGACATCGAGCACAACGCGATGGTATCGAAGGTCAGTCGGGTGAAGTCCTCGGCAGGGTTGAGTGCTACGCTCGGACCGAACCTACAAGCATTGGGTGAGTATCCCCGAGACTCTGTGGAGTCACTAGATGCGGAAACTGACCGTTCCCACTTCAGGATAAGCTGCATAGCGATATCGTACATGTCGTCGAACATCCCTCGGATGGCTCCCGTGCCAAATGCAGGCATGAGGAGGCGATCTGAGGACACGTCTGTTGTCAGGACCCGCATTTACTTCACTTTAGGCTGAGCTTACGAGCCAACTCCCAGTTCTCTTCACCCGGCTGAGCCTGCAGCGAGAGCGCAGTCGCTGAAGAGTTAGAGCACGACACAGTAGATCGCGAAGGGCAACTCACGGTGAACAGGCCATCCCCGACGCCATTCCTCACTTGCGTGAGAGCACCACCCTGAGGGTTCTTGACAAACCGCTTGTCGTCGCAGACATCATTCATGAGTTCGTACGTGCTGACCACGAGAAGAGACCTGGCTGTATGCGTCCGGATCCAGTCGTCATCGCATATTCTCTACGTGGCAGACACTCACAGAACTGCAGGAGCTCATATATCTCGCCATACTGCTTCGAGAGAAGAATGAAGGACCGTAATGGCACCTCTTTGTCGATCTGAGTGACATGGCCGAGGAAGGGCAAGGACGGCGGACAAGGGATCGGCGTGGTCATCCTCGATGTCCTGGCTGTCCAAGAAGTGCTGCTCTGTCAGTGACAGTGTAGAGATTGCAATGCATCGGCGCCGCTGTTTACTGAGGATTTAAGTCATTGATCCGGCTGTCGTATGGCCGCATCTACAGCTTTGCCGTGTGCGCAGGCACGCCTGTGATATTGCACGTACGACCCGGAGCGGGCTACTGCGATGAGTGGTGTACATGTGTCATTAGGGACATGGCCACGGATTGCCGGTGGGGGCATGGCCACGACGTCGACTGCCGGCGGGGACTTGGCGAGGACGACGTCGACAATGCGGCGTCAATGTCAAGGATCAGATGCAACAACCTGTCCCGGCGGCTCACGGGCGGCATGCTGCGGGTCCGGACTTAACGGTGATGGCCCAATACTTGTTGGTGAGCACGCTGCAGCTGATGAAAGCTGTGTGCGCAGAACGCCAGCGCGGAGAAGGACCGCAGAAGGGGCGTAAGGATAGAAGTACTTACTGTAGTCTTTTCAACTCCTACTCTTATCTCTGCTTGGCGGGACACCGATATGGGAGGAACTGCGTACGGTTCGCGCGTGCGTGCGGAGAGCATTCAGGACCCAAGCAGTGCAGAGGATGAGTCGTGCTTTTGAGAAAGGAATAGCAAGATTTGGCAGAGGGAGAGATTAGTGCCTGAACTTTGAAGATAAGGGTAATGATATATAGCGGATTTCGATGATACCTACCTCATGCGATCTTGACACTTCTATGGACAAAAGTACCAACGTTGCTCGAGTCTCCCGAGGGGTCCGATGGAGGCGTCAACATGCAGTCGGAACTCTGTCTTGCGCAAACGCGTCGCGTAGCGCGTTATTTGCCTCTATTATGACGTGCACATGACTCGGAAAACCGCCCACTGATTCAGTGACTGCCACTGTGCCAGATCGTCTCAAGTCTCAGACAAGAATACATCGAGCGAGCGCACGGAGGCTGGAAGGAATTGTCCACTCTGCCCAGGGAGGCTACCCAACATGTGACAAGACTCCAATATTTGTGTCGCGTACCTATCGTGAATCTGAACGACTGGCAAGTTTGTTCACGTACGCGGTACTTATCGGGGACGCCAGCGAGGGGCCCTCTACTATCGTTGTACATCTACATAGACTGCTCATCCGAAAGCATACCGGAAAAATGGTACACCGGCCAAGATCAACATACACACGGCACTGCGAAATATCCAGTCCTCAAAGTGAGTCCATCATAACCAATACTAACCGTGCGTCGAATTCCAAGCATGGTGACGTCAACACCGTGACTGAGCGCCATCGTGTCCGAGTTCCTCTGATGTTATACATGCATCGCCGCGCTGTCGTCTTCATCCTCCACCGGCAGCTCGAGTTCATGACCCATGAACTCTTCACTTGTACCGGGAGGTTGCTTGAACAGCATCGTTGTTAACGCGCGCGAGAAGTACGTCCCGCCCTCGTAGTCCTCCGAGCTTGCCTGGTGAAGGTCGAGGATGAGACGGCTGAGCAGGATTGATGTCATCCTGAGGTGCCCGAGCTTAGCGAGGCTTCTGGTCAATACCAATGCAATATAAGCACGTACACTGCGCTCCATGTTGACGCGGCCTCGAGAAACTGATGAGAGTGGTCAAGGAGTTCATCAGCGGATCCCAACACGCTGACTCGCCGGACCGAACTCACTCTCCGAAAAGCGATTCCCGCCGCGTTGATCACAGTTAGGAACCTACCGTGCTCCGCTTAATGGCACGGAAATGGCCAAGTCTCGCATGGTATGACTCACCCGAAATAGGTCGCAGCTGCGCGGTAGGGTGTCCACGAGTAAATTCAGCGCGAGCCCGGATTGGAGAAGGGGGCACGCACTATCACTCATGAGGACAACTGACATGTTCCCCATGCCTGACATACTGCGGCGATTCATCCCGGAGCCATCCGTCCGACGGCTCGCACCTACCATATGCTTGATTCTGAGCCAGGTAAGGAGTAACGCGATAGCATCGAAGACGACAGCGGATGCCCGTCCAGCCATCATCCCTATACGGCATCCCAATTCACGGTCAACTCATCTTGACCTGGCCCGCTTAATTACATCGGTACTCACAGCTGCAGATGACGGAGGTGGCAGCAACATCAGGTTTGAGTCAAACGCTGAAGGTGAGGTGTCGACTCGCGCACCTATATCCGAAGACTTGGGTGTTGATGTTGCACGTTTGAAATTGCGGCGTGATGTGCGCGAGGTAGGGTGTGGAGAGGACGAACGTGTACTACCAAGTCACAGGTGTAGGTGAGTTGTCGCGGTCGACATTCATTCATGATGTCACTCGAGGTGACGTACCGTAGAGATCACCGGATTGAGCAGACCCAGGACGAGCATGAATCCCAGGCGCCATTTACTATTTCCCGAAAGCGCATATATGCGCAGGGCCGTGAAGACTGATGGTTTTGGTCAGACCAGGCGCGCTTGTCAAGACGGGAATACTTGCTCGCGGCGCACGTCAAAATCAGGACGTCCCCTACCATCTGAAGGCGCGCCATGATTGTGCAACTATTGTGTAATCGCTCAGCTTTCAACTCAGCAGCCCTAGATCTGGAAATGACATCTCACCTCTAAGGAATCGGATGAGATTGAGATTCGAGGCAAAGATCGGGCAGAACAGGTATCTGCAACCGCGGAAGATGCACTCACCAGCTGACTCTGCCAGCTTCCTTGAAACAAATAGCCAAAGACGACCGCGATGGTATTGAAGGGCGCGGAGTAGCGCAGCGCGAAGAAGAGGACAGAGCCGACGGAGGGCTTGAGCTTCCACATAAAGCGCACGTCGCGCGTGAAGGTCAGGAGGAAGTCATAGCAGCACAACACTTCAATAGGCCCGTGTCAGCACGACGCGTAGGGAAAGGAAGGTGAGCGACGGGATTTTGACCTTGAGCAGATACGGTCAAGCAGTTCTCGAGAAAGCTGAGGCAGCACTAGTCAGTATAGGGCCCGTCGGTGGATGCATATGGCGCTCCACGCACTGTTGTGACATGGCTTCCACAACCTCGTTCGACATGGTCAAGAATCGCGGTCTAACACAACCGAGCAGCACAGGGGGCGGCGAAGTCAATCTGTTCCCGCGTAATATAAGCCCGTGTGTCTTCAAATTCGCTGCAGCTGTCCCAGTGGCCATCAGCGCCGCAGAGGGACCGTACTGCTGGTGGCCGAGGACACCTTGATCAGAAAATCTGACTATCAGTAGTCGCCACTGCCACTGCCACACACGGTACCACACATCTCAAATGGATGTGGGGCTCACCACGAGGTTAGGGACCACCCATGCTTTCGTCCAGTCTCAATGGCGTGACTCGGCTTCTGCCCGCCACCTTCCTGACCACCGTCTCAAGAAGAGGTGTTCGTTCCTGGTCACGAGCTCCGTATGTCGCATTTGAAACGACTCGAACGCAATTCCTGAGTGCGATTACCATCTATGAGACTAGCCAGGCATCCAGCATCGTCGCCCAGCGAGTATTCAAGCTGTACGGAACGACCAAGGAACGCCGCAGATTCGCCTGAGTGCACAGCCTCTGTCGAAGTGCTTCCGCGATGTTCAAAGCTGTCCGGGAATGACACCGGTGCGGAGTCTCCCCGAAGGTATTGGAGTGAAATAGCAAGCAGATTGACAGGTTGAGGCGATGACAGACGTTACCTTCGCGTCGCAATCAGACAGTAGCATGAGATGGTGCCGCCATCCGCGGGACATGAGCATATTGACGTCGAGACAGGACGCAGATCCACGAGTCAAGGATCATGGATCCGGATGGTTTCCCGAAAAATAGTGACAATTTCCATGACAGTCACTACTGGCAGCATCCAACTGTCCAACGTCGCAGATCATACACAACTGAAGAGCGTCAACGATCTTAGGACCTATCGGTCACATGGTATAGAGTGCTGAATGGACGCACGACTGGCAGTACCCTCTAAGGCGGATCCACCACCTAATCTTCTAAGTCACGCCGAAGATGTTCGGTGTCACTGCCTTCAGACTCGGGCAAAAGAACCTGTCCCGCAGATTCAACATCTGACTCCGAGCTAGAATGCCCGTCGAAAGTAATTGTCGACAACACGCGCGAGATGAATGTGCCGTCGCTGTGGGAGTCATTCGTCTGGTGTAGGTCGAGCATTAGGCGGCCGAGCAAGATTGATGTCATTCTGTGAAGAGGCACACAAGTGCGTGAGGGATGACTTCTGTGGCGCGTGAGAAGGCGTACACTGCGTTCCAAGTGGACGCGGCATTGATGAACTAGTGAGCGGGGACGAGCGTTCAGTGAGTGGACCTCGTACGGGAACATAGAATAAATGTGAGGGCTTGCCTTTGGAAAAGCAATGCCCGATGCGTTGATCACAGATAGAAACCTATCAGTCCATCGTTTAGCGAGAGTAAATGACCTGATCTCGGGATGTGGTTACCCGAAATACACGACAGCTTGATTATGCAGAAATGAGTTCTCCGTGCAACTTGGATCAAAGGTACATACTCACTGTCTTTCATGAGCACAAGTGGCATACTCTTTGAGCCCACTAAACGGTGCGTCGCCCCTGAGCCATCTGTTTGAGTATTCGCGCTTACCACGTGCCTGATACTCAACCAGGTGAAGACTAGCGCGACGGCGTCGAAGATCACTGCGGACGCCCGTGCACACATCATCCCTGTTCAAGCGGTCACCAACAATACGTGAGTGACACATTGGTGAAGTCGAAAGAGTATACACATCTGTAGGTAAAGGCATGTCGTCAGCAGTTGCTCTGAACTGTTTGCGAAGTCTGTACTACACGTACATGTTACCCGGGGACGACATATCGATGTCGCACGTCTGGTAGTGCAGCGCGAGGTGCGCAAGGTAGGGCTTGTACAAGATGAACGTGTACTGCCGATGTCATGAAATGAATGCACATATGTCAACTTGACAACGCGGATGATTGCAAACCGTGTGTATGTGACGCACCGTGGATATCGCCGGATTAATCAAGCCAAGGATGAGCGTGAGTACCATGCGCCATTTACTTCGCCAAGAGACAGCAAAGATACGTGTTGCGGTGAAGACTAAGCAAGATTAAAAATTCAAGTTGACATCGACAACTTGGGGGAGGGCAAGTACTTACCTGCGGAACTTATCAAGATCAAGATGTCGCCAACTACCTCAAGGCGTATCATGACCGTACAGCTTTGATCATCTGACGTTGAGCTCTTCAACTCGCACACGGAAGCACGGTCCCTCACCTCTGTACAATGATGGAGACACGAGTACATTGCCAAGCTAGTCAGCATGCCATCGCAAGCAAAGGTGGTACATTCGTGGACAAGAACATAGCATCAGTTGCGGACTCACCAGATCATTCTGCCAGTTGCCCCAGGAGAGGTAACTGAGAACGATGGCGACCGTGTTCAATAGCATGGGGTACCGCAGTGTGAAGAAAATAATCGAGCCCACAGAGAGCTGGACCTTCCACATGAACCGCGCCTCGCGCGTGAGATTCAGGAAGAAGTCATAGCAGCAGAGCGCTATGTGAGTCGACAAGAGTAGTGGCAGTGCGCGTGTCAGTTATACTGAGCAAAGAGACGGAACTGCTGGTATATACCTTGAGCGGAGACAATCAAGCAATTCCCGAGGAAACTGAAGGCAGGTTTAGTTATACATATGTGATTGTCAATTGGTAAGATGAAGGGAACCCTCACTCTTGTGAGACGGCAGCGGTTACTGCTATGTCGTTTGGCATCGTCGAGTAGGCTCGACGCCGGCGAGGAGCAAATTTGCGGACAGCGGCATGCAGGCACGAGCTTCAAGTACTTGTTGGCAGTTTGACACTGCCAGGGGGCAGATGCACAGCGGCTGCCAAGATACGTCGATGCATTGACTGGCGACAGTCATGATATCATTCTGAGAACATCTGTTTGAGACAGGGCTCATCAGTTCATGATGACTGGGCTGTATATATTAACTTGCTTACTAGTCTAAGACACGTCTACCAGTGTTTGCACTGTGCCATGTAGATACCGGTGAGCACCTATTAGGGATGTTGCTGTTGATTAGATCAACGATTTCAATTCTCGAGCCATGTCCCGCGATTCGACTACGGGTCATGATATTGAACACGGCGAGCATACCTAACAAAGCCGTGAGCAATGGGCAAAGCTACTCTAGTGGGTCTGTCAAGCGATTCTCAACACCTCATCCACATGCTCGCTCTCCTCAGGCTCTGAACCAAGTGAGTCTCCATGGCCCGCGGGCCCTTCCATTCCAGCAGAAGGTAGTCTGAAAACCATTGACGCAAACGCGCGCGAGACATATGTCCCACCGTCGCGGCCCTCCGAGTTTGCTTGATGGAGGTCAAGCATGAGGCGGTTGAGCAGGAGTGATGTCATGCTGAGGAGAAATATAATCGGTGAGGGGAGTCATCGACAATGCAGCGGTTTCTGAAAAGGCCTACGTACACAACGGTCCAGGTGGACACGGCGTTGAGGTCCTAATGAGTCGAGTCGAGAGATGGTTAGTATTGGAACACAGTATAACGGGAATTCGAAGACTTACTTTCCGAAAAGCGATGCCGACGAGGTTGATGACAGTTAGAAACCTGTTGTCTCGTGGCTTAGCGGACATGCCCGCACACTTCACAGAACGTGAGTTACCCGAAATAGACTGCCGCTATATTACCGTACACGAGTGTAGTGTCAGCTCTCGGTCAAAAAGCAAGCGTACGACACGTACTATCCGCCATGAGAACGATTGACATGTTCCCTATCCCCGACACGACACGGGGAGGCGCGTTTGATCCGTCAGTCCGATTTCTTATGCTCACCCCATGCTTAATACTCAGCCAGGTGAGGACCAGTGCAACGGCGTCGAAGATAACCGCAGACCCTCGCCCCACCATCATCCCTGTGTAGAATGGGTCACCGTTAGCCTGAGTCGACAGACATTGTTATTACCCACAGCTGCAGGTGATCAAGGTTGCAACGACATCAGTTGCGTGCATAATTCTGAACGTGTCGGAGATTTTGAGACACGCACATGTCTTCCCTGAGCTGCGCATCGGAGGAGCACGTTTGATGCCCTGGCGCAAGGTGCGCGAGAAAAGGCGTGGATAGAACGAATGTGTACTGCCAGTACATCGGTTCACGAAGTCAGGTAAGCTCCTTCTGGTGGATCCATGGTACTTGGATGCGACGCACTGCAGACAATACTGGATTTATTAGACCTAGTATGAGTGTGACACCAAGGTGCCACTTATTCTTCCTTGAAAGAGCATAGATGCGCAAGGCTGAGAAAACTAAAGGAGGCGAGGTCAAGGCCCTGCGCGTTTGGAGAGACAAAAAGCACTTACTCACGCCGCTCGTTAAAATCAGTACGTCGCCTGTCATCTGGAGGCGTCCCAAAAGTGTACAACTACCGCAGCGCCGACATATCGCTCAGCTCAACTTCGTGTACACGACATACTGACTCACCACTGTTATGACCGGCTGGTCAGTACTGGTTCTTGGGCAGCTACACTGATAATCATGAAGGGCGTACTCACCAACTCATCTTGCCAGACGCCGGAGAAGAGATAGCCGAAGACGACCGCGATAGTGTTGCACTGTGCGGTGTAGCGCAAAGTGAAGAACAGGACGGAGCCAACGGAAGGCTTGAGTTTCCACATGAATTGCACCTCATGCGTGAAGGTCAGGCAGAAGTCGTAGATGCAGAGCGCTGTGCGGCGAGCGGTAAATTTAGGTTAGAAACCCGATGAAGCGTTGATGTGGAGGATGAAGGACGTGGCCCAAGTCGCTGTACTGACCCTGAGCGGAAACTGTGAAGCAGTTCTCCAGAAATCTAAGGCAGAGATAGGGTTTGTGGCAGAGGTAAGCATCAACACAATTGGCAGCCAGGGAGAACACGTACTCTTGTGAGACAGCCGCCGCGACTTGGTTCGACGACATGATGATGAATCCAGGTAGGGATCAATGTTCACACCAGAGGTACTACCACGCAGAAAGAGCTCAAGTGTTCGGAAGCCTGGGGTGAGGTAGAGACTATATGCAGCATACACGTCTTTATGTCTTCGTCGGCATTGGCGATCAAAAACAACAACAGCGCTTTACGATTAGGCATGGTCAGTGTAATGCATGCTACGCCACGCCCTCTCAGGGCGTGAAGCACGGCGCTTGATGAGACAACATACTCCCCGCTCGCTCAGTCCCGTCAGTACATACTCAGTTTTTTTTCGAGCCACCTTCCAAGTGACTGAACCGTGGACTTTCGATGCCTTGGCGCCGCACTGAGGTTATTGACTCTTGACAAGGTCATGCAGGCGATGCGTAGACGCCGTAAAAGCATACTGACCTCGAGCCGTCGATATGATGGCGCTCGGAGCACATAGAGCGCTGTACAGCATCCGAGCCATTCCTTGAATCTTCGACACTGAGGATTGCACCCGGAAGCTCCGGTGTTGAACGGGAGGCTGCCCGACCAATGGCAGGTCGATATTCGAGACAGATATCGTATTTGCAAAGGAGCAGTTCTGTCACTGTCGGAAACCGATGTCTTGCCACGGACACTGAAGACGAACAGCTTCTGTCCTTGAAACTTGAAAGTCGTATCCGGGCGCTGGTTGGGGCTCAACTGTCCACAAGCAGCAATGGTAGCCGCATGGGTACATAGCCGGACATAGCCTTGCGTGCCTTGAGGATACCAACGAAGCGCCGTACGAAGCTCTGATTGAAGCGCTGGAAAGCCGCGCGGTCACAGATCTAGTTTCGGTAAGCGGGAACGACAAGAAAAGACATGCTGCACGTTGACTTTCCTCAGTGCTCCTATTTGCGGTCCGTACTATGAACAAACTCAGTCCTTTTCAGCCGAGAAAACGCGGAGCCTCAGACCTTCTACCATCCCAGCGATAGCCTGAGTCCGTTCAAGGGGTCCTGAACACCTCATTCACACCGTCACTCTCCTCCGACCCGAACGAGTCTTCCTGGCTTGTGGGTCCTTCCTGCTCACATTGAGTACCATCGAACACCATCGTCGTCAGCGCCCTTGAGATGTACGTCCCGCCGTCACTGTCCTTCGAGTTTGCCTGCCGGAGGTCGAGCATGAGCCGGCTAAGCAGGATTGAGGTCATTCTGCAGGGGCAGCAACTCAGTTGATACTGAAGTACAAGTCAGTGGAAAGGGTGGACATACACTGCACTCCAGGTCGATACGGCATCGAGAAACTGACGAGCGAGGTGGTATTATCCCTTCCGCGTGTGTAAGAAACCAGGCTGCAGAAGGGACTTGCCTTGGGATGACTCAAGCCAATCGCGATGCCCAGCGCGTTGATCGCGAAGAGGAAGCTACGGTCTCCGTCAATGACAACTTGTTCCGACTATCAGCCCTCTCACTACTCACCCAAAATACACCGCAGCTACCAGCGAAACAGGGACAAGACCAAAGTAATCAGCAGTCGTACTAACCACGGATTGGCCTTGAACACGTACTGTCTTTCATGAGAACGACTGTCATAGTGCCAAGCCCCATCGCAGAGCGATCATCCGACTCGGAGTCAGCCGCATTTCGGCCTGCCCTCATGACACGCTTGATGCTCAGCCAGGTGAGGAGCAGAGCGACGGCGTCGAATATCACTGCGGACGCCCGCGCGCACATCATCCCTGGGAATTGCGGTCTGTCGTCAGCATGCGGAGGGACGAGGAAACGAACTTGTCCTCACAGCTGCAGGTTCAGGGAGCGCATGTCAGTGCCGAGTCGCCGAAGGGGGATGTTGGATATCGCTCACATGTCTCCTAGGAACTGCGTGTCGATGTCGCACGTCTGGTAATGCGGCGTGAGGCGCGCGAGGTAGGGCGCAGAGAGGACAAACGTGTACTACAAACCAAACGAAGGTCAGTCAGTACACGTACGTCCAATGGAACGCATCATAGTGATACCTACCGTGGACATGACCGGGTTGATAAGACCCAAGACGAGCGAGAACCCGAGACGCCACCTACTCCGCGCCGAGAGCGCATATATGCGCACAGCAGTGAAGACTAGGTAAGATTATTAATCAGCTGGCGCAGATACTGTAGTCGTGCGTCGGAGGCGCGAGGAAGGACAGATGCTTACTAGCTGAGCTCGTCAAGACCAAGACGTCACCCGCCATCTCGAGGCGCGTCATGATAGTGCAACTATGTGTTACTCAGGATTCCATTCGATCCACCCAAATGCTCTCTCACCTCTATAGATGGATAGAAAAAATCGTTGAGTCAGTGTTCGCATCTTGGAGATGAACAGCACATACCAACTGGCTTTGCCAGCCTCCCCAAGACAAATAGCCGAGGACAACCAAGACGGTGTTACACAGCGCGGGGTAGCGCAGGGTGAAGAAGAGAATAGAGGCCATCGAGGGCTTGAGCTTCCACATGAACTGCACTTCACGTGTGAAGGTCAGGAAGAAGTCGTAGCAACAAAGTGCTGTTCCAACGATAGTGCGCAGAGTTCAGTGGGATGTGGACGAGGAGTATGTGTAATGCATTGGCCTACCTTGAGCGGAGACGGTGAAGCAGTTCTCGAGGAACCTGATGCACAGACAAGACGTAAGAACGGAATCGGCTGAACACGGAATCACGTACTCTTGCGAGATGGCCGCCGCTACCTGGTTAGACATAGTCAAGAGCTTCGGATGTGCTCGACACCCAGATACACGACTGGGAGACGGACAAACTGGACGTACTTCGCGAGTCATATAGCCCCTTAGAGCTTCGCTGCACCTGTCCAACAATTGCCCACGCCGCGTGGAGACCGCATGCCTTCCTACGTATCTCAGCGAACGAAGTACCACACTTCAACGGGTGTGGATCTGAGTGCGAGGCTAGGAACCACTCAGGCTCTCGCCCTGTTCGGGTCACGGTGGCGGTACTTCCCAGCTTCTTCCCGCCACCTTCCTGATCGCCATACCTAAAAAGAGGCATATGTTTCTGTTCGTTGTGGCCTCCATTACCAGTATGCCGCCGGGATCTCACCGGTGTCATGGTTCTGTGGCCAAAGAGCCTAGCAATGGTAAGAGGCGACCGACATGTTCAGAGTTCTAGGCACGACGTACAATTGTTCCCGGATCAGCACAGCATCGTGAATGCTTCTGCGATGCATGCCGTTCGCAGAAGTGACGCCGGCGCGGTTTGTCATCAGTGGCCTCCGATGTAGATTGAAAGTTCGTCGGCGGCACAACAGACTACTGCCTGATGACCGTGTGCGGATATCGTACTTACATATACTTTGCCTCGGTTGACAGAGCAAACAATGTGTTGTATTGCTTCAGGGAATTGTACTTCTGGGTGGGCATGACACCTGCTCATGGACGAATCAAGTAGTCGTTACTGCGCCGCTGCTGTACTTACTACCGTTATCCGACATGTCCAACAGATGCCAATCCCACAGATCTCCAGCCTCTGGCATTTGGTAGCCCACATCTTCAGTGAACCGACAAGCCTTGACAAGACCAACGTTCTTTCCCGGAGCTCGGGTAATACCTGATTGACCACCGACCCCGTGAAGGCGTCAACGTCATCAGCACTTCTACACTCCCATTTAAGGCTGAGGGATGCCAAGCGCGAGCCCTTTTCGAGGCGCTGCTGGAGCGCTGAACGAAGAACAGCTAGCAGCCGACTGTGGTCGGATACCTCACCTGGCTGATACCGCAGGACGAGCTCTCGCAGACCAGGGCAGGGGACGTCTCCGCTGAATGTCGGCTCGAGCGCCGCAGGAAAGTCGGGCATGGCGTCTTCTTCCGCGATGATCTCGAGGTGCTCGATAGCAGGGAACGCCGCTAGCATCCTAGCCCAGACCTCCGTGTCGATCTCTTGTGTTCCTCCGCGGAGGACGAACGTCTTCACAGATGCCGGGAAGAAATCGCTCAGCTCTTTGATGACCCATAGAAGGGCGCGTCGACGCCGCCTTGGTCTTGGGGCCAAAGCGCGACTATATCCCATATATAAAGTGACGGCGCCACGGCAAAATCATCGGCGTCCGAAGTCACGTAGTAAGGAGACTTCCACGGCTGCGACTCCAGAATTCTGTATGCACCACATCCCCAAGGACAGTAAGACCGTTGTACTCGTCCCACCACGCCATTACGTGGGTGATGTCCCTGAGAGTCGGCCAATACGCTGCGTCACGCGGCAAAAAGGTACTGAGCCAGGGTACATTCTCGTCCTCTCCTGGGAGGACGACGAAGAAACCTGGTTGCAGCGTGAGGCGGGCTTGCTTGGGCAATGAGACGTGCGTGAGCAAAC